TGCACGTAGACCAGTAATAGACCTAACGTCCAGTGGATACTGGCTTCGTTCAGTGAGCTTTTCGATCGAGCGGCATCCACCTTCCTTAGCACGCTCTGCAGCTCCGCTGGCGTGGGAATTGGCGGGATGTGAGGGGGACATTCTCCTCAGAGTCTGAGACAGGGGGAAATGCTGCTCGGGGGAGTAGAGTAAGGCCGAGCGTCACACCAACGAAATCCAAGTGTATAACCTTGGTCCACAGAACCTACACTTCCCATGATATATGTGACAAGAAAACAGATCTATTCGATAGAAATAGATCCAGAATGATAGAATTCAATATGTGTAAATTGTATTGTGACGAGAGGTATATAGAAGAAGAAAACTACAAAATACAGGTGGGATCTAATTTACATGCACCTGCCTAATGTGGCAGGGAGGGACCCACATGCCATGTGATACAGGGAGCCCCAAAACAATATGCAAGATGAAGATAACGGAGGTATCGGTTTCCGATGCATCGCTATTCTCAACTTTCATGTTCGACGGGAGCGAGTGAATGGCTTTTGAAAACCTATCCAGTGTCTCGTTGCGCCTCAAGCGTCAGCTTCACCAGCACATGCTTTTAGCTCACTCCTTGGCGCGGTCGGCTTGATGTTCTTAATGCTAATCCAACATCTACTGTATCAGCTCCTGCATCCTCTCCTCGTAGGTAGTTAATCCTACCTCATTTGAACTTCGTAGGTATCCTTGCGCCTGTCGAAGAACTTGCAACGCCTCTTGGAGTAGAGCCCAGCGAGCTTGGGTCCGGCGAGATTCCCGGAGGCGGAGCCGAGTTAGTTCCTCTAGCATCCTATTGCCGGGGACTGAAATATAGCGCTTATCCGCCACTTTTTCTTATTAGCTTTGTGGGTAAATGTCGATTAGATTCAAGTGGTATCTCTCACTATAGGTAAATCAATAAAGTTTCGGGGTTCTGCAGTAGTGAGATATGCTGTAACTATAAAGTAGCCAGTACTAGTTAGCCTTTGGTGTCGTCGTAACTCCCGGGAATATAGCATCGGAATTTCACCTCGTGTATTTGAGTTGAGGGTTGGAGAAATATGAGTTGTGATAGAGGAAGGGAGGAGAGGAGGAGAGAAGGATGCTGGGAGCCTTTTAAATAGCAATTCCTACCAGAGAGTGTTTGCGAGGAAGGCGCTAGTATCACTTCACCCAAAAAGGCAAAGACTAACCCCAATTAAATCAATTTTTGGATTCTAGTAATAACCGCAAACTAACATCGCTAAGGGGTTCCTATATTTAGAACCAGGAACTGCGGATAGGTATATAAGATAGACATATATATAAATAAAGTGAGGGATAATTGAAGGGAAACTGATAGTTGAGAGACAGTTGGTGAAGAATGATGTTTATAAAGGTTGACAGAACGGCGCGCCTGCCTTTTGGTATGGGGCTTGGAATACTTCGGCTCAACATCTAAAAGTTAATTGAAACCATGACTTTTCAAGTGTTGGTTGATCTTTTATACCATGGAGAGTTTGGCCACATGGCTAGGGAACTATAGTTTCAAGGTTGATAGAGAAATCAGGAAGAAAGGAGTGACAATCTATACATAACCATCTGGGTGGAGGAATGCAATGCCATAATAAATACCTTTACAGTCTTGATGGAAGTGTGGGGAAACATGAAGATTCATTTGTTCGTCAATGTTTGCACTGTATTTGTAGGAAATCCTCTTGTCCAGCCTAGAACAACAGGTTGCCTTAGTTCACCCAGCTCCTAAGTTGCTCCGCATACGCATGGTCACGTCCCTCTTGCACTCGCAGCGCCACCATACGTTGTACAAGCTCCAAGGCCGTGGTTGTGGGAAATCCGAAGGGCGAAGGGGGAGGAATGTTGGGGGTCGGTTCACCTGTTGCAGAAGGCGAGGCCACCTGTTGCAGAAGGCGAGGCTTGCAGCAAAGGCCAGAGGCTACGTACGGGAGACGAATTACACGGAATCATCGTGCCGTTGTGCTCCACTTGACCTTCAATGGATGGTTATGCTTGCAACAATGATACAAAAGTCGAGATAAAAGGCCGAATATGAAAAGGCGATGATGAGAAGGTCGCGATGTAAGGGTCACGATGGAAGGGTAAGGGTAGGAGAGATAAGAAGAATAACAAAGAAATCACTGGGTAAACATGTAGCCAAGGAGCAGGTCCTACTGCATGTGTCTACTACATCTAGCTCATATGGTTTCTGTCTTTTCTCTTGTGCCATTGAAACACAGCCATTGAAACACATGTTAGAGAGAAGCCAAACGCTCCCTGAGCTGCTCCATCCTCTGCTGGCAATCTTCCCAGGCTACCTATCATGTTCGAGTCTACCAAGTGTACTTTCGCGCGTTGCATCGTGCGGGATGCCTCTTGGAGTACCGCGCGCCGAACCTGAGCACGCCAAGTCACCCGAAGGCAAAGCTGGGTGAGCGCCTCCAGCTGCGAGGCATTTAGTTTCGTGATTTGCCGTGTGTCAGGCACTTTTTACTTGTCAGCTTTGCCTTCAAAGCGCGGTTGCGATGGGGATAACTCACTATTTCACGTTGTGTAACGGTTATTTCTATCTATCTCGTAGTCATAAACCGAATCATGCTAATTAGTATTTCGTCGCCTGGCAAGTCTTGGCCACGGGGGACCATTAATCCTGCCTTGAAACTTGATGGTTTGAAATTTGATCAGTAGTGTGAAGGGTAAAGAAGAGGAGAAGGACCTCACAAGCACCTTAAATAGGAGTTCCTACGAGGGAAACCGCGTTGTCGTAGGGTAGGCGTAACTGTCGTCGCACGCTAAGAAGGAACATCAATGCTGGTCAAGCGCATATGATGTTATATACAAATACCAGGGACAGCGATTGAAATTATAAATAAATGTTTATACTCAGCTATAAGTGAAGTGGGAGCGATATTTGATAGAAGCCTGGTTGAACGGTGACATCCTCGAAAAGTAAAAGTGAAATGAGATTTGGGAACGAAAAGTGTAAACAGACTTCTGATACTCATTATGGCCCATATATATAACTGCGAGGCGGATGGTATTATGACCACGTATTGTTATATATCACAAACGGAGAACCGATCCACTACCAGTGGTCTTAGTTTCGTCAATACATTTACCAATGAACTCTTTATATGAAGTCTTCATACCTAATAGTCACATGGAGCAACAAGATCACCACCCAGAAATACCAACCCTATCAATATATGGGTGCACTATGATAAATATTGGGGTTGCACCATGTAGTACTCTTCCAATTATTCTGCTCCATTCAGGTTTCTCCATATTATCTAGCAGATCATAATCTTTGGCAATATCAACTTGCTGTATGTCGTAGGGAAGAGTGGAGCCACACTTTGTGCCGATGCTTCTATTGATATTTCCGTCCATGGTCCGTGTGTTTAACTGGTCACATGATAAATCAAAGTCACATGACTCCTGACTGTCACATGATGGTGTCCATGACTCTAAAGCTAACCCCTTTCAAGGCTGGACTTTGAACTCTAAAGTGATCACGTAAGACCATCTTACCACCCAAAAGATCATGGCCCTTAAAACAATCGCAACATTCGATTGCGGCTACAGCGGTATATGTGCTATGCCCTAGCCTCTACCCGGGATCACAAATAGACTCTTTGTTGTATCTCTCCCCCCTTGACTATCGCTCTCAGCTTCCACAATGTCATCATTTTTTCCTTTCATCCTTTATGATCTCATTTCCAAGCTCATATATTCAATTAACTGCTCTGGGCCCCGTAGGCTATGAACCCCCCGAAGAGGTTTAGCGGTTGGGTCCCTACTCCAGGGTCCCACTCCAAACAATTCTACCCATCCATACTCCTTACCCCGGAAAAACCTTGCTGAAATGACCAAGCGACTGGCATCGCATACTGCTCGCCTTTCGGCTTGACTCTCCCTATTGGAGTAGCCCCACGGGGGATCCGAATTCCCGGTCGTCTCCGGCCACCGACCATCCATCCGGGGGTTTCCCTAGCCGTATCTTGTGCTTCTGGGGTGATGTAGTGTCCACCTTAACATCACGCCCATGATACCCACGCCGACAGCCAAGCAGTGGGTCACAGCCACATGCTTTCGCGATTATACCAATTGGGAGGCTTATATCGCTATCACATTATGCCCCTGGGCGTAGCTTGTGGATGGCTCGCCGCCGGCAGCTTCGAAATAGCAAAAGGATCGAAACCCACACCGAGCTTAAAGCAATCTCAAGTCCTCTCTAAGCGGACTATAGCTGATCAGAGAGCCAGAGTGACCCGTCAGAGGGACCTCGTCGTTCTGGATTTCAGTGTACACCGCCATCTGCAGTCCCAAATGTCAATTTCTTCTACTCTCTAATTCCATTTATCGGTGATAAAAAAAAACAAACACAGATACTCGATACATGAGCAATCCTTCCTGTTTAGGGGATCTCGGATCAATCTTGAGTTATCGGAAATAAGCCAGTCTGAATAACTAGTGAAGTAACACTATGCCGAACTATATTGACACATATGCCCCTCTAGGGTGGAGAAATGACTACCGTTATAGCGAACCAAAGAGTCACGGACCTACATAATTCCCGAGGTCATTATAATACGGGAAATAGCGAGGAAGGGAAAGAATCGGGACTCCGGAAAGCTTAATCCCACTGGGGCTTAACTGGTCCCACTCGGCTTTAGACCGACATCCGTGAAAGTCTGGGGTGATCCAAGAACTATGTCCATTTTAGGAAAACATAGCCACTGCTTCCCCAGATTAGGGTCCATCTTGATCTATGACTAGAACAGGGCGAGACACTATGGGGAAGTTTGTGACTGAGATGAGATCTAAAATATAAAGGCTTCGCTGAGTGAAGGGGATGTTTCTTTCTATCAATCGATTCTATTCTACACACTGAATTGTACTTTCTATTTTTCCTTTGATTCAGCAAGACTATCCTGTCCGCTACAATGCATTGGTCGACCACGGTTCCGCTGCTCTGCAGCTCAATGCTTACTTTCGTTACGGGTTCACTTGCGCTAGAGCGGGCGGATAAGCACTATGCTATCATGGACAATGATTGGTATACCGCTGGCTTCGTACCTTACTTGGTTGCTCTTGATGGCGATGTGGAAATCCTGGGCTTAGCCTCTGGTGTGTATCTATAATATATTTATCGGCGCAATTGTTCACTAACCGGATTTTTAGATACGGCCAACACCTGGCAGGCACAGGGCGCATTGCACGCAGTAGCAACCCTAGAGGCCGGCAATCTCAGCTGTATTCCAGTCTACTCTGGCGCCACATGGCCACTAATCAACACTCCGAACCGCTTCCATGCATGGGAGATGATTCATGGCGTGCTGCCATGGCAAGGCGCCTTCGCGCCCGAGAATAAGACTCTGGAGGCAGAGGGTGGTGATCCGAAATCTGGCGATCCGAACCGTATCGTCAAGGAGGCTTTCAAGGAGGGTTTCCCCAAGGGCAGACCGGAAAACTCCACCTCGGCTGCTAACTTCATGGTCGAGATGGTGCACAAGTATCCCGGCCAGGTAACCATTTACTCGGCTGGTGCCTTGACCAATGTTGCGCTTGCTGTGCGTATGGATCCGCAGTTTGCGTCGCTTGCTAAGGATCTTGTGATCATGGGTGGGTATGTCGATCTGAATATGCTCCAGGCCACTGGAAACATTATGCAAGCAGATCACCAGTCGGACGTTAGTATCCTTTCAATAATCCCATGATTTATGTTGACATTGGCATTATAGATCAATCTCATGATCGACCCCGAAGCTTCTAAGATCGCTCTGACCGCAGACTTCCCTAACATTACCATCGCCGGCAATGTTGCTAACCAGGTCTTCCCGACCAAGGAGTTCTTGGAAGAGGTTCGCTCGGTTCCAAACCCATACAGCGAACTCTTCTATAAGTATTACGATCTGTCTTTCCCCTTCTGGGATGAGACCGCTGCCGCTTTGATGGTAGACCCTTCTATCTCTGTTAACCAGACTTCAGGTATGTCATGTGGAAGTTGGGTTCTTAGTTTTATGTATTGTGGCTGATATTTTCAAGTATATCTGGATGTGGACACATCGTACGGCAGCCCCAACTATGGAAACATCCATGTGTACCAGAAGGCCCTTGCGCCTCCTGGTATCCGGGAGGTGAACTATGTGTTCGAGGTGGATGCTGAGAGACTTATCAACCGGATCAAGCATGCTCTGCAGTATCCTAAATCGTGTGCCGATTTTGAGTAGTTCGAGTGGCCTGTCTAATTTGTGCTTTCTTGTACATATTGACTGAAGTAATGACTAAACAATGGATGGTACGGACCATCGATATATAAATCTCAATGGAGTTAACCTGACCTAGGCAGTAAATCCCATCTACTAAATTCAATATGCGTTTGTGTCCTAACATTAAGGTTATATTTTGTTGCCTACTTCCAATAGTCATATGCATTGTTAATGACAGTGCAAACCCAATTTATTCGTACAACTGCGACTTCCAAGGAAGTGTGTGTACAAAAAGCTCCACACTCTGAAATCAAAAAGAAAATACAGGCAGAAGATTACATGATAATTTTGGTATGGCACACAGGCGGTAGCTTGGATATGCAGGCCAGGCCGAAACTACCGATCAGCCCCTGCAAGAAGGTATCATACACAGTTCGGACCCTTCTCCTCAACAAAATCAATTATTCAAACAAGGCTGGTCAAGACCAACCAGCACAACGGTCCGCATCCCCTTTAGCCCGTATCATGGAAGTCTCCAACCGCCGTCGCTCGCACATGCATTTCATACTATGGGTGCCAATCCGTTACGTCTGGGAGTGGAAACTGCCCGTGCTGGCAATATAAAATGTTGTGGTATCACATGCTTGGTTCCTAGGTTAAGGACTCGTCTAGCTACTTAGCCAGCTTCCTGCTGATTTATGGATAGTCAACCTTTCTTCAGCTCGCTCTCTCTATCCCGAAGCTTTTCGCCGTACCAGTAGGAAATAGCGTCGCTGGCACTCCAAATCCGGCTGCGGTTGGCAAGTCCCAAAATGTAATCATCATTCTCGGATGTGTACTGACTCTTCTTCTGGATATCTAGAAGTAGCCTTGAAGCTTTCTCCTCGACCTCTTGGGATTGAAAAAGATCAATATCGTGAATCTCCCAGAGCCAAGGGATTTCGAAGCTCAGCCTGTGCGCCCAGATCTTCGGTGGCAAGGTAGTAGTATGCATCGCAAATGAAGCGGCCTTCAGAGCAAGAATGGACCCAGCGGGCAGATGTCCAAAAACCATATGTCGCAACTCAAGTGGGAGCCTGTTAAAAATGTCTTGAGTTTGCGAACCTTGGTCCAATGTTCCCTGTTTGTTGAGGGCTTCCATGATTGGAGCAAGCTCGGCGTCCAGCTGGGGGATTTCAACCGGATTGACTACCAATACCTGCTTCTTATGAGCCTTTGTTCTGTGTTCTTTAACAAGTACCAAAAAAAAAGAACGTACTTCTTGGCCTTTGATACTGGGCCACGCTTGTTCGGCGGGTGGGTCTGGGTCGCCGTAAAGGACCTTCAACCTTACACCACTTGTGTCCGTCAAATATTCCATGGCATCAAACAGAACATCCCGCCTAATCTGCTCATATTCACGATGGATACATCTCAGGAAAATATCCTTGTAGCAAATTTGATGGAAAGGAAATACATATGGTGACTCAGAACCATAGACAGGACGATACCTATAAGTGTTAGAAAGAAGTGATAAGCAATTCGAGGGGATATCATACGAAGTAGCAGAGATATAGTCAACGGGATCATGGACAGTTAAGGGTGCGTTCGGATCTTATAACAAAATCGGTCAGTTCATCCAACCTAGTTTAAGGCCTAGGAAGTAAGCGAGAAACTCACCATCTCCTCGGGCAAGATCAAGTTCCCCCTATGAAACAGATATTAACACCTAATATCTTGCATACCGTGCTAGGATAAGCCTTACATTGTCCCAATGCTCACCGACACCGGAGACAAATGATCTAAAAGGCAATACCTATAAGAACATCTCCTAGATAAACAGGGCAATTTTCACCGACTTATCATCTCCAGGGGCATCAGGATTGATACCCAGGCCACAGACATCGTCGAGCCATTCCAGATTGCAGCCCCTCAGCACTTTGTCACGATAATAACCATCATCATCGTCCGTCTCTTCGGGGTCAATCTCTACATTGCTAGAGAATGGACCAGCACATATCGCGCAGTATACTGAATATCCCATGATCCTATCCCCAAGGTTTAATCTAGATAATAGTGACCGGGTTGAGGGAGAACGTTGGATCTGAGTTCGTCACGTGGGTAAGGTGTGGGGCTCTCCAGGGCTCTACCCTCAAGAAATGGGTACGGCTTACCAGTAAACAGTGATGAATGGCCTTGGAGATGGATAAGAGATATCAAGATGATTGATTGGAGAAAAGAAGGAGAGGGGGGAGAAGCTACCTACTGGAAATCCTAACGAACCGGGCCACGTTGGGTGATCACAACAAATGGAACGGAAGTGTATACATACTCGAAAGGTAGTGCAAAGATTTCCAGCAGTGATCATCTTGACAACTAGTAATTCGGTTTTTTTGGGTTCAAGGAAATGTTCTGATTGATGGGTGGGATATCAGGGCTTTCAAAATCCCGTTCAATAGCTTCAGTGTTGAAAGATGTTCGGATCGTGTGAGCAGGGATGCTATCCGTGCCGATATAATCGCCTTGGGCCACATCTTCCGCCGGAAAGTGATGAACTAGTGGAGGCTCTGTTGCTCCGCGGTAGGTGATACCAGATCCGATGGAAAAGAAGATGAAACAAGCGATTGGATTGATTTGAGTATCTCTATCCTGCTGATGGACTAAAGAACGAAAGAGGAACAAGTTCCTCGACGTAATCCTCGTCGATTTCCCTTTCAATATCCACCTCATAGTCCTATGTCTCTCCCCACGGACGATTTCCTGTATGCCTTAGGCTTTGGACCCATCCAATTCCCAGCCTTCAAGAACCAAAGCGAGTCGACGTGCGAGTTATTCCACAATTTTATCGTAGGCTCCAGATCCTTCATCAATGTACTCTTGGTGCATGAGCAGTTGCCAGGTGGTCACGGCCTCAACTAGAGAGCCCGACTCACTCTTCTTCGTTTCAGCGGAAGTGCGGTCAGTGCGATTAACCGCGTAGCCCTACTGCGTCTCTTCCCGACGGGCGAGCTAACCAATGTTTGTAAAGACTTGGGCCTCGCACCAACGGTCGGAACGCTCTTGGGCTTGCAGCCGTTGAAGCTGATTGACGAGCGCCGCCATCCGGCGCTCCAACACATGCAGCATCGCAGGCACCAACGAGGACCACGGGAAGTGGCCATTCCCATATAGTACTGTCAGACATGTAGCGAGCGCCATTATCAGGGCCCTTTCTTCCCTGATCTCGAGGCGAGCGTGCTCTCGCCGCAACGCCCGGGCTTGCAGCTGCGAAAGAACATCCAGGAAGCCACCGCTAACTGATCGCACTGGCCGATTGTCGGCCACTTATCGAATGTCATTAGCTTTGTGTCTGCCCAGGTGGGACGGACGATCGATAGGACGATATATCTCACTTACTTGCAAGTCTTTTAATGATGGGGTTTGTGAGAAAATGTAAGTGGGAGGTTGTAAGCTGTAAAATAATCAGTTTGTACTAACTCCTTATTTTGTTGGAAATGACGGTCACGCCTTTGCGGTTTGTAGACAGGCCATAACTGATGAGCAAACTCCATCAGAGCTAGAAGCCCATCCTTCGACACCTCTAGGGAGTTGCATGCATGCAACGGCGGGATCGTACCTTGGATTTGTGTAGCGCAGGATAAGAAATCAAAAGCTTGAAGGTGGAAGAAAGAAAATTGAGAGAAGTCGGGTTAAATAGGAATTTCTATGGGAAATCGCGTTTTCACGAGGAAGGAGCGAGTTTCACTTCTTGCCTTTGAAAGTAAAGTGAAACACTAGTGAGGCATAAACGATAGCTTGATAGCAACACTATTATGTCTTCAAAATTGTCTAACCTTTTTTGCGACTGTAGTGCAAGTACCTCATCCACCAGCAGATCATCCTCAGCTCCGTCTAGAGCTTCCTTGAACCGTGGCACCCTCATACATTAGGCGTGTAACAATCTCCATTATCAAGACTATTTCTTCGAGGATGTATTCCCGATCGAGTGCCCGCTGCATCTCTCGAGCTCGCAGCTGCGAAAGCAGCTCCAGTTGGCCACCACTAGGCGATGGCACTGGCCGATGGTCGGCCACTTTTTCAATGCTGTTAGCTTTGCCTCTAGAGCAAAGGATCAAGGGAACTAGGAATCTCACTTGCAGGGTGTTCAATGTGAGTGGAGAGTGTAGGATGTATGGAGCAACCTATGTTTATTAGCCCCTGACTTCGTGAAGGAATTAGGAATTTATGGAAGGGACTGGTACAGTTTTTGTTGTGAAGAATTCCGTGCTTATCATATTTTCGATGTCCATGTGTAGATATTATGGAAACAGCGTGTGGAACACGAGGGAAAAGTTGGCCTGGCTCTGACTAAAACTGGAAAACGGAGTGGGCCGCATAAACAGTAAGGTAATGTAGCGGCAAGGTTCAGGGGCCGATACAAGGGGAGTAGACAGCCGTCCAGTGGATGAATGGATCGAAGGACGACATTGTGAAGTACGGTATCCTCGTCGAGTTCCGTTTTTGGAATAGCAGTATACTCTGAGTCGAGATAATCCCGCGGTAGTATGCCAACCGCTTCCAGAAATTGCAGGTCCTCGGCATCGATATCACGGGTAATGCGGGGTAGATATTATAGGGCAAAGCATAAGTGAGAGTAAACCACCCGTCACAAATGATAACAATACCTTGACAATTCACTTGGAAACCTGGCACCAAGCATGTTATACCACAACAGATACGTTCATTTTCAAGTCTGGCTGTGAGGAAATATTGAGTTAAGCGAGATTTCGAAACACCCAGTCCTTGCACCAGCGGTCAGTGCGCTCTTAAGATTGCAAGCCTTGTAGGTGTTCAACCAGGGCCATCATCCGCTGTTCTAACGCGTGCAGCATCATGGGGATCGATGATGACCACGGGAAGCATCCATCTCCGTACTTTCTCTGGGGCGTGTACCAATGGCCTCATGGGTATTCGCTCGCAAGAGTACGCGCTCCTCCTGCTGGGTAAGAACCTCGTTGTCCAGGGGTCGATAGAATAGACCAGGGCATAGGAGATGAGAGCAAATCACCCGTCAAAAATGGTAATGATGAATTCTTCTTTTGTAGATATGATCAAGACGGTCCTACTCTTCCATAGTTCCTAGACACTGTTTCTCTATACCCACTGCTCAACCCAGCGGTCGGCGTATTCTTGCTCCTGCAAGAACGCCAACAGGCCCAGCATATCTAGCTGAGGACTGTAGATCGTGTCCGCGATTACGGTAGACTAGGGGGGATTCTCGACATCGTACAGGCTTAAGACAGCGGCCGCTTTTCGCATAGTGCCCACTGCTTGTCAGACAGTACTGACATACGCGTGCTCTCGGAGGATAACCCGTTCTTGCAGCTGGGCTAATATGTTGAGCATATCATCACTTGGCGATGGGATTTGGCGAGTGTTCGTCACTTTTCCAGCTGTGTTAGCTTTGCATCTGCAACGCAGGATCGAGGGGACTGTGTAACTCACTTATCGTAATTTGTGGGGATTGTCAATGTGTGGGGAGTTGTATGCCTCGAGTCCTGAAGAGTAGTCTGTGTTTATTAGCTCCCGATTTCGTTTCAAATTATAGTCATAGACTTAGGAGTCATACGTTGAGAGGTTACGTGAATGTGGTGTCCGAAAGCCAATATTTGACAAAGGAAGGAGGATGATTGATGGGAAGGACCTTAAATAGAAATTTCTACGAGAAAACGCGGCCTTAAGAGGAGCGAACTTCGCTTTCTACCTTTGAAAGCAAAATGAAACACTGGTGAGGTCTGAGCCGGCACTTTATACCAACACTCCCGAATGCTTATAGTATTAGGCATACGGATACAACATATAACTGTATCGTAAGTCATAATTGATGGCAAGATTACGTGAGAAAGAGAGCTTATAGAACTAAGAGTCAGTTGAATTTGAGATGAGTTTGTGACTGTTTTGCCGTTATTCCACGCCCTAGATGTTCCTTTAAAGGTCTGCTGTTAGGTGACGCCCATTACAATTCCCTAATTGGAGCACTGATTACTGTTAATATCTTTACCGACCTTGTGAGCTAAATATTCCGTCGAGAAGCCCTAACATACGTACCTCTAATCTCTGAAAAAGAGGCGACACTGAGAGCAGAGAACTGGAATACTGCGCTCATTTCCATGACCAGGATAGCCTCTTGTAGGTTTCTCTGACGAGGGTCCTCTCGCTAGATCTCAATGTCTTGCAGCTAGGTCATGGCCTACAGTTGTCCCATCACATCGTCTATGAATTCATGTGGACATGGACCTTAGTTCTGGCTCCCCCTATGTTCGGGATAGACACGTCTATGAGAGAGTACGTCTTGTACAATTCGCTAAAGCGGCAGATACCCCAGAATCCTAGGTATGGGGAACATCCACCCCCTCTATCCTCATCTATCATAAATCTCGTTAAGCCTACCGGAATGTTTCAGACTACAGCGGTTAAGGCAAATCGTAGTTTTGTATTTCATTTCTGTTTGTTAGGCACCTTCTCAGGGAACCTGTAGTACTCCAGCGCCCACAATACATCGTCTGATTGGTTGGTTCCCCTGCGCAATTGACGGTGGTCCGGAAGATTTTCTGCTTCCATTGGAACACAAACGTAATTCCAAGTATTGGTGCCATAACAGGTTCTGTGAAGGACTGGGCGAAGAGCGCATAGGGCCAGCCAGAATCACGGCCTACTTGGATTCGTAGATATTCACGAGGTATACAGATTGACGAGTCGCTAGTGGTCCGTGATAAGGACTCATAACCTCTAGAGGATGATAGACGGTCAGTATCAATAGGAAAGTGTGCAATACTTGTTGATGCTATAGACAAAGAAGTTTAACTCACGATGAATAGCTTGGAGGTTAAGCTGTCCCTGTCACCGTCTTGATATAGGCCTACAGAGGCTCTAACAGATTAGTACATGAGAGAGAGGAGAGGAGAGGGTCATCAAGTAGATTCGCCTTGGTGGGGTGACCCCTTCAGGTAGGTATATCTCACTTACCCATCAGACGCGTTTTAGGAATCTTGTGGTAAGTTGAAGTACAGTCGGAGGTAGATAATGTATGATGCCCTTTCTTTGTTAGCCCCTTGTGTTGCTAATTCTAGTCACAGAGGACGCTTACCTTGGGTTTTGAGGGTAGTAAGTGCGAATATTGCATGATGCTGGGTAAAAGCGAAGCTATTAAATAGCAATTCCTACGAGAAAGCGCACCTTCACGAGGAAGGAGCGACTGTCACATTCCAAAAACCAATGTGACTATCACCTTGTATAGCCACAGCTATGAACCAAATTCGGCACTCTCTTCGAAGTCGTGAGCAGTGATAGATTATATGAATAGAAGCTAGAACTGATACCAGGGTGGTACATATATATGTAGTTGGTGTTTAATTATATATGAGAAAACTGTGAAATGAAAGTGAAGGGAGGTTTGAAGTTGCCAAAGTTGGAGCTTTTATATCTAAAATGAGACTGAATTGAGACAGTTTCATGACCTATGTGACTCACTTTGTTCAGGTGTATCCCGGTAGACCTTTCTACTGCATTCCGCCAACCAGACCATCTCTATAATTAGAACGCCGCCTTCTGTTGGAGGAACCTGTCTAGTATAAGTTCTAGTTTGGATCGCTGTGTACATATGATGGCGATGTCTTTCAGACATGGCCAATACGTAACCCTTCAAAGAAAAACCAAAGGCAAACCTTTCGCAATCAACACATTCTACATAGCTAGGTCTTACCAGGTTGCAAATTATAGCAGGTTAATGGCGTTGGAACATGCTACTATTAGTATTGGGGTTGGTTTCTTGGCAACTACCGTTCATGGGAATATCTATGTCAATATAGCACTCGAATTCTCCATTTGTGTGGGGTTCTCAGGACCTAGTTCCAAGCTCCCTAAGAGGCAGCGCTATCTTCATTCCCTTCCGCATCGAGACCCATCATAAAGCTCAAAGAGTTCCTCCATTCGCTGTCTTAGAACCCTTCTCGCTATCTAGTGATATGTGAAAGTTGTTGAGTAAATCCAAGGGTTCCCGTCGAGATGCCGATGCGTATTGTGCTATTCATCTTCTCGGAGCTATAAATCCAACCCGTCCTATTCATGGATTGCCTGACCAATGCTAGACGGCTTCGGGTGGCTACCAGTGAAATTCCTTGGGGAGTGTCTTTGCGGCTATAACGACCTCCACCACTTCCAGCAGATCATCTTTGACACGGGTGAGGGAGCGGAGCGTCTCCACAATGGGGACGGACGCCGAGGCGGATAGAAGAGCAGATATTGCGGCGGTCAGCTCGGATAATTCGCCCAGAGCTATACGAATAGGGCGTAGGGTACGGGGCTCTAGGGTATCCAGAAGCTCCGTGTCCGGGCACCCTACGATCCACAGTTGCATATTAGTATGGACGGAACCCCGCCCCTGGTACTCATAGCGGGACCAACTATCCTCCACAGTAAATAGTCTCTTTAGTGTCAAATGCCAAAACAGTCGAAAAACGGATGTCGAACCACTGGACGACAATATGCGGATAGTCGCGGGCGGTATTGCGGGAAATACGGCAGCACACGGGTTTATTGCCTACGACTCACTCCTGGTGATTTGGCAGATGCCTTATAAGGTCTTCCCAGTGAAGGTCCGCGACCGAAAGGGGGAGAAAGAGTTGTGTAACACCCAGATCCTTGATATCCCGCCCAAGGTGCCTCGCTGGGTGATTCCCTGCCACCTGTTGTGTGGATCCAAGCAGATGAGATAGATGCATTGGTCTCTCGCTTGTTTTGCAGTGTCGAGGGACTAGTTTCTGTTGATTTGTTCAATCTGGCGTTACCTCCAAGGCAACCAGTGTTAGTCAGTAATTCTCTTCTCTATCAGCTCTAACCGTGGAACAGGGGTGTCACATTCATTCCCCAATGCTGGTGGAGAAGGTAGGTGTTGTTGAAAGGATAAAAACGAAAGGAAGGTCAAGAAAGACCTTGATAGCGCGAGGAGAAGAGTAACGAAGGAGAATCTGTCAGGGTCTCCAGGTAGCAGAAAGACGATTATCACGGGGAACTAGAACCCGAGCAAGTTGCCCCAAATGGGAATCGTGAAACCGTATCTGAACGAGTAAGATGCGAATATCTTCTTCAAAACAAGAGAGCAATGCTAAGATTACCAATGCTAAGATTACCGAGATAGATAAGCCTAGACTATCAGGCCCTCGAGGTACCTTGAACACCACCTCATCACCTCTAAGTTGACTTAGCCTAGGGTCACACCACATCCGCCTAGGTTGGTGACCCAAAATGTCTTGGCCCAACGCAAGACCGCTATAAACTCAACTGATTGCCACCCAGTCCCGTAGGAACTTGAGCAAACACATGGGGTTGACACGAAATCCTAGTCAACTGCAACCAGGGATAATAAGAGCCCTTGCCAGTATAGAAAAGTATATAGCTAGTGTATTCTAAAGGACAGTGATATATAGCTGATGAGCATCTAGACAAATACGAAGTTAGAAAGGAAAGTGACGTTTGGGAAGACTCGGGCAGTTGAGTCCTCTATAACTTATATGGAGGTTGTTTGCCTGATATCAAACACTATGCAACCACTCCAGCGCACAATACTCACAATCCGCATCCACTAAATACAAAGGCAGTATTAAGGAGATTCTCAGTTCTTTCTCCTATAACCAATATACAAAGTTATCGTTTAACACAGAGTTCATATGCTTGGAACGGTGTCTAGTATGTATAGCTAGAGTTGATTAACCAACTACTCCCTAGAGATGGGTACTACATAGCATGCTAGGCGCGCCAATTATTGTTGGGATTCCTAATATAACCATGGTTTATGACAGCCAATATATTACGATTCCCGTTATTCTATTATAACGACTAAGTGAAGTCTAATTGAAGTCTAATTGAAGTCTAATTGAAGTCTAATTGAAGTCTAATTGAAGTCTAATTGAAGTCTAATTGAAGTCTAATTGAAGTCTAAGTGATGCGATTTTCAAGACTATATTGTATACTATGCTCTTATGCTAACATAGGGGAAGATCGAACTGTCATTACAGATTCTGTATCTTGTGTACGACTCGTCTAATGGCCGATATAGTAATGAATTCTATATTCTGTTTATAACATCTGAGTGACCGCTAAGTGACCAATCAGTGACCAATAAGTAACGGTGCTTGGTAGAGTATAAGCTGTACCTATCGCTTTTGGCTGACTTGGATGATGTCTCGCCAATTATGGCCCGTACCCGTGTAACAAACAAAGCACCTTCCCTGTTCGCCATCACGTATATCGCCTAGGTCTAAAACACGGCAGCAACACCAACCCATCTTTCTACTCTTCTCTCATTCACAGAAGCACCTCTGACGACCTTCAATGGCGCATCTGACTGATTTTAGACTGCAGGGTTGCTAGGCAACCTGTCCAGCGGATGAACTATCCCTGTCCTATTTGTAAAGGTTGGGAATTCGAAACAGAGCAAGGCTTTATTAACCACATCAGATATGCGCACAACATATTCCTATGCCAGAAATATGAGGAGATGTATGCAGTCGGGAATGACCTTTCTCCATCACAAAGACGACGCGAGATATGGTAAGCCGCCCTCAAAAGATCAAGCATCGGTCCGTCAGCACTCGTCTACTAAAACTCTTCTATGGTCTCCTGCACATACCCGTCATCCACCACATGCCTGGACACTTTTGCAATCCCCCGGGAAGGGACACCAAGTAGGTGGTCAAATCCATCAACCACAACCTCACGCCTTTTACAACTTCCCACCTTTCACACCACTTCCCGTTCTCCATGTACAAACCCTATTGGGTCAAATCTTTCCAGCTCACCCGCATGCAAGCAGTTTATTTATGCGAAGCACTCCAAACCCGCTTATCCATATTTACAAAGGCCACTAACATAACAAGAGCATCCACAAGAAATCTCCCACCCATCACTCAATGGGTAGGCTTTACAGCAAATGCCCAGAAATAACCGTCCCATGGGAAATGCGACTGATTGCACCCTTAGGGTCGGACCAATTCTGAGCAGGTATACGTCGGCGATGAAACAGGTTCGCAGGGATGGTTCCAGCACGCCGTTGGCCATATTTTTGGTACTCGCCGCAACTACAACAAGACGCCAGATGTGACGATTGTATCCCGGAGGATTCCCACTCCCCTACTAGTTGTGGGATTTTAGCGCCTATCAAGCACGGGCTTGTCACATCTTGCACCGTTGCAAGCAAGTGGGAATGCTCCAGGATACAGCAACGAGAATATGGCCAACAGCCTGTTGCAACCGTCCTTGTATCCCTATCTCATTGGCAACGTATACCTGCTCGGAAGTGATATTCCCAAGTCTGGTCGATGCAACTCTCAATCCCTCGACGGCTGAGGCCGTATTTCCTAACTTTGCGAAGAAGACGCTTCCGCGGGTTTAGGTATTGAGGCAGGGAAGTCAATCGCCGACACTCGGGATAGTCTTAATAGCCATGATCCCCCGGAGAATGTTTAGCACAGCTAAAGACATGCTTTGGCATGACTGGCGCTTCACGCCAGTACGTCCCGCTATACGCAAAGAAGTCCGAGCCGCTGCAAATCCGCAAGACCTGACTCTTGCGCGGGAGTCCGATCAAAGGGCGCCCACGACGGGAATGGTCCACACGAGCACATTATACACACCCAAGAAGGGTGGACACGGCGCAATGGTGTTTCACGTGGAACGAGACTATGTACACACAAATCTCAAAACTACACCGCCGTTAACAGCAGTGGAATCTATCAGTCTGCTAACCTCAGTCAAAAAACAGTACTGGGCGACCGAGCTAGAGGTGTCATGTATGGTGTGGGTTGTGCATAATCGAAGCAGCACCAAAGGGTCTAACCCCAGTCGCGTACACGGACCATATTGCGACAATCGACCTAGCTACTTCGCTATCATCTGCATCGCCAGGCAGGATGAACCTGCATCTGGTTCGGGCATCCCAATATCTACAGCAATTCCCATTGCTGGTTTATCACAAGGCGGGTAAGATAAACCACGTCGCAGATGCACTCTCCCGCTTGGCGGCCTGTTTAGCACCGAGATACTGATCTGCTTCCTACGCGGTCCTGGCTGTCTTCAAGCTTGGGAGGAAAAGGCTATCACTTTCGCAAACCAGAAAAGAAAGAAGGATAAGGGGAATTTGGAGCCGGATGAAAAGGCTGGATACGCAGCCTTCAGCAAGGGCCGAGGGAGGAAGCCTTGACAATCAACCACAGAAAGTGGAGAGGAAAAGGACGTGGCCCAGAACCCTCCCTCCCGAAGAATGGGAATGCGATGGATATATAATCCAGACTCGCAAGCGACCAGTTCATGATTCCGAACAGTTCAGCGACCTCATTTCAATCGATAGTCACGTCGCGAGAAGGGACACCCATTAGTGTCTGCGTTGATGTGACTGGATGGAGAACTCTCTAAAATAACTTCCGACGTGTGTGGCGAGAACAAGTTGTCTTGCTTCTAACTTGTGAAACCGAATGGCCTAGGCTTTGGCGGATACATGACCTAGGAGCCTAGACATGCGCGGACCATCGCATCCAGGAAGCTTGCAAGAACTCAAAAGATTGAACCAGATGATTTTAGCTCTGTTCCAATAGGAGAGTGGGTTGAGTGAGGAGAAAGGTGAACGAAGCTATTGCATACTGGTCGCCATCCTTGGTTATGGGGTCTGACTGGGTTGGTCGAGCAGCGCCAATACCAAGTGCTTGAGAGAGTATTAGTTTCAAATGTTTGAGCGAAAGCCATTATTATTGTCTCTGCTCTCTCCCCGTAGGTTGAGGAATGATAAAACACCACAATGTAATACTACGTAGACAAGCAATAGGCGATTACGTATTATCGCCATTGGAAACAAAACTCAAGGACATAAAAGACATACGAAACAGGAAACATAGCAATATTGGGGATAGGGGAATTAAACGCCAAATGTACAGAAACAGAGAAGGAAAAGACAGACGAAAAATGAAGAGAGAAACACACGAGGCGATGGGAACAAGACTGCCTTGAAGATCAAAATAGAAAAAGCACTCCCGATATAGACAAAAGAACCATTCTCCAAACTTCTCTATGCATAGATGAAGCAGCTCAGATACCCAAGTCCAGTGTTAAACGCCTTGATCCAGATAGGATGCATGACAAGGCCAATAACGTGTTTTAAAGAATGCTCCGACTTGCCTGGCTGCGACTAGTAGCGCGGCTCGGGTTCGTGCGACTTGGCTCGTCTTCCTCGAGAACATCGCTCAGACGCGTGGGGTGACGATGGCGCGGTGTCACAGACTCCCACCCAGTGCCAGGGCCCCAGCCAGAGCCGCTGTAGTCCGCAGCGGAGGTGGGCGCATGCGGAGCTTGCAGTGGGGCGGAAGAGGCAGCGGAGGTATAGGCGCCGTCGGGCATGTAGTGGCCTTCGGGCTCATACTCTTCGCTGCCCTCCGAGGAAGGGCCAGGTGGGTAGCTGGCGGGGTTGCCATGCTGGTCGTGGGAGTAGTGGACATAGTCTTCGTCGCCGGCTTCACTGCTGCCGGCGTAGGACCGTGTGTCGGGTTCTGAGGTTGCGGGTCCTGGGTATGGGACATTGGTGCTTTCATGTGCATACAGTGGACCCGGGTAGGGGGCTTTGGAGGCAGGTGGGTCCACCTTTTTTGGTTCGATGAAAGGGTCTGACCCTGTGGGGGACATTGGCGTGCCATCTTCGTAGTATTGTCCACCAGCGCTCCCTGCAGACTTGCCATGGTATGCGTCGCCGCCCATGGTTGTGGCGGTTGGTCCGCCAGGGTATGGGCCCTCGCGGGTCTGTGGACGAGTGGTCTGACGACTAGGGAGGCCAGAAACCATAGGTACAACCTGAACGCCCCCAACTAGAGTCGGCTCTCCATTGCGCAGGGAGTTGGTTCGGTCTCGCTCTTCTTGCTCACGACGCCCAAGCTCCTCCCAGGCGCGGCGGGCCTCCTCCTTGGAGATTTGGAGTTCGCGACGCATCTCTTTTAGTAGCTCCTCGGCCTTGACTTTGTCCTTTTCAGCTTGCTGGGCAGCAGCAAAGGCATCGGCTCGGCCTTGCCGTTCTTCTTTGAGCTGGCGGTCCAAGTCTGCCTGCACTTCCTTTGAGCGTTCTTGCTCAGCACGGGTGTCGAAAAACCAGCGCTGGAACTTGCGTTCGGAGGAGGCTCGTAGACGTTGCAGTTCAACCACTGCGTGGAAGAGATTTGCACCAGCGGCAGACAAGTCAGTAATTTGTCGAGCTAATTGTTGACTGATCGGATCACGCTCTAGATCCTCATTATTTTGTTCAAGCTTGCGCATCCAATAGCTAGTGAGACCCTCCCAGTGTGAGGACAGTGTTTCCCATCGCTCGAATGCATGCGGAAACCCAACGCGTTTCGGTTGCGGAAGAGTTTGGGGAGCACCAGGCTGCCCTGCGGGTAGGGCCTGGGTCGATTTGGAGACCCCAACGGGTCTGTTTTGAGCTCCAATTTCTGCAGCACTCTGTGAGCGACTGTGTTGGGGCTGCTGACCAGTTGCCTGTGTTGGTCGTGATTGGCTAGCCAGTTGCCCCGTGCCAACTGTCTGCGGTGCGGTCTGATATTCTGATGGTCGGGTACTCGTCGCAGCATCTGCTGCTGGTCGGTACGCAGCTGCTGGGCCTGATGCGATGGGCATGGTCTGGGGTTGTCCTTCGGGGCCCCTTGGTGGTCGTGGGGCTCGAATTCTTGACTGGGAGCCATTGTCGGCGGCAACGCCAGCGGCGTACTGTTGAGACTGGGCCTGGGCCTGTATCTGGGCCTGGGCGTCTGCTTGAGCCTGTTGTTCTTGCTCCTGTTGTTGTCGTACCAATTTCTCCTGTTCCCTCTCTTGGGCCTCGTGCTCCGCTTTGCGGCGAGCCTCTCGATCCCGGCGTTGTCTCATTATGTCCGTAGGTGTCCTCATACCACTCGGTGGCTGCGATGTCCCTGAGATGGGGTTCTGGGGTACACGGGCTGCACCATTTTGCACACGGCCATTGCCCACAGGCCCAGCGGGGCCAGCGACACCTACCATGTCTGACATAGACGCATTCACCTCGTCCCAATCAGTGGAGAGCTGTAGCGGTCCCCGGATAGCTTCCTCGAGTGCGAAAAGGATTGCTGACGCTGTGCGCGAGGAGACTCCGGTCTTTCTCTGAGGCCAGTAGGATGTATTGAGGAGCCGGTATGGGTCGTCAACTGTAGACCCGTTATCGTCAGTCTCCGCTTCGGAAAGGGCCGGACGTAGGGCTGCGATGCCACTGGCTGCGGCGTGTTGCACAGAGACCGGGGTTGTACGTGCGGGTTGGGCTCGATTGGAGTGTGGAACCTGGGCGCCTAAGGACACCGTTCGACGGTGGGCGGATTGTCGAACCTCTGCCTGGCGAGGGATACGACGTAAGGGACGCTGAGAGTCGGAGGCGCTCGGGGGTCGGGATTGGGGTAGGGATTGATGATTGGCTGAAGTAGAAGGTCGTTGAACAGTCGGCTGGCGTTGCCGCGCAAAGGTCGTAAACGTTGATGGGTCGTAAGAGTCGTGGACTTCGTTAGAGGCTTTGGGGATGCGTCGAGACACCTCTAAGAATGATTGGTAAAATTGTGGATTGGAAGACAATGCGTTGCGTCACTGGAGCAGATAGCTCTCTCAAGGATCGCGATCGCAAAATTATCGATCGCTGAGAGTTCAAAAGCTTCACAGCCCCTACGGCTGTACAAATCAATGCTCAATTCACAGTATAATGCAATTGAGAGAAAAACCGAAGCAAATTGAAATCTGGAGAGGTAAAAGAACGAGAAAGGGTCGGAGTGTGAGGTGGCTGGTTAATTGAGATGGCTGGGGCCGCAGCTGGAGCTGCAGCACACCAAACGTGTCTCGGCGATGAAACACCAACTCTCTAAACTCCGGCCTGGGTTCGAATTCGAATACTCCGTATGAGAAGAGATGAAGAATACTAAATGAAGCCCGAAGCTGGAAAGTAGTGTTCTAAGGCAGGAATGCCTGAGCTATGCCTGCCCTAATTCGCCCAAGTCGATCCTTTCCTTTTTTCTCTCTTTGCTCTTTTTCAGGGCAATCACAGAGTCCCCAGTAAATATTAAGGTACTTCAAGTATGTCAGATCTTCCGTCACGCGTTCAGATGTCGCTGCGCAACCAATTCGAAGGGACGCAATACCTCAATAATTAGTTGCGACCGTGCAGAGCCGGTCGCACGGACTGCTATAGTGGCGAGATCGAATAGTTCAATGCAATTTGGAACATGTGTACGGAGTAGATATGTGTTGTTTGAAAATCGAAGAGAAAACCTCTTAGGCTACGGAAATAAGTCAAGGCTATTTTAATTTCGCCGTGCCATGGTTGGCTTTTTAAGGCTAACGACCTTGGAATAATATAATTAGGACGTATCCGGAGTATGATGTGTTGGCAAGTCAGTTATGTCAGGCAATATATATATCTTGACAACGATGTAGCGACAATATATATCAATCTGACTACTCTGCCCATTTATCTCCATTTGTTTAAGACTCACCAAGTATTTATAGCTATTATGGCTATTCCTCTTTCCTGTTTAATTTCATAACATGAGATCTTGGTTAGGCTCCATTTGATCCACTGGTTCATCCTCGAGCCGGCGGCTACAGTTCTCTGGGACGAACTACATTCCCCACAATTCTCAGAAAGGGGTTGTTTTCATTCTCCAGGGCTCTTCACATATGTACTCTTTACTTAAAACAAAATATTTTTATATATCTACTGCTACATTATTCTACTTAAATGGCTAAGTATCAAGCCTATCTACGTGGCACTGTTCAGCCTCCCCCGCAATGACATCGCCTCCAGTCCTGGCTAGGTCTGTGGGCCGGTGTTCCCGATGACAAAGCAAATAGATCGGTCTCGGGATCTGCTAAGGTTGAAAGCTACAAGTAATCATCTGGGCAGGTACTTCAGACTCAACTCTAAACTTGGACACACTAGGTTGGACTACAAAGCAAATACTCAGAGGGAGAGCTTACAGACGGAGGCGTCCAGGGCTTTTCAGCACAGTGGAATAGACGGATGTGCAAGCCAGAAGACCGCGGGCCTCAGATACCATAGCCAATACACGAAGGGCCGAGCGGCAAGCCCATAAAATCCAGGCCGGGCGTCGCGGCAGCCCCCGAAGGGACCCGTAACATTGCGCGGGGGAACGTTATAGGGCACCGCTGCGGTTATGAGCAATATGTAACCATCAAAACTGGAAAAGGTATCAAGGTGGAAAGTAATGTTCAAAGACGAGTTATCCTCTCTACACATACCCACCGACCACATTTGGGATGTAAAAATGCAAACAGCAGTAAAAGTGGCTAGAAATTGCTCCGGGGGACAATTTTTGTATGGGACTGGTCCGTGCACGACCAAAACACCATACAAAAAGTGGCCCAGTTGAGAAAAGCTGAGTGACATTTCCGTTTTTCGTGGGACTTGGTCGTTTGAAAATATTCACCAAGGTTCGAAGTACATTTTCGCTGTGCTTTTTCCTCGGCAATAGACTCCCCATTATCTATATCTGCTCAACAAGGTTCTTAACTACAGATAGTTTCATCTATGATTTCCTTGTAGACGATCCCGTCTCCAAGCACCTTGTGCATCGAATAGGCACCATTGAATGCCCAATAAATGTATAAACTCATTCTAAATGCACGTAACAGATACTCTGACGCGTCTAGAGCAATCAGGAGTGGATACGTCTTTTCGGGAAAGCTGTATTCTCGGCCGCGCCAAAGGTCCCCGGTGCTAAAAACCTGTATTTAGAACCAGCTATTCCCTCTATCCAATATAAGTACATAGTACTATTTATCTGAGTAGTAATACATGATGCACTCAACAATAGTGACCAAAGCCCCTAGCTATCCCAAATTCCAATAGTCAAGCCAGGAGGCCTCCAATACAAGACCCCACCGAGACAAAGAGCGCCCCATAAGCACTACAACCTGGAAAGTAATATTGACCCCTCCGTCCAAGGCCTGGACCCGAGGACTGAAAGAGCAGCAAGGGCCTAGGAACCGGAAAATTTGATCCCTCATTCGGGCCGGGGAGGGGCTTCCCGTAGCGCCGCGGACGTAGAATACGAAACCCGAGAGAGTGCCCAGAAGGGAGCTAAGACCCAGTATCAAGGTAGGTTCAATGCCTTGCAGAAGACTAGCTCCGCGGGAGCTTGGGTGTTTCAGTTCCCTCGTCGGGGTCTTGGGGTTGCGGCTATTGGCCAATCAGGAGAAATATGGTTTCGAGACACTTTCGGGCTTCATAATTAGGATGTTCTAGGGGATCTGTGATGTGTTCTAACTGTCTATTTGACTTCAGGTATTGGGTTGTGCTGAGCATCGAGTTTAATTTTGGTTTTGATTTGGGTTATGGTTCTGATTCTGATTCTGATCTCAGAAGTTCGCTGAAATTTGGTCTATCGAGGGAGTTTGGAGGGATGCCATGGATTATCATGCCATTGCGGTCCTTGGAAGTCCATTCTGTTGGATCTAGGATTGGATATATTTGGTAAGGTTGCACTCGAGATAGGAAACGGTGAACCAGTCTATTTCGAACTCTATGTCTCTGCACTCAACTGGCGGCTGAAGAATGTGAGCAGGAGGCGAGGGTGTCAAGGTTGCGTCCGCGGAGAGTTTATCACCCAAAGACTGCGAACAGTGCATGAACTGGTCAATAAAGAGACAATGGTCCTGCAGATCAGGGGTTTCATTGGGGAGTGTGCCGATACTTATACTACCTGAGCGGAATAGCTGCACCTCGGCTGTACGTGTAGCGGGATGCATGCAAGTCAAACTTTCGATGGAATGTGGGGTTTATTGGCTTAGCTGAGGCTATGTCTTGGGTTTGTTTTGTTTTGGTCTGCGCCAATATACAGTGGCAATTCCGGCCACATATACAATAGAGCTGGCCCATGGCATAAAGCGACCTCTGGAATTGGATCCAGCAACTACATTGACACATTGACCGGTAGGAAATGCATCTGTATGGTCAGATAGCAAAGTAAACTGAAAAAAGAGTTCGACTTTGCACCAATCGCAGCACAATGCCAGAGTTACAGATGTACAACATGTGTGATTTGTCCACTGTCGGGTTTACCTCAGCTCCTTGAGTGTCCGACCATACTATATGCTGTGGCAAATCAAGATGATGTGTCTGATTAACTTCAATCCAGGGAACAATTTATTGAAGAATTAAGGCAAAAATAGGAGAAGTTGGAAATCCAGGGACATAAGGGAGCAAGTATAGCTTCTTCCTATCAAGGTACGAGACCTGGATGTCACTGAGATAAAAGCAAAAGCAATAAAGATATCTAGCCAGCCACTATTCAAAAGCAAACAAATAAACCAAAAAATTAATTAAGCTCATGACGTAGGTGCTTTTCGAACAATTTCCGAGATGGAACGTTGTGTTATCGAATTGTGAGGCTCGATTTAACGTTGCTAAGGATGTGAAGAATGTGCAACCGAGAAAAAGTCATAAAGTACAAAAAGTACAAAAAGTACAAAGTACATAAAGTGACAGAGCTAATAGATCACAGATCACGTCGATCGACAGCATTAGTGATCTCGGGAACTCCGCAGACGTCTAGTGATATCTCACATTTCTCTCCCAGCCACAGTGCAGGACTTTTGCATACGTTTTTTTTTTTCTTTTGAACTTTTGTCTCTAACAGGCTGAAATTATTCCAAATGCTTTTTGAGATTCTATGTAGACCTCGTGTCACTTTCTTGGCTTCTTTATCACATACAGGAAACACGAGAATATGGGAACACAAGAACACAAGCACACAGGGAACACAGTCACAATCCCTATTGTAGACTTCGGGATGTTTCTTAGCGCAATTGTACGGATCGACTTCCGCGCGCCCTTGCTGGAGGACCCAATCGAAGGGTCCTTGCTGCAACATCCCTACGGAAGGGACTATGCAAGGTCAGATAGGTCATGATCGTCTGTGCTTGTGTTGTTTACATTGTGCATTGGCATGCATCTGTTTTTCCCGCTAGCCACCGGGTCATAGTCCAACTTCTAGGTCCTCAAGGTTATTTTTGGTATAAACATATCCCCTTCACCCTGGCCTCCACTTCGGTCATTTCATTCCTCATTCCTTCTCTTCTAGTCCTGGTGGCAAATCTCCCCTCTTCCATTGTATTTGATTGTGCTTAGATCCTAGCGATCTTCCATTCCTCGTGTTTACTTCTCTTTCATACTACTCGAGCTCACAATCCCATGGATCGCAGAGGCCTTTATTGTCCAGGCGAGTTGGACGTGCTGTATCAAGATCAAAATAGATCAGAGACTACCATTTGTCTCCCGTCACCCTCACCTGCAAAGCGTGGATCATCTTACTACCCAACTGCTGGCGCAAAAGTCTTTGAAGAGTCAAATCTGGATCCCTTCTACCTCGAAGAATCATTGGCTGCTACACCATCTTGGAACTCTTACACATCGGATATGCGCAATGATAATTTTGAAGACGAAAGCCAATACTACTCTCTCTCCTTGATCCACGAGGAGGACATCCGCACCCCATTGAAATACCCTGGCACAGATCGCTCCACACTAGCCCAGGTGGAGTTGGAGAATAGCTTGAGATTCCACCGATACACTCCCTCAACGGAGGAACGAAGTCCGCTACACAGTAGCCAGGTTTCGTTTAGCTCCATTCATACAGACATCACCACCCCGGACTTGACGCCTAGCAGCTCGTTTTCTTCAGCGTACGATTCACCTAACTGTCCCGACGCCGTCTTCAAGGCGACCCAGCAGCTGTACGAGCACGCAAACAGGATCCAGGTCGAAGCTCCCCGCCGCTTCTATCTCCCTGCATCTACACCACCTACATATTCTCTTCCCCCTCCCCCGCCGGTGCCTGCTTGCGCCCCGGCGGATACTCGTCCCACAACGCCTTGCTTTCAGCACTCAAACGAGTCTACTACTACTATTACCATGGGCGGCGAAGCTGTTATTGGGTCCTGCTCATCGCGGACCCGCCAGAGGAAGCAACCTCCAGCCGCTCTCAACCTGTCACGCGCCTCGAGTTTCCATCACACATCTCGCCGCAAGCAATCTAGCGCTGGAACTCGCCCTCCCCTTGACGGTTCTATGATCTCCCCTCCATGCTTGATTAACCCAGTTACCATGGAACCTCATATGACCCACTTTGACCACCCTCTCTTCATTCCTGCCAACGATACCCCTACTCCCGTTCCTAGCCCTTCGGCTAGCTCCCCACCAATCTCCCGCCAGTGGACTGCAACCTCAATGGAGCGGCCTTCCATTTCTACCATTGACGGCTTCGGTGAGCAGTCTGTGTGGGAGTCTGACTCGGAGTCCGAGTCAGCAGGCCGTAAATCGATGTCTCGCCGGCCTATAGACACACTGCGCAAGGTTCGCAGCCGTGCTAAGCTCCGTGCAGCCAAGTCACAGCCCCGTCTTAACCAGACCATGGTTGATGGCCAGCCAATTGAGCAGTTCCCGTGCATGGCGGAGGACATCATGGGAGAGCCTATGCCCGGAGCTTTCCGCCCGAGCATGGACCGTCCCAGCACTGCCAAAGATGGCGTGCCGTCATCCGGCGGCCTCAACACATTACGGCTGGTTGCGCCTTCCTCCACCTCTCTGACTCGTCCTCCTCGTTCCCGCAAGACTAGCAGCGACAACAGCTCTGACGCTGATCGCTCTGCCGCAGCAGTTTTCCAAGCTCAGTTCCGGCCCCGCCAGCGCTCTGACTCCCCCCCACACTCTAATTCCACCTCTGAGGGTGACAAGGAGAAGTTGACCTCGTTCTGCTATGACCAGTTCTCCCAAGCACCTGTCAAAGTTGCTCGCGAGCAACGGCCTCTCTACCAGCGATTTATGACCACCTTGCGGTCATTAAATTGCCACAAGCCCCAAAAGTCCCACAAGAAAAGCAATGTTACAACCATCTGATGCATTTCCACTCGGCGTTCCGGTTCCTTGGGTTTGATTTAACGCACGACTCTATGCTATATCATACCGACTTACCAACGATCACTCAAACGATTTCATCTCATTGTCTTTATGCTTATGTGTCTCGATGATTACGAACACGTCCACTCTCTCACGCAAAAATGATATTCTGCTTCCCGCGCATGAAAATAATGAATCTCCAGACCCGACTGTTGCTGGACACCGACGCGCCCAAAGACGTTCTCTACATGCGCTATCTCGCGCCACGAAACGAAAATGATGCCTGGTCCTAGCGGCCATGACTACCGACTTACGACTCGATACCCTCGAGCTAACTATCTTTAATTTTCCTATCTCTTCCGACTTTCATGTCTTGATTGCGCTATTTCGCGTGCTGTATTATCATCGCTCTGTTTCATTACGAAGTTACTATCAACGGTTTTACCCGTTCCATGTCTGATTGAATCATGTCTTGCTCCGCTACGACAGTGATGTTCTTCTTCAATCTGTGATCTATAATCCAACTAGAGCAACACAGTACCTTGTGCGGTGTTTGTTTCTACGAAAATTCGCATTCTCCTATTTCTCGCATTCATCAAAAGTGTTTCACTACGTCATGCTTTATGGATAGACAAAATAGAAACCATCACATTTTACCTCAAGCATGAACGATCCTTTGCTACTTCGTTGTCTAGGAGATAAGGACGTTTTGCGGAATGCGGGACTGCAGATTTCAGTCGATCCTTAGCGGTATCTTAGATACTACCACACCTCCTTGAGCACCCAAACCAAGTAACGATAAGTACGTAACAACTGCTCTACTATCCAGGCAAGGCATCATAGCCTAGCCCATGCACAGGGACCCAATTATCCAAGCCCTAGGCCTTCAACAAGGGCGAAAGGAGCCACAAACCTTCCCTAGGCCATGAACTTACCCCTCAGCTGGTTCGACTTCTGCCTGCGAATACTCGACTCATCTCAAGAACTCACATAGTCTAGATTGCCACGTATTGCTGTGCGTCATGCCCATTTCAAATCCACCCCGTTCGCAGCTTCTTGCATCTGTTTCAGAATACTAATGTATACAAATGTGTACTAATGTGTACTAATGTACAGTGCTAAATCGAATCCCGGATACTGGGTCTATCAGCATGACACTAATACCCTGTTTACCTGTCGAATTCTCAGATATTCGTATGTTCTCCACAACGGCTGCACCGGGGACACCGGGAGGGGATCCACTCGCTGCGGAGATGGGATGGCGACAGAGCGAGGCGTTGAGGTTCAAGTACTTAGGGCTTGGAGAGGCACATGCTGACAGCATCTACTGACCGACAATTGCGCCCGATATACACCTCAATTCACACAATCGCATTGTGTTATTCAAATACTAACAGCTGCATTCCTACGGAGTAGTCCTCAGGGATATTGTACGCAGGTAATACGGATAAGTCCCATCCCTTGCATGGACCCCTCAACGTCCGCCAAGAGCCAACTGCTACATTGTCCGAGACCTTGAATTTCCCTGGCTGAAAAGGCCCTGTATATTCCAGTCATCTCCCTGTGTCATACAAGCTTAAATCAAGTTTGACAATCCGATTCGCTAGACATGAAACCAATCCGCGCCATCCCCTTCCACTTCCCCTCAATCCTCATTCCGCCACTCTGATATCACAAGGCTAGCTATGCTTTCAGCCCCAAACTCACTGGCTGATCGCCCGATTGCCTATTTGACAGGTTACGCTAGACGGGGTTTTATTTGGCCCAGCCAATCAAATCTCCATCACCCTGTGCCGGGACTCTTCCGCTGCGACCTCACACGCAAGGCAAGGTGGATGATCCACCAGCTGTCCACTCATTGCATCCCCGAGACCCGCCAATCTGCCGGGTTTCAGATCCATCGGAGTCTGTGCTGCGGGGCTGTAGGGAGCTCGATCTAGTATTGGATATCCCGTCCTTTGGCTGTGTTCGTATATGTAGTTTGGTTTGTGAGATGACATGAATTTGACAGGTAGGGCTACAATGCTGTGTGACATATGACTTGTCATTCCGCCTCGTGTTTGACAGGCAGGAGCCATTGCACTTGCTTTTTGCTGGCAAATCCATTTCTATTTGTAGGATATATCGTCATATAATCGAGCTGTTGGAAAATCTGGCGAAATCTCTGAAATACCAAAAGGTAAAATCGGATACCAAATCCGACCCGCAACACCATAGCAACAGCCGCACCGACAGTGGTCTATAAAGACCCCAGCGTCAGTGTCTCAGAAAAGGACGACCATCATATCCCAACAACCGAGGCTACACAGTCCGGACCGGTCTTCCGCCCCGCCCGTCCGCTGCATCAACCTTGCAGCGGCAGCGGAGCCTGCTATCCAGGTATTTGGATGGTCGCATCACCGCGACAGGGATGAACCTGCAGCGGGGAACGAACGGCGGAGACCCCGACCAGTGGACCGCCCATCGCAGAAACTTAATCCTGCTTTTGCATCTGCAAGAGAGGAGACCTCTTCCCTCCCCCGTGCCTGTAGCCATATCTGGCGGGGCATAGTTATGTAGATCTTCAGACAAGTACAGCATTGTGTCGTATCGATGACAAAAGTGCAAGCCGTGTCCGCACAAATCCAAGACAACTTCAACTGTGTTCCACGGCCTGGGCCTGGGCCTGCTCCTTCTCAGTCTCCTTCATCTCCAAAGCCTCCATGTTCTCCTCCCACCTCGGAACATCAACCCTGCCTTCCCATTTGGAAATAACAACATCCCCCTTCCGTCCAAGCTGCCTTTCCGCCTTTTCTTCTTCGCCCTGGGCCTTGGGCTCCTCCGACGCGCCCGCATCAACCCCGGCAAAAACAGCCTGCACATCTAGCTCCTTCAACGCAGCTTCGTAAAGCACACGGATCTGCTCCCTCTTCTGTTGGCGTAGTTCCGCAATTTCAGTATTTCCACTGTCATCCGTCTTCGTAGCTGATCCAGTAGCAGAATGACCCATCCGCACAGCCTTCTTCACAACACCCGGCCCACTCCGCTCCTCGAACCCGCGTAGTAGTCCCTCCATAATGCCTAGTACGGTACCGGCGCGCATACCGAGCTGCGCGCCGACGGGGAAACCTCCGTCGAAGCCTTCTTGCACGTGCGCACCCTTTGAGGCGGACGTGCCGTCGCGGTAGCCTGCTGTGACATGTTGGCGACGGAGACTGGGGAGGTCGGAGGGTTCGGATGAGGCGATTGGGTTGGTTGACGCGATGGTTTCGTGGGGTGGGGAGGAGCCGAAGATGTCGTCCATGGAGTTGTCGACTGCGGGGTTGTCAGGTTGGGTGTGGGTTGACATTGTTGTTGCTGGGGAGGGTGGAGTCGAATGTCCGGATGATGAATCTGTGTTTGTCATTGAATTAATGACTTCGGTGTAGAGCTGTACGTTGGGAGAGTTGGCTGAGGAAAAAAAAGATGAGCGGGTCGGCGGGGTGATCCGTCGATCCACAGTCTATGTCATCTACTTCTTCATACGGATATCCATGATTGAGTCTAGTCTCTTGTCCGAAAGACTCAAATAAAATGATATTGATATGTTTGAGGTAACACAAGGTCAGTTACACGTGACCAATGTTATCCTCTGCTCTCATTTTGGTAGTTGTAGTTCTTTCGATGTATATACCGTCACCAATTGACCCTTCTCAACAACTTAGCCTGGCATTCTTTAAATGACCTTTTTTTCTACCTCGACAGAATCCAGTTCCTTCGTTGCAGCCGGTACAACGTCGACGCTCTATGCTATTGACGAAAATACCGTCATCAAGCTCCGTCCCCCACCAAGTTCCTCATCAAGCGATTTCGAGCGGCGAGCTTACGATATCGAAGTTCGCTGTTATAAACGACTTGGGCACCATAAACAAATTGTATCGTGCGAAGTGACCGAGGAAGGTCTCCTACTAGGACGGGGAACTTGTCTTCGCCGCACACTTCAGAGTGTTAGCGATTTAGACGTGAAGATTCGATGGGCGCAGGAAGCCGCGAATGGTCTTGCATATATCCATAGCAAGGGAATCATCCATGCAGACATTGGTTGTCACAATATCATTGTGGACGATACTGGGCACGTCAAGTTTATTGACTTCGCGGGCTCCGGCATTGACGATGAAGCCCCGTTAGTCTGCTACGAGTGGTGTAGCTTCCAGGCTGGTAATGAAATCGGCATAGGTACGGATATATTTGCTTTCGGGTCAATGCTTTTTGAACTGGAAACAGGGCGTGTGGCCTACAGTGAGTTGCAAGATACTCTGGGGATGGGGAGGCTAATGACAGTTGTTGGGGAATTGTTCGCAAAGAAGAAGTTTCCACCTGTGGAGATGCTGGTTTTCGGGTCTGTCATATCTGGTTGCTGGAATGGCAAATACATTTCAATGGAGGAAGTCCGTCGAGATATCGCTCAGTGTGAGGATTATTCGGAGGAAATGTTGTGAGCTGTTGGTCGTTGGGAGTTCTTAGCGGGTCGGGGCGATCTGTCGATCAAATCCAAGGAACGTCTAGTACATCGATGGTATGTTTATCCTGTTCAGTTTGTCTTATCATATACTCAATTTGTTGCCCCTTTGGATTATCGCATTTAACATCCTGAGAATAAAATGCAACGACTAACGCCATGCCCAGGTGGTGGGCCAGAATTGTCTTTGGCCCCCAAGCGCATCAGATGATGTGCCCAAAGCAGTTAGCAACCACGACTCCTGGCGGTCTACTTTTCAAATCTATGTGATGCTTATATGAACTCTTTTGCATATCATAATCACTCACAGCCATGTCCCGACGATCTATCCGCCTACTCGGCTACACCACCGTCGCCACCGGTATAGCCAGTTATGGCATCCACCGTGGACTCAGCCATCTAGAAGAAAAATACCCAGAACTTCCTCTCGCAGCAGGTAGCAAGGCCCTCAATAAACCGCAGAAAAATACCCAGCACTGCGCATATACCAACAGTTATGCTGCACAAATACCCCTACAAGCCCTAGAAGCACGCGTCCCAAGCTCAAAGACACCAACAAAAACAGAGCTCGAATATGCATGGGCTAGATCCGTCCTCGGAAGCAAGATATTACGAGCTGAGGGCTCTATCATCGGACTACTCACCAGTTTCCGCCTCACACCCGGCGATACAGGCAACTCAGCAGAAGGATTCTCGCCTGACGAAACCACCGGCGCGCCACGTCTTCTACTCAACGGTTTGATGCAAGTGCAGCGACTACCCGCTGCTGACGAAGATAGTAATGGACTGCTGGTCTCTGCTGAAATGCCCGACGGACCGCGCGAGTTCTTTGAGAAGATTGCGCGGTGGGGATATCCTTGGCGTCTGATGTCATCTCTGCGACATGAGATGAGTGTTTCGGAGCCGTTCCAGATGAAGGGACAGGGGATGTTTGTTGAGGTTCGGTTTACAAGTGCGCATGATTATGAGGTTGTGGATGAAGAGGGTGAGAACCAGAAGACTATCCCTGATTGGACTTTGAGAGTGCATCGTGGGTTTGCTAGGTTTATTCTTGATTGCACTGTTCGAGAGTTGCAGCGGGATGTTGGGAAATAATCCAGATCTCAAAATTGGGGAGTTTTTAATGCTGTGCGTTACGCTAGGTCTGATACCAACGGACACCTCGGCTCGAAGCGTAGTATCACCACTCAGAAGCTCTAGCGAGCTATGAGCAACAAATGAATCACCTCCACCCTAATACTGCACTCCGCTCTATCATCCCCAAGTACATACATACACTTGATGATTATTCACTTTGGAAGTACCTTCGATACCTTTTAAGTGAACAGATACCTTGGAGGGATGTTGTCTTCGCTTGAATTATATCGCAAGTCCATTTCTCCTGTACTTTACCTTTTCAAGAGATACCATGTCCCGCCATATGAACATCTGTCTGACACCCTATATATCACGCTGTACGCAGTATCAAAATTTCTCCAAACATCAAATCAGACCCATCTATTTCTCCCCACCTTCATCCTCACCACCCGCAACTGGAACACAAGGATTCCCATTGGGAACAACAGTCCATGCCTTGAACCCATTGTACAAATAACACACATCCCACCCATTGGTAATGCTCCCTAGCAGTCCATCCTCACCACCAGAACAATCAGACGAGGTGAACATGCAAAGATCGTACCGGTTCTCCTCCGACGGACTCTTCCACGAGATACTCTTGATGTTCGTTGAGTTGAATTGAGCAGTGTCCAATGCCTGACAGTCACGCGATTTCGCACCCGAGTAGTGGAGAATAGAGTATTGTATATTGTTCACGGAGCTATTGCATATCGGTGGTGCTTCACTGAGCAAACGGAAATCCCACTATGAAACATTAGCAGGGTTGACTAGAAACTTGGTTTCTTTAACGTACAGCTCTGTAGGCGAGGGCCGCGAGATCTTCAGGGCTGGGCAGTGCGTTCACCATCCATGGAAAGACGCTAACGACCGCTAAGCACGTGGAGAAGGATTTCATCATGGTACAGTTGACAGAGGTAAGAAGTAGGGAATAAGATCAGAAACAAGGAATGAGATGTACATTTAAAATATCCAGGAACAAGAGCATAATTGCTTCTTCTTAAACGCCATTCACATCCCAGTCGGTCTATTTTAAAACAAGATACATCTGCAGGAGCGGAGTCTGCGCTTCCAATCACATCCATTGATAGCCAGTCCAGACTCCGTCGGCTCGAGGAACCCCGTTTACCTGCAGCTAACAGGCCAGCTGGAAGAACTTGACCAAGGAAAAGCTAGCACGGAGTATTCCGTCGAGGGGTTTCGGATAGGTTTTCTCTTGGCATCGGGGGGAAAGCGTTAAGTCATTGAGATCTCATTGGCTGTGAGGGTGTCAGACGTGATTCCTGAAGGGTCCTATCTATATGCTATGGTACTTATTTCGTCAATTCAGGAACATCGCAGATGAGGGTTTGCTTGGCCTAAAAACGACGGGGGCGGTCTTACGTGCAGATTGAAATGGTAGTTTCTTAATAGCTTCCCATCGTGATATCGGTATAATATCGACGCATCCAGTTGAGTAATGGGAGTTTTAAGCAGGAGGAATTATAAAATCTGTGATAATTTTCGCCTATCTGGACAAAGGATGGTCCAATGTGTACTACTGGGTCCAATGTGTGCTGCCTGAACTGTGAGACTTTCTATCAGTAAACCATACGATGTTCCCTCATGCATTATGCTTCGTCTGGACCTTTTGATGCTCGTACAAACAAAAGAAGAAGAGGTAGACTATATACGCCACGAAAGAGGTGTTTCGGAGGGTATCGGTTATGATTCTCTATAAGCCCTTCTGATGCTTGGGGGAGACATGGGATAGGGCATTAGATATTAACCCGGACCATATTTGTACGCTCTATATCTGCTCAAAGAAGGAAGAGGGTTTAACGTGCTATATATAACAATACATAGCGTGTCTAAATTATTTATTTATTCAATCTATAAAATATCCCAGACAGCGGGTATACAAAGACATTACAAGCCGTCACGACACACCAAGAACCACAGCCAAGGGATATCACTCCCGCTGAGGATTGGACGACAACCGCCAAGCACGCAGAGGCAAGTCCTGTAGCTTCTGTGCAGCCGGCTTGATAAACATAATGAATGTAAGTGCACCAATGAGCACACAGAGCATGTTGGTCATATAGTAACCGTCACGGTCGACCTGGCAGGTACCGCCACCATTGATACAACGGTTCTTTTCTGGCTCAAGGGCGCAGGAGAATGATGATGTAATGAGGGCATCTTTAAGGGAGTCTGCGGGCGGGGCGATGGCTGGGGGAAGACATGTTGCTTGTGTGAACATGTCGACGAGTTTGAGAACGAAGATGCGGGGGAATGTTCCGCCCAGGTTGCAGACGCTGGTGATATGTTAGCTATTATGTGCATCATTTATTAACGGAAGGGCGAGGGTAGGTAGTAGGACTCACGTTGCAAGGAGAGTCATGTAAGTGCCGCCAATGGCTGGGTCGGCGATGCGGGCGTGGAACGCCGAAATGGCTACAAACATGACTGTGTTCATGAAAGTTGAGAGGACATGCTCGCCAATTACTGTCATCATGTACCACATTGGCACTTCTGCCGCAGTGGGGTAGATCATGACGGTTAATTGGGCGAGTACGGCGGCTGCCAGTCGTCCGATAAAGGCCCAACCCCAGAGGCGCATTGCTCCGTAGTTAGTTGACCACTGGCCGGCATAGTAACCAAGCATGATTTCAAAGGGGAAGTCGATCAAGACGACCAGAGCCATGTTGTCTTGGCCAAAGCCCTTGTCCAGGAGCTTGAGACTAGTGACTCCGTCATTGGCTTGGAAACCGATCTTGGCAATGAGATGAATCAGGATGATGGTCTGAATGTTCTTTAACTTCAGGACGCTCCACATGCTTTTATACACATCCATAATGCTGTCACGTTCCTTGGATCGCTCTTCCTTCTTGAGGAAGGCCAGACCACACGTCACGATCAGATAAGCCCAGCCCCAGAAGTTGAGATAAGTACCGAGGGAGAGCAGACCGCCCTCGCCGGGGACAGTTCGGAACCATCTGTTGGCAAAGTCTTTCGAGTTGAAAGCCAAGAAGACAGTGTAGGACAGGAAATGGCCCGCTGTCAATCCGACCGTTTGGGCGGTGGACGCGTATGAAATATTAGGCGGGGACATCAAAGTTATCGCCCATCCATCCACAGCAATATCCTGGGTGGCACAGAAAAGCACCAACATAAACCACCAGTATGTGAATTTCCACACGCCTGCTCCACCATTCGCGCCGGCCTGGACCATCATATCCTCGATATGGCCACCCATATAGATCATAGCTAATCCGGCAATCACCTGCACGGGGGTGATCCAGCTCTTGCGCCGACCAAAACGCGTACTCCAAACCGCATCGACAATAGGACTCCAAAACAATTTCAGCGAGTATGGGTATGAGGCGAGCGAGAAGATTCCAATCTGTCCATATGAAAGGTACGGTTTGAGTAGGAAGGGTACGGAGCCGGTGGCTAGGCCCATAGGGACTCCCTGGAGGAAATATAATAGAACCAGCAGTAGGAAGTTGCGGCGATCACTGCGTGGTAGGTTGTGGAAAGTTGTGTTCGTCTGGACTGGGGTTTGGGGTACGAGCGGCTCGTTATCGAGGGAGAAGGAAGGCCTTGACATAAGTTGGGCTGTTCTTTCGGCGGAGGACTCCGTGGAGGGAGTGTCCCTCCTGCGCATTTCGATGCCGTTATTCATCTTGCCATTCGCACGTCCGTTTGACCCGGTAGCAACTTTCAGGTTGGGTTTGGAGCGGCGTTTCGAGATGCTCGCGTTCTTGCGTGTCATTGAAAGTTATGTTATGGTGGGGAGAGATTGCCTTCGTCAACTTCGTCCTGATTGGATCGAGGACCGAAGTTGGTATTATGATACTGAATAATGAAAGGGATGGTGCGAGGGTTGAGCTTTGAAGGGGCCAGTCTTAAATACCCTGTAGAATCTGAGAATGAAGGAGTGAATGAGGGATATGAAAAGAAAGAAACCTCATGGATGTTTGGTGGGGGATCGAACCGGATGACAAAAGACATGAGGCAAGCTGTCCTCTTGGCTTTGCAGATCCGGGGAGTCGGGGGAATATCTATTTTAGTCTCGATATAGAAAAGAGTTCAACTTGTGTATAGACATAGAAAAGCACATTGAAAAGGACATTGATATGATAATGATGATATATATTGTCTCTATTTGTTACACACATAGCTCTTGATGCTACATGTATGAGGTCACATCAAACGGTAGGACTGCAGAATTTAAGCATACCATATCAGATCGATATAGATCGATATACTCCATAATCCAAGTAAAACCTCAGCCTAGACACCTATAAGGCTTAGTCTACAAGGATCTCCCCATGTGTTCAGGCCTTGCAATCAATCTCAGTTAACCCCAACCATATGATCGCGTCAACGTCGGCCGCGATCACGTGCCGCAAATAAACAACTTCTCCAATTCCTCCACGCATCTAGCCTACCTTCTATCCCCAGGTCGCAAGGGAAGATTCAATAAAATAACACCATCTAAACTACCCTACACAGCTCCCAAAACCAACCTGAAACATCCAAAATGGCATCTCGCGCCCCCGCATCACCAGATCCCGAAGAAGAAGAACTAGACACAGAGATCGCCTCAATTCGCGCAGAAAGTAAGCAAGCATCCCAACCAAAATCCAGCTCCAAACCCCAAACTAACCCAATCAAGTCCGAAATCTCCAAAAACACAAGCGCATCCTCACATCCAGCCTCCTAACAACCGACCCAATCCAAAAACTCCTCCGCAAATCCAAACCCAACCCCGCAAATCAAACCGACCCCCTCGCAACAATCTCCCCCCTCGTCCACGCCGCCGGTGCACACACGTCCTCAAACCACCACCGCATCGCCTTCGGCGCAACAGCCTTCCCATTCAAAGATCCATCCCCAACAGCCCCCGCCGGACCCCTCCTCGGCGTCCGCATCGACGTATGCGCGCGCAACGGCCGCTTCGCGAAACCATACTACATCCTCCTCCAATCAGAGCGGCATAATTCAGGTTTGGGTTCGGGCTCTAGTTCGAAGATATTAAAGGTATATCGACACACAGTGCCGGGATTTATATCTATCGCAAAACTAGAGAGTGTCTATCTACCGCTTGGTGTCTCGCGCAATGGAGACGGGAATAGTGAGAGAGATTCATCTAACGAGGCCGAACCCGCAAAGCCGTCGAAGAGCGGTAGCTCCACCCGAAAGCAAGATCTACGGGGGTTTGTACGTGAGCTTCGGAGGGAGCTTGTGGCTTGGCATATGCGTGTTGATGCGGTTGAGTTCCTACGTGAGAAATTGGGTTTTGTTGGTGAGGGTGGGGCGTCTTTGCCGTTTGATGTTTCGCCAGATCGGGATACGGGGATTGTGTCTTTGGCTGCTGTCTCGCTGGAGACGCGGTATGTACGTGTTGAGTGGGTTGATGGGAGGGTTGGGCGGTTTAAGTTGTCTAATGTTGGGGTTGTGGAGCGGGCTGTTGTTATTGGGGACGAGGGGCGGGATAAGAAGATTGAGGATGCGATGACCGGTGGTGGTGGGAGGGTTGAGACGGTTTTGGATAGGTTGAGGGTGGATGTGTTGACTGGATCACCGCTATGAGGTGATATGATGTTTTGTTTTTTCAGCAAGTGATACCCCGATGTGCAGTCTTTTAAGTTGAATTTGAATTTCATTGTAGCTAAATTATAAACAGGCTATGTCTATTGAATGGTCTCTATCAAATGCTATGCTATCATGAGACCGAAAGCCGCCGCAATGCATGTATGTATAGGGCACTGGTTAATCCAAAAGGAGGCTTCAAAATTATTACAAGAAGGGTAAGGTGGATAGCAGGGATAGAAGGGTGATTAAAAGGGTATATTGAGTAGATGTCGTGTCATCGTCTCCAAATTAAAGAGGCTTGCAATCCTGGCTGGGATGGATTGTATCTGGGGTTGAAGTTTCGAGTGGTGAGTGTCCGGCAGCAGGAGTGTTGGGGTTTGTGAATGTGAGATGCGGCAAAGGGCCATATGATTGGCCATGTCGCACCTCCAAATGGCGACGTAGGACAGCCGCTTCCAAATACCAGCGGTGTCGCAAAGTCGTCGCTTTCGTATCCAAGGCTTGCATGAGAGCGGCTTCTTCTTGTTGGTGCTTGGTTCGCAAGGTCGCAATATCCTGCGCGTGTCGGTTACACATTTCATCCAATTCCTTTTCCATACGCGCTGTGGCTTCCTGCAGCTTGAGTTCTTGGCGGTCACGAAGCACCTTGATACGGGCATGGTGGAGCTGGTCCATGGTTTTGTGGGAGTGGTATTGTTGATGAAGCTGCTCCATGTGTTGGCGAGTGAGTACGCGGGCTGGGGGAGTTGACTCGAATTCCGAGAACGATTCCGATGATCGCTCGGCTGCGATCGATGTTCTGGAAGATGTGCCAGCGGGAGATGGCGGTGGGCTGGCGTTGCGGAGGAACCCCTCCATATGCTTGATGCGAGTGCGCGAGTTCATTTTGGCTCGATCGAATTCGCGTTGCTGTTCGATTTCCACGGCTAGCTGTCGCTCTTCGATTTGTGCTATGGCTTCGATATTCTGTGGAAGCACTTGTTAGCATAGAAACAAATAACAGAAGTTTAAAAAGCGAACATTATCCCGTTTCTCATCCTCCTGGCGCTGGTTGTCAGACTGCTGCTCTGAGAGAGCGGTCTGGTGCCGACGCCGGAGGGTACTTAGAGCGGCATCTTGAAAAGCGAGATGTCGGTCCCTTTCCATCCGATGCCGCTCGTGCATCTCACTTAGCTCCGGATCGTCCAGACTTCTTTGTAACATCTCTTTGCTAAACAGAGGAATTGCCAACCTAGGAAGCGATGCCTCGGTGCTCGCACGGGGTGGCACATTCTCATGGGCATCATTATCAGGTTCCGGTTTAGACTCGAAGAAAACATGTTCAACGTCTTTATCGCTGGTGGATACAGTCATGCGCGGATCCGAGGGTAAGACAAGGGCCGAGGACGTGCGCTTCTTGCGGAAATTGATTCTCCCAATGGCAGACTTCAAGCTGCTCCGTCGCTTCTCCTTCTTGTCGGCAGAGGCGACGCTGAGAATTGAGTGCCGATGCGACTTGGCCTCAAATGGATCATTATATCCGTGCCCCAGGCCCGTTTTCCCCTCACTGGAGCAAAATGAAGTGGGGCGCGTAGACAACGAAGCCAGCGATCGCGTACTGCCAGGCTTAATGCGATCCGAGGCAAGTGTGATGTCCGATAACGACGCAACGATCTGATCGAGCACGGATGGAAGGGGGTACGATGGATCGTGGGACGGAGTGACGGAGCCGCACGAATTCCGATCGGTTGATGATCCAGAAGATAGTACTGGCTCGGAGAGATCGCCCATTCCTGAGCCTATCGAGGCAGCTAGTGGCACTTGGATATCTGGCATTTTCAGACCCAGTTGTTCGGCTTCTTCAGCTAGATGTTGCGCCTGCGCTGCTTCGGATTCAGGTGAGGGGTGATGAAGGACATCAATGCGATATTGGGCCTCATCAAATATGGGCCCGTTGCTCAACTCCATATGTACAGTTATAGGCGCCTAACCAGCGGGCGCACATAAAGGTCAAGTGATAATAGTCCACATGGACAAGATTTCTTTTCTATGACGGCATCCAGGAGATGTTGAAGGAGGGGTTTGTAACAGTGTGGGTAAGAGGGTCAAAGCTAGTAAGGGGCCAGAAGTTTGAAAGGGGAAAACAAAGGATACCTTTTTGTGTTTCCTCATGTTTTTTCGTTTTAGGAAATTTCAGTCAAAAAAAAATAAATCAAAGACCCACGGATGACCCTGACGCAATCCCTGGTTCTACTCCGGGACAATGGGGTCATTTTGAAACGGGCTAAGCTTGAAGTTGTTTATATTGCATACTAACCCTTTTATACTAATTAGAGATACATATATATTACAAGCAAATATCAAGCTCTCATTGCACAGATTAAACATCTCGGCATTTAGATAGCCTCACGCCAACGCGCAGTTCCAACTATATGCGTTTGATCCCTGGGAATATCCCTTGATTCAGCCTCCTGCCACATTGGGAATATAGGGCTTAGGGCTATTGGACTAGCCTCGGTCCAAAGGAAAGTATGCATCATGCCATAGATCAGGCCAGACATATCAGGAGATCCAATTTGAATATATATAAACTAGTTCGACCCGTTTAACATGTCAAATGCCAGTTGATAAGCCCGCTCTTTGGCTTGGTACTGGGGAGTTCCCACCTTCGTGTTCTTATCCCATCCATGGCTACAGCCCTGCATGCGCTCGCTGACCACATGCCAGCCTGGCTGCTCTTTGATCTTCTGGGCCAGTGCCTCTCCCTCAGGTGCCAGGGTATCCCCATCTGTGGTGATCATAAGAACACGTCGTGGGAATCGGTCCACTTGGGAATAGAGCGGCGAAATGCGCGGATCCCGTTTGTCCAGGGATGGGGGGATATAGCAGCGATCGAACAGGCGCATGACCGGAATAGGGATTACAAAGTCAGCACGGGCCGGCGCGATCTTTGTACTGGGATCAGGGCTCAAATCGGTCACAGGATAGATTGCTATCAAGCAGCGGAATGTATCCGGAGGGAAGATATTTGAAGCCGCGGCAAGCCCGAGGTTGCTACCAGCACTAAATCCAGATATAGATACACGACTCAAATCAAATTCGTCTGGACGTGCGAATACATATTTGATAGTGTCTTCCACATCGTTCAGGGCGGCGGGAAAGGGGTGTTCTGGTGCCAGGCGATATCGGACGTCCAAGACAGTGTGTTTGGTTTCATGACTGACTCGTCGACAAAATTCATCATCGCCCCCATGCAGGGGTAGTACGAAGCCACTTCCGTGAAAGTTGATTAAGACAGGTGTTGGGCCAGAGGTGGACGGTCGATACAGGTGAACCTTGATGGTTCGAGCAGCATCCCTGGATTGGATTTGGCGGATTTCATCTGGATTGGCAGATACATTTCTGCGAAACCCCATGAATGTTCGGATGATAAATGCGAAGCATTTATTGTAATAATACATGGGGGTACCCATTGTTGGCGTGGAAGGATGTAGTTTGTTGAAGCTGAGTCTCAGCCGAGGCATGGGATCAGGATGTCGCTCCTGATCTTCACGCTCTGCTAGTCTGACATATTGCACCTAGCCCAAGGTACTAGCTTGAAATTGACTAACATGTGGCATTCCTCGTAATATAATGGTATCTGTCCAATAGTGTTCATTAGGGATCCATCTAACTATAACTATTTAGTTAAGGAGATTGATGTCCGAACTACAAGGCACCCCCATGCAGTACAGTGAACTACCGTGTAACTTTTCCCGGAAATCTGAATGACTGGGGGAACCTTGTCAAGCCTATAGTACCCCGTAATTATATTTTATATCCACTTTCCTGCAAATATTATCCTTCTATAGTTATAACCTCTTTATTGCGAACCATGCGAGTATGGTGGTGCGTTGATATATAATATCGCACGTGGCAGTATTCAACATCCTATCAATGAGCTCTCAATTCCCCGCATTCGAAAACTTCCACGCAGAGCCTCATTGCTTTCCACGCACCCTGTCTGCCAATCAAAATGACTGCCTGTCGTCGTCACGCCCATCCCAACATTGCCATCCATCCCATCTACTATTCACTTTTGGAATCCTAACGTGTTTGGGAAACAACCACTCTAATTTCCATAACCTCTAGTCTCGGCTTCCATTAACCAAACAAAGACTACTTATCGAGCTGTATAGGAGTCTAGAGATATCTCGCTTTCAACCTCACCATCTACACGCAATTTACAGGATGTCCGTCAACAACAATTTCACAGTCTTCATTCGCTTGCCATTTCCGAGAGGTGACTTTGTCGACCCGCCACCTGCAAGTCCCCCCAGAAGAAACCCCTTGAGCATTCACTGACATAAACAGGTGAAATGGGATGCATCGAAAGACCAAGCGCTCTGGGATATTCTTTCTCGGCCATCTAAAGGCGACATAGACTGTACGTGTTAATTCATTTTCCAGGTTTAGCTTTTCTTTGCTTTAGTATCGCTGACATCACCATAGGGAAAGCTCTGTAACTACACTCTGCCCCTAGCACTTCCAAGCCGAGGGCTGCTAACATGGTTGGTTTAGGGCAGAGAATTTCGATGTCACATTGCAGTTTCTTCTTCAGCAGGCAGCATGGCTTTATGATCGTCAGCTGTCACAGGTTCGAGCTCAAATGCGTAAGGTCGGCACTACACAGTCGAACGCTCCTTCCCCGGCCCCAGGATCTATCTCTGGCAGTACCGCCTTGGGTGGACAGTCACAGAAAGAAACGCCAGTACCAGGTATATCCCGTACTTCACTATATATTCTCTACACAATACCTAGGGCTAACAACTCAACAGGTTTTCGGGCGCCATCACGGCAAGTATCTCAACAGAAAGAGATTCCTCTACGAGGTATGCACAGAACCCCTGCCCGCCGTCGCATAGGTGATGTGATATTGCCAATGAATTGTACGCGTTTAACATCGACTGCAGCCTCCGATAACCGGCGTACGAGCTTTACATCAACTACAGCTACTAACCAAACTCGTGGATCTCGGGAGCCCATACGCACCGGCACGCCAACAATCGACGACAAAGAACCACGCTGGGATTCTTTTGGTCGTCGGCCTTTGGCTGTGAAACGAGAAATGTCACCCATCGCATCTTTGCCCCGATCCCCAACACTTGAAGAAGAGCCTCTATCCTCGAGCTCATCGGAAGAGTCGGGATCCGACGATGAAGACACAAATCGGCGTGCACCTAGATTCAAACGATTTGGCAAGTTTTCTACCCATCGCTCTACTTTCCGAGATGACGAGGACGACGAAGAAGACACTCCAGCGTTCCTCCCCCTGTCCCGAGAACACGAGCATACGCATCGGGAGCGGCCAGTCCAGGAACTTAGCGCAACGCTCCGTTTAGATGCTGAGCGAGCAGCGGCACAGCGGCGGCGTCCCGAGCAGCGGCCTGGCCCTAGAGCCCCCGTAGCTACAGAATCATCTACTAGCTCTATGAGCTCCGGTGGGCGTGGCAGCGTACCCGGTGGAATCAGACAGACCAGTGAGGGGTCGATACTGAGCCCTCTGCGCACTGCCGGGCGTCAAAATTCGCGCAAATCTACTGCGTCCGGTCGTGAAACTAGTGATGGTACCCCCAGCATGGGAAGTAGCTTCAGTGACCTCGACGGTATGTGCCTCAAACCCGAGGATTCTGGATTTCAACTGATCGACTCGTCAGACGCAAGCGTTACTCAATCAGCACTGGAGGAGGCCCTTCTAAGCAACATGCAACATGGTGGAATGGCCAGTCGGATGAGTACCATCAGCCAAGCCTTGCGCAGCCGGTATTTGCAGTGAAATACATAGCGTCTTTTTGACATTTATAACGTGTAGGTATGATGTGTATGATGTAGCTCATGCGGGGTGTCCGCATATGGCACACACGTGACTGTCACCTCGGCATCTCGGTGATGCGCACCAGTGACATTTTGGATATCTTCAAATTTGTCCGGGAGTAAGGAGCTCTCTATACCCAGATATTCCAAGTATTCACAGTCACGGATCGGTCAAACGGGAGCGCTAGTGCCGGATCAGGCCGTTCAATCTCAACGTCTATACCATATGATGGAGGGGTAGCTCAACCTAGCTATCCAGTTTCCTTGAAAAAGCCAGTTGCATGTACAACACAAAGAATAATTCGATATTCTGAAACAAAAACCACATCCTCGGCCAATCGTGGAAAGCTGACCGACATCAAAGAAAAACCCCACCAAGGTATAAAGGCGCGAAGCGGCATCCTCGGCTTTTTCCAACGTTATTAATTGCAGTTCACCTCAACGGCCGATCTTACGATCGCAATTGTTCAACCATCTCCCTCCAGCGTTTCTATCATCATTCACAATGGCCTCCCCATTAGTCGGCGAAATGTCACCAGCGGCAGCAGAATCCGTCTATTTCAACGAATACCCCCCACCAAAGGACCTACCACGACATGAAGCCCTCGCACGCGCATTCATTGACCTTCACGTGGAGGAAAGTCGCCGAGTAGTACTCGTCACATCTGGTGGCACAACGGTACCACTGGAAGCGCAAACCGTACGATTCATCGACAACTTCTCTGCCGGAACTCGAGGTGCCACATCAGCAGAGTACTTCCTTGAGCAGGGATACGCAGTGATCTTCCTGCACCGACAGTACAGTCTTCTACCATACTCGCGACACTACAGTCACTCAACCAATTGCTTCCTAGACTTCATGGACGAAGCGCCGGCGTCGCCGGACTCCTCCAACCCAGACCATGGACCTATCATGGTGCGCGACGAGTACCAAGACCAGATGCGCAGTGTGCTCCGGAAATACCGGTATGCCAAACAGCACAACCGTCTCCTCCTGTTGCCGTTCACGACAGTCTCTGAGTACATGTTCGAGCTTCGGTCGATCGCGAAGCTGATGCGACCGCTTGGCCCGAATGCGCTATTCTACCTTGCGGCTGCTGTCAGTGATTTCTTCATCCCGCGCAGCCGCATGGCAGAGCACAAGATTCAATCTGGAGAGTTGCCTCCCCATATGCAGGGCAGCGCAATCTCATCGAATGAAATCTACACGGGCGAGAATGAAGAAAAGCCCTCGTCAAATAGCAAGAAGCTCGTCGTCAACCTCGATCCCGTGCCCAAGTTTCTTCACCAGTTGGTGGATGGATGGGCTCCGGAGGGCAGTATGGTTGTCTCGTTCAAACTGGAGACAGATCCATCGCTGCTTGTCTACAAGGCGCGCACTGCACTGCAGCGTTACTCTCACCACCTGGTGATTGGCAATTTGCTTTCCACCCGCAAGTGGGAGGTGGTTTTCATTACGCCTGATGAGCCGCATGAGCGCTGGATCCGGGTTCCCAAGACCAGGCGCAGTAAGAGTATCTCCGGTGTTGAGGATCTGGTTGGGTTGGCGGAGGCTAAGAAGGGGAATTCGTCGACTCTGGAGCAGGCGGATGCTCAGCAGATTGATGAGACCAGTCGGGATGGCATTGAGATTGAGAGTATTATTATTCCCGAGTTGGTTAAGCTGCACACAAAGATGATTGAGAAGAAGACGCAAGCTGCGCAGTGATACTTGGGAGATGTACAATTCAATATGAATAAATAATGGTCTTGTCGGTCTTGTAGTTGAATCAATTACTGGTATCCAATTCATGTAGTACTGTATATCTATATAATGTCCTTATACATAGAAGCTTGCCATGCACATCCCGTACATATTTTAATCGTTCTACCGCGTTTTAGTCTTGTCCGCATAGCGTGGTAGGCTACCCTAGGCTAACTATGTACAGAAGGGGATATGCTGTATATAATTGACACCGATTGAACTCTTGAATGCTTCAAATATTCATTTGTTCAGCTATTCAATGTGTCCTTATATTCTGCACTGCCCGCCGCTGATCCTAGGTGGATCCTGACGTCGTGTGGGACCGAAGCTCTTTAGCCCCTGAAATGAAGTCTGGGATATCTCGATATTACAGTAAATGAATCAGCTATTATATCTGAAGCAACACATATTCAATTCAAGGGGCAAGTATTTGAAACCAAATTCCACTTCCAAGGTTGGCCTACGCGTCCGATGTGTCAGCAAGCAGCGAACCTACGTCGATCATCTTAGCGTCCACATTTCCCCAGCTCTTTGCCCTTTTGGTTCAACAGGAGAGGGGAACACGGTAAACGGTCTTTCACCTGAGCAACTGCTCTGGAACAAAAACAAAGAATGACCAATTGATCTATTTCCTGTTTGGCGTACTCAAATTCCTCAGAATGGTCCCCCGCCGGTCCAGTCGTCGCCTGATTGCAGTTGCAAGCATCATTGCGCTCTTCTTCCTCTACCACATCAGCTCCTTCTCCAGTCACAATCGCCAATGGCAGCCTCACTTCACAACAACAACAGAGGTAACCCCGGTCCTCGATGAGAATGGCGAACCAGCCCCATTCTGCCCACCTCTACCCGGCATCGAAGATGTACTCGTGGTAATGAAGACCGGAGTGACGGAATCCCGCGAGAAAGTCCCCATCCACTTCAACACAACCCTACGATGCGTCCCGAACTTCGTAATATACTCCGACTTCGAAGAAGAAATCGAAGGCGTCAAAATCCACGATGTCCTTCGTGACATGGACAGCTCCGCAAAGAACAACCCAGACTTCGACTTCTACCACCGCATCCTGAAATACGGCCGCAAGGGTCTAGAACAGCAAGATTTCGCCGACGAAGCAAACTCCGCCCTCGGAAAACCGAACAACCCAGGTTGGAAGCTCGACAAATGGAAGTTCCTCCCAATGGCACAGGAAGCGCTACGCCACAAGCCAAACGCAAAGTGGTTCGTCTTCATCGAAGCAGACACCTACATCTCCTGGCCAACGGTCATGACCTGGCTGGCCCGGTTCGACCACACAAAGCCACACTATCTCGGCACCGAGACCCAGATCGCAGATGTTATTTTCGCCCATGGAGGCTCGGGCTTCGTGCTCTCGAACCCGGCCCTACAACGTGCCTCGGACGAATACACCACGCGTGAGGTCGAGCTGAACCAATACACAGATCATCATTGGGCTGGCGATTGCGTGCTAGGCAAGGTCCTCAGCGACGCAGGCGTCAATCTACACTTCACATGGCCGATCATTCAAAACTCCAATATCGGCGAACTGGACGAGTTCACCATAGACTTCTACCGGAAACCATGGTGTTTCATCGCCGTATCCCTCCACCATCTCTCACCAACCGACATCGAGAATTTATGGAAATTCGAACAAAAGCGCTGGCGTGATGTGGGTGAACCCAATCCCTATAATCTACTTAATCCCCTTCCCCTTCATTCCATACCACAATTACCTTTCCTAACCAGATCCCCTTCATAGAAAAACAAACGCATCCTCCTCCACGGCGACCTCTTCCGCGAATACATCTCCCCAGAAATAAGCAGTCAACCCAAACGCCAAAACTGGAATAACATGGCAAGCGATGAGCAGCCCTTCGCCAAAACCTTCGAAGACTGTCGCTTAATCTGCGAGACGGAGAAATCATGTGTGCAATTCGCATTCCGCGAAGATAAATGCTACACGAGTCACAACCCGCGCCTTGGAAATGCCCTCGGTGATGCGACCTCAGGCTGGATCCCTAGTCGCATTCGCGATATGACACAGAAGAAGGGCTTGTGTCGGAAGCCTGATTTCGGGGATTAAGGGGTGTGATACTATGTGTCGATACTGGTATTGCTTTTTCTGAAAATCTCCGTGTTATGTTATCCTTTTTTTGCTATCTATCGGGGTTTTATGTGTGTTATTGCTTGCATTGAGAGCGAGGTATGACGCTTTGGCGATTGCTTGGGCATGCCGGCTGATTTGAGCTCGGTCTGGAGAACTTGTGTTTTTTTTTTTCTCTCCCGTGTTCCTGTATTACATTTCATTTCTGTGACTGATCAGCTTGAATAGACAAGCTATGTCTGGCGTTGGTGCTTGGTTGAACCCTTCTATATATGCTATTGCTTTAGGTCAATACACGTCTTCGACACACTTGAGCGGATTCTCACTTCAATTTGTGAAATCCCAAGTGTTGTTTCCTCCATCACTAATTCAGATGTCTAAAATATACAGTAGGACCTCCGAAATATTGGGCCAAATATATGTACGTAGATATACCGCTCTTTATACCACCTCCCCTTAAGTATACTGCCACAAGTATACAGAGCCGCATAAACGGCCAAGTGATGTCTTTTCAGCGGCCTTTCCAGTGGTATGTTTAGTAGTCTCCTCGGATATAATTCTGTTTAGGTAGTACTGAAAAAATGCGAAAAAGGCTTAATTTGTGCAAGCGACTTTTTTACAACTTTTCTACTAGCATCACAGCCTTATATCGCGTGTATAGAAGCTAAATATATTCGAAGTTTTATACTAGTAGAACTAGCAGAATTCAAAAGGCAGTATACAGGGGGGTATATCTAGGTACTTTGGTTTGGCCCAATATTTCGGAGGTCCCACTGTATATGTAGAGAAACGAAGGAAGGATAGCATTGTTCGGATGGCGTCAGGACACCAATTAGGAGAGAGAGAGTATACACTTAAGGATATACAAACAGGACAGGTCCTGCTATGAATCTGTACAGATTTCACGGCGTTGTCCATTCACAACGGGGGAGCGGATACATCCTCCAAACACTGGTCAATCCGCATAATGTGGTATCCAGCCTTCTTGATATGTCGAATGAACTCCGGTAGGTACCCAATGGTAGTTGGGTTCAAGTAGTGCATGACGGCGAGATTCCCACCCTTCTCTACACCGCGGTAGAACGCTTGAAGTTGTTTCTCTGGGGTGGAGGTATTTGCCCACAGCCAGTCTTCGACATCGACACTCCAGTTCACAATATACGGGTTTGGTATGTGTCGGGCGAGCTGCTGGCGAAGCCGGGCGGCTACTGTACCAAATGGTGGGCGGAAGTATGAAGCTGTGAATATTCCGTGTTAGTCATTGCTAAGGAAGCATTGAGGCTGACATACACTGGATATTCAGCTGGTCTTTGAAGGTTCTCATGGCCTGGATAATCTCGTCATCAATCTCATGGAGGGTTCTCAATGATTCCATCCTTGGTCTTCATGTTAGTCTGTTCACGTGGGATATATGGAGTAAACTTACTTTGGATGAGTGTTCGAATGGAGAGCCACTTGGTGCCCCTTATTCAACATCTCCTTATAAAACTCCGTGAAATTACTCGACCGATCCCTGAGTCCAGCTCCAACAACAAAGAAAGTAACTTTCACTTTCTCCTCGTCAAGAATACGCATAACCCGCTGAGAAAACTGCGGCTGTCCATCATCGATACCAAACGCGAATGAATTCGGACGGGAGCAACGCAGAACCAACCTCCCACTTGGCAATCTCCCAGGCAAGCGATAATGACCGTTTGCCCGCGACGGCTTTGGAACATCAGGCACTATCTCCACGCGATGTAGAGTAACGGATTCCTTGGTATAGAACCCGTGGAACGAAATCGACACGACACGATTGAAATCAATATCAAAGTGAGTTAGAGGGATATATAGCTCTCGACTTCCTTTTGGAATTTTGCTATGGCCTTTGACGATCTTGGGTCGGCCGCCCTTTGATTTTCCATGCCTATGTTTCTTTTTCTTGCAAGCATCCGCGTCCATGTCATCGTCATCATCATCCCAGTCATCATCATCGTCATCGTCCCAATCATCATCAAATGACTCAGTGGCAGGATGAACCACATACCGGTCCGCCTGGACGGAGTCTGCAACGCTGGGGAAAGGCCTGCGTTTTGGGTTGCATTCGTCGTTGTGTTGGTTGAAAGAGACGCTGAATTGATCCGTGCCCTCGAATACCACGTGCAGGTACTCACTGTACCAGTGTAATAGGCTGTAGCAGTTGTTTGAATCGAACTGTGTGTGGAAGTTCTGGTCCGGGTCTGTTGGGAATAAACGGATGAAGCCCGGTCCATGTTGCACGGATAGATTCTCGCCGGCGCCGTGCCAGAATCCCAGATCATTGTGAGTTGGTCTTTGGAAAGTGTCAATGACAATAGGCAGTCTTGGCTTCTTTACCTCCGTGGTGTTAGACGCAGTATTGTGGGTGAGCCCTCGGAGTTCGTTCCAGTGGCCGTGATCAGCAGTCCCGTGAAATAAAGCGGAGGATGGAAGGAGTAATGAAAGAGCGGCAATAGCTATAAATAAACAATGCATGATGAAAATTTCCCTTGGCAAAAGATTGAATGTGCTTTGGTTGAAGATGTCAAGGTGGAAGTTGTCAAACCCGCCGTCTATTTACTTAGAGTAGTCCGAAGAGTCAAGAACGATTGACTACACATTTGTACAGGCAAGAACTATACATGTCAAATATCTACATCTATATCATATGTACGCTCTACAACCTACAGTATACCGGGAGATGAAAAATGAAACTAGATAATTTCATAAAACCCATAAGATCTGTACGGCACATCCCCCGTACCTTTGCATCCATATCACCGTAGTTGTTGTAGCGTAGGCACGAAAACCAATTCAATCCCGATACAAGATGCAGGAGAAAAGGCCCTACCGGGGTAGGTTCCACAGATGTAGGTTGCATATGGTAGAGAGATCAAGCCGTCAAAACATCCTCCGGGGCCACATAATGTGAGATCTGATCCTACTCGTCCAGGCTAAAAGTCGTCTCCGTTGGAACTCTTAGGTTTCCAATTTTTTTGGTTCACTTTTCTGTTTTTATCGTTTCCATATTCGTTCGTGTTTGTTCGTATCTTCCGCGCTCAGCACAACCAGAGAAATGTCGAGGTCTAGTTCCAGAATGGATCGTCTTCAACCTTGGGAGGGGCATACTTCTTAGGAGCTGACTTAGGAGCTGGCTTAGGGGCCCAACCAGAAGCTTCCAGACCACCCTTACGAGTTTCCTTAGGCTTGGGGTCGTGCTCCTTCTTGCTGTCGCCAGGGGTTGATGCAGCTCCCCACCATCCAGAAGCGTCCTCTGACTTGGATTTAGCATCAGGCTTGGGAACAGCAGGTTCCTCGTCAGCAACAGGCTCATCATCATCGGCAGGCTCATTGCCAGCATCCTCGGTATTGCTTGCAGCTTTGTCACTCTCCTCGGCCACACCAGATTCAGCAGCAGCAGATTCAGCTTCAGCTTCAGCATCAGCCTCAACCTCGGCCTCAACTTCAGAAGGAGCAGCAGAACCAGCATTGGAGCCAGCGTTGGATGCGTTATCGAAGAAGTCCTTGTCAGAGTCATCGTCAAAATCCAGCACATCACCCTCAGGCCGGTATGCTTCGAGGAACTCGGGAACAGTTTGGTTGCATTCGACCAAGATCTTAACAAGATCCTCGGCAATGCCTTCATCGCGTTCATTGTAGAAAGAGGTCGCGACTCCTTCGTTCCCAATGCGGGCAGTTCGTCCTGTGGATAATGGAATGATATATTAGCGGCAGGTTCATCGAGGGTGGCGAGAAAAAGCCACATCGAGCGGGAGTAAGACTTACCAATACGGTGAATGTATTCAGTAATACCTCCGTGGATAGCGCTGGGAAGATCATAATTCACGACGTGGAGCACATTGATGACATCAAGTCCACGAGCAGAGACTCCGGTAGCAACCATGATGGGACACTTTGCAGTTCGGAAGGCGCGCCTGTTTTGGTCGGTCAGCAAAGTAAAATGAAATTACAGAGGAAGGGTACTCACATAGCATCCTCCCGTTCACGCTGGGTCCGACCACTGTGGATGGAAGTGGTGGGCATTCCAGAGTTGTAGAGGTAGTCGTCGACGAAGTCAACCTGCTCCTTGCTGTTGACAAAGATCAAGGTGCGAACAGGCGGCATGCTAATCAGAAGGTCATAGATCGCACGCATCTTCTTGTCCTTATCAATCCAGTGAACCTTGAAAATAAGCATTAGCATTCAGCTCGAATATTACAAGCTCTTGACAATTTTGGGGCATGCGTACATTCTGCACAACGTTGTGGTGCGAACTGCCAGCTCGGCCAACACGGAGGCGCACATGGTCCTGGTTGAGATATTGCTTGGCAAGTTTCCGGAACTCCTTGTTGAAGGTGGCAGAGAACATCAGGTAGCGATGGTCGTCATCCTCATTCATATCTTGCTCAAGTCAGCAACAATCAAACAAACAAACGCCGCAACGCAAGGCCGCGACGCGAAGGTGGGATAATGAGATAGCAAACGATCTCAGTTACTTACCTCCTCCAGACATGATCTTCTTGAACTCATCTTCCCAGCCCGAGTCAAGCATCTCATCCGCCTCATCAATGACAGTGTACCTTTAGCACGGTTAGCATCCAATATTGCACCAATTTGTATTAGCTGAGTCAGAATCATACCTAACGCGACGGAGTGAAAGAACGTGAGTCTGTTCCATAAAATCAATAAGACGACCAGGAGTTGCAATCAAAATATCGCATCCTTTCTGAAGCTCCTCGCGCTGGAGACGAGAAGGAGCACCGCCATAAACAACACATGGACGGAGCATGGAGCGATAGCACAAACGACGCGCTTCATCAAAGATCTGAGTAGCCAATTCCCGAGTGGGGCAGACGATCAGAACCAAAGGCTCTGCTCGAACAGCATCCTCCCTAGGGTTGAATCTTTCCGCGGTGTTGGGGCGAGGAGCAGCGAGCTTCCTTGCCTTGCCCATCAGTTTGGAAAGAATGGGAATGAGGAACGCGCCCGTCTTTCCAGAGCCTATGTTTTGTCAGTATTGACTTGTCCCAACCATCATCTTCCGCAACACATACCAGTTTGAGCGACGGCGATAAGATCCATATTGCTCAGAACAGCGGGGATCGCATAAGACTGCACCGCAGTGGGCTGCTCGTATCCACAGAGACGAACGTTCTCAAGCATGACCGGGTGTAAACCAAAGTTGGCCCACTATGGATTGTTAGATTCTCAAATTGTTGCTAACTTTTTTTTCGCAGACTAACCTCGGTAACTGCCGTGATCTCATTGGGACTTTCGATGTTGACCTGGTAGCTGTTCAACCTGGAGAAGAAGATATGTTAGATGTCAAGCTCAGGGTCAGATTCACGTCACTTACTCGTCGAGTTTAGCGCCAGGGCGAATAATGAGTTCGCCCCGGAAAAGCTGATCCTCCAGCTCAGGGACGGCAGGGCCAACGTCACCATACTCATCCTTCCATTCGTAACGAGCAGCAACTCCAGCCCAATCACGATGATCCTTGCTATTAGCAAGGTCAGAATATTCGAAAGGAACTGGGTCAGTCCAACCCTTGTCACGAGCAACCTTTTTCGCAGATTCGGCATTAGGGCCTACTCCAGAAAGCACACCTGGAACAGGCAGCTCTCCGGCATTGGCACCCACCGAAGCAACTTCAGCGGCTGGGACCGAGTCATCGACAAAGGCACTGCCAGAAGCCGAGGCGGCATCTGGCTCGTCATATGATTCCATGATTCAGGTACAGCCTGTGGATGGGAAAGGGATCTCGTATCAGGTGTGGGTAGGAAGGAGGAAGAGCAGAATTGAAAAACAGATTTAAAAAGCGTGGGCCCAACAAACGCTCTGCGGCGCGGTCCAACCTTGGAAGGTTGCAGCTTATGACAAACCAGGTCGCGATCGCAATCGCTTTATTCGTTTTCTACTCGGGGGTACCTCAAACGGACACAACCTCAACATGTAACTCCCAAATATACGGATGTACATCTGATGTACCTCCCTCCGGAAGGAAGGAGCAACCCACCCTGACACTATGGAACACCAGAATAGGTACATCATCTCCTACCTAGGTACATTAGGTGTACCTAGTAACTCGTATGTTCATACAGAATACGACTACCACTATGGAGGTGATATGTAGGTACGTCTGAACATTCCAAGTTTGAACCTTTGGTGATTCACCAAGTGGTCTACCCATTGTGCCTACATATAGATATAACATGGGATATTTAGCATATTTGCTCTAGGGATACAATATCACGCACCGTCTTTGACTGATTTTGTGTATCTTAGCTATATTGTTCATTCAACACCCACGCAGCCAATCTATGACGATGTGCTTGCAGTTAATTTCGGCCCAGTTCGTTCTGAAGCAAATCTAAGGCGCCAAGCGGATGACAGACTGTTATTCTTGGGAAGTTGTATATATCAATTGCCCGACGTATGGATGTCAGTCTATGATGTCGGTATATGAGATCGACAGATACCTCGGGAAGTTTAGCTCGGCCAGGGGAAAAGTGGAGCCGAAAACCCCGTGGGCCCGTTCCGGGTAGAAGGAGATATACGCAGTAAGCCTGGGAACGGGTACCTTCTTTGGTCGTTCAACGTCTTTACCTCCTACAACATACATCATGGCATCTGATCGGGAGGATACTCGGAAGCGCCCCAATCGTTTGGAAGCTGCAATTACCAATCCCGGAGCAGTTAAGATTAACGTCACGGGCGCATTCATCGTTGACGACGAACCACGATCCAAGAGTCCCGTCGATGCAGAGGGTGTACACTATGAGAACAAGGATATTCGACTTCCGCATCATACAGGTGTTGTAAGCCATGTGGCTGTCGATGTAAGCTATTCAGATTTTTCGCCCCGCACACCGGTTCACCCCGCAATCTAGGGCAATTCCTTCACACAAGAAGAAAGCTTGGCTAACGGGATATTACGACCTTGATAGATTGGCGGAACACTTGCGAAGCTTGTTTATTTCACTCGAGAGCCGGACACTGCGGATAATGGCGGTCGGCTTAATTTTCTCAACTTTGAAACCCACCGGATCGATTTATGCATCAACTTCATTCGACAACTCAAAGAGGAACACGAGAAGCGCAATGGTTCAACACGAGAGGGACTTTGCGTGGTAGCTACCGGGGGTGGCGCTTACAAGTACTACGATCGCCTGAAAGAAGAATTAAATGTTAATATTCTACGGGAAGAGGAGATGGAGTGCCTGATCATTGGTAAGTCCTGGAACATACCCAAGTATGAAGTATACGATCTAACAGCTTCAAAACAGGATTGGACTTTTTCATTACCGAGATCCCCAACGAAGTCTTCACTTACAGCGATGCCGATGCTGAACCGATGCAATATGCCGAAGCCCGGGTCGATGTCTATCCTTATCTCCTCGTCAATATAGGATCAGGAGTTTCGATGATAAAAGTCTCCGGTCCAAGACAGTTTGAGCGTGTCGGCGGAACACATCTCGGAGGTGGAACGTTCTGGGGCCTTATGTCTTTGTTGACCGGCTCCCGGACATTCGACGACATGTTAGCAATGGCCGACCGCGGAGACAATAGTGCAGTGGATATGCTTGTGGGAGATATATACGGCATGGATTACACCAAGATTGGTTTGAAGAGCACAGCTATTGCCAGTACTTTCGGCAAGGTGCTTCGGTTGAAAAATGACGCCGAGCAAGGGGCCGAGGACGGTGAGGGTTTGATTCGAGGCGAGCCCGGTGAATCCAGCGAGTCTGGTGAATCCAGCCATGGGCCTAAGCCCAATCCGGAAGATATGAGCCGGAGTCTCCTCTACGCTATCAGGTATGTTTCATTGTTTGCATTCTCCGAAAGTCCGAGCTAACTCCGATTAGTAATAATATTGGTCAGATTGCATATCTGCAGTCAGAAAAGCACTCGGTCAAACACATCTACTTTGGAGGCTCTTTCATTCGAGGTCACCGACAAACGATGAACACCCTCTCCTACGCCATTCGTTTCTGGTCCAAGGGCGAGAAGCAAGCGTATTTCCTGCGCCACGAGGGCTACCTAGGTGCCGTTGGTGCCTTCATCCGACGCCAGCCACAAAACTGGGGTCGAAGAAACAGTGTTGACGAGGTGGTCGCACCGCAGGCGGTCCGAAACCTAGTTCAAAATAACAATGTCCTCCAACAACATGGCAGGTCGTCCAGTGAGCTATAAACATTTATTACGGCTAAATGATTGTGACCCTACCCTCCATTCCGCTTTGAGTCTTGATACCCCTGGAAAGCAATCTATGAACTACCAATGTTCTGCCGACTTCTTTTTGTGCACTGAGTGGCTGTTTTAATTGGCCACCTGTGAAAAGCCAATGTGGCAATTCGGGCATTTGTCCATGTTGTACATTTAGATCTAAAGATTTCTAGCTTCCTGCTTGAATTTCATATATGTTCGGTTATCATCTTAGAGAAATAAATTCCATTTTGTATTCCTTTTCTACTGGTTATGTACTTTGAATGGCCTTGTGATCTCAGCAGATCAAAACAAAGGCCTTTGAGATGAGGTTTGCTTAAGTGGGAGTTTCGAACGCGGACAAGTTTGATAGCTAACTAATTTCAAAATACAACAATCCTCAAGATATCTTCACACAGTGACATGCTGTGGAATATTCCTATATCACCAGTCCCTAGATATTGTTCCTTCGATGCGAAACGGCAGCCCCAGAGATCCACTATCTCATTGAGGGAAATCATAGAGAACGACGATCATCGAAAATCAGAGGTGTCAATAAGGATTGCGGACCTTATCCTCATTGGCTGTGTTTGAGTCACAGCACTGAATCGTCTCATCTCTTATGTTCTTGAGACAGTTGTCGATGAAGTGCAGATCATCATTCTTTGGCACGTGAGACCATTCCGGTGTCATCTTGCAAGTAGGAACCACGTAGTCAGACTTGTCATTACCATCGAAACCGGCATAGATGGTAGCGGACATTTTAACATCAATACGTCCAGACGCGACGTCTACTGCTGTCAGCTTGGATTCCTAACTTCATACGGGACAATGATGCGACGTACGGTAGGGTTCGCCATATTCCTCGCAGCGTTTGCTATCATTAATCAAAATGCAGCCCTTGCTGACATGCTATTGTCTGCATTAGTAGCAGATAAGAGTAATAGAAGGCCCTATTAACAAACTCACGATCTTGGTACCCTTGTAACTTATCGCCTCCCTCGGGTCCCAATATTGTCCACTAGTTGTCGCTCTGGTACCACCCGCAGTAGATTGCGGATCGGCAGGCAAAGGGCTAGGAATTATAGCGGCCACTTGGCTCTTGAAGGTAGATTGACCGCTCACTGAAATGGCAAAAACCAAAACGCTGAGTCCTAGGAATCGCATCTTGAAGTGAAGATCAAATAGACGAGCGAATGTTTGGAGAAGAAAGGTGAACAAGTGAGTTGGTATGCTGAGGATGTCCTTTATATATAGCTTTCGTCTTTATATCAATCTATTTAATGAAGTTAGAACAGACACCAGTGTCTAGACTGAGTATGAGATATACGAGTGGCCAGAAAGGGTAAATGGTAAGCCGGTTTTACTAACCTTGGAAACAGGTGAATCCAAAGCCTTAGAAGATGCAAATCCCTGCCTTGTCTCTTCTGTTCATCTTATTTCATGAATTACTGTGGATTCCACGGGGCAGCTTTGATCAGCCACCCGTAAAAAGCCAATATGACTATTTCATCTAGCATTTGTCCGTATTGCACATTCAGATCTATCTAAACATTTCTAGCTTGATATTTAAATCGGCATGTTTAGTTATATTAAAGAAATAAATCCTATTCACTTTTATTTGCTCGGGGCTGCATACTACATATGGATAGTGGTATTTACCCATTTCATATGATGTTGTGTGGTCATCAGCGCACCATGTCCTTGATCTGTAGTATACTGTAGGAATTGCTCTTTCAAGATATACCTATAGCTTTTAGCCCCAGAATGCAAGTGCAAGTAGTTATATCATGTTGTTTCACCGATGTAGATGTTTATGGCAACATGGCATGCATGAATACGGTAATAGGATCTCCGGAATATGGGCCTATGTACCTAAATATATTTCCCTGTCTACCGATAAAGAAACATATGCCTGAATACATCGATTTCGCCCTATATCTCGGAGGAGGTCCCACTATAATCTTCTTGGTCTTCGCTTTTACCGTCAAAAAGTTCCTTCTACATTCAAAATGAATTCCTCGAGTTCTGACGTTACGGACTCCAGTCTGACCACACCCGATAATGCCTTTGGTGTAGGCAAATGAACCCAATTTAGCCCATTCGCGACGGAATTGGGTATTATTCTCAGTAGAGAGTATTTTTACTGATGCTGCTTCAAACTATGTAGCTCGTCCCATTATAAGGCCTATGGAAATTGTACAAAAAGATGCAGTTGCTGTCTCTAGGCTCGGACTTTATCTTAGACGAGGAATGATGAAGATGTGCTAGCTGACTATTCACGTCATGCTAGGTTTGTCCTCTTTTTTGGTATGATTGCTTCATGTTGGAAGCTTAGTCGCCCAAGTGGTCTTGCAAGAAAAGTGGTTTCAAGTCCTTGCGGGTTATTGTTTTGGGTTCTGCTCTAGTCAAGATCAATATTATAGGGGCCTCTTCCTTCAATTGTGCTTCCTTGGGTGACTCCTTTAAATGGCTGGGTGATGCGGCTATAGATCTCTAGAGAACGTGTACAACGAGACTAAAGATCTAATAATTATTGATTACTGGGCGTTAAAAAAAGATAATTGGGTACTGTATAAGAACGCTCCCGGTTCGGGATATAAATTGCATATTTCACTCACTCATTTTGGACCGAAGTATGTGATAACATAACGATCTCATTCCACCTGATATTGGATTTCCCGTACTGGGGTCCATATGATGTCGTTGGATCAGCACACCTTCCATTGTCACTGTCGTGGTACCTTCCTCTTGAATATCTTCTCATCGTCCGAGCCGTTCCTTCTCCCTTCCGCTTCTTTCTACTCTGAAACGTTTACACTCCTGCCACAAACCTGCAAGCTGTCACCTGCACTGGGGCTTTCCTTCCATTGATTTGATTTCACTTCATTTTCTATTTGTTTACGTGGTATCCCATCTTCGTCTCACGCTCACTTTATTGCTTCTGCTTCTCAATTCTTCGTCATTCTGTTCTCTCGTGGTTCTGAAACCTGTCATCTGGACTGGGACTTTGATTCCATTGGTTCAATTTCACTTCAATTTCGATTTGTTTACGTGGTATCCCAGATTCTTTCGTGTCCCGTTCACTCTATGGCTCCTGCTTATCTATTCTTCCATCTGTTTTATAGTGATTCCACAATCTTCGTACCCTCTTTTCTCCTTTGGCCATCGTCATCCTTATCAATATGGCGGACAACATTGTTCATGAGGTGGCAGAGCAGCTGGAAGTCCTCACGGCGCAATCTCCGGCTGCTCGTAATGCATCCCTTGTCTCGGCTGTCTGTGTCGAGGTGACTGGGTCCGCTACTCAGGGCGCTGTTTCCAATGCGCCCGACGACATTGACGGGCAAGTCTCAACACCCACTTCGTCTGATATGACTGATCTCGACGAGGCCCTGCTGGAAGATCCAACAGCTCCGGCCAATGTATCCCAGCCGGTTCCGCCAGGAACTCACTTCATCAATCCTACCGCTCCCCGGGTAAGTTATCACCTCTCCGCCTCTGGCGAGCTTACTATTGCGGAAGAAAAAGAAACTTCCAAACCAACCGCTGCAGCTCCTGAGCGCCGTCCAAGCCCTCCCGCCGCGTTCTTGTCGTTTGATCGGGTTGCTAAGGGACTACCTCCAAATTTGCCAACTACGCCTGGCAAGTCAAGCGTTCAACCTCCTTCGTTGGCCGTGGAACGTATCTTGGGCCCGAAGCAACCAATCCCGGGCCGAATCCTCGAACTACTAGAGGAGTGGCATGAAGGTGATCCAGATACTGAACATCCGGCTGCATTGGCTGGACGTGCGCCATCGACCTGGAAGAACTTCCAGGCTTTTAACGAAGATGGTGATGAGTGTGAGATATCAATTTTTCAGATTACTCTCAAATTTCAGGCCCGTCGAGCCCTGTCGTACCGTATTATGATACTTCATGCCCAGAATGGACCTGAGGAGCTCGTCGTGTTTGGAACTCCTCGCCCCAAGCTCGCGGGGCGCTTGGCCAAGGGCATCAGAGGATTGTACCTGCTGGACTGGCTCGAACTCGAAAAGAAGGGAGTTGTTCGGGCATGCGGACTCAAATTGTGGAGGTCCGCGGATGAGAACAAGATTTTATTCAATCCATACATGTTCGACAATGCAGGCAAATGCACTCGCTTGACTAGACCGAAGGACATTTTCAACCCGCCTCCCTCGACTTCCACACCGAAGAAACAGAGTGACTCAATTGAGGATACCGAAGATGTTGAGTCCAGCTCATCCGAGCCAGTCCTTTCCCCATTGAGGTCCAGGCGCCAGGTTTCGAGTAGCATTTCCAAAGGCAACAAAGAAGACGAAGACAAGACTCCACTTGCTTCACGTCAGTCGTGGGGAGAGACTGTTTCGCCGACTCCCACTTCCAAAACTCGCTATGAGTCTCGCTCTCTCGGGAGCCCCATCAGACCTCCTCGAAAGCGGCGCCGCAGCACCTGGGGCTCCAATGATAATGCCATTGCCCCTATCCGATACAAGCTGATGTCTGATGTGTCGGACCAGGTGCGCATCTTCAATACCGATGATGCCAAGCTTGTGTTTCAAAAAGCCCGGGAATTCTACAAAGGTATAGACAATCGAACGGGTCTACTGTGCACTGTTCCTGGTGTGGAGGGAGTCCGATATGTGGGGGAGGGTTGTGTGGATGAATTCAATATCCTTCAGGAGGATGTTCGGAAGACTGCCGGTCCTGGTGATGAAGCCCGCGTGGTGGAAGTAAAGCCCGCAATGGAGTTCTAGATCCCGATGTGGTGATGTGTGGCCAACGGTCTTCGAGTGATGACTTTGGCCAGTGGGTTCTCCTCGTTGTTCTGGGTGTGATAGGCCGGGTCGCCCTTGTGGCAAACGTGGCTTGTGCCTACTGAGTCAAGAACCTTTATTCAAATAAGTGAAAGTACATGCGCGTGCTAGTGCTTTTGTGTATGTGTACATACTTCAAAAACATGCCCAAAAAAAAAAAAAAACAGTTGTCAGATTATTTTATGGTCCATACAGTCATCTAACATCCATCACTGTCTTCATTGTGTACGGAACCGGGTCAAATGGGAGATTCTCGGACCTCATTCTTCCTAGGTATGCTTCAATTATCTTTGGGGGGCTTTTTGATGCCTCATATGTATTTTGTACTTATTTTTAAGGAAATATTCTAAATTGATGCCAATTATATATCTTTGAACATTGTGAGTAAATAAGATGTATACTTCAGGCTAAGCGATGAACCATTCACCTCACTATACCGGGGGAGATAAAACAAATGTAGTTTACATGTTTTAATGTTAAAGAGGACATTTTATTCCCTGAGAAATGAATCCCAACGACCCATCCAACCCGAAGAACAAGGGCTGACAGGGTCACGTGCGGTATATAGATAACTGCTGAATCAGCCTGCAGATGCCCGTGGGTCGCGCCCTCGTTGACAACAAGCTCACATCTTCGTTATACATCGGGCATATTTCCTCCTCGCGCCATGACCCGACGATAGTTCTACCTGTGCTCGATGACGTCTCCTCCCCCGATCCCCGTCGACACCCATCCCAACCGCGCCCCGGGGTCTAAATCTCCTGAGCTCGAACGGTCCCTCCCCGACCCTAATCGACTAGCGCCCGAGGATGCGTACTTCGCGCCCTCACTCTCGCGCGCCCGCTCAGCGCCCACAAACTACGAAGAGAGTCTGCGGTCATTGAACGGCGATAACGGAGCCCATATTGGGTCGGCTGCGGCATTGCGGAAGAAGCTGGGCGGTGCTGGACGGCGTCGAAAGCGAAAGGGTGCTTGGAAGAAGTTGCTTTGGGTTAAGCAATCGTGTATGTATGCCGCGGAATTGGGCCCTGTGCAGGGCTTAGGATTGGTATTGCGCTGTTGCTGACGGTCGGTTCATAGATCCGGATAACTATACCGACACGGAAACGTTTCTCGACCACCTCCAGCGTAACCCCCGAGTGCGGCCGTACGATTTCTGGCCTCTGGTGGCTGATTCGACTGTGATTGTGCAGCATGTGTGCTCGGTGGTTATCTTTATTTGCTGTTTCGTTGGCATTGTCCAAGATCGAGTGAGCCCTGTCTCAATTGTCTGCTGGGGAAGTGTGGGTACGGCCGTAGGCTGGATTCTATGGGATAATTGGATCTGGAAGGAGCATGAAGAATCTGTGCAAAGTGCAGATGGGATCACGGCAGGCGATGATGGATCCAGTTCGACTTCATTTGCCAGCGCCATCGATACACCCGTCAATGACACACAACCCGATGATACAAAGGCGAACGCCATCCACGGACTTGGACTGTCCATGTCTGGAAATGAATCAAAAGAGCAATTCAACCGCAGTAGCGCGGATTTCAGCGAAAGCATCGACGCAGTGGCTCATTTGACAGCGCAGAGTGGTGTCCCGTCTGCTCCCGGCCCTTCCATCATTGGCACTACGGACCCGTTGATATCACAAGATACCCACCGCGTTTCAATGTTATCACCGCGAAACCGCCAACGTTTGACCACGGTCAAGTCAGCCTTTCTTATTTACTTCTCCCTGTTGGGCCTCAGTCCCATCTTGAAATCTCTTACCAAGTCTACCGCCAGTGACTCTATCTGGGCGATGAGCTGTTGGCTTTTAATCATGAATATATTTTCTTTCGACTATGGAAGTGGGGAAGGCGCAGGCGCCACCACCAAGTTTCCTGCTTCCTTGTCCACGAACGCAGCTGTGATGGCCTCGACCGTGCTCGCGTCCCGACTACCGTCTACAACACACGTGTTTAGTCTCATGCTATTCTCGATGGAAGTGTTTGGGCTTTTCCCCATTTTCCGACGCCAACTGCGACAGAAGTCATGGACTGGTCATGTTGTCCTGACGCTGATCCTCGTAATCGTTGCCGGTGGCGCTGTTGGTGTTACACTGAGCGCCGGATGGACAGCAGCCATCATTGGATCTGTCCTAGGAAGCATTCTGACAGCATTTGTCATGGGTGGTTGCAGTTGGTGGCTTATCAGCTTGCAAAAGTACAAGAACGTTGTGATCGGTCCCTGGGATCCTGCCCGGCCGATCATTCGGCGCCACTGGAACTAAGCTCCGTGTTTGACCATTGATGACTTTTAGCGCCATATGTAATATAGATTGTGGGCGTTTGATTAGATGTTCTTGTTGCTTATACCCCTAGATCAATCTAATTCTTTCAGACAACGAAGTTTCAACGGCGTTCGGTGGATCGACGAGTCTTTTTCTCTCCGTGCCCCATGATAGTGCTAGGGTGACCAATTTCCCACAAATTAACTCAGAGAAGTTTCAGGAAAACCTTGGACATTATAACCGATTTTCATTTCTATGGCTTATTGGGTTCAACTAAGGGGGGAATGCGGGTTTTCCAGGTCAGAAGGGAATGAATGCGACAACGAATTTGCATACCAACAAGGTATATCGCAAACATGAATGAACTGCTAAGTACTAATTACCTTCGAAGGAAAAACGCCTGATACTTGAAACGTCCCAAGTGAGACCATGAACCCCTAATCTATTTTTACCTACTAACCACTTGGGGAAATATCTTCAGGCAGCCTAAAAAGTCCCTTGGCATTCCACACCTCATTTGCCGCTGCCCTTGCTTAGCGCCGAGAACCTTTTCCTTTCAGGGGGCATTCGGACTCGATTTGATGAACAGCTGGACCCCGACTGGCCAGTCACTGACCAGCGATCGGACAGTGAGACATTCCCTGAAGGAATGGTCCACATGCTCATCGGCAGAGCAGCTGGAACAAGGCGCATGACAGTGAGATCATCCTGGTATGTTTTGGTCCATGCGTTTTGGACTCGATATATACCTGGCCATGTTCTGTCCCTGGCTTTCTTGATTCTTGATCATTTTGCTTTGTTCGCGGCTTGAGGCTGCGTTTCGACTCTCAACAGACTGGGTCTGTTTATATATCCTATCCGGATTCCCTGATCTGCCTTTCAACCTGTCTATGAACATATCACGACTGTTGCATTACTGATTCTAATCATGTTCAAACGCCTCGCCCTTGGCCTGCTGGCCGTTCAGGCTGTGGCCGCCACACGCTTTGCCATGTACATTGACGAGTTAGTACAAACTGGGAATTTACATATCCCGAGCCCACAGCTAATAACTATCCAGATGGCATGTAACCGCTCTCCCAGGCAAGGACAAGACTGAGGGCATTGACTACGCCATTATGAGCTTCGCTGCCTCAACGCTATTCAATTCGGACACGCCTGCAGCTTACAAACCATTTGAGCCCCCGGCGACCATGCGCAATCGCTTCAGCCCCAATACCAAGCTAATGGTTGCTATCGGTGGCTGGGGTGACACTGCTGGTTTCTCCGAGGGAGCAAAGGACGAGGCTTCGCGCGCGCGATATGCTAAGAACGTCGCTGCGATGCTCGACACACATGGATTCGACGGTGTCGGTAAGATATCTCGAACAATGCTTCCTAGAAGCAAGGGACTGACCGGTATAAATAGATATTGACTGGGAATACCCCGGCGGCAACGGTGAAGATTACAAGAAGATCCCTAACTCAAAGAAAGTGTCCGAAATCGAAACCTACCCTCTCTTCCTAGAGGCTATCCGTAAAGCAATTGGCAACAAGACCCTCTCCATCGCAGTGCCCGGTCGGAAGCAGGACTTCATCGCCTACACCAAGGAACAGGGCCCTAAGATCTTCAAGTCTGTCGACATCATCAATGTCATGAGCTACGATCTGATGAACCGCCGCGACAATGTTACCAACCACCATACCGGCGTGCAGGGTTCCCTGGACACCATCGACGAATATCTCGCAATTGGAGCTACTCCCGAGAAGATTAACCTCGGCTTCGCGTACTACGCCAAGTGGTTCACCACCGATCCCAACTCCGATTGTAATGAGAATCCCATCGGTTGCCATCTTGCCAAGCTCGAGAACGACGATGGATCGGACAATGGCAAGTCCGGTGCTGTGACCTTTGAGGCTAGCAATATGTCCCCTGCACCTAAGGATCTGAAAGAAGGTACCGGAATGTGTGGATTCGCAGCGAAGGCCAAGTGCCCGTCAGGGTCGTGCTGCAGTGCTTCTGGCTATTGGTATGCACACCCATCACCTAAATCTGGTTAGTATCTAAACTAACTTCCTATAGTGGTACTACTGATCAGCACTGCCAGGCCGGATGTCTCTCGGACTATGGTACCTGCAAGGGGATCAATATCATCGACTCGTGGCGCAAAGCTCAGAAGGATGGCAAGACCGATGCGAAGGGCGGTGGTCAGTACTACTTCGATAGCGACAACCACATCTTCTGGACTTGGGATACCCCCGAATTGATTGCCCGCAAGTTCACGGAAATCGTCGCGGCGAAGAAACTTGGTGGTGTCATGGCTTGGAGCTTGGGCGAGGATACCTACAAGTTTGAGCACTTGGCGGCTATGCAGAAGGGTCTTAAGTCCCATCCTGCTAAGATCGACGGACCCCCCAAGGTTGTGACGTCCCCAAAGCCTACAATGTCCCCAAAGCCTACGATGTCCCCGAAACCTGAGACATCCCCAAAGCCTGAGGTGTCCCCAAAGCCTGAGGTGTCCTCGAAGCCTGAGCCTGAGACCGGCTGCTTTTTGTGCCTACTAGATTGGATCACTGGCTGAACTTGTGAAATGAGATACCAGATTGCGTTTGGAGTATATTTTGATGCTTTACTATCCTAAATGAACATCTGATTCCCCCTGTGTGCTGTGTTCCGTCTATTTCTCTCATCTTCGCTATCAGTATCCCCATAATCAATGCAATACAAGCATCTTCAGTGAGATATCGGGGTAAAATTGAAATCATCATTATATTCGATATTCATTTAGTCCATAACCCCATCCACGACTGAATATACCTCTGAATCAAACCAGCAGCAAGGGGGTCTTCCACGAGTGCCAAGGAGGGGCAGTCTCGAATCGTCTGCTCAGTTTCAAATGTAAGACCAACCTCATTTCCATCCCGTCTCGTCTCCGACTGGCCCTGACCTGCATACTTAGACCTCCAGAAATCAATGAGTTTAACACTCGGATTCTTCTCCGGATCCTGCTCACTCCCCGCTAATCTCCTAAGCCACTCCTGCGGAGACACAACCTCAAACTCCGACAAGGCCGATCCCCTCAACGCAGGAAGCAAATCCCTCCATCTAAAAGACTTCGGATTAACCAAGTGGTACACCATATCAGCATCGGATGATCCAGGACTCATAGCAATATTTGAAACAGCTCGACCACACTGATCAACAGGCAACCAACTTAGCCGCTCATTAAGTTCAGGCAATGCACCCGTCGTCAACGCACTCCGGAACATGAGCGCAACAGCTTCAGTCTCATTCCATTGCGCACTAACAGTATCACCGCCGAGCTGACCGATTCTCAGAACTCGGGATTGCATACCGGTCTGACGCATGGCGTTGCGCGTGATGTGTTCGGTTACCAACTTCGACCTGCCATATCCTGTTCCCTGTGCGTGATTCAAATTCTCAATCACGGTTTCGGGAATTGATGCAGGCTTGGGTGTGTTGCTTGCCGCGCTTACACTGGAACAGAAGAAGAACCGTGCAGGGGAGGGTAGACGAGAGCGCAGACAGAGGTTGATGAGATTGTATGTTCCGCGGATATGTTGCTGCTCGAAGGACCGTACGCCAAGGTTGAAGTTCACGGCCCAGGCACTGTGGATGACACATGTAAGGGATGAGAGTAAGTGTTCTAGGTCGTGGTCTTTGAGACCGAGGTTGGATTGTGACATGTCGCCAGGGACGGCATGGAGCTTTGCGGCTTCGGTATCGGTGAGAGTTATGTTGCGATCGGCTAGTGATTTGTAGAGACGGGATCCTGCCGCTGCTTGTCCTGGCGCGCGCACGATTGCCCAGACTTCGGAGACTGTTGGTCGCTTCAGTAATTCTGACACGATGAAGGCTCCCAGGTTTCCAGTTGCGCCAGTGACCATTACCACCTCTGTTTCTGGGCTTCTGGTGATAGTTGGGAAGTGCTGAGTGAAGTGGGAGTACTTTTCGATCATTTCACGCATAGAATGAAGTTCATCTTCCTTCTCGGCTTCTTGACCAGTTCGCAACTGGTAGAGGTGCTTGGCCAGTGCAGCGATATTGCCTTTCTCGAACACTATATTCTGAGAAAGCTGGTCTCCTAGCTCGCCGATATCAATGTCGCGCATGATGTACCTCCATATTTGCGTTGTCTGCAAGCTGTCGACACCAGCAGAGAATATGTCGGCCTCAGCATTGGGTATTTGTACGCCCAAGTCTTCGCTGAACCTCGAAAGGAGCCAATTCTCCAGTTCTGGGATACTGAGCGCGAGGGAACCTCTTTTCTGGCCATTGCCTTCAAACTTGGCATATACCTGCTTGATATCCTCCTCAAACTGCTGGTAAACCTGAGCGCGGATACAGGTTCCCTTATCAGTTCTGGCGTAAACAACATCGGCGCCCTTGATCACGACGAGTTCCTTGGGGATACGGGAGAATGTCTCGGCACGAGTATTTGCCGCTTCAACAGCTGGCCAGATAGCTTCCAAAAATTGATCATCACTCAAGTGAGACACCTTGCCAGGAGCGCGGAAAATCAAAGCCCCAGGTACAGTCCGCTGGAAGCCGAACACGACGCAGTCACTCACGATAGGCTCTTCTCTAACACGACCTTCGATTGGAATAGGAAGCACCTTTTCACCGTTGACCAGCGTGATTCTATCATCCAGTCGACTTAAGTACTTATAGTAATTGCTCTTCTCCGGATCCGGGTGTCTGGTGAACAAATCGGCTGTTCTGAAAGAGTTCTCTGGGTTCTTTGCGCTATACGGTGGCTTGGAATTCGAAGGGCCCTTGCTTGGCAGGCCATCCAATGCAACACATTCAAAGACACCAGGCGAGATCTCATCCATCAGAGTGAGGTCAGCAACAGGTCGATGCAGTCGCATATATTGCCACTCCTTATCTTCTGGAGGTCGGAAAGAGGTCATGATCTGTCCTGTTTCCGTCGCTCCGTAGTTGGCCACCAGATTCACGCCCTGTGCCACAAGACGGTCGCCAAGATCGTCTGGACAGCTGGAACCGCCATATAGCACGAGCTGCGGGCGGGCCAGTGCTTGAATACCTTCTTGCTTCTCTGCTAGTAGCTTAATCACGTATGGCACGGCGCTGATTTGCTGTGGCTTGGCCACTTGAAGAGCATCGAAAAGATTTTGGTACGTGACTGGAAGTGAATGGTTTCCCAGGTATGCCGGTGCTCTTGTAAACAATGCTCGTCCAAGCTCCATCAGAGCGTGGGAATGAAAGAGTGGACTGATAGTAAAGAGGCGCAGACCGAAGCTCTTGCGGAAATTCGCTAGGGTTTGAAGGTTGGTAAGGAAAATCGGCTTGGGGAAACCGGTACTGCCGGAGGAATGTAGGATCCAGGCAATCTTCTTTCCTTCTCTTGATGGATCTGCACCGGGGCGTTCAAAGCGAGGAGAGCTAACAGGACGGTTAAACCAGTCCTCCCTTTGTAGTAGAGAGAAGCTTCTACAACGAGGATTCTCGGTACAAATTTCAGTGACAACTTGCTGAAACTGTTTCGTGATGATAATTTGGCTGCAATTTGCCATCTCCATAAGCCGAGTATAAGCCGGTGCTGTGAGACGTGTAGACAAAAAAAGCACAGCATAGCCAAGACGATTTAGCGCAAAGAAAGTCACCACGACCTCGAAGCTAGATCCAGCTAGCATAGCAACGACAGGCGCTTGCTCGAGATTTGGGTCCTAGGAGATGATTAGTTGAGGTTGATATAATAAAATGGCTTCCGTCTTACCGCGGGTACAAGTCCCTGCTGCATATAAAAGCGAACAGCGACATCAGTATACCGATCGATATCCCCGGCTGTATGCTTCTCGAAATCAGCTGCTTCGCGAAGTGGATAGCATATCAGAGGGTGTTGGGCCTCATCTGGCTGAGCAGCATGGGACTTCAATAGGCCATCGATGGTTGCGAACTGTTCAAACGGAGGCCACTTGGAATGAAGTGTGCCGTTCAATAAGCGAGTAGCGATATCTTTCGTCTGGAGTGGCTCCACGCCTCCGTCAGTAGTTGTGAGAGTTATTGTAGCCATGATGTTTATGTGAAATATCCATAGCAATCCAGTCGGCTCCAGATGGATTTATATCTGAGCTAACACCACATGTTGGGGTAATCCCACGCATCGCGGGGGCTTTTCCGGGTTTCCGAGTTGATACCCCGGAAAAGTGCTATTCACGGTCTTGGATATCCATGCTATTTCCAGGTGTCAACCGAGGACTCCTGTGAGTGTTGGTGGAAATACTCCGTATGTTAATGATAGGAGCTGTGTTTTACACCTTTTCCGTATGACATGAGATCGGCACTGGGTTGTTGGTGTTTGATGAGCTCGGATATCCGAGATGGACACTGCATTTCCGGAGCCATCCCTCAAATCCGCAGTATAATAGAGTGCTGCTGCAATTTTATACCAAAAGAGCAAAAGTCATAGGATATGTTGAGTTAGACTATGATGCCCAGCATGCTGGCCTTTTAGCCGGAGACATCAAAGCGAAGTATATCGACATTGACCTCTGAGATATGCCCAAAACCAGACATTTGGGTTAGAGTATGCAAGTCCTCTTCCCAACTCCCATATTCTAGAAAGACTCACAACAAACAGTGTAACTTCAAAATAAGTACCTCTATCATCCAGCGTTGGTCGCGGTAAAAGTATCAATATTGTTATTCCCTACGTCGAGTCGAATGACGCTGGCACGTGGTCAAATGCACCACCTGGAGCTCCCTTGCCATGGTAATCCGCACCTTCATCAACGCCCTCATCGTCGATATCCCCCAATACCATCCAGAGTAATGCATCTACGACCTGGATATGTTGGGCTGAAAATGCTCAATCAAGGAATACTCTACGTCTCAATTGCAGCGCCAAACCTCTTTGCCGATCCAATACTCTCAATCCCAATCATCATCACCGTGAGACTCCAAGCGCCCGTCCGGCGAAGAATTGTGTGCTTCATCCGTCTATGTGGGGTGCAAGTAAACCCCTCAGATTCAACTCCCACTATACGGCCAAGTAAGAACCCCACATGGCAACCGCCATTAGTGTGGCACATCATGGTCATGACCAAAGTCTTCCTTTCCAACAAAACATGTCCAGACCTGGCCCATTAGTTTGGGTTCTTTAGTTCGGCGATCGAAGTAAACGTCTCGGTGGTAATAGCGAGTGGTTCCTCCCTAGACTCGGCAGCGTGGAAGATCTACGGACGCCGGCACCAGGCTCCGGCACCGGCGTCGGGCCCTCGGTGAACCCGCCGAATATCTTCAAAGGCTCCCCCACACGCCCTGCCATTATTATACGGAGTGCGGAGTTCTCTGCGGCTGACTATTAAAGATTACGGATCTAGGTGGGCGTGTCGATATTGCTGGGTTTGAAATGCGCAAGTACAAGCGTGAGGATAGTGCTAATTTGAGTAGTGATGGTAAAGGGACTATGAAGACTGATATCACGGTCGGATATAGTAGAGAGTGGGGATCTAACGAATGGAGGCTAGTGTATGGTTATAATATATACGAATTGGCAGCCAATAGCCTTCTTGAAGAAGAAGGATATCAAAATGGGCCGAGGATCTACCCCAAATGCCGATATGAGGGGTTGAGACTATATAGTCATGGGGTTTCCCACTTCATAAACACCTACTTGATCATATTCAAAAAGTATTCTACGCAAATATGGCAACCCAATATCAACTACCATTCAAAGTATGACTTCTATCCAAGTCTTCGGCGAGATGTCCGAGACTAACGCCATTTTCTCTAGTTAGCGGATCCCAGTCTGCTGAAATTCGACTCCATCATCGGCGACAAATGGGTCGGTGCAAAGAGCGGAAAGAGATTTGAAGTGCTCGGTAAGTCACTTGAAGCTCTATAAAGATTACAACTAAGATATCCCTAGACCCCGGCACCGACAAGGCATGGGCCAGCTGCCCCGCCAACGCCGCCGAAGATGTCCCCGCCGCCGTTGAAAACGCCCACACAGCCTTCGAGAGTTTCCGCAAAATCAACCCACGACAGCGCGCCAAGTGGCTCCTAGAATGGCATAATCTCACAGTCGCAGCCCGCGATGACCTCGCTCAGATCGTAACCCACGAAACCGGAAAGCCACTCGCAGAAGCATACGGCGAGATCGACTACTCTCTTGGCTTCCTATGGTGGTTCGCCGGAGAAGCAGAGCGCATCCAGGGCAGTGTCTCAACAGCCGCGGCACCGAACCGCCGCGTGTTCACAATCAAGCAACCGATCGGCGTGGCAGCCGCCCTCGTCCCATGGAACTTCCCCATTGCCATGGTTCTACGGAAAGTCGGTGCCGCGCTGGCGGCGGGCTGCACGATGATCGTCAAGCCTAGTCCCGAGACGCCGATTTCAGCGCTCGTGCTGGCGGAGCTGGCGCATCGCGCTGGTATCCCGGCTGGTGTGCTGAATGTGTTGACTACGGATTTGGAGAATACACCTGCGCTGAGCGAGGCGTTGTGTAAGCACCCGCTTATTAAGAAGGTGACGTTCACGGGCTCGACGCGGGTTGGTAAGTTGGTTGCTCAGCACTGTTCGCACGGTCTTAAGAAATTGACTCTCGAGCTTGGTGGAAACTGTCCTTTCCTTGTTTTCGATGATGCCAATCTCGATCAGGCAGTTGAGCAGCTCATGTCGTTGAAATGGCGTCATGCTGGTCAGGCTTGTATTACTGCCAATCGGATCTATGTGCAGGCTGGGGTTTATGATCGCTTTGCTGCGCTTTTGAAGGAGCGCACGGCTGCGCTGGTTGTTGGTCATGGTGCCGTGGCCGGTACTACGATGGGTCCGTTGACTACGCCCAGGAGTATTGACAAGGCCTCTGCGCAGGTTGAGGATGCTCGTCGGCTCGGCGCTGATGTTATCTTGGGTGGTAATCCTCTCAAGTCGAAGCCTGGTTATTTCTTCGAGCCTACTATTTTGTCTGGAATGACAGAGGAGATGCTCATCTCCCAGGAAGAATCATTTGCGCCTATTGCTGCGCTATACCGGTTCGAGACTGAGGATCAGGCTGTCAAGCTGGCTAATGATACCAGCATGGGTCTGGCCAGTTACGCTTTCACCAAGAATATCGATCGTATGTGGCGTCTCTTGGAGAATTTGGAGGCGGGCATGATCGGAATGAATACAGGTGAGTTTCTTGAGTTTCCTATGGATAATAAGTGTAATCAGTCTAACTTCGTACAGGTAATTCATCGGCTGCCGAGTCACCTTTCGGTGGTCTCAAGGAGTCTGGATATGGTAAAGAGAGTGGCAAGGACGTGGCTGTCAATGAGTACTTGGTTACCAAAACTGGCACTTTGACTCTTGAGGGACAATACTGAAGATATTGAAGATCATCTTAACATTCCAAATTGAAATGAAATTTATGAATATTTCTTGTTTGTGAGTGGTCAATGAAATCCACTTGTAGATGAAGGAGACCTTTTGATTGGCCAAATATAAATCTGGGGTCGATCTTCTGAATATCAGATTTTCTTCACAACACAAACTTCATAAATTCTTCATTATGGACAACCTCAGTCCTCTGAGACACCTGATTCAGTCTCACCCACTAATCGACAATCATGCCCACAACCTCCTGAACCGCGAGTCAGCCACCGACCACGACAATTACCCATTAGAAGCCATCAGCACCTCAGCACACGGTCGCGCCCTAGAAAATGCACTCACCACCCTTCCCTCGCTACGGGCCATAAGTCAGCTCTCTGAGCTCTATGGTACCCCCTGCGCAGACTGGAATGACATCAAATCCGCCCACGATCGCAGCGTGCGCGAAGACTACGACGGCTTAATTCGCAAGTCTCTAGAAGGCACACACGCACTATTACTGGATGACTACCTCAGCGACGACGAAGACATCGAACCATCCACCTGGCACGACAGCTTCACCGTCTCAGCAACAAAGCGCATCGTCCAAGTCGAAGCCCTAGCAGAGTCCACAATCCTGGACGTCTCGAACGCGCGCAAGAACGGCGAATCAGTCTGGAATAATTTCCGCCAGCGCTTCCAAGACGCCCTCGGCTCAGCCTTAGATGACCCAAACGTCGTGGCCTTCAAATCTGAAGTCTGCTGTCGGACCGGATTGGATGTGTACCCGTATTCATCCGATGATACCACCCTAGGCGGATCATTGATTCGAATCCTCGATTCCGGAACCACCAGGTCCGGGTTCGACGTTGATGATAAGGGGATCTGCGACTGGATAGTGCAGCAGACTCTTAAGGCGATCACGTTTAAAAAGAAAGCTGGTGTCGTGAAACCATTACTGTTTCACACCGGTCTTGGAGATAAGCGGGTTAATCTTGCAAAGGCGAACCCTGCTTGTTTGCAGCCCTTAATCGCGCAGTATGCTGATGCGGATATTGTGCTGTTGCATGCTGGATATCCCTACACGCGCGAGGCCGGGTATCTTGCTTCTGTTTATCCCAATGTCTATGTTGATCTTGGGAAGGTGTTTCCCATGGTTAGTCGGGAGGCGCAGGTGAAGGTTCTGAGGGAATGTCTGGAGCTTGCGCCTGCCAACCGTTTGCTCTGGAGTACCGATGGCCGGCTTCACCCGGAGTCGTTCTGGTTGGCTAATCGGCAGTTCAGGCAGGCTCTTGAGACGGTTAGTTACAAGCCTACTTTTCTACTTATTGGTTTTTATGCTCATTTTCTTCTACAGGTTCTCGTAGATTATGTTCAACATGGCGACTTCACTGCGTCCCAGGCTATGAAGATCGCCGCCGATGTTCTGTTCTATAACTCCAATCGTCTTTATAGCCTTAACTTGACTCCGTCATACACACCTGCGGAGTAAATTGCTGACTATGCAGGGACGCACAAGTATGTTAATTCTTCATTTTTGTTCCCCGGGTGTATACTTACAGTTGTATCAGCTGATGCGTTTACTCTATTGTACAACACTTGGGTATCACAACCCCGTTGCCAAAGTCTTATCAATGACAACTGAGAGTGTCAGATCTCTCAAAGGCGATGCGCGCCCGCACACACTGGTAGCACCAGGGCATGCGAAGAATTACGAACAGTCAACCATGCCAACCAGATATTGATTATCCAAACCGGAAGAGGGCCGCTTATCGCTACCGGAACGATAATAAGCACGATATATATAGATCGTATCAGATATGTGTGTATATTGGATTCTCATAACCAAATGTGATCATGACATTTTTTCATGTCATCTTGCCTTCATCTCAAATCGTATACATATCGCAAGGCCAGCAGAGCGATCCAACGCCACCTGAAGTAACAGATATCTATATACATGTGAACTTCACCAAATCAAAATCCAAAAAGAGAAGCCACGTCTGCACCGCCAGGTGGTTAGATCGTTGAGCGCCGTGCAATATTGAGTATCATGCAAGAAACAAACGAAACAAAGAAAAAACAAGGTATACCAACTCCAGCCGTCGCTTCCCGTGTATCCAGCGTTGGCCTGGTGCAATGCTATGTGAATCATAAATGGTACAAACGATAGATGTTGAGATGTGCGTATGTGTTGTGTTTTTCGGAATGTGTAGAGGGTATATGTGTGTGTGGAAAAAGGAGCAGGGGAATATGCCGAAGAGAAGAGCTGCTAAAAGCGAAATCGATGCATCACAAGTGACCGGTTGAACAAATTGTGGATGCAAGAAACGAGCTTGCACGCCACATCGGAACGGACAAAAGCATGGTTCAGGATGTCAGTTTCCGTTCTGTTACCATGCCATCCTTTTCCCACTCCTCAAGTAGCCGTGATACTTCCCTGAAAGAGACGGGTTTAGTGAGGAATAGGTCGACACCAGAAGCCATGGCATCTGACTCATCGCGAGAGCTACTAAGTCCGGTCAAGGCAATAATGATGGCTGGCTTGCGGCCATCTGTATCCCTCTCGAGCGAGCGAATAGCCCGAGTAGCCTCGAAACCATTCATGACAGGCATCGACATATCCATGAATATAATATCATAACCACTCTGCATGCGCTCGACTGCCTCAACGGCCAATTTGCCATTCTCGGCTGCGTCCAGCTCAGTCAGCTGGCGCTTTTTGAGGAATGTCATCATCAGGTTGAGATTTATGCGGTTGTCATCAACCACAAGCACTCGTGCGAGTCGCGAGGAGCTGGTTACGGGATCTATCAGAGGTGCTGGTAACGGGGCTTCTGCAATCTCCTCGGGTAATGCGGTGACGAGTGATGGTTGTTGTAGTGGTGATATCGTCATGGGGCGGACTGCGGGACAGTGTAGGTCCGGGGCGCTATTACCGTCGGCGGGGGATTCGACGGGCGAATCGAGTGCAGATGGTGCTGGCAACGAGGACCTCCTGGTCCTGAGCGGTAGACTCAGTGGTTGCAGGGCGGAAGCTGGTGTCGCGGACCGTGATTGATCATGGGTCAGACACCTCATTACGCTTCGGGCTAATTTGTGTGGCCCACAGGGGCGCCGGATGATGTTGACAGAGGAAGCAAGAGGCAACCACTCGGACTTTGCCCCGGTGTAATCCACCGACTTGTGGCATAGGACAAGAAGAGCAGGCAAAGCGGCGGAGGGTGCAATGGTGCGGAAGTTAGGTAAATCGGTTTCATCCATAAGCACGATATCAACACGGGCTTCCGGTGCCCATGCGACAATCTCCATATTGTACCAGTCTGTCAGATACCGGGCAATTTCAGACCAGTTAGATTCGGCAGTCACGTCGGCTGGGTTGACACCCCAGATGGAAACTCGTTTACCAGAGTATCCCTCGCGTAGTAGAAGAGTTTGGGCCAAGGTCTCTCGCTGTTGGACAAGCTGTCCAGATGGCTCGATGGCCGGACTTTCTTTGCCAACAGGTCTCTCTAGAGGGAGGGATACCCGTACGACAGTGCCCTCCCCAGGACGACTGCGAATCCGAATGCTCCCATTCAGAGCCTTGACCAAGCTGCGAACAATTGACAATCCTAGTCCAGTGCCAACAGCTAGGGCGTCCTCCTGGGCAAAGGGGGTATAGAGCTTGCCGCGCAAGAACTCTTCTGAAATACCTTTACCCGTGTCGGTTACTGTTAACGTGACCAAATCTTCGAGTCCGTCCCGCCGAGATCGTCCTTCAGATTGACTGGATGCTGCCAAGGAGATGGTGACACGTCCAGATTCTGTATATTTCATGGCATTTCCAAAAATATTCATAATGATACGCCGCAAAGCGCCCGGTTGGGTCCGGTAGACCCAATCCCGGAAGGAAACGTCCACAATAACTTCGACGTTGGACCGCTGAGTCTGCAGCTTCGTTTGATGTGGCATCAATACAGGCAGGTCTGCTGAAGCAGTAGAGCTCTGGCCGTACACATGGCCAAGACATATGCCTTCAACAACTTCCTCGGCGAGAATAGCCACATCGGTAGCCACCAACGTATCCAGGTGATGCGCCAACTTGTCTGATCCTTTGAAATCCAGCGCTGACTCTTTCTTGCGCTTCATTGACTTCCATGTCCGTTCCAAAGATACCACTTTGCTAAAGTCTAGCACCTGGTTCATTGTATCCAGTAGCGTCCGGCCACAGGAATTGACAGTCTCAAGCAATGATTCTTGGAATTCATTCAGATGAGTGCTGTTCAAAAATTCTGCAGCCGCCAAGATACCATGAAGGGGGCTACGGAGTTCGTGTCTAGTAAAAGATAGTAGTTAGTAATTGTACCCCGGAATTTGTAATATCCAGTAGGACTAAGACAAACTCACGATATACTTCCAATGAAATCACCCTTCTGACGATCCGCAATGAGGGATTCAACGCGGCTATATTCGGCCATGATGGACGACGAAAACCCGAGCACCGAACTGAGCTCAACTGAGGTGGTGAACACCTGAGTCTCAATTGTGCTCCAACAGAAACACCCCCCAAACCACTGCGAGGAAACAGCATTCCACAAAGGCACAAACATAATTTGCGCCGCATTTGGGAAATACTGATTGAGTACTGAGTTCTCCGCAGCTCTCCTTCGCTTTCGCACGGATTTCGATGGTTGTGAAGCCGCGCTCGGTGGGGACCGACTGGAGACACTGGAGCCAAGGGCCGCCTTGTCTTGGGGTTCTTGATCATCATCGTCTGACGTCGAGAGGAGGCCATCGCGATGGAAAGACCAAAGCTTTCCTTTGGGGTAGCGTCGAAGCAACAAGTGCAGGAAAGATCGGTCCAAGTTGGCCGCAGGGCATGTAGCCATTGACCCTGCCTGGGGAGCAAATGGTTCTTCATTTGTTGATGCCGACAGAACGGAGGCAGGTCCGCCGGTGTCGGAACAATCACTCCCCATATCGGCATCCACCAAAGGGTTATTGTTCGTCTCCAGGAAAATGACGCCACTGTCGCCGCTTAGGTCAAGACTCTCACGAAGCAAGTTGGCCGCCCTGCGGAAACACCAAGAGTTGCCTTGTGAATCATCGGGTGGTAGTCGATTTCGGCTGCTGCTGGTGAGCCATTCTGGCAGAGAGCTCTCTACAGTGCCCGATTCTACTTTCGACCCGCTGTCCAATTTTGAACTACTGTCCAATCTTGAACTACTGCCCTTCGAATCTTGATCCAATTTCAAATCGGAGGGGACAGAGCTGAAAGAACGTGTGTCGGTACTGAGTGCGCGATCGTTCGGGGGATTATTAGATGACTCCAGGGATGCGTTTTCTGAGCCGCTCCGGAGAGAGCCAGGGGAGCCACCGGAGACACCAGAGGCACTCATGCGATTGTAGGAAGATGGCGGAGTCCCTGATGGAATACCGACACTGTTGGTGCGCGACCGGTCGATGTTATCCACGAAACTAGAACTTCCCTCAACGAAATAGCTAAGCCCGCGAGAAAGGCGTGCGGCCCGGCGTCCTTCAGAGGCCTGCCTGCAAATCTTTAAGTAGTCCACCACTAGCATCGATATAGATCCCAGCGTATCCTTCTCTAGCGGTGTTAATCCATTGCGGGGGTTTTTGTCCAACACGAAAAGACAACCCAGGTTGATGTTCTTTTCAGTTGTCAAGGGAGTTCCCGCGAAAAAGCGGAAGTTGGGGTCCTTCGCGACGAAGGACAGGTCTTTATACCGCTCATTTTCGGTCATGTCGTTTACGACTAGAAATTGATAGTCTGCATTCTCGCGGTCGTTGGGGGGCAGTGCAATAGTATCCTGTCGAATGGCGTCAAAATCGAGTCATTGAAAATGCAATCGAGTTCGACAATCGGCCCGGATCAGCCAGCTCGTCGAATGAGCAGACTTACCTTGCACACACTCCATGTCTTGCGGGTGTCGGGAGCCCCCAACCAGACATTATCATTCTCGTCGTGAATTGATGGATCGTTCAAATTGAGAGATTTTGTAGCTTCGGCAATGACGTGTTGTACATCACGATCTAATACAGAGATGAATACGCGCTCGGCGTTCAAGCGCAAGGCCGCTAACTGGGCAAATGACGTCATGGTACTGTTCGAGGTGCCCAGAATTAGAGCATCTGACCCCACTGCGGTCGCTGGCCTGGAAGTCGCACTACCGTGTGATGGCGGTGATCCTTCGGAAATCGGTGGGGTGAGTGTATTCCCTGGAGCTGCAGAGAAAGGGAATCCATCGTTCGCAGAAAGCCAAGATGGAACCTCCTGAGCTTGGGAAGCAGGTTGGTAGTATCGATATAGCTCCCTCGCCCTGCGGTCTGCGTTGTGTATTCCATTCTGACGTGTCCTAGGAGCAGGCATAGTTTGCGGCTGGCGTTATAAGCGTGAGGATGCAGTATTGCATCCTCGAGTTCAAAATTTCGAGATTGACGAGGTTGTTACACTTATGGAGACCAAGGCAGGGTGGTGAGAGTTGGAGAAATTGAAATGTATCAAAGCAGTAATCTAAATGTGAAAAATTGATAGAGCAATAAAGGTACCTGGATTAGTCATAAAATATTGGAGAAACAAAAGTGGGATTTCCCGTTGAGAAGGGCTCTCCACAACATAATGGCAAGTCAGGTGAAATGTAGATACAGGGATCTCATCTGTCAAGTACAAGGATATTGACCAGGTGGACCAGGAAGTGGAGAAATGTTCCATAGAATATGTGAGAAGCAGCGCTTGGTACACGTTGGGAATCGTGTATGGAGTACATCTGCTCCACCGCTTCTCATGGGATTATCTAGCATCTTCGGATCGGCATACCAGCCTATAATTGACTGGCGCACGATGGAGTAAAAGGCACAAGGAGGACCAAGGGGGCACCGAGCGTCCAGTGGGCAGCAGAAGTGTGAGCAATGTGGAAAAGATGTGGAGGGGAGGAGGTTTCGGTGGCTTTGAGGTGGTTCTGTGGCGTCTGAAGCGATTAGTTATTGGCTAATTACCTAAGGCAACATTATTGGCCATGAAGATCAGGCATCACGATCAAAACTAAGTGGACCAATGAATCTTCATGATCTGCATAATCTGCTAATAAAAGTCGCTTTGAAGTTTGTATTTTTCCTTGCTTCATTCCATGTGATGTGAACCATAATACCTCAGTATCGCTACCAGACCTGATGTTTAGGGCTCCCACCGTCATCCAAGCAAGTGTGCGTCATTTCTGTCAGGGGCTGGAACTAGCGCAAGCCTCCGTACCACATGACGATGGTGGCAAATACATCTATACAATATGAGTGATTTTGACTTCACTTACTCTAGAAAGCGACGATCTCCTCCGTGGACGTAAGCATTCATGAAGCCTCAATCATATGTTGTCTTCACCTCGCAAACTTTACCCGACTAAGAATTACCAGTCACTGCCCCCCAAATATACGCCACCCACGACCCAAGTGTCAACAAAATCAGACCCCCGAAGCAAACGATCGAGATATTCCGAGTGCGCCGGCGCTGAATTACCAAACTGCGCTCTCGAATGCGCTCGATAATAGCCGCACCCGATGTCAACCGTTTATGCCGAGTCCATTGAAGCACCCCCAGGTTATCAGTCACAAACGAGCCAATCAGGATAGCTGCACCGACAACCAGAGCACCGGCAGCAAGAACGAGATAAACCTGCACCACTCGGTGGTATGAATTGTTATCTGCGTCCTGCAAAGCTCCGGTGATGATCCGAATTATAATGCTCATACTATTATGATTTCCGATGTCAACTTCCGTCGCAGAACACAAATGTGATGCAGGGGTTGGGGATCAAGCTTACGCATTGTTCATGGTGACCTTCAGCGCATACGCAGATCCAAAGACCGATTGGTGCCAAAGCGTGGTGCGAATGCTGTCGATCACTGAGGTTGGTCCTAGGGACATGGCAATGGCGTAGATGCCGAATGCAGCCCCTGTGCCTGCCTTTGATGTCGCAAAATTAATGAGGATCATACTCAACAACATGCCGAGGCCGCACGTAAACACTAGGGATGTCAGTATCAGGCTTGCTATGGATCTTGATACAACTCACAAACAGATGCTCGGTTGCCGAGAACATCAATGAACACGCCCAAGCAGGGAACGAGGAAGAAGCCTGGCTATTGTCAGATCTTCAAAGTTGTATGCAGCGCAAAGATCAAGCATATCTTACCTGCATACTGCGACAAAGAACTATACCACCCAGCCTTGATGGAATCGACATTGAATCGCTTCTCGGCCAGCTCAGTGGCATTTTGACTGAAAACTGACGCTGCACTTGTTTGGAAGATAGAGAACGCCATGACAGCCCAGAACGTCCACGGGAGCTCGAACATTTTTTGAAACTCGAACTTCTTGTTTTTCTCCGTCAGTTGCTCTTTGGTGGCGCCATCGCGTCGTCCCTTGTAGTGGCGATTACAATACTGGTTGAAGAACCAGAACGCTGCGGTAGCCACATTTGTGAACAAATTCATGAACACAGAGGTCCAAAAGACCCACGCAAAGTTTCCAGTGTTCTATTATCCTGTCAGCATCGCCTCAAACAAATCAACCCGAGAAAAACAATCACCTTTGCAATGATATTGGCTGTCGACTTGCCCACAAATCCGCCTATCTTGCCAATTGCAAGCTCAAAACCTAACGTGGATGCAAATCCATTGCTGGGAGGAAACCAAGAAGAGAACATTTTATACTGAGCGATTTGTGTTGCGATATCGCCGAGTGCGAGAATCACTCGACCTCCGATCATGAAATTGAAAGAGCGCACGGTCGCGGCGGCAGCGACGAGGATAGAACCGATAGTATAAACGATATTTCCGTACACGATCATCTCTATTTAGAAATACCAGGTCAGAATATCTCTCGCTGATTAACAGACTCGACAACATACCAGCTCCGCCGACTCGGTCGGTGATCACACCACTTATCAAGAGCAGAACCGTTGCCATGAAATCCTCACTGGCTTCCAAAAGTGAAAATTGAGTATTGTCTATATGCATTTGCTGCCAAACAAACCCGGTCAGTAAATGCCGATCGACATTCCCATAGTGTTCAATACCTTTTTGATTGTGGTCTTCATGGCGCCCGTCACACCAGAACTCCAGTGTGAGCCAAAGCTGATACACGATATCAGTGCCACTGCGCACAACTTTGCTGCAAGCGGCGGCGGCTTCTTTCCATCAGAGTCATCGCTAGGTTCTTCCGATGGGGTGTAAATGTCTTTATCGATAGGCGCTGTCACCACGTCCACCGACTTTGACTCTGGAGTATCAAATGCCATAATTGCAACCCGAGTCTGGGATGATATAGCAAGCTCCTAACTCAGGCTGTCAGAAAAGAAAAAAAAAACTTTGAACTCAAAAAAAGCTTCCATGCCAGTACTATTTATGGGGCTCGGAGATTGATAAAGCTCTGACAAAGCTGAGGTTAGCCCACCTGAGCATGCTACGGTGAGCTTATACTGGTCTAAAAGGCCGAGACTTCTAATCAGATCCCATGTACATACGTAAAAAGGTCCTTGGCACAGCAAAATTCCCATCAGATAAGATGGTTGGGAAATGGGTTTTATACCGCAAGGAGTCTAGCGCTGGGCAGATACTCCCAGTCGGGACAACCTCGGTGAATTTTAGCTTTCCTTAGTCTCTTGGTGGAACCCTAAGCTTAAAAACATTTCTCGGCTTCGCTCCGAGTTACTACTTTACGTCTTTAGACCTCGAATTCTTCAAGCCAGTTACTACATAGGGCAAGTTGGTTCCATCATCACTTTCGTATGCTGTTGCAATTTGCATACATCAGTGAAAACTACATTGAGATAATACGCGTAAATATACTCGATCCGCCCCAAAATCCGCAAATGCTCCCATAAACTACCTCCGGTTGTGACATCACAAAAAAATCCAAAACAGCCCCAATAGTGGGGGGGGGCCTCCCGAGATATACGTAGTCACAGAAAAAGAAAATGCAATGCCAAAGAGACTCCAGACTCCACAAATATTCAATCAGATAAATCAAAATCGTTCCATGAGCTGCTTGCGTACCGTCCACATACGAGCTCGCTTGCCGTACATGTACATGGGAATTGACATGAGCATGAAGAAAAGCTGTATACCGCCGATCGCCATGAACACGGTGCGTGAACCATCAGCATCGAGCCAGTCCACGATGAAAAGGGAGAAGACCAGGCCGTGGAGGATGTCTGGAGAAGAAAGAGCGTTAGATCAGATACAACGAGTAAAAGTGAAGGATAGGTCAACATACTCTTGCTAAAGTTCAGTGTCACTAGCGCCTCGCCAGCATACTGACGGTAGCTGTCTACACAAAATGTGATAGCCGTCGTACTGCCCAAACAGCAACCAAATGAGATCAAACCGAAGAAGATAGTCGGGACAATCCAGGAGTCACCATTCTCGGCACTCCAGCCAAAAGCCATCAGACCGATGACCGTGGACAATGCGATAGGAATCGCCATGACGAGACGGAATTCAGGTTCATAGATGCCGCCATTGCGCCTGGTCATAAACCGTGCGATAATGTCGGATACTTTGCCCGCCACTGCAGTTCCCAGGAGACCGCCAACAAACGGTGAGATGTAGATAAGGCCTGTTTGCAGCGCTGTGAAATTGTAATGCGTTTTGCCCTCAAATATGTGCGCAACTGACTCTGAAAGCACGATCAGCCAGCCGACGGACAGGGAGTATACCACTGTTGACCAGAGCACGGACGGGTAGGCGAATAGAATAAATGGTCGCACGGCGACGCGATACCAGCTGTCTTGCGCGATTCGTCCATTCCAGACTCGAAGTAATTGGGTATATGGGATCTTCGGGCGTTCACGGAGTCGGTTTGTGTATTGTAGGGTTGCGGTAAGCGGTGTCCCGGCAGGCTCTACTGACTCGGTCCTCGCGGGTGATAAAGCCGCCGGTCGAGCTGACTCTATATCGTCTGGGTGCGCGCCAGGGACAAGAGCTTGGGGAAGTGGCTGGAGGAAGTCGTCACCTTTCTCATCAGCCGGTGTCGGAGGCTGAGTGGTGATTTGATCGCCATTGGTAGCATGGCCGGTCCCAGGAATGAAATCGGACTTTTCAGTCTCGACTGCCTCAATTCGATTTTCTTGGTCATCCGCAAATCCAACATGCGTGTGCTTGGACTTTTTCGGTGCCAACTCTGGATCTGGATGAGGCTGGTCGGCGGACTCGTCCTGGGGTTGTACATGCGGACGGCGTCCGCGGAAGCCGTGAGAAATGAGATCAGAGACACTATGACCTGTAATTCGCGGGCTCTTGCTCTTGTGCACACGCGGACGGGGTGTGCGATCCCAAAATGTTTCGGGAACGAAGAAAAAGAGCAACACTAAACACATGCCTACAATAATGGCAACGATCCAAAATACCCAGCGCCAGCTCAACCCTTCGATGATGGCGGCACTCACTAGGGGGATCAGATTCTTTCCCCCTAGTAGCAAGAGTGTATATATTCCCACTCGATAGGCTCTTTCGTGCAAGAAGTAGATCTCTGCAATTGTAGCAGATGGAAGGCACTCGACTGGACTCACTGCAAGTCCTTGGAAGATACGAGCGACCACGAGACTTGGGTAGTTCGGTGACGCCGCGCACCAAATTGCCGAGATCACGAACAGTGTAGCTCCCAAGAGATAAACCGGTCGTTTCCCGAAAAGAATGGCTGTGGGCGACATTACGACAGACCCGAGGCCCAAGCCTAGCATATAGAACCCGGTAGTAAAAGCCACATGTTGCGTGCTAACATCGTAGTCAGTTGCAACATGGTTAAACCCAGCCGCCAAAATGGGGGTCATGCCGCCTCCCATTAAGCAATAGAAGCCGAGCGATACCAATGCGGCGTCTCGTTGCCATACCGGCCAGTTCAGAGGGTCATTTACGGAGTCGTCTGGTTGGGGATCAAGCACAAACTGTCCGTCCGCGGTTCTCTTTTTGGTTGGAACCGCCGACCGAGTTCGAGAATTCGACCGCGAGGGACGATACGACGAGGCTATTGATGATGTCGATGTCCGATGCGGTTGATGTCTCATTCCCAGGGGTTCATTGCGATTTGATGATAATAGAAGCACCGTTCCTAGACCATGCCAGCCACTTGTCAATCCCCTTTTCACAATGTTTCTTCTCTCGTTGGCAGGAGACTCTCTACTTACCAGGCACTTCATCGGTCTCTCTGTCACTTAGGATTCCCAGTGTTGATTTGGCGCGATAAGTCGGATTTTCGCTAGACTCCGGTTCTTCTTTGACCTTTCCTCCGAAGACTCGTCTCCAGCGCGAAGCAGCTGGCTGCTGTAGGACAGGGTCCATCCCCGGATTTTCGTCCATTGCAGCAGAGTGTTCTTCTGCTGGCGACGCCATCTTATGTTCGGCAACCACGAACGTAGTGTTCCGCCTGGAGCGCCGTTTGCGAAACAAGTGTGCTAAACAAGTCATTTTTAGCCAGAGTCTTTTGCAGCGTGCAAGCAAAGAGGAAAGAAGGTGACAGTCGCCAGAGTGCAACGGGGGAGTAACTCACAGTTATCTCAGGTAATACCGGAATCCGCCCAAAAATGCTGCCAGTAAAACTAGCAACTATAGACGACGTGCTCGAGTCACAAGATAAATGCCCCTACACAGAAAAGGTGAAGTATCTGTCGCCGGGTCTTGTGAAAGCGATCAACGCTTATTGATCAACCCAGGCAGTAAATGAGCACCACTTGAAGGCATAGCTTAATGAAGAGGAAAAGAGAAGCGAAGTGGAACGGAAGAGGTCTGTAGGTGGGAGACAGGTGATTTATAGTGTCCTAGTTTCTTCCAAGGTCCATGCGATAAGCTCTTAGATATATCATGCGGTCAATGGTGGAAACCCCAAAAAGCAGAGACCAAAGAAAAGGGCGATCGACGATCCCATGTGGCAGTGTGGGGAGGCGGTGAGTTGAGGTACTTGGTGGGTACCGCAATTATCGTATGATCACCATGGTTAAGCGAAGTAGCTCAAAGTACTCTTACATCGCACGTGTCGATAAGCATACCGTTTTCGGATCAATGCACCCAGTCCGCGTCGACAGCTAGATCCTTAAGCCACCCGACGCATATTACAAGATAACGTATAAAGAAAATCTACATTCTACTCACATATCCTACACATATATATTATACCTGTCGCCAAAATCTACAATAATCGAGGTTGTTCGCACTCCAATCATTCCCGTCGCGGAATGTACACAGCCATTCTTAGAATATGCCAAGCCACTTAAATCCCGCGGTTGTCGCGAGAGTTTCAGTTCGCGTATTTTGCCCGCCCATGAAACATATCTTCTAAGAAATCCTACTGTCGCTCACTGCGTGGGTCATATTTCAAATGCCCTAGGAGTGTCTCAGCTGACTAGAAAGTGTTGGCTGCCGTCATTATGCAGACGTCCAATTGCGGGGGAAAGGAGCCTCGATCTTGGTATTTTCATACCGTTGGATGTCAGTATCTCCCTTTGCTAGCGCATGTGCTGCCATGGCGTCATACATCAAAGTATGGCTACTAATTTGCAACTCTATATGACATGGATGCTTAGAAGAGGAGCATGTAAGAAGCCCATGGCGTCAACCGGGTCTCACTTCTGGGAACGCCACTTGATGTTTGTTCACGAATGATCGGCAGGGATCGACAGACTGATTTGGGGTTTGTTTGATTCTTCAGATTACCATTTAATCCACGTTATCGGCATATTAACCACCTTGCTAATTGAAGAAAAGACTGCCTATTGTGGAAATACTATTGATAACTCTCACTAGAACGGTCGCTTTAGGTGCATGGGTAATGTCAACGCACGTGTGAGACAACATGTATGATTATGTCTCATCGAACGGACTGCCCGAATAGCTCTCGCGTACTCCGTAGTCAGTCGCTATATAACAGAACAAGACTTGGCATAATGTATTATGACTGTTCATGCTGGTGAGGAACTCGGATACCCGAAGTACATAACCCAAACTCCAAGCTCGAGTTGCACTTCCCTTGTCTAACATTTCCATCCTTCCAAGCTTGGGATTTTACACAAATATAGCCAGTGGTTGCTGGCGGCTTATTCTGCTTAATAGCGTGTGCAAATTCCGATCTTAGCTGGTTTCCCTGGCAAAAAGATTTTGGCTTTTAAGATCGCTCTTCTGTAACTTGTACTGTGTACATGTGACGAGTTCTCCAACTCCGACCAAGAAACATACGATCTCAATTTGGCAACATAATGAATCAAGATGGGAAGGTTGTTAGTATCTTTGACTGACTTTATGTCCATGGTGTTCTAGGCACCCAAAGGGATTCCACGCCTTTTAGAATTCAATCCCGGATACCTTTCTAGCGCACAGTCAACCACTGCACCCAACAGGTCCTCATGCGTCATCCCGTGATGGAGCGCAGTGTCCGCCAGCCAAGACCATTTTGGACGCAGTCCAGGGATTGGGTTAACCTGACACAATACTATCAGTGACCAAACAATGAATCGTATACGGGTTTCTTACCTCCAAGACGTATGGCTTTCCCTCCAGTCCGCACCGAACATCAACTCGGCCGACATCACAGCACTCGAGTTTGCGCCAGGTGTCCAGCGCGAGACGCTCTACTCCCTGAACCTCGGAGCTATCATCCCCGTTAATCATGCGGTCCACTGGGTCTTCTAGGACAGCGTTCTTGTTATCGAAGCTGTAAAAGTCTCCATTGGAGGAGTTATTCTCAAAGTTCTTTGCTTCCGTCCCTTGTTGAGGTGGAATTCCTTCCCAGTTGTGGTGGACCGTGCCGATGACTCGAGCGGAGTCCCCAGACCCCAGGATACTGGTAGTATATTCTCGCCCAGCTAGATACTTCTCAATCAAAATGCTTTGTCCTGGGAACCGTGTCTGGAGCTTCTGAACACCCTGCTCGAGGTCTTGGATGCTCTCGACTTTGGAGAAAGGATAAATCCCTTTCGAGGATCCTTCACATGCTGGCTTGATGAATAATGGCATCTGTTTCAGAGTCTCGGCATGGCGACTTTGGTCCAAGATTTGGGAGATTCCCTTTTCGATGGACCATGACGAGGGGACGACGGCGAAAGGAGCAGTCGGGATGCCCATGTGCTCGAGCACCATCTGACATGTCAGCACCACACATGTCTCCCCTTAGCAGGATATGACACACCTTTGTCTTACCCTTATCCAAACACAACGACAAAGTCGCGGCATCGGAAAACACATGTGGGATCTGGTATGCCTCCAGTACTCCCGGGACCTGGGCCTCACGCCCAACTCCATGCATTCCCTCGGAGATTGAAAATGCCAGATCCCACCTCTCATGCTCTCCTCTGGCAATACAATGTATCAACTCCTTTATATCACCAACTGGAACAACCTCGAAGCCATTTTTGCGCAAAGACTGGACTACGGCGTCGATGGTTTCTTCCTTGTCTAGTTCGACACAGTCCTCGACACTGTACCCTCGTGATCGGTAGAGAGAAAAGCTCTCATAGAAGAATGGGATCACAAGCGGTTCCATTTTAAGTGTTCTTTCTCACTTCCAAGACATACAATTGCAAGGCGTTATAGCTATTGACGAGGAAACTGGAACTGGGGGGGGCCCTTGACATCCCACATGTTTATGTTTCACCATATCTGAAGAAAGTATATTCTGCAAACCTATGTGTTGGTCAGGAGAATGACTAGACCTATCGGAAAAATAGGGTTTAAAATGGCGGTGTGATGCTATTATGCATAGAACATAGAACTGTAGCCACCAGCCCCTACACTTTATATAACGAGCCCTTTAACAGGATGCCTGGCGAACGACCGCAAGTGACAAGACTGGTGTTACCTGAAGACGCAAGCCTCGGTCAGGCACCTATCAATTACCCTATCATTTCCCTCTCTATGACGAAGGATTGGCCAAATGCAGAAGGTCAGCTAGCCCCTCTCAAATATTTGTCAAGCCCATGAACAGGGGCTGTGCACTGTATGGGGGGTACTGCGGGGGATTATGAACAAGAGATACGGTTCCCAGGTACACCTTGGCTGTAAGAATCTCAGCAAATCTACATTGCTGCATTTCTCACAGAATGCGTACGTCTCTCTCTTCTTCGAGCATGTCCCGAGGTTCGTCTATAACAATTCTATAGAAATATCAAGGAAGGCATGCTCCTCAACACAGGGAGGCTACGAGTCAAGGCTCAATGGAGGCTCTCTCAACGCCGATGGTCCTCTACAAGTACTCTCCAAGCCTCCTCAGACCCCTTAGCTGTTGCGCAGATTGAATACTGGAGAAAGATTCCAGCCTGGCGGGACACTACGGAGACTCAATTCCTCGACTATAAGTGGCAAGTATGGATTTGAGAGCCATTCACTGGCTATATATATATATAGTGATCTGACAGAAGGCTAGATGAAAAACTCTCTGCAAAGCCCCTCCTCGCTGCTCGCATTTCTCAGCTCTGTCATACCTTCCGCTATCTCAATGGCGAGTGGCCAGGTGACAACACAAGAAGCCTTCCTATCCGACGTCGCAGCGGGGATGCAGCGTGCTCCCATGGCCACCCGTCTAACGCCACACACCCTGGCTCTCGTCGCTTGGGACAAACCCTACTCGGACCCAATCCGCCGGCAGTTTATTCCTCTTGCCTCGTCATTGCATCCAGACCATCCTCAACTTCAACTGGACTCGCTACATGAGAACAGAGACTCCCCAGTGAAAGGGCTGGTTCACCGGTATCCGGATAAGGTGCTATTTCTAGGTATTTTCCTTCTATAGGCACATATGACCGCCCAAGTAGGGACTAACAATATGGTAAGCTAGCTCAGTGTGTCCCGTCTATTGCCGTTTCTGCACGCGGTCGTATTCCGTCGGCGCGAAGACAGAGACGGTGTCGAAGAAACGGTTCCTCCCGCTACAGAAGTACTGGGAGCCAATGTTTGAATACATTGCACAGACCACGGCGGTCACGGACGTTGTGGTGTCCGGTGGGGATTCGTTCTTCTTGGAGCCTGCACAGCTGCGTGAGATCGGGCACAGGCTTCTAGGGATCGAGAATGTGCGTCGCATCCGGTTCGCCAGTAAAGGGCTGGCGGTGTGTCCCTCACGGATCTTGGACCGAAGCGACAGATGGACGGGGGAACTTATTGAGATCAGCCAGCTGGCCAGGAAGCGAGGGAAGAGCGTGGCGCTACATACACATTTCAACCATCCACAGGAGATCTCGTGGATCACGGAACAGGCGGCGCAGAGGTTGTTTGAGAATGCGGTTACAGTGAGGAATCAGACGGTGTTGCTCAACGGAGTGAATAATGATGTGGACACGATGAAATCACTGATTCGTCGATTGGCTGACAATAATATTCAACCGGTATGGTTATGCGCTCTATTGTTGACCTCGTGCTAACTGGATACTCTGATATAGTACTACGTATATCAGGGTGATATGGTTCAGGGCGTCGAGGACTTGCGTACGCCGCTGTGCGATATCCTCCATATTGAATCGCACGTCCGGGGTACGATTGCTGGGTTCATGACACCTTCATTTGTGGTAGACCTTCCAGGGGGTGGAGGGAAACGTTTGGCCGCAACATTTGATAGCTACAACCGGAACACCGGAGTGTCGACATTCGTAGCGCCAGGGGTCAAAGGTAACACGATTCATGAGTATCATGATCCGTTATGGTCACTGCCAGGCTAGGGGAGCTGTGGCCTAGGGTTTTCGTATAGAAATATATAAATAGAATGCCCCCACTTCGCCCCATTGGCGATTTTCCTGACCAAAAACAACATTAAACAAACAAAGTGTTAAAGGATACGACATATATGTTGTATATCATAGGCAGAATGTGTTAGCCATTGATCATCCACTTATGAACAGTTTGCGGGTTTATTATCGACCACTACTCCGTAGTACTTCTTAGTTTTTTAGTATTAGCCCCAAATGTCCTACTTCAAAGAAAAAGCAGGCACAAGCGTCACGGTGTGTACGGAGTAGGAAAACAAGACTTATGTTGCATGCACAGCATAGCAAATACCAGACCAGTCCACAATTCTTCAAACAATGCAGATTGATAGCAAATTGCCAAGTTGTCATTTGCCAATTGCGTCCAGGGGGAAAATCCAGTCCAGATCGGGTGGATTTCCAGGGGCCGTTCGCAGGCGGTCACGTGTGAACCCCCTTTGGAAATTCAAGGCGCTCTTTCTTTGCTTCGAATTCTTCTATTTGCTTGATATACGTTGTCTTAATATCCATACTTCTTTCTTACTACACATTCATTCCAAGGGTCATCTTTGCCACTTAAGATTGTTGGGCGCCGATCAAGTCCTTCCACGCGAAGTGTCGTGGCATCAAGAATTCTCCCGTCTTCAAATACCATTTCCTCTTCTTTCACTTTTCGTTGTGGAAGATCATCGACTATACGTTTAACGGGCTAATTTCGACTCACATTCATTCTTTCTGCGGAAACCCGCCGTTCATCATGAAAATCAACCAGTCGTCCTTCCTTCTCTTCCTTCTTCCCGCCATTTCGGCCGCGCTCGCCGACACAACATACAATGACAACATAGATTCTCAGGTGTCGCGCGAGACAGCTGGAAACAATGCTCACCTCGTCGACTCGAATATAGTCGCATCCAATGTCGCCAAAGGGGCGCCGGACGTCCCCGTCGATGGCAAGGATGGCAGACCGCACGCTGGCCCGTGGGTGGAAACCAACGCAGACCGGGACCACAAAGTTGCCAAGGCAGGCGGAGATATTGATTCAGGTTCCAGATATGACACCAAGATTCCCTCTTCGGAGCACCTGAGCACCGAGGAAGGGAAGGTGATCCCCCATTCAAATGGCGGCGTTATGGATGATCCGTATCGGTCCGGGCCCAGAGAAGGCACGCGCGGAACAGAGGGCGGTGTGTCCGAGAAAGGAAAGGAGAATCAATTGGTCTCAGAAAAGGTGCCAGGGAGCCCCAAGGAAGCGCCTCCGCTGCCTCATATCGAGACGAAGAAGCTGGTCTCTAACAGCGACGACGCAACAACCGGAAGTGCAATCCGGGCTGCGGAGAATCCGGGAAGTCTTGGTATGCTCGAGGTGAGACTTCCTATACCTTTAGTGCGAAGTCCTTTGTTAAGCAAGTTGAAATTGATGCCGTGTATCTAGAAACCGTCGGGATTGCCTGAAAAGCCCCACGATATTCCATACCCCAAGCCCCCGGCCGTGGTTAAGGATGATCCTCTAGGCCTTGGACACGACTCAGTCGCCGCGGGGTCGTCTTCGAGTTCATCCTCCTCGCTGACCTACGACCACGACCATGACTCTGGTATCCCCGACGCAGGGAGCCCAATGCACTCGCTTGTATTCTCGTTCACCATGATCCTCGTCTCTGAAATTGGCGACAAGACTTTCCTTGTGGCTGCCCTGATGGCCATGAGACACCCCCGCTTGGTGGTGTTTAGTGCCGCATTTAGCGCCTTGATTGGCATGACTGTCCTTTCAGCCGTCCTGGGCCATGCTGTTCCAACCCTTATCCCTAAAACTTTCACCAAATTTATGGCTGCCATTCTTTTCTTGGTATTCGGTGTGAAGATGCTCAAGGAAGGTCGTGAAATGTCTCCAGATGAGGGTGTCGGCGAAGAGATGCGAGAGGTCGAGGCGGAGCTTGAAGAGAAGGAGCACGAACAGCTGCGCATGAGCCGCCGCCGCTCCTCGGTTACTCCTCACAACCTTGAAGCAGGTCGCGCTGGCCGTCCCAAAACTCGCGGCTCTGGAAACCGCCTGCCCTCGCCTCCGGAAAGCCTGTCCTCGTCCTCGTCCCGTGGCTCTTCCCCCCAGCCCCGTCAACGGTTGAACAATGCCGTTTCCGGGCTGAGCAACCTCTTTTCCCTACTTCTCAGCCCCGCGTGGGTTCAAACTTTTGTCATGACATTCCTCGGCGAATGGGGTGACCGCAGCCAAATTGCCACTATCGCCATGGCCGCTGGCCAGGACTACTGGTGGGTTACTATTGGAGCTAGTGCTGGTCACGGAATCTGCACCGCAGCCGCTGTGATTGGTGGAAGGGCTATCGCTGGCCGGGTCAGCATGCGTGTTGGTATGTATCCTCTGCTTCCTCCCCTATCTATGACATATGCTAATCTTAACTTTTATAGTGACCCTGGGCGGTGCTGTGGCATTCCTTGTGTTTGGCGTCATCTACTTCATTGAAGCCATCTTTTAAAGCACTGCATCTCCGCGGTTGTATGTGTCCATGGAAACCTATCGTTACAGTTTTTGGCGGTTGATTTGTTTAAAAGTCGAATGAATGCATATTGTGACATACCTAGGGTTGTTTTAATGAAATAATTACGTGTCTGGCCCACTCAATGGCCAGTTTAACAATGTTGGTTTTTTAAAGCCCTAAGTTAAATCCACATAAGTTACCGACCGATCTCGGTCCATGCCGAGTAAATTGTACGATGGATCAGCGGTATAATTGCAGGGTGGGCTTTTGATGGCATAGAATCTACAAACGCAAAAACCGAAATCTAACAACAAAAGGAGAGAAAACCTCCATCATGTGATCACTAACACGCCATTGGCTGTAAATAGGGTTTAGTGTTTAGTGTTTAGGGTCTAGAATTAGGGTCTGGGATTCAGGCTTTATTAAGGCAACAAACTTTCCTAAGGCGGCTTAGACAACCACGCTTTATTGTTATTCAGTTTTTCCGAGAGACCCAGCCCCGAAAACCCTGACACCTCGCCTTCCCCATCCCCTGATCTCCCCCAACTCTCCATCAAAATCGCACCCATTTCATCAAAAAACCACCTGAAATCTTGCCGATTTATCTGATTTTCTTCAGATTTATCAAAATTTCATTGAAGCGTGCGAAAAGGAATTCATAACAACAACGCGTTTAGGTGGCTGACGCTCGTGTCCACCTGCCTCGCCACCGCCTTTAATGGCACGCATCACGGGATCACGCATGACTCGAAGTCAGAGCCGAGAAGCAAATGCAGGGTTTATGTCAAACAAGGCATCATTGGGGCGAAATTGTATGTAATTTTCTAGTCGTTTTGGTGTAGCCTCAGCTCTTGGGTGCTTCATGCCGCAGTTGCGCAATGGGTTAGGCAACTACGCATTGGGAGTTGAACTATACTTAGTTCTAACCCGCGATTTGCTTGATACTTGCTTCATTGTATTCTCACCTTCCCTCATTCTTGATCTGTTGCCTCCTGGTTTGAGTTTTACATCGGAGTATGTTCTGACTTTATTCAGGGCTGACTGGCCTAACTGAGGAGCCTTCCACTCCTTCTCCCGACTTGGTTGTACCCAGACGTGTGGTACCAGAGTCGCCTGAGAACCATGAAGGTCATACCAATGTCTCTGGTACCACCCTGGGGCACAACGATGTGGAGCCTGTCGATTACCAAGTCGCCGAGAAAATCGCAACCCACCTGCCGTTTGTTCAACAACAGGCGACCCTTGTCATGAGTCTCTTGGTTCGCCCAGATCTGAGCCCGGACAGCCTTGCGGCTGAGTCCAAAAAGCTCGTTGATTCCAATCACCCAAACCGTAAACGTTTGAGGCGGTCCGTGGAAGGGCTGACTGATGAATTGGAAGACTCTCCTCTTTCTCGGGATGGTAAATCATTCCTGAACCTCTCTCAGGCTCATCGGTTGCTTTCTTCCGCACAACTTGATATGTCAATCGCAGATATTTACATGACGAACTGCGCTCTGTTGACCCTCAACATGTTCCTGCCCAGCATGGGTACGGAGTCCCAGTCGGAGGTTATCCAACAGCTGGATTCCCAGTTTCCGGCATGTGTCATGAGCAACCTTGTGGACGGCCATATGTCAAGGAAAGTAGGGGCAAGCAATACAACCGAGGCGACCTTCAATCTTGCATTGGGCATCCGCACACAGTTCTTCATTATGGAGTTGGAAAGACGCCAACATGAGCAAGACTTCAGCCCACTTTCCATCTTGAGACAGGTCTTCGCTATGGACCTCATTTCTAGCGAAGATGACTCCCAGAGTATGCCCGGCTCCTTCCGTGGGTTCAATTTGCCTGGCGTTTTGCAAGACGATGATGGCCATCTTCCCGATAATCTCCCTGAGAAGTTTCTCATTGCCGTTAGCGACAGGTTTAACGAGCTTCACGAGGAAATTTCCGAGTGGGATTCTGTTGATATTGATGGTCTGAAAAAGGCATACAGATGGCGCTCGTTTGAACGGGACCTTGCACGTTGGATCTACACTCGTGACAAAGAAATCAAGGACGACATCAGACGCTTGTCAGCACAGGCAGAAAAGGTGCATAGCTCACCCGCGAGTCGTCGCCTTATCTCTGTCCCCGCTGGAACTCCCGGTCGGCGTCAAGTATCGGCAGTGCCCCCAGTTGGTGAAAGCTCTAGTCGGGAATCCTTGCCCCAGCGGAGTCAGTCTCCTCAAAAAGACCTATTGGTACCACACATAGAACAGACACCTCAGGCAGAGCAGGCAGCCCAGGTTGAGACAGAAATCAACGCTTCTCGGTCGGGCATCACTTCTGAAAAGATTCCTGAACAGAATGTCCTCAACCGAGTCGCACAGCTGGCAGCAAAAGATCCGGCTCGGCGCAAGTCCAAAAGGTATGATCCCTCTGCGGTTTCCCTTTCTCTATGACTACTAACTTTCATTTATAGCAACTACCGCGATCCGGCCTCATTTGCGGCACTCATGAGGCGCCAGGCTGCTAGTCATCAACAACCGGTCTCAAACGTTGAGTCGCAAGCCATAAAAGATTCTACGAACACGAGCATTGCGTCGCAAGCGATTAATCCTGGCCCTTCTGTTGATCGCGGAGCCGAATCTTTTGAAGTTCAACAATCTCCTGAGCTGAGGTACACCGACATAGGCGATGACTCAACATATGTGAACAATGATGAGGAACTAGACCTTGGCCAGGACACCGAAACCGACGTTATGACATCGACCAGCCCGCCTAACTCCGCTAGAATCAGTCGGGTCAGCCACAATGCTAATCCAAGGTTCTTTGATTCACCCAGAGATGAAGTCACACAGCGATCGGTTCCGATCGCTCGGCGTTTTCTCGATAAGCAGACTAACGCCGGAGTCGTGTCGCCAATCAGCCAATATGATACTCAAAGTGCGGGACATACTGTGCTGGGAAAGCGAACTCGGAATGTTGATGACCTGGACGATGGCGCAAGTGACGTGTCAGACTTTGATTTCGAGGAGAATAACCAGGAGATCGACCCCAGGCGTAGGGCCGAAAAGCCCCTGCCCAATTTCCCTCCCGCAAAGCGCCAATGCCCCACAGAAAATGCGGGCTCTTCCTCAGCAAAGTGGCAAGCGGATATCAATAGATCGTCCCACCGCCGGTCTACCTCGGCACAGCTTTCCCATCGCCCCCAGAGAGCTGACAGTGAAGATATCACCGATGAAGAGACCGCCGTTGAACAGCACGAACCACCCGCTCGTACGCAGACTCTCTGGGCAGCCTCCAATGCCCAGGCTGCGACTTTCCACCGGACAGTCCCAAAGCCCAGTTACAGGTGGTCAGAGGAAGAAGATGAACGTTTAATATACCTCATTGGAATTTATGGCACGTCCTATGCCGCCATTAAGAAGCAAGACAACGCTTGTCCCGCGTCCGAGGGTGGTCCTAAACTTGAGCGTCGTTCTCAGGTCAATTGTAAAGATCGTGCTCGCAATCTGAAGAGGAAGTTTCTCAGGTAAGACATGCTCCCCTTTCGTCCTTAGTGGCGAGCATTTCTGACGTTTTGTTTACAGGGAGGGCCAACCACTTCCGCCTAACTTTGACAAAGCACCAGTTTGATTTCACGTATTCATTATCTACATACAGTCATAGTTTGCTCTTGCGTTTCTTAGCGTTCGTCAAGATACCCAAGGATACCCACGGAGCATACGGAATGGTACTTTGACCATTCATTTCTATGTTTCTGCTTTCGTTTTATTTTTGCGTTTTCGGGTGTATGATTGATTCTCTTTGGCCTTGTACAGAGGTCTTTTACAAAGAAACATTATTTATTGGATGATACCTTTCTGGGTTCTGTTCAATTTTCGATACTGTCGTGATTAAATGGATTTTTTTTTACTCATTGCCATCAACATATCTCTTGATATCAGTAGATGTTGTCATTGAATTTATTATTTATGTAGTTTTTAGCGTGGCTGTGCTTGATCTCGTAACTCCGCCACAATGGTCAGGTGGGCAGTTCATTGCGCTCTTCACCGTTTCCACTTGTTCAGAACAAATACTCTGTTTGAAAAACAAGATCTCACATCCTTACTCCTTAGACTCACGATGAGTTTTGGGTTTAGCATTGGGGATTTTCTAGCTGTCATCGAACGTGCAAACAAGCTCAGAAAAGTGTTTGTTGCGGCACCTGCTCAATTCAACGCAATCTCCGATGAGTATGATATCCTAGAAAGATTTCTCGATCGGGTTTAATGCATTGTTCTACAGAGTAAGGAGTCTTTCGATCGTGGTACGAGACGTTGAGGTCAATATTTCCGACGATCTCAGCAGTCAACAAGAAAGCGAGTTGTCGAAGATAGCAGAAAGCTGTCGCAATGTCCTCATTGATATTGAAAATGTGGTAAATCAATATTGCGAGATAAACACACGAGGCACGAAACGAATATGGAAGAGACTCACATGGGTGCCAGATGATATACGTGAACTTCAATCTCGCGTTGCTAGCAATATCAGCATTCTCAACGCTTTCAATGGAATAATAACCCGCGATAACACCATGTCATTGCTGAAACATGCGAATGATGCACAGCATCTGGCATTGCTTGATTGGCTCTCTTCCACAGGATATGCGACACAACAGACTGCCTACATTGGTCGACGTCAGCCTGGGACTGGAGAATGGCTTCTTAAGTCGTCAAAATTCCAAACTTGGATTGAAGGCACCAATGAAACGCTTTTCTGCCCAGGCATGCCTGGGGCTGGCAAAACGATACTTGCCTCGGTGGTCATTGATGAGTTGATCTCCCGGCATGGGAACAACAGTGAGATTGGCATTGCGTATCTTTACTGCAACTTTCAGCGCCATGAGGATCAGTGCCTGACGGCTGATGGTATGCTAGCAAGTATTCTTCGACAACTTGCTCAGAGTCTGTCGCCAATGCCAGATGTCCTTATGTCATTGTATGAAAAGCACAGAACCCGAGGAACGCGTCCGACTGCCGACGAACTTTCCAGAGCTCTTGGGTCAGTCCATGGCCATTTTTCACGGGTCTTTGTCGTCCTTGATGCTCTAGACGAGTGCCGATATCACGTCATATCGCAGATTCTTGATAGGTTGTTCGGTCTTCAGATGACATCAAACTTGAACCTTTTGGCAACTTCAAGACATATACCGGAGATTGTGGCTCGTTTCCAGAATAACCCTGTACAGGAGATCAGTGCCTCGAGGCCAGATATCATGAGGTATCTGAGCGGCAATCTATGCAAACTGCCATTATTTGTATCGCGGAATCCTCAGTTACAGCAGGAGATCACGACTGGGATTGCTGACGCTGTCAATGGCATGTGAGTGTGATCTTCTATCTTTATTAACCTCTTATTAAGAAATCTCAAGGTTTCTTCTTGCAAAACTCTATCTGGATTCACTAGAGGGGAAGAAATCGCCACGAGCGCTTCGATTTGAGCTTGAAAAAATGAGGATTGGTCCAAAAGCGTCTGGCTCAGCATATGATTCCGCGTACGACGAAGCTATGCAGCGAATTATGGGACAAGGTTCAGATCGAAGAAGCTTGGCTTGGGGTGTCTTGTCATGGACGACATGTGCGAAAAGGCCTCTGACAGCGACAGAGCTACTCAATGCTCTTGCGGTAGAGCTTGATGAACCAAAGTTCTATGAGGACAACCTTCCAGATCTCGAAGATATAATATCCGTATGTTCAGGCTTAATCACTGTCTCGAGTGACGCCTCTGGCGACATCGTCCAGTTGGTCCACTACACCACACAGGAGTACTTCGAGCGGACGTGGGAGCGCTGGTTCCCCGATGCGCACTGCAACATCGCAACAATTTGTGTCACATACCTTTCTTTTGATGTCTTCCAAACAGGCTATTGTCTTACTGATGCCGACCTCGAATCACGGCTGGAGGAGTACCCTTTCTACTCCTATGCTGCCAAGAGCTGGGGTGATCATGCTCGAGTCCAACCCATAAGCCAGGACCTAATGACGGCTTTCCTCCAAGATCCGGACAAGGTGAACGCTTCTGTACAAGCGATATTTGCACGCAAAGGCTTCTCAAGCATTGGCGAGTACAGCCAGCAAATTCCGTTCACATTTACCAGTTTCCATCTTGCCGCATACTTTGGACTTGTTGATACGATGCAATCTATGATTCAGTCTGGTTATCCATATATGGTACAGTGCTCAATGGAACGAACTTCCTTGGCGTGGGCAACATATGCGGGTCATATTGAGCCTGTCAAGCTTCTCCTGGGCCTTGGTATGAGCCCAATCGACTACGACTACGATGGTCAAAGCCCGATAACATTGGCGGCCTCGATGGGCTGCGCGGATATTGTGAGCCTGTTGTTGGAGCATGGTGCTCACGCTGATTCTAAAGATATTACGGGCCAGACTTGCCTCTCATTGGCGGCGTATCGTGGTCACGAGCGCGTTGTTGAACTGCTCCTCAACAATGGAGCTAATCCAGAATACAAAGATGAGACTGGCCAAAGCCCACTATCGTGGGCGGCTTCCAATGGATGGGTGGGAGTCGCTTTGCTCTTGCTGGAAAGGTCTGTAGATTTAGAGTCTAAGGATATGTTCGGTCGCACTCCATTGTCCTGGGCTGCAGAGAATGGGCATATTAATATGCTTACTCTGTTGATACAAAGGGGCGCGGATCCAGATTCTAAAGATGCAGACGGCCACACTCCCTTGTTCTGGGCATCACATTATGGCCACGAAACAGTAGTCCAACTGCTCCAACAGCAGCCTACAATCACACAAGCTCCGATTTTGAATAATATTGACAGCATGATACAAGAAAATGCTGAGCAGTCTACGCATCAGAACCCGTTTGACAATTGGTCGCGTATGAGATCAAGAAGCCGCAGAACAACCCTACGGAAGAATCCCACAGGCCAAACCCGATTCCATTGTCCGCTCTGCCTAGACAAGGTCGATCGGACAATTTACAGCAGCGCTGGTACATTCAAGCGACATGTGTATAATCGACACTATGCCCGGTTTGAGTATCAGTGCCCTGCAGCAGAGTGTTTTGATACCGTTAGCGGAAAATCTCGGGTATTCGCCAGAGTAGACAACCTGAGAGCACACGCGTTAAGAATGCACAAGCTGGACCTGACGCTTGCTGATAGGGATAAATGGCAACCACAAAATCCTTGCCCCGAGGCCTGCCCGGTTTGTCATGCTCCTATAGCTTCATGGGAGGCATTCCATAGCTGTATTTTGAGCCACTCATATCTCTAAAGCCCCCATTAAGCTGGATTATATACCAGGGGTGGACCTAAGGGAAGGAAGTAAATGATACTCGAATGAGAACCAGGACCAAGTTATATAGCGCGTATACCTTTGCTCCAGTTTCCAGAACAGTTAGAGAATAAAGCTACGGGATGTGCTTTGCACTGGGATAAGTGAGACATAAAGTAGAACCTGGAATGAAAGCATCAACCGAGCTAAGATAATGGCCACAAACATAAGGGATCAATCGCTTTGTATGAAATGTATGAGTAATAAACACGAATCTAATGGAAACCATGTCATATCGACTGCCTCGGCTCTGTAATGTCTTACCAAATGCTTTGTCCGCGTCTTTGATATATGACACGATGATTTGCATGATGATATAGTATCAAAGAACAGCTCATTTGGCGAGTTTTGGGGTTCATCACATACAAAGAAATAAAGATACCATACAGAATACTCTAACAAGATGTGAGATCAACGAATAATTCCCACACGGTACATCGCGAATGAAGAAACGACCTCAGGTATAAAAGCAGTTATATCTTTGATATTAACTCCCCAGATCAATTCCAAGCCAAATACCGGTAACTAGCATCCGTTCAGACTTGTAAAGAAATTATTTACTTTATTGTCAGGCTCCGACTCTCGACATGGGCAACCGCAAGGGCAACAACAAGGGCAAGGGTAGAGGTAAGAAAAGGAATCTGAGTGTCAACCAGAACAGCGCCGCAAAGAAGGTCGAGAACAAGCTTGAGATTGAGGTCGAGGGCGTTGGCAAACCCAGCAAACACCACTGTCTTCACAAGCGACCTAAGCATGTGCGGACTCAGCGATGCACTCGTTTAGGCCATGAGGTTGAATGCTCTATTCATCCTAACAGCTTCTCGCGACGACCAGGTGAGTGTGTGAAGTGCAACAGTGCAGACAGGCGACGAGTTGAACAAGAGCGCGACAAGAAGAAGTAGAGTAGCAGCGGGGGATTTATCTTGGTCTTTTTAGTTAACATATATTGACTCTTCCATCTCTCTTGTTGTTATATATTTCTGTAGAATTTCAACGGTGTACATGCATTGCTATTATTGGCCAAGACTCTGAGTCACTTGAATTATTACCCCTCCTCCTTGTTTTCCTCTTTCTCCTTCCTTTGTATTTCTTATTCTATATCAACCTCTACATTGAGCACCTTGAACAGCGAAGGCATTCACTGTGCCCTCGTAAAAAGAACCAGATGTGGGAGAATCAAAAACCATTGCATCTTGCCTTCCGAGCACATAATCGACATGTTATAACCTGTATGAAATTCGATACCGACAAGATTATAGCCGGTAGCGACAACAGCACAATTACTGTGCATGATATCAAGACTGGGGCGCTTCGAGCAACACTGGAAGGCCACGAAGGTGGTGTATGGGGACTTGAATACCATGACAATACTCTAGTCTCTGTGTCGACGGATAAAACCATCCGAGTATGGGACATTGCGAGAGCCGACTGCACCCATGTATTTCATGGCCACGCATCTACAGTACGCTGTATACAGATATTGCTCCCAGTTCAAATTGACCAGCGTCCAGACGGTACACCAGTGATGATTCCAGAACAACCCCTCATAATTTCGGGCTCCCGTGATTCGACCTTGCGAGTTTGGAAACTTCCTCAGCCCGAAGACTCGAAGTATTTGTCTCCTGCTCAACCCGACGAGGAATGTCCATATCATATCCGTGTATTGACTGGACACCAACATTCCGTGCGAGCACTTGCAGCATACGGGGATACATTGGTCAGCGGTAGTTACGACTGTTCCGTGCGACTTTGGAAAATATCCACCGGGGAATCACTACACAAACTAGACGGCCACACATCCAAGGTATATAGCGTATGTTTGGACCATAAGAGGAACCACTGTATCAGCGGATCGATGGACAACACGGTCAAAATCTGGTCTATTGACTCAGGTGAATTGTTATATAATCTTGAAGGACACTCGTCGTTGGTGGGCATACTTGATCTGAGAGAAGACTGGCTCGTGTCGGCGGCTGCAGATAGTACCCTTAGAGTTTGGAATCCTGAGAATGGCGAGTTTCAGTGCATGTTCGGTGGTCATACTGGCGCCATCACATCCTTCCAGCATGATGGTCAAAAGGTAATCTCTGGTTCTGACAGGGATGTGAAGATGTGGGACATACGGACTGGTGTGAGTGAAAGAGATCTCCTCACCAACCTCAGCGGTGTTTGGCACGTCCAGTTCGATGCCCAGCGTTGCGTTGCGGCAGTTCAACGCGGAGGCGTGACCTATATCGAGGTTAGTATGCATCCAACCTGATACATTGTTGATGATTTATTAATTCATGAAGGTTCTCGATTTCGGCGCATCTCCTGATACTATACCATCTGCCTGGTTGGGCAAGCGGGTTTTGGTTAATGAGCAAGGTGACGAGATTGAAGGCCCGAAATGATACTATCTGAATGATTAGAGTCACTACCTTCACCACCATGAGCAATTAATGTCAAGGCAACAAGAAGCAGAAGTCATTCCAATTGTTCGATTACAGCAACAATTTGTTCAAGGATCCGTAACGACGTAGCGCAAATAAGTACAATCTAAAATCATCAAATATGCCACAAAATTACTGTGTCCCTTGCTCCGCGAGTTTCAAGGCAGTATGTGTTGAAATCTCTGTAGCCACATGACCTTTTATCCCATAGTTAATAGACCACATTATCCACCTATCTGTATCACTCACTTCTAACCATTAACAGCATTCTCAGTATCACCAGAGTGTATTATCATCATAGCTTCATTCACCCTATAGACTCAAACACTAGGCCGAGTTTTGAATATCTCCCTTCTGAGTATTGTAATTCCCAGATGAAGCATGGCGTCTCCAGTGTACATCGCAACAACCCAAAACAAAGTGAACAAAATGGAGGATACTGCGATGAGGTATGTTAGCATGTGGTCATATATAAAGCATTTGTATGGTACAGCCCTTACCCATTAAAAACCATGAGTGATAAAGCAGCGATGGTGTTGTTCCTCCTCGAGCGCCCACTGTCTCCATTTACAGTTCCAAATGTTAGGCCAGTGATTCCGAAAAGCCACTGGAGAATAGTGAAGATGAGATCCAGAGCAATATGAGCACCAGGGTGGACAGGTCGTTTAAGGGCGATTAGGATGACATTGACTAGGGACCAGATCCCTGGGACGCCGACCTATAGTTCTTGGTTAGACTGCAATCTCAAGGAGGTTACTGTGATTTAAATATTCGGGTCCACGAACGATAATATAGTCTAACCAAGGCTCATTATGCCATGTGGCTCCGAGGATTGACATTATAACGACAGCTAGTAGCACGGCAAAGGCGCGCAGGCCTAGCCTGAACTTGCTGGTCTCAGGCGGTGATGCGTTGCTCATGTTGGTTGTTTAATGAGGGAAGTCACGTAATTAAATGTAATTCAAAAGATCCGAAGAGGATATATCCATCGTACTGCAACCAGGAGAAAGCTAGCCTATTTAAAGGAAGATGAAAACTGTCGCTTCGAATTCGAAAAATGGCAGTGCATATTGCCTTAGTGAAAATCATCGCTGGGCATAGCCTTGCGGCTTTTATTGACAGTGCTAAGCGAACTTCCGCACTGTACTTTTCTCCTGTATTAGTCTAGTATTGGACGAATGATAGGCTTGACGTTTCATTTTCATCATTGTGAAATTAGCGACTGCTAGGGTGTGCGAGTAAAATATGAAGGGCGTTTCAGGAATTGCCACGAAGCCGTAGGGACGGGAAGTTTGGCCCCATTGAGCCCCTATCAATGACGATCTATCAGCCTTAGCTTTGTAGATCTCCATGGCTCAGAGCCTCAAGGCGGAATGGAGTCGACCTCAGAATGATGAGAACTAAAACCCCACAGCCAGCAAGTCCTCGATTTCATGCTAAGGTTGATGGTTAGTACGGAGTGAATTTAGCAAACACAATTATCCAGGCATAGGATCTACTGGATTGATATGGGAGTATTTTCCATGGAAATTAATCTCCATGCATTGGGCGGCATCATCGCCTGAATCCTTCTTCGACTAGAAAAATCACACAATATCAATGGATTTAGGCGCAGAATTCCCACACCTACTTAGGAAGTTCACATGCAAAAACACTTATATCCAGCACATAACGCTAGGCAGAATTCTATATCAAATCCATGTAGGTGCAGGTGAGTGTTAGCCAATATCAACAAAGGAGGCCTGAACCAAATAACCTAGCTCACATTTATCGTCATAATGCGAGCAATTTATGACGACTTCAGGGAGCTGCTTGGTATTCCAACTATTTGTAGATTTCTAGTGAGGTCTTTCTGTGAGGTCTTTCTCCCTGGTAGAAGGCTGTACCTACTTAGATCTACAAAGAAAGGCTCGGTGTCGCTGCTACCTAGCTGAACGGGTCTTATGCTTTCTGTTAAGAATTTTTTGACAGCATCGTATGATTATCTGAAAGAAACGTGGAGTTTTTCAATAGTCCTTAATCTAGAAGTTAAAAAGTTTGGATTGGCTAGTGAGTTCACGGAAGGTGGAACAAGGTGAGGATTTCCTTGACGTTACTCATTCTCATGTGTTCGTAAGAGATATAAAAGTCAAGTCGACGAGTAGGAACTAACGTCTTGGCATTGCATCATGTCTTTTATATTTATTGTAGCCCCCACTCGAAGTGGCTATGCGCACGCGGCACAACGATGATCTTTCCCGAGATATCTCGATTTTGACATTTCCCTTCTCTTTTACTCCTTCCACACAGCCGTTGATTCTTTGAACATGGGGAATCCAGATATTTCCCACAGTAGCAAGAGTGCTGAAGCGAGTGCTGAGGCAGCATCCAACCCTCCACCATATTCTACTATAACCGAGCCCATCGATGAGCCACCGACCTACCAACGACCAAATGCATCACACAGGCTGTCCCGTAATGTGTCTCCTAGATCGGACGAAACAGTGGATATTGATGAATGTGTCATGCACCTGAAGCTTTTATCCGCGATCGCCAAACTTCGCAACTCGGTTAAAGGAACGGACAAACTTTTCGGAATTGACAATAATGAGGCTAGGAACTTTTCAAGTCCCCGTAAGCAAGGCGAGGCAACTGCCCGCATCCAGGAAAAAAGATGGGCTGTCTACGTGGCCAGAGCTGTGGATCGATTTACTGTTTGGTGGCAGACTTGCCTACCGAGTCTTGACACCAGTCGCGTCTCAACGCTGAATAGTTCACCTGAAGCCAAGATAGCTTGGTCTGTTAATGACATACCACCACTTGGTCAGCGATTCTGAATCTTGGAGCTGTGTTATTCTTTTCTAACTTGCCACATAGATGTTATCATGGTCTGGCATGCATATATGCTTAACCCGCGGGCCTTTCTCGAGGATTGCTTGCGTCAATCTAAAATGAGTGTATGGGCTACCGGACTGCCTTGGGATGTAATAGACGCGTGTATCGACGATGGTACGCTGGCCTTCGACCCAGGCACTGAAGCCAGGATAAACTTCGAGACAAGAACTGGCCATTTATGGGAAAATATTCATGGACGTCCTACCAAATCTCTGCTTTGCGTCGGTTGTAAGCAGGAAATCCTTGCTCCCTGGACGGAAGGATCCCTTGGATGCGATCCAGATGTTGCGTTTGCACACGGCATTGGATACGCGGATAAGTCGTTGCGGGTTCCATGTCCAGTATGCAAATCCAGCATCACACACGATTCGCTTCGCGTGCAAAAGTTCCGCAATGATGTGCAGAAATTGCTGAAAGATGATTTGCCTATGCCGGGCACAATTCTGTCGCAGAATGGTACCCCTGCCGACGATCAAAATGGTGATAACGTGTCCTTCCCAAACCGACTTATCAAGGAAGGCATCAGAAGCGAGCTCTTGCAGCTTACAGACCTCACCGAAAATGAAAGCACCACCATTGAAACAATTCGCGACCACCTCGAGGGATTCTTGAAGAGTCGTTCGACATTGCGTCGCGTGAACAAGACAATGCTGACTTCTGGGAATCCGGGTATGCCAGAAAGGATATCTCTTCGCAATGTGCTGTCGAGATATTGGGATAATTCGTCCCCCTTCGCCATCGACTTGATCGGGGCTGTCATAAGACAGGGAACATTTGTAGACAAGATGGACAATATCGGTTGGATACGTTCGCCAAACTTGAGATCGACAATGGCTCACTTCATCAGCAAGTACAACGTCTTCTTCCAAATAATGGCCAAGAATAAAGGCCATGCTGTGGTGCCGACTCTCGATATCGACCTAATTTGGCACACACACCAACTTTCTCCTGCTCGCTATTACGCCTTCTCTACCGCGCAGACAGAGGGCATATTCATCAATCATGACGACAAAATCGATGAGATGAAACTCAGCGATGCCTTCGCATGGACCTCAAAACAATACCAAAAACTCACTGGCGGCAAGATATACAGTGAATGCATCTGCTGGTATTGCGAGGCGGTCCGCGAGTCCAACAATCAGGGACTTGGCAGGTTGATGATATCGCCATCCACCCTCCATGCCAAAACCAACGCGGCTCGTCTTCATGACGGCGCCGATAATACCAGCGACCGGGGTAAAAGCCAAGGGCCGCATATTTCGTCACATAATGCAGTTCGAATCTTGGCCCAGGCTGATCCAAAGGCAATGCAGACCAAGAGCGCGCAACTTGAATCGTGCTGGGAGAAAGCGCAGCGGCGGTCACACAACCGCAGTGGCAGCAGAGGCGGTGGAGACCCAAAGGTTTCCTACGGCCCTTACGCGCGGGATCCGGAAATACTTCGTGAAATATATCCCTCCAACCCAGCTTGTGTGAATATCACCGCGGGTGTGGTGGGTAATTGCATCAGCGGAACACAGGGCGTCGGCCTTGCCCAAGGTGCATGTGTGAGTAGCACCATGTCTGCTCAGACAAGAGGGAAAGGTAAGAGCTTCTGTGCTGGTATGGCAGGTTGTGGTATGAGTTTGTAGCCGGTCGGTGAATCTATAGGGGCTGGGATTCCGAGCGCAGTGGCCTCCGAGTCAACATAGAAACCAATGAACAGTATATATATGAATGCGGAATGCGCGAATATCCTAGTCATAGTCAGGATCGCAAATGAACTCAAGTAACAGCAGTGCCTATAAGATGAGGAACGTAGCCTCGGTCTCAGAAAGTTGTGCACGAGGAAATATCTTACTACCGCGCCGAGCGAATTCTCGAACAGCGGGTCTAGTCAACATCCTAGCTCCCTAAATGAGACATGTACTGTCTTGACTCAGCTAGCGCATGTCAGCCGCTTCTATTAATCTATTCCGCTCGGGTGTTACTTTCCTTCAAAATTCCGCTCGTAAATTTCTAATTGTCCGAAAAGGATATCGAAGTCCATCCGGTAGTAATTGTGAGAACTAGTCTAATTGGTTGGGTCAAACCCAAAATAAAATCTAGTGCAGGAATATCTTGCCCAAGACAGGCAGTAAATGCGTCCTAAATCCGACCAGCGGATCTAGCACAAAAATCATAAGTAGGAACAGGATACTATCCATGATATCATGAACGCCCTGTTGACGAACCAGCGAGGGTATAACTTTACATGCAATGTAGAGTACACGAAATCAAAAGGATAGTATAGAAGCGGTCTCAGCCACAAGATATGAAGGCAAAGAGCTTCACAGAAGCAAGCCCATACCCGCAATAGCAGCACCGAGAAGGGATGAGCCCGCACGGACTGTTCCGGCAGCGTTGTTCGTGGGCGTGGGGGAGGCAGTGGACGAAGCGCCAGAGCCAGAGGCAGCAGACTTGGAAGCGTTGGCGGTCATAATACCGGTTGATGTTGCAGTTGCCGAAGGCGCGACGACGATTCCGCCAGCAGCGGTGGCAGGAATGCGTGCACTAGATGTGGCATTTCCAGAGGATTTAAGGTCCTCATTCGCCTCGAAGACGTTGTAAGTCTCCTTGCCGCCGCCTACATAAGAAATATGCTGTTAGTGATGATCTTGGTGCGGTGGTATATGTAACATTGCGGATAACTCACAGGTTTCGTCAGGCCATCCAGGGCAGGTCATGTCGCACTTATCGTCGGCGACCTTAGCGGAGTCCGAGGGGACTTTATCGCCGCAGTAGCAAACATTGCCACGGCTGAGAGCAGCGATCTTGAACTCTTTGCGTGCGCATTCGGACTGGCAGTATCCTGGCGATTGGAAGGTGTAGGGACCTTGACTCTTGAATGATTCAACTTCGGAGTAGCAGCCCTTACTAGTGGAGCTAGCCGAGAATACGGGAAGGGCCAGGGCAAGAGCCGAGAAAATGTAGTTGGTACGCATGGTTGGTTGTAGGTGAAATATTCGATCAACGAGTGAAAATTTTATATGATAAAAGCGAGGGGAGGTGAGAATTAAAGGAAAGAAGAGATCAAAAGAGTGGGAAATGTCTGACAGTCGGAATTGACGGAGAAAAAAAATGGCCCCCATCAAGCTTCTTTAAAGCGACCGTTTGTCCGGTGTCAAGAACACCCGTCGGGCTCCATCTTTTTCGAGTGTTTTGCTGTGGAGTGAGACAGGGACTGATGACATCAGTCTCCAATTGACTTACTAAAAGTAGCAAATGATCAACCTGAAACACTAACCGAAATGTTCTATTGAACTCGTTCTGGGGCTTGATTGGCGTTATTGGCTTACGAGCTAACGATCACCAGATCAGCATCCCCAGGTGTTGCCACTTCTTTCCCTTTTTAGTGGCCAATGACCGCGGATGGGGCCGTAAGACCCAACTGGGATGAACTTGGGAAACAGATTTCGTGTTTCTAGTTTTTCCGCTTGACTCGATTAAGTATAGAGCAGTTTTAGGATGTTGCATCTGTGAGGAATCTGACATTGTTGGTCGCCAATGACCCCTTGTTTCTCCTTTTTGGTCTGGTATGAATTATTTCTGTCTACATATTCTGCAAGGTACAGAAATAGTTATTGATGTGTATGTTCTCTGTATGTTCTCCGTAGATAGATGTTGTATGAGAAAAACAATTGACATTAAAATTGAGTACAAAATATATTTTGGATCCATGGTTCAATCGAAGCTTCCATGTTGTGGGATGCCTCGTTTATCAGGAACATCTCAGCCCTAACAAGGATTAACTATCTCCTTGGTCAATTTCCACCTAACAAACTACTAAAACTAGGTACGTCATTTTGGTCTAATGATACGGACAGATGCAGGAAGGGAATATCTTGACTGAATTAGGTTAATCGTCGTGAAGTGAGATTTGCGTTGTAACCCTACCTCGGCCTGGAATATTCCCGCCGAACCCCCGTTGAGTAGGTAGCATTTGCTAGCTTTGTCAGTGGTGATACCTATACTCCGAACTTCTTCTACATAAGTCAGGCATCTAGCGGTATTATGTACAACATGTGTGTATATCAATGATCACCGGTTCAGATCGAAATAGAAGCCGCCGAACTAAGTAGATCAAGCAAAGTCAGGGCGTGGCAATTGGTCAATATTCCGATTTCACTATGAGATCTGGGTTGACAAGTCAATCGCATAGAAACTTAATCTCCTAGTACATCCTACTGGGATTGGTTAGGCAAACATGATATGATGCCAATGGACATCTGACTACCTAGCCTCAACGAGGCCAAAGTCTGAGTATGCTACGTGGCTAACAGAGAACAATATCACCAGGAGTTAGGTCCTCAGTCGGCGTAATATTCTGGTGAACAGCTTAGCGTGGCTACTAATAATAATAAGTACAACATATACATTTTTTTGTGACAACCCATGCGCTAGCTATTATTGACTTTCCTTTATTTTAGGTACCAAAGAAGCAACTTCTAAATTGGGAAATGCCGAGGAATACCCGAACACAGACTATTTCATGGCTGTGACACGTCGATGCTTACTTTATCTTGGCTTGAAGCCTGCACCACCTAGCTTCATTCTTCGTCGTATATCACATGACATCCCCGTTTGCTCACATATTGGTGGTAACTCAATAGTTCCTTCATTCCTTCATCTCTCCACACCCCGCGTGATTTACTAGATCCCCCTTTCCTGTAAATTTCATGACCTCTCTTCCCTCGACTCTATTTGGCCATGGTTCCCCCCAACGTGTCCAGTGCACGCTACACTTACCCCAACTCTCGGCAAAACGGCCATCCTGATAGGGCAATCCGCCATCGGGAACGGCCGCCAGCCGAGCTGAGAAGAGGGGAAGAATGATAAGATAACAATTGGCGTGCTCTCTCTAGCATATCGTGAATCACTTCACGCCAATTCTTTTAAAATCTTTGGATATTTGCAGTCTAAAGTTTTGAGTTAACGAAAATCCGACCATGAAAGCTGTCGCCCTTCTCAGCCTGGCTGCAGTGCCATCGCTAGCACTCAATATCCCCATACAACAGCTTCTCTTCCCCGACAAATTGTCGGGGAGTCATTATAACCCCTTATCGAACCCACCCACACGGGAAACCTGTCCGCAGCCGCCTAAGGCCGGCACCCCCAATGATGGCCTACACTCGTCGCAGACCTTCCTCTTCGACGATGCCTTTCGTGCCCGTCAGGCAGAGCGGCTCTCCCGCGCGGTGCAGGTTCCGACCACAGTGGGTGATTATATGACAGACCCATACGATGAGGGATTCGAACCTGTAGTAGAATTCCAGGAACTGTTGGAGGAGATGTTCCCTCTAGTGTAAGAAATCGTCCAATTATTACGCATTGGCTACCATTACCGAAGGGAGAAAATGCTAAATAAATTACATAGCCACAAGCACGCCAAGGTTGAGCACATTAACCGCCTCGGTCTAGTCTTCACCTTTGAAGGTGTCGACACTTCCCGCAAGCCGCTACTCTTCATGGCCCACCAGGACGTCGTGCCAATCGACGACCCATCAGACTGGACCCACCCGCCCTTCTCAGGTCTCTTTGATGGCGAATGGATCTGGGGTCGTGGCTCAAGCGACTGCAAAAATGTCCTTATCGGACTAATGTCCGCAGTCGAAGATCTGCTCTCGCAGAAATGGCAGCCACAGCGCACGGTTCTGTTTGCCTTCGGGTTCGACGAAGAATCACATGGCTTCCTAGGCGCCGGAGCCATCTCTGCAGCTCTTGAGGAAAAGTATGGCAAAGACTCTTTCGAGTTCATTCTCGATGAGGGCGGAATGGGACTGCAGAGCCTGGGCGACGAGTCCGACCCCAATGGCGAGATCTTGTATGCTCTCCCGGCTGTCGGCGAGAAGGGAAGTATTGACATAATTATCGACATAGCTGTGCCTGGTGGTCACAGCTCTATTCCGCCCGCGCACACCGGCATTGGTATCATGGCGGAGATTTTGTACGAGCTCGAGCGGAAGGAGCTGTTCCCCGCCTGGTTGGATACCAACCATCCCGCCCATGGAATGCTTGAGTGTCAGGCACGGTATTCACCCGACCACGTTGAGACATGGCTATCTGATAAGTTGAAAGCAAATGATCCTGCCGCTCTAGGCGAAGCTGTTGCCAGCTCCCGCGGTCCTGCAGTCCGCTATACAATGCAGACATCGCAGGCGATAGACCTGATCCACGGTGGCGTGAAGTCAAACGCGCTGCCAGAGAAGATATCAGCGGATGTCAACTACCGCGTGGCCTTACATCAGACACCTGATGAGGTACTCGAGCGCGCTATCCGACTTATCAGACCTATTGCGGAATCTCATAACCTTACTCTTCGTGTCGCATTCCCTGGTGTGCCGGAACCCACGGAAGGAGATATGAGCGACCGTACTCTCACCCTGTCCCCTCTTAGTGTTCCACTTTCCCCAGCTCCGATCTCGCCAACAGATCCGCTCACATCGAAGGTGTGGGCACGCTTTGCTGGTGTAGCACGTAATGTCTTCGAGTCGCACTCAAACCCTCTTTCCAAATCTGCTTCTGGCGCGAAGCCGACAGTTGTTGTCACGGGAGATGTCATGACTGGGAATACAGACACGCGCTTCTACTGGTCTCTGTCGGAGAACATCTACCGTTGGAGTCCGTCGCGGGTCGGCGGATCGCTGAATATTCATACCGTGGATGAGCGTATTCGCTTGGATGTGCATCTGGAAGGCATGATGCTTTACTATGGTATGTTCTCTTTTCGTTCATTGTGCATTTTAGGAAACTGGCTAATTTATAACAGATTTGATTCGGTCTTTCGACACTTGGGATGGGGAATCTAAGTGAACATAATACTCTCCATTGTCAAAGTCTTCGACCTATATACATGAAGGTTTGGTACATTCGGTATAAACTGTCTTTATATTTAAAAATTCCTCCATTTGGTCGAGTCCTCATTACATACTGCTCTTGCATTTAGCTAGAAGAATATGGTCATTTCTCAATAGATCACTTGGTTATTACACACCCCTGACGGGCTTGGACAGAGCTAAGTACGATGGTTGTGCTTTTACACATTTTCAATGTGATTGAAACACAGCTATATCGAGTGTTGGTAAAAATACCTCAGATTTTGCAGTGCATAGGATATTGCAGCACAGGTTTGTCATAAAATTGATGTATGATTTGATGCTGAGACATCGAACATATTACCAGATGATACGGATCGATGACCGAAGTCACAAATACCGTCACATTTTCAGACGGATGTATATGCGAGAATCTTAACAAAACTTGCAAAGCCCATGCCAAAATGCAAGGCTGTAGAAGGGTATAGGCAAGAAAAAGACACTACGAAGTCTTGAATCAAAGCAGCGAACGGAACGTGTCTGGCAGTAGGTATACTGGGCCAGAACTTCTTAGCGAAGCTCTTTAGAGGGAGGAGAGCGATGAACGGGGAAATTCCAGAAAGTGTTATAAGTGAAATAAATCAACAAGAAGCGAAGGCATCCGCTAGCGGACGAGGAGAGGAGCGAAGGAACCACCCATGACGGGGCGAGCGACGAAATGATTTCCAGGGTAACTGGGTTTCATCAGCGAGGATCATAAAGGATTGAGTGGTATATTGACTTACCCTCCTGTTTCAGTTTCGTATAGATCGGTAAGCGCTCGGTTTGTTGTTGTCTCGTTGATCCAGGTCGCGAGATCATTGATAAACATAGCCCGCGTGGAGACCGAGCTGACTGCTGCGGCAAAGCACTCCCAGTCACCTATTGAACTGTAAGTAATTTACCCATACATGGCGCCGTCGGGGGTTTTACCTTTGGTGTATGTGTGACGGGTGTCTAGAGGCACGCCGTACCTGTTTTCAACAGTCGGGTAGAAGTCACTCTGCATCTGATAGACAGACTGTGGAACAAGATTCAGGCCTAGCTGGGCATCGGCGAAGAGGTTGTACAGCAGACCTGCGGAAATTGGTAAGCAATGTTTCATAGACTCAAAATAAAGGGCTGGACCTACCATGGCTGGCAGTATCGCCGTACGACAACGTAGTCCGGGGCGGGTTAGCATTCTTGGCAATAGCCAGGTTCTGCCACTGAGTGATGTAGTCTTTGGCGATTCTCGAGTATTCGGCAGCGTCCGCGGTGTGACCAGTCTGTTTGGCAATTACGGACATGGCCTGGATACCGATCATGCCCTTGAGTGCGAGGTTGGTTTGGTTGCTAATCATGCTGGTTAGTGTTGAGAGGTTCAGGAAGAGACGGGATCACTCACGCTAGGGGGCCGGCAAAGTCGTCGGTGGAGATCTGATTTGCTGGGTAAAGCGAGTCCTCAACCAAATAACTGGTCCACTGCTTGAGGAGAGGGTAGTGGTCATTCAAGAAGTCGGAGTCACCGGACTTTTGCACATAAGCTAAAGACATGATGAGCATATTTCCACACTCTTCCAATGGCATTTTTTCATCGCTGCCATCCGAGTGACCAGTAGCGTTCGGGTAGGAAGAGCCTAGATCATGCATGGAATAGTTGTTTGGGTACTTTCCAGCTTCCTGGTTCTCAAGCAAAGGATTGAGGACGAGCTTGAGGAGTTGGGGGTTGGTGTATAGGAAAATTGGGTAGGCTGGGAAGATCACATCCACAGTATTCATGTTGCCATTGGAAGAGATTTCCTTGAGGAAAATGTACATTTTGTCCTGTGTACCACAAAGCTGGGTAGCACCAAATGCCTGCCGAACTGACAGCGCAGTGATAGAGAGATAGTCTTGACCAGCTGTGGCAATTGAATCCTGGGACACTCTACTATCCAGAGAGCTCGAGAGCTTGCTCGATTCGCTATAATCATGGTGGAAGAATGAAAGAGCGGCCAACTCTGTATTGAAATAACTCTTCCACAAAGACGGTACTGGACCATACGCTGAAGCACCTTCGTATTGAATGGCGTTGTCCTGTGTCAGACCGAGCGAGAAGAGTGTGCCGACAGGCGAAGAGCTGACCGAGCCCAGATCGGACGAGAACCCAAAGACAGGCCAGGCAGAGGAGATAGCCCGGAAGTTGGTGTCGCGGCCGTTGGTGAGTCTGCCATTTTTCGCGAACTGACCACGGACATCGTTATCCGCACCGGATTGGTAAGTCATGCCTTTCGAGTTGTCGGTGGCCCAGTACCAGTTACCCCATTCAGCCTGCTGGCCCTTTTCGGTAAAGGCCAGCTGAGTCTGTCGGCGTACCTTGTGGTAGGCCACACCGTCAGTGGTACCATACTCCCATTCTGCGATAGCATTTCGGTCACCCGACACCCATTCTAATATTTTGTCAATTGCTATAGTCAAAGTAAGAGACTTGGGCACCAACCTGCAGAGATATCCGCGTAGACTTTCACATCATGCGTCTTGCCGTCAAGGGAAGAGACATCGACCTTAAGATATGAGAAAACGAGGGACTGGCGTTTGAGGTCGCTAGGTGTAATAGGTGACAAGAAAGTTATCTTCATCTCAATCTTATTCTCCACGTTCATAGTGAAGATGCTCTTAGTCGAAGTATATTCGAACGCGGTCTGGTTGACAGTTTTGGATCCGGGGAGACCCATCCAAGTATAGGTGTTCCCGTCGACCCGGATCAAACCTGCCCATCCATTGACCTGGTTCCTATTTATATTTCATTATTATGAAGCTTGCATATAATTCAAATGTGTGTGATTAACGTACTCCCAGAAGACAGGCCATTGACCGGCCAAGTACCCGCCATTGCTGCCCTCGCTTCCTGCATTGAGCCAAGTGCTCAGATACGGGGACCTAACAGCGAGGGGTATCGCTGGGGGACGGGCAGGGGAGAAGGTCGACTGTGCTCCAATAGAGGACACAAAGGAAGCGACCAGCAGACCGAGGCGATACAGCTGCATTATGGAGTTGGGCGGGAGAGAGGTATGAGACACAAAGTCCAATGCAGGAGCAAGTCCGCTTTGTTATTTATTTGCAGGAAAGGGAAACCAGCTCTCGGGAGCTTGGCTGCATAACACTCTAACAGAATGGTTGAAGAAAGGGATCGGCGTTTTGTTTACAGGAAAGGAATGCCATCGACATTTTTATAGTCGAGCTCAATCTGCCGAGAGAGGGGGGAAGCCAAAGGCCCCTCCGAGACCCGCATGCCAGAATGCGCTCTCTATGGGGGAATATCAAAGCGGCTTGGCATGATGAAAGGTAGGTAGCAGCAGACCTGCATGTCATGGCTCGACAGCTTCCAAGGACACTAATCTGCTGACCTCGGTCCCGGATAAAAGAAGATTCATGCTAAGAGAGGGATAGAGTGACGTGAGGGGGAGTCAGAACAGGGGGATATGAGCAGAAGGGCCGTGTAAATGGTTATAGACTTTCCTCGAATGAATTTTCAAAGTCAAAGGCCAAAACGCGGTCTAGTAGTTTTCGGAAGTAACGGCATATCTTCACGTCGCATGGAAGACAAGCAGCGGTCTATGCGGATCGACCAACTAAGTGGCATCAGTAGCCAAGAGCATCTTGGTAATCTGACTCTAGCTGCACACCTTGCAGATGACGGACCACACAGTGGCATGGCGGAAATAAAGGTGTGGAGAAGAAGCGTGTGGTAAGAGGTATAAGGAAATAAAGGCTGCAGAAGAAAAAGGAAAGGTGGTTTGGGCGCATCGCCGATAGGCCCAGGGCAAATAATAAGGCACGAGCCAAGTGAAGGGCCAAGCGCACGTCCTTCGTGATACCATCATGTGGACTTTCCTGGGTCTGATTTAATGCATGATAACATGTATCAGGTCTTGATCTTCAGTGCCCGATGAATCTGCGGGGAAATGGCGATCAGTAGCGTGGCATGCAACCCATCAGAACATAAAATGAAGATGAGTTGAATAGCCACGGTATCTTCGGTATGGTCTCGGGAACCTGCAGTAAATAATGAGACAATCGGATGCCCATGAGTTTCTGGCCTCAAATCAAAGGGTTTCCCCTTGCAGAAAATCTCGTCTCTTCACGTGTCACACTTGGTCCAAACAGCCCGGTCGGAGACGGAAGGGCTTGAAAGTTCCATTTGTCCTAGATGCTTATGACATGCATGTAGCTTGAATATGTACGGAGTAATACTCCGTATATTAATCTGGGGTCGCGTGCACCACGTAGTTAACTGTAGTAAATGCATCGAGTTAGTTCATGATCCACTTGCTATTGAGTCCTCCTTGCGTGCCATGTAAGTTTCTTTTTACGGAATTCTCCAAATAAGAAAATACACCCCCTGATCAAATTGAAATTCAAAATGACCAAATCTAGGATTTCGGTTTCCGTTTCCCGAGTATATCTCTCTTTTCATCAGAGTCTAGACTATTAGCCTTACTACTGTGTCATCGCCTGAAGGGCTTAAGTACACCCCGTGATCTTGTTCTGATAATTTACTTACATAATGACCTCGGGGCTTCCAAGACTCAGTGTGATCGTGTGCCACTGACCACAGGAATAACAGGGCTCATCTTTAGGTGCCTTTAAGCTCCAAACCCCTCCAAAGCAATGTGTGTACTCAGAAGACAACTTTCGGGGTTAATTCAGCATGTGGAGTTACTTCTAGTATAGACTTTTGATACTCCTGCCGATCAAAAGTCCACCTACCTCCACTCATTTGCTTGTAAGGCTTGGATGTGCGAAGTATAAGTCCGTTTATGATCTACTTCTGTGTGATGATTACCAGGTGACATATATGAAACATCCGCCGATGAGCCAAAATAATCATCATAGCCTAACATACTAGTTAATCCTAGTTTTCTTACATATCAAGCATATGCTTAGTACAAGATCTTTATACATACTTTCATTTCCACAAAAGTCCGATGCATAGTATGTCAATGTAACCCTGAAACGCTTATAACAAATTACGCGATTGGTTCACTAACCCTGACCCTTGTTGACCAAAATTCATAATCAAGAATGAAAGTCAACATTCACGTTGAAGACCTAACGAGGGAAAACGGCTTACTCTGTGTAACAGCAAGAATATAAAGAATGAAAGCAAGAAACGTAATAATCGTGCGAAGCGCACCACCAGCTATTCGGGGTTAGGTAGTGGCTTTGCTGTTTAGCAGATCATGGTGTAAAGCAAACAGTGAAGTAATCTGGGTCAACCTCAGATTTCTTGAAAAGGAGTCTCAAAGTAGCCTGACACATATCCAAAGGCCTCTCTAATCAAGCCACCACATCCCTCCAGTTATAATCTTCTATCCAACACGAAAAAAAACGCTCTGAAACACCTGATGCCAACCAATAATATTGGAAGGCACAGATACATTCTGTCGAACCACAAGTTCTGGTGAATCAAACACTTTCGAGGGCCTCCTCCCATCATCATCCTGCAGAGACGAGGACCTATCACTACACGCGCCGCTCGGTAACATCACCAAAGTTCTACAGTTAACCTCTCATTGCAGCACTTTAACAACATCAATGTGAAGCCCCACTGCGCAGGGCTTCGGTTTAGATGATCAGAGTGACAGAAGTGTTTACAATACTACTGCGAAGGCCATTGGCACTAGTACTGCGTGTATTCAAACTGAACTCTGAGCCTTTCCTATTGCTCCGAGTTCCACTAATATAGTAGTGCGCAGTGCGGACTAAGCGAAGTCATATAATTTATTCCCGAGTCCTTGAGTCTCTCATAGATCCACTGCGACCCTTATCTTAGGAGTGGGTCGTGACATTACCTCCCTCCTTTTATGCGTCTCGCCCTCGACGTGCTCTTGGCTCCGTCTCTTCTTTGTGCTCTTCCTGAGCTCTCTGGGTGCGTCCTTTGTTGTCTTCCCGGGTGAGTCCCGTGACAGTGTCGCTTCTTTGTTTACTATAAATGTAGTACTACAACCTCTTTGGGGGTTTTTAAAGGCTGTGTCCCCTTCTCTCTAGAGAGTATACCCCTATACTCTTCTTTCCACGATAGCTATCAACGATAGTATAACTAACTAAATTCCCGTAGCTACGCCCGCTACCCCTACTAAGGCATAGTATATGCGGTGTATCAACTCCATCGCGACTATCCCGACTGGCGTATGTTATAACTCCGTTGCTAGTACGAAGTGCTAGTATTGTCATTAGGCCTATTAGGCTTATATTATAGTAAGTCTCTCCTTAGCTTCTGCTAGCTTCTCTGGTGGTGTGTAGGTCGATCCTCGGCTTGATGCCGTCGCCAATGCGGTTATCCTCGCCCTCCCCCTCCGCCGCCTACCGTTACTGGAGAATTGTCGACGCGGTTTCGAAGGCTTCTGGCCGGTATAATGGGACCTGTGTTGGGTCTTTCCAAGTTGGGTGGGGAGCACGAATCCTCAGATAGACCAACAGAGGGTGTACGGCCTCGGCGAAAGTGGACGGCGAGCGGGGACGAAGCTCTTCACGAAGAAGCTCCCAGAAGACCATAAAGACCACGAAGTCTAAAAAGACCTGCACGTGCAGATTCCCTAACACGTCGGGGAGCGCAAACCCATTCCACGCGAATCTACCTAGGACCACGCGAATCCTCGCAACAAAACTCCTCCAAAGACCCAAGATAGGTCCTATTATAGCGACTAGAAGCCTTCGAAACTACGTCGACAATTCTCTAGTCACGGTAGGCGGCGGAGGGGGAGGGCGAGGCACGGTGGGAGGAGCAGTATTAGCGTTAATCGCCGAACTGAGAGCGTTCCGAGCGCTCTTAAATGCACCCAAGGCGACGGCGCGAGCGGCAGGCGTGGGGGCGAGGATAACCGCATTGGCGACGGCATCAAGCCGAGGATCGACCTACACACCACCAGAGAAGCTAGCAGAAGCTGAGGAGGTAGCTACAAAATAAACTATCTAACAATAACTATTGTAGCGCTAATACAATATCAGATCAACTTCGCAATTGCGCGGCAACACAGCCTCCTCTCAACAAACCTTACCGAGTCTAGTGATGAGCCCACATCAAGAGTGCTTCCATGTGCACATGGCGCCTAAAAACGGAGAATTTGCCCACATGCTGGTCGCAATGTAGGTCGGGCTCGCAGCGAAGGGGTTGGGTAACAATTTGGCGTTTCAGGGGCCATCGTGTGGGTTTACGATATGGCCTTCGTCCTAGGTCGAAAACTATGGCGGAAACATTGTGGGATGAAGGCCTGGGAAATATGGCAAAAAGGCGGACACACCACGGGCCTGGGCATCTTCATTACTTCGGTAAGCAGTCTGAAATAAATCCTACAGTTAGTACAACTACTCCGTAGACACAGGGGGATGCTAGGGTGTTAGGAGATGCGTGTGATTTAGGCGGAGTATCCTTTGGCCTATTATGTTCAATAAACTCTCTGATTTCACCATGTTGAAAAAGGAAACGAATATGTTAATCAGTTAAAATTTTCGACCGTTTTGCAGTTTAAGCTTCTGAGACAATCAATTAATCAAGTGGCTGTTAATCTCGGAGGAGAACCGGGATCGGTCTTCGTAGCCCGGGGACCATTACGGGCGGGGATTACGGGCGGGGACTAGCGGGGACTAGCGGGGGTCAGTGATCTCCGCTTACCCTAATTACCCTAATAGGTACTACCCATGAAAACCTTATAAAAACAGAGTCTTGGCACATAGGCTACAGAATAATTTTGAGTCCATTATGGGCGTAGATCCTTGCCCAGAATACTGAATTGAGTTCAGCCCCAATAAGTTCCTGGAGGCTCTTCAAGTCTTAGCCTACTGCTGCTTTTTGCACAAGTCACGAATTTATTGATGTCTGAGCTAAAATTTACGTATAGAATACACATTACCAATATCACCTAGCAACTTATCGTTTAAATAGGACCCAAACAGTGGACGAAAGGAATCAAAACAACCAAGTAGAATCAACAGAAACGTAGTCAACAGAGGGAGAAAGCAAAATTGACCGGCAAGGAAAGGCCGGGAACTATTCTTCCTTTCAAGCTGCCTCCCCAGTAAGATGTCACACCCGAAACACAGCTTTTCCCTTTGCCCGTCATAGTGCCTATCTTCTCCCCCACTTCTTCTTCAAAGGTCTTCCTGCAGTCTGGAAGGCCTGGATTATATACGCACCCCCTCCCTCTGGAGTTCGCTGCACAAAGAGTGCCCCCATCATAACGTAGAACACCACGACAATACCAACAAGAGCCCCCTGAAGCCCCTGCATATTTTTACCACGCGATATATACAATGAATCACCAAGGTCTTTTTGTTTCCCGGATGCAGAGGAATTAAGCAACGCATTCAGGCCCTGTAGAGAGCCGAGAACAGTCACTAGCGCGAGGGCAAGTGAGAAGGCACTCAAAGTGATTGCAATCACTAACATTACCTTGTATGACTTCTTCCTAGATGTGCCTGTGCGAGCAACGAAGAGCATAATTCCCGAGACGAAAAATAGGACGACGTGTATAAGGGGAGGTTGGAAGAAGAAGACATTCTCTTGGAGATGCTTGGCTTGTGGGAGGGTGGTGTTGAGGAAGGACTGAACGTCCGATTGAGTACTAGAAGAGGCGAGGTCCAGAGGCTCCCATAGATCTTCGCTTAGCTCTTCCCGATCTTTGCGGCGCATATTCGTGACGCAGTGGGTGAATGTTTGTGCGGAGGAATTGCCATCGGGGGAGTATGTCTCAGCTGCTTCAGTGACCGATACACATCCTCCTACATACAGTCAGTTGGGGTGAATCTTTTCCACAATCTCTGTTCATGAAGAAATTTTGATTTTTTTGTGTACTCACCGAAGTAACCCACACGAAGTGAGATATGGTTTGTCCCGTTTGTTGAGAGTTCAGCGAGGTAAATTTCATTGGCCTGTGCCGTTGTCGAGACGCAGCTAGTCATGATATAAACTGGATACCGTTAGGAACATACTGTGCCATGCGCTTTATTAAACTTACGACCCAGGACGATGGCCACCAGATAGGATATAACCGCCAGCAACACGGCACAGCATCCCGACATTTTTCCCTTTCGATTGCCTACTACTCGAACATTAGTGTCGTCCTCAAGATGTTGTAGTACAAGGGATCGTCAATTTTCTCACTTGGCTTCTCAAGGACGACCGTTTGTCTCTGTGGAACAGGCGCATATGCTGGTGCATACTGAGTTGTGCTCGGATAAGGATGAGGAGTTGCAAGGTGAGCTGCACTAGTAGATGTAGTTGACTTTTTCTTGCCAGTGGTCTTCTTTCCCGTCTTATCAGTCTTCTTTCCTGTCTTCTTTACCCCAGACTTGACCTTCTTTCGCGGAGGTGTTGAAGAGCTGGAATTCTCCATGGTGCACGGTAGGTAATGAAATGGAATAACTTCACAAGTTGTCTGTGGCCAAAGTCACGCTCAAATATGGATAAGTATAGGGCTGTTGTATGCCTTTATGTACTCCAGTTGAGCTATAGAGGCTGTCTTATTGGGTGAGTAGTAAGGGAAAAGGATACTACATTATCTACATCTCAGCCACAACCACGAAGTTTGCATGTCTTCTATCACTATCACATGGCATATCCACATCTACCTAGGAAGTTTAAGCAACCCATGTATCTCCATTAAACTACGGAGTAGTAGCGAATGCGGTTCGTCCCGAAAGCGTTTTTCCTCGTGTCCATACTTGGCAAAAAGGTGGCTTGCCGATCTTACACTTCCGTGTCCAATGGGAGAAAGCCCACTAGTCTGGATTCATGAATAATTGCAGTAGAAACTGATAATCTCATACCTTGTTTGCTTTGGTGACCCTTGGCATTGAATGTCTCACAACTGGACATAGTGCTCGTATCTTCGAAAAAGCAACATCAAAAATCAAGACTCCCCAGTGGCCAAGAAAAAGGGGCGGGATGTGGTCAGCCTCCACATATGCAGCTTAAATCTGTAGTAGGTTCGACTAGCCTTACAACCTTGGAAGTTCATACTTTTGGCCGAGTCAGCCTTGACAAAGCCCGGCCGAGTCTATGGAGTACTGGCCCTTACTATGCCACGAGCAAAAATGAGCCTATATTTAGCACTTTGTATTTTAATCTACAGTGTCATAAACGATAGAACCCAGGCTTTTCAAAAAAAATCTGATTTGCTCCTATGTATCGATACACTGTGGATAAAGAGTATTGTTGAACACACGGTAAATACATCCGAAAAAGCAAAGTCTGGATTCAAAAACACGACTCAAAAATCCTAGTCATCTCTGATGGCACCCGTTCAAGGTCAGTCACTGCCTGTAAAGTTGTGGCTGATGCCTGCAGCGCCCAACTCCTTCAAGACCCGCAGTGGCTGTGTGGGGGATATTTATGCACACGTATGGTACCTTAGGTAGCATATTGCGATTAGTGCTATCTTGCAGATATAGCACACTAATCAAATCCCGAAAAACAAGACATGCGCATTTGGCCCCCATATTTGGAAAACGGCGGGGGCTTAGCCCAGATGAGCAGTGTGATAGAACTCAATTTTGGAAGTCTATGAGGCTCAATATCAAAGTATCTCTACCCTGCCCCCGGTGCTTTTATCCCAAGATTATTCCTCTCCTTGCAGACCTCACCTTGAGGCCATAAACTCCAATTGCCACATATTCCTCCACCTGGGCATGCCCTTGTACAAGAGACTGAGATACATAACCCGTCTCTGCCAAAGGTTCAATTGGAGTTTACATACCTCCGACATTTCGCCATGTCTACATTTACCGCACCCATTCATTTCAATGGGCAAGGCTTCACCGCGAAGCTTTCACTCCAAACAAAGATTCCGAAGCCCGATAAGCACGATGAGTCTAAGGCCATTGACATTGTAGCTGTCCACGGGCTGACCCCCTGGGAGTCCTTCGCGGGTCCTTCCTTCTGGCTGCGCGATTTCATTGCAAAGGATATTCGTGGTGCTAGAGTGTTTACATTTGATTACGATTCCAAGGCAGTCTGGCTATGCGGAGCGCCATTGAAGAATATCCAAGACGTGTCCAGGGCCCTGCTTGCTGAAATAGCCGCTATCCGGGAAGGAGTCCCAGTGGCACGACCGCTAGTATTGATCTGCCATGGCTTTGGTGGTTTTATGGTTGAATCCGTGAGTCTTTTTATCACCCGACACACTCCTTCTGTGGTGAGTTGTGGCTAACACATTGTGGAACACAGTGCTTGAATGATGCCTTCACACACCTCCCAAATATAATCGATTGCACCCGGGGGATTCTGTTTCTGAGTGCACCGCAACGTACATCGCCAGAGGTCCCGTGGGAAACGCTCTTGATGCGCTGCGCGAGAGACAGCATACATCTGGGAGACGTCCAGTGGGAAGAAACCAGTGCAACTGTTCTGGGCGATATCTCCGAGGGCTTCAAGGCAAAGGCAAAGGCAGCTAAAAAGATGAAACTGCTATTCTACTACGAGGATCGTTCGACGCCTCCACAGCAGGAATGTGTGAGTTTTAGCCCCCGGGCTCTTACGCGAGGGGAGTGATGTACTGATCCTGCCTATAGAGTTTGAACGAGTACTCGGCAGCTCTTGGTCTTCGTCGCGAGAAGGTCCAGTTGATGGTCGGTTGCAGCCACCTCTCCATGGCAAGTTTCCTAAGCAGGGAGGATGAGAACTACAAAGCAATTCTCTCTGCCATCAAGAAGATCCGAAAGGCGGCATTGAGCGATACTTCTACTTTGGGATTTTCTGAATCTGGGCCGCATAATGAGCTTGAAGAAATCCAGAATCCAGGAGACATTGAGGCATACCAGGCCATGACTGTACATGCTGTCCCGAGTACTTCGGTCATGGACCAACAGAATTCCAACTTGCAGAACGCAGTTACGACTACCCACAATACGCCCAAAGTTACTCCATTCTCGCCGACGCCAATGCATGCATTTGGTACTCGTGAATCGAGCTTCAGAACATGGCCAGGTGCCATGATCACCCCTGGGCAGCCGGACCCAAATCACATCATCCATGGTGCGCCAGGGATCTCCATCTCGACCTATTCCTCTAGTCCGCAATTGGGGCAAGTTGATCCAAATCAGATGAAGATTCCCAGGCGCCCTGTTCCCCATCCACCTAGTAGGCCAATAATTGCACGAAATATGTCTGCTCCGGCTCCGATATCAAATTCCTCTGGTCACGGAATTGACCCTGTCAAGCAACACCTACAGTCAACTTTGCCACCACAAAGACCTCATTTTGCATCTGGACAATGGGGACAGGAAATACAGCACCCTCAAAACATACCCAGCAGCATTGCGCCGGTAACTACACTAGGACCAAACTCCTCTGCCAAGTCAGACACGAAGCCCAAACGGCCACACGAGGCCGGCCCTCTGAGTCCAGCACAACTACCATCAAATTCCGGAAATGCAGTACCCAGGCCACTAGCTATCCGTCAACATGTCGGTAGTGAGGGCATGTCTCCTGGTAATATTCACAGGACTGGCCAGCAAATGCACTATCCAATTACCAATGGAATACCAACCAATTCATCCCAACATATGTCCCCGCAGCCTAGTTCAAGGACCTATCAATATCCTCCAGTCAATCATCCACTTCCTACCCAGCATCCAATGGCTCATGCAACCCCAACAATGCCGAATCAAGTGAAATCCCCAAAGAAAGTGACAAAGCCGAAGGTACCCTCAGACGAGCAACGATTCAAACCTCAAAAGCTACCAGGGACCAACCCTGTGCCGCAAAAAACCTATCATCAGGATTTTTCTTCGACGCATATTCCCCCCACTCCACAGCAAGGTCTACGTGAACTGCAGCCACACCCACAGCCAAACTATACCTCACCCCCCAAGAGCCCCGGGCTCTGGAAGAGGATTTTCTCGGGTAGCAAGGGTTCGAATCCGGTCCCCACCCCAGCGGTCCATGGAGTGCCCTTAGAACCTCAAATTGCTGCGCACCAGCCGTACCAGCCATACCAGCCGTACCGGGCTCCGTCCAGACCGACCAGCTTGGGAGGCCCTGGAGCATTATCAGGATCTAAGATTAGTGCACACCAGCCATACCAGTCATACCAGCCGTATCAGCCTCCGTCCAGACCCACCGGCTTGGGGGGCCCTGGAGCACATGCGGGATCTCAAATTGGTGCACACCAGCCGTACCAGCCGTACCAGACTCCGTCCAGGCCGACCAGTTTGGGAGGCCCTGTGGCAATCTCTGGATCTCAACTTGTTGCACACCAACAGTACCAGCCGTATCAGCCTCCATCTAGACCCACCAGCTTAGGAGGCCCTGGAGCACACTGGGGGTCACAAAGCGGTCTACACCAGCCGTCTAAAGCGCCCAAAGAACTCAAAGAACCCAAAGAGCCAAAACTTCCGAAAGCTCCCAAAGAACCCAAAGCTCCCAAAGCTCCCAAGCCGTCCACACCTCCGTCCAGACCTACCAGCTTAGGAGGCCTGGCGGTACACCCAGGGCCACAAAGTGTCCCACACCACTCGCCCAAGCCGCCCAAGCCTACATCCAGGCCACGCAGCCTGGGAGGCCCTGGAGTGCACCCTGGACCGCCAAGTGGTCCGAACCAACCGTATAAGTCATACAAGCCTCCAACCAGGCCGATCAGTTTAGGAGGCCCTAAGTTACCCCTGGGATCCCATGGTGGTCCACAGCAGCCATACAAGCCATACAAGCCTCCATCCAGGCCGCCCATGTCAGGAGGCCATGGCGGACACTCAGGCCCACAGGCTGGTCCATACCAGCCGTACAAACCTGGGTCAAATGCCCACTCGTCATCGTCGCATGGTCCATTCATGCATGGTCACAACCCTAATGGTCATTTCGGCTCAGGAGAGCATCAACCTTGGGAACAGGGTAACCAGGGGGGACATGGTCATGGCTTTTATCCTGGACTAGGCCAAATTCCTGGTCACGGTGCTGGTAATGGTCCAGTCGAGCCGACAGATCCAGCTAAGCCGACAGTCCCATCTGAGCCACCGAGCCCAGTTAAACCTCCTGGTCCAGCTGAGAATACACCTCCAACCAAGCCGACAGAGCCAGCGGAACCGACTGTTCCAGCACAGTCGACAGATCCCGCTGAGTCAACTGGCCCGGTCAAGCCTCCGGGTCCAGTTGAGCCGATAGCTCCAGGTCAGCCGACAGATCCAGCGGAACCAACGGGCGAGGTGAAGCCTCCAAGTCTAGTTGATCCTGCGGATCCAGTTCAGCCGACAGATCCAGCTAAGCCACAAGGTCTAGTTGATCCTACAGGTCCATCTGATCCAACAGTCCCGGTCAGCACTACGGGTCCAGTCGGGGTGACAGATCCAGCTCAACTGGTAGATTCAGCTAGGCCACGAGGTCCGGTTTATCCTACACATCCAGTTCAGCCGACTGATCCAGCTCAGACAAGAAGTCTAGTTGATCCTACAGATCTTTCTAGGCCAATATTCCCGGTCGGCCCTGTAGGTCCAGTCCAGCCAACAGATCCAGTCCAGCCGACATACCCAGCTCAGCCAAGAGATCTCTTTGAGCCTACAGGTCCAGTCCAGCCAACAGACCCAGCTAGGCCAGTAGGTCTGGCCAATTCTACAGGTCTAACAGGTCCGGTCGGCCCTGCAAGTGCAGTTAATCCTGCATGGCCAGCCCAGTCGACGGCTCCAGTCGGATACGCAAGCCCTATTTGGTCGGCAGCACCCGGGTTTCCTCATACTGAGAATAATGGGCAGGTCTGGAACCCTGGTCACAGTCAAGATCAGACCCATCAGTCCCAGAGCCAGAGCAGTAGAGGTGGAAATGTTGCCGCTGGCCTTGCGGGTCTGGCTATAGGAGGGGCTGGTGCGGCTATTCTAATGGCCTCCATGAACCAAAGCGACGATGGTGAGGACGATGATAGTGATGATGAAGAGGGGGAACACAATGGCGAAGGGGATAGTGACGATTCTGAGGACAGTGATGAAGGAGAAGACAGTGATCAAGCTGAGGACAGTGACGAAGCTGAAGACAGTGATCAAGCTGAGGACAGTGACCAGGCTGAGGACAGTGACCAGACTGAGGACAGTGACGAAGCTGAAGATAGCGACGAAGCTGAGGACAGTGATGAAGCTGATGACAGTGATGAAGCTGAGGACAGTGACCAGGCTGAGGACAGTGACGAATCTGAAGATAGCGACGAAGCTGAAGATAGCGATGAAGCTGAAGATAGCGACGAAGCTGAAGACAGTGATGAAGCTGAGGACAGTGACCAGGCTGAGGATAGTGACGAAGCTGAAGATAGCGACGAAGCTGAAGACAGTGACCAGGCTGAAGACAGTGAAGCTGAGGATAGTTGTGAAGGCGAGGAGAGCGACGAAGAGGTGGAAGATAGCAGTGAGGAAGAGGAAGACGAGTATGCTCACAGCTTTGATGAAGATGATGATGACGGAGACGGCTATGATTCAGACTATTGATTTACCTTTTGATCTGATATGAAGCATCAGAGTACACAATTGATTTCAACCCAAGGAGTCTCAATAAATTGTTAATCATTTTAAGATTATAGCTATAAATTACGGGTATACTTCGCTCCCTTTTTTATGGAATTCAAGATTCAATGTTGCCCGTTAGGGCATGTAGATAACACTATGCTGGCAAGCTCTCTTGGACAACGTTCCACAAACGGCAAGAGGAACCTCTCACCAAAGCAAACGTTAAGAAATACTCGGTGGATACGAAGGAGTTTCTACGGACAAACCTCTTAGGAATTGATAGGCACTCAAATAGACAGAAGAGATTTAGGAGAATGAGAATGTGTAATATGTAGATCTTCTGTAGTTTAACTTCTTCACCGTCTATTAGGAGCTTTAGGGCTGTGCTTGTGAGACAAATTTGGCTAGGCAGACCTGCATGAAGCTGACACTTCAGCCGCGAAAACCTCGCCCCCGCCATGAATTCAACTTCCCTCTCCCTTAATTTTTTTTTCTTGCCTCTACTTACAGTGGTAATTATATTCAGTAAAATAATGATCCCCCCAAAAATAGCCAGTCTATCAGACTGGGGCCCATTCCAGCTCGATGCACTTGGTCTATTGACCATTTTCGGTGCCAAAGAGATGAACATCGCGACTGGGAATTTAGTTCAGAGCTCCGTGACTGAATGGCTCCCTATTCTTGGATCTTACACCGTGGCAAATAACGACATCACCAAGCCAGAGCCAGGATATGTTTTATACAACATTACTGATGGGATCATGGCAACTGATGTCTCCGCCTGGTTTACACGCTGGATCTCGACATTCCCTCTGACATACACCGCCACGACTATCCGATTAAAAGTTGAAAACAAGCAATTACCCATCGTGCGCCAAGCAATTTCCATCACTATTGGGCTTTCAGTTATTGGTTTGTTGTTGAGCATGGCAATAGTAACGGCAGATGCATGGGGCATTGCGAACGTCGCTTCCATGGCCGTCTCAGTCATTTCCCGCCAATTTATAGTCGCCCGTCTTCGGTCTTCTATCGACCACACCATCCAGTCCCTAAAGGACGATCCCGGACAAGATGTGAAGGTCTTCATGACCCTGCCTGATGGCAAGGCGGTCACAATCTTAGGCCCGCGTTCGATAGTTGTCAGCTGCTTGTTGACTGAAGCGCAGCCTACCCGACCGCAGTCTTATTATGTGATGCGGATGGCTTCATGGGCTGCATTTGGTGCGCATGCCATCACGCTCGGCATGAGCGATCTCTTCAACCAGATTTTGACCGTCGTTATTCTTCTTCTGGCGACTTATCTGACGGCGACACATGTTGGAGGTTGTCGAGAGGCGATTGGTGCTCGATTATATCTTGATGTTGATATGGGAGACCCGGGTTTGCCCCGTGGTGCGGCTTATTCGAGGCTGGAAATGTCAACTACGGAAGAGAATTGCATGGTTCACTGGAGTATGATGCCCCAACGGTCGAATGTATGGTGGTGGGATAGATATAAACGACTATATTCAACCAGTCAGACTTTTATCACGAAGGAGATGGAAGGGAACCCAAAAACACGGAAATCTGGTAAAGATAACTCTCACAATGTTTAACGACGTGCTACGACTATGTTTTTCTGGCCTTTATTTTGGATAATCATCGCTGATTCTGTTGTTTTTGTCTTTTAATAGTTATATACTAGTGATCTCATTCCTCCATGCCATCTATGCCAATTGCGTCTAGTATAGGCACATTAGTACATAATAGATTATCACGAGTAGATTCATATTCTAACAAATAGCTACCTATAAAACTTGCCTGTATGTGCCATTCTTGTTGTATAGAAGAGGTAATACGCATTACATGGAGGTAGAAGATCCAATCGAGTAGCAAGGCTAAATTTTGATTAATCCCGGGATATCTTGACTTAACCCAAAAGGATATGACCCCCACGGATGAGGCCCAGACTCCACGAAGTTCACGCTAAGGGCTAGTGTGCAGACTACACATGATTCAGGGGTGGCTGAGCAATCTGCAAATAAGAAAATACTGTAAGATGCCCGAACAACATCCATGCATGTGAGCCTTCCCAAATCCTCAAATACAACCACCCTATCTCGTATTAAGAGGCTGAATACTTTGGAAATGAGCCAAGGCTGACAGATACCAAGGACTACCTACCTGTCTAGTGCCCCAGCCTTGCCTAATTGTGTCAAGAGAAAGACCCTTTTTTTTCCAATAATTGCCGCCCGAAACGCTCCCTAAGCTACTTAGCCTCCCTGGGTAGTTTGCGGGGAGCGGGCCGACACGACATATAACTAGAAGACACAATATCGTTCTATGGAGTCTTCAGACTCATTTCATGGTTATAACTGTGCATTCTCGAATCAAGCTCCCATACATATCTCTACAACATTAATTCCAACACCAGACATGTCCGGTCAGGAAAACACAAACAGCGGTCCCCCGCCAGGCTCAGCAGAGTTCCTCGCATCCCTACTGTTCGAAAGCCTCGACTTTAGCTGCCCGCACTCCCCAAAGCTAGTACCGGGAATTCCAAGCAAGATTCCCCCTCGACTAGGTTTCTTCCATTGTACCGACGAAGATCTCTCATACATCGACACCAACAAATTATGCCTCGACTGCTACAACGCAGCCGTTCCAAGCGGTTTTCTCTGCTGGTCAGCGTTCTACGCAAAGAAAGGGAGAAACGTATTCACCTCAGATGAGGAATACAAATCAGGCGAGCCAACTCGCGGTAATGGAGAATTCTTTCCACGCCAACTCCAGGCAGGCAGAGAGGCATTTTTCAGAAAAGCGGAACCGAGGCCAAGGGCAGGCACAAAGGCGGCTCAGTTATTAGGTGATTTGGATTTCGATCCCAGATCACCCGCGTATGATAAGCGGGTTCCATCTCTGCCACCGAATGAAGACACGAGAGCTGTCTGGAGGTTTTTCCAACATGCAAAGAAGCCGTTTTATATTGACATTGTGCATATTTCGCCTCCGTGGAGAGGCGATCTGGGAGGGGAGGCTCAGGATGCGGAGGACGCCCGTGTGGGGACGGCCAATGCCGCTGCTTACTTGGGTGCTGCGCATGTTGTTCAAGCTGTGGCTGATGGCGGATACGGGCCCTATAGTGTTGTGGAGCAGCGCTTAGGTTCATACGGCACGTATCGGCTTCTCAGTTTGGGGCCATGGACTTCTGATCCAGCTGACGAGGAGGCTTTGGATCCTTTTGAGGAAATGGAGGATGAGGAGGGAGACACAGAACCCTTTGATAGAACGGTATGTTTTCATCAAGGTCAATAAGTTCAGATCACTAATCTGCTCATAAAGAGAGCTGTTGAAGTGCACCCCGCGTTCTATCCATACCAGGGAATAGGTGCATATCAAGGAAGTGCGTTTATGTTATTTCCCAGTCAGGAAAAATGTGATGAGGTCAATCAAGAAGCCATTGGAATGGTCTTACCTCCTACCGCGGACGAGCAGCTAAGACGCGATTATGAAAAAGAACTACCGCAAAACCCCTCAGGAATCCTGCTTCCTCCGGGATACGCAAGTTCGGACCCTCCGGAGGATGTCCAATCTGATACCCCACTACCAAGGATGTCAGACGTTGAACCCGTCAGATGGGCTGACGCCGAAAGGACGGCTTATGAGAAAGGACAGGGCCTCGAAGGTGTCGAAGTTGGAAGCGCGTACCCTGTTGAATCAGTCGCGGGATTTGACATGAAAAGGCCGAGATTCATGTTGAAGCCCATGTACAAGCAGAGTTCACATGGAATCAGGAGCGATGGTAGCCTTGCTGCGGACCCTAACGACTTCAGCGGCAATGGGCTAAATCGTCTTCCCCTCGAGTGCAGAATGGGTAGTTGTGAGGAATGCCCTGATCGAAAGGGATACGAGGAGCTCAACAAAACACTTAAAGCATTAGGAATAAGAGGGTTTCGTGATCATGGGAAATCTACCTTCGTCAAAAGACCACAACAACCACTTGATCGGGAGCTATGGAGACCATACCTCACACTAGAAGACCACAAGCCAACTTTCGCCAATACCCTCTCCGACGAAGATAGTGATCTTATCTTGCAAGCACTATCACCTCCAAGACGCCCTGTTCAGACGGGGATATTCCAATATCCAAGATCTTGGTACTTGGCGAATGGGTAGGCATTGCTCTCAACAGTAACAATTCATATAATGACACTGACACCACGCTCCTAGAGTTCAACCACCTGACACCGAGGCAGATGAGCTCATATATGGTACGGATGACGATGAGAGGCAAGAGCAACAAAATCAACAAATACCGTCTCTTTTCAATGATGAAGACACGGATAGCGACGATAGTGACGACGAGGACAATGATCTCGGTCACGACAACAACAATGGAAATAACGGCATTGAAGAGATTGAGAGTGAGGATAGCGATGGAAATGAGGAAGGCATGAGCAGCGAGGATGAGGAGAGTAGCGACGATGACAACGAAAGCGAGGATGAGGATGAGAGTGACGACGAGAATGACAATGACAGTGAAGATGACAGTGACAATGAGGACGACAGTGTCAACGATGATGAGAGTGGCGACGAGGATGGGGGCAATGATGAAGACAAGAGTGACGATGACGATAATACCTACAACAACGACACTCATCATTCCCCAAGAGTAACCTCCTCGTTGGTTGCTTAGATTCTACCAATTGTCAGTTCGGGCTACAACATGAAGAGTTATTCCCCATCCATTTGCCCTTAGGGCACTCACACTGAATTTGCGGCTCCTAATATACCAAGTCTAATGCCATCTTTGCTCTTCTCGGTCTTCGGTAGATTGCATACCCAGTAGGCACGGAACCTACTAATACACGAAACTTCTTATAATATAGCAGGAGGGTATACAGTCCATTATTTACAGTGCAACTGGAATAATAATTCTAAAAGACTTTGTAGAATGGGAATAGGAATACTCAGATGTTCACCCTTAGATACAGAACCTTCGACGTCTCTTTAGCCGCGCAGTACCTTGAGAGCCCCCTCCGATCACGGAAATACTCTACAATCCGGTTCCAAGGCAAGCCTCGATTTTCCTTTAATTAGAAGCCGGTCATTTCCTACAAGAAATTAGGTCGAGGTGACCTGAGCAATTCAAGATCTTCAGGGCTGGACACATAGTATAGCCAAAGGAGCTTAGCCCTAGATAATTTATACTTCATACGAGTAATATTGAGCCCCCGTGTAATTTCCATCACATATTATAGTAGCATTTCATGAGTTTTTGAACCCCAGTACTTCTATTGTTGACCGCCCTGGTTACCGCCTTTCCATTACTACTAGTATTAACCCAACAAGATTAGATGTGAGTGGATGCAAAATTCTTCCGGCGGAAAATAGAAGTACTGGGGTGCAAATACTTATGAAATATGAATGTACTTATCCCGTGCCACAAATCTAACAAATTCTCATAACTAGAATATGAATTCAAATTTTGAAACTGCAATAAAACTTCCAGCGCATTGTCTTCTCTAATTCAGAGACGCGCAACTATAACTCATCCCGCTCTTGCTGAGTATGCTTTAGGTCTACTCGGTTCAAGTTGTGTGCATTCTCACCTAGAATGTCTAGCTGTAGACTTCAGCTTTTGTTACAAATTATCTTGCTCGTCTATCAAAATAACTGACCAGATCATACACTTCTTATAAATAGACCATTTGAAAGACAAGCATATGCGTATATACATAAACCAAAAGAGAATTTCACAAACTTAAATATCAACTAAATCCCTCGCAACATCATATTTTCTTCGCAACATCACATCCACATATAGAAACCCATCAAGCATTCCGTGCCAACTCAATACAGAACTCTCCCCAATCCTGCCCACCATTCAGGGACAGAATCTCCTCCGCAATAGCCTCCTCCAGACGCTCATGGTATCTACGTCTGTACTCATTCTTAACGAGATCAAGATGTCTCGGTTCCCAGTGCAAACGCACAAGCCGGGAAATGAGTAGTTCCGAGCGCTCGCGCCCAGTACGGGATTCACGTAGCGCTTGGTGGAGAAGTAAAGCGTCGCGCATTGGTCTGTTTATAGCGCCGTTGAGGATATGCGCTAGGGTTTCGCCCTGGGATACGTCAGTACATGTTTGCAATATCAACCGGAGGGTATCAACGGAAGGGAACAGAAAGAAAGACAAAGTACATACCACCAAATTCCTCGACTTAGCAATCATAGCCCTCGTAAAATTCTGCCCATAATTATCCTCATAAGCGCGCAAGACCTCCCGCAAATGCGAATCACTCCTCAACACAATAATATGAATCATAGCGGTCTCACCCCCCTCCCTCACAATCGCGCGATGCAAATCCTGCACATCATCCCGAATAAGCCGTTTATCCAACGGCTCGCGATCATCCTGCCGCTGACCCTCAAGCGCAAGCAGAATCGCAACGCGGAATTTATCCGCCCGCAGCTCAGAGCGCATACACCGCTCAAGACTATTATCGTATCTTGTATCGCGGAACGAGTTTTTGATTTCCCGGATAGCAGCATTCGACCTTCCCATCAGGGACTCGATTAGGAGTTCGCGCCGCGATGTGCCGGCCTGGTAATAGCAGTTTGCCCAATAAGCTTCTGATTCCCAGCGGCCGAGGGCGGTTGCGTAGCAGAGTTTTCCGAAGGAGGAACTTCCGAGTTTGAGACGGAGGTGTTTGGCGAGGTTTATTCCTTTTCCTTGCATTCGAACGCGGGTTTTGTATTCTGCGCGCAGGAGGATGATCTCGTCGCTTGTTAGGCGGGGCAGGATTTGGATGATGGGTTTGCTGTCTATGTTGCGTGTGTGGTTTAGCGCGGATTGCATCGCTGCGGCGTCCGGGCCGGCGTCGTAGAAGGAGACGCGTTTGCGGCCGGTTGTTGGGGAGACGACGATTTTGCCGTCGAGCGAGGAGGCTGAGTCGTGGCGGTCGTGGATGGGACGGGTGAGACGTTTGTCGGTGCGGTCGTCGCGCTCTTTGTCTTTTTTGTCTTTGCTGGTACGTGTGCGAGAGTCTCGCTCACTGACCGAGGAGTGCGAGCGGTGGTGTTTGCTGCGTCGGCTGGAGTCTGAGGCTGAGGTTCCGCCGTCCAGGGGTTCGAGGTCGGAAATGTCGTCGTCGCGGATGGAGGGGATCACGATCGGGGATGGCATCGGTGAGATCGACTGGTATGTACCATGGTACGGCTCCAGCAGTGGACTACCCGGGGGAAGGGCTGAATGAGGTGCGCTGGCTCCGGCAACTGCGAGGGAATTCGAAGACACAGAGTGACTGTGTGGACGAGCACTAGAGCGATTCCCGCCAGGCGCGATCTCCACAAACTCAGGTTCTTGCTTAGGCCGATACGGCAGCTCTGGAGCTTGCTGCGGCTTCTGGGATTGCGAGTAATACGGATTCTGCAATGGCTGCGGCGGTGGCCTGGTATACTGCTCATGCGTCGAAGTGTATACCGGTGCCGCGTTCTCCGCCTTCGAGGTATACTTCACCATAGGATCGATCTGAGCGTACTGGAACACGCCAGGATTAGCATACCCCGCCGCGGCCGGATAACCAGTATCGCTAGCCGAGGCAGTGCGATAATGCGCAGGTGTATAACCAGCGCTCGTCGCATACGCAGCCTGCGGGAAACCAGCATACTGCGGGGGAACCACAGGCGCCGGCACAGACCCCGAGCTAGTGGGATAAGTCGAAGCCGCAGGGAATGCGCCGGGCATAGTAGCCGGACCCGCAGGTTGCGAGGAAGGCGGCACGTACCCAGGACGTTCGCATTCCGGCACCGAGGCCCAGTCAATCGGGCCGGCGGGGTAGCCCGGTCGCGGTGCAGTGGGCACGTAGTGCGTAGGCTGGGCATAGCTGTACCTATTCGGACGCGCATAGCTGGGGTGGCTGCCTGGCGCATCACCGTAAGCGAGATCATCGGCTGAGTCGGAGTCGTCGTGTTTCACGCGACTTCCGCGGTCTGGCGAGGGCCGTCGTCGATGCGACCGCGACGAAGGCGCAAGGGCAGCAGAACCGCGCTCGGAATCCGAGTGTTCGTAGCGGTCATCGCGACGTCGGCGCGAGCTGTCTGCATCGCGATCGCGACGCTTCGACTCTGAGTCCGAGTCTGAACGGTTCACGTCGTAGCGGGCGGGGCTTCTCGGGGCGCGTGAGACGGAGCGAGGATCGTTTTCGCGACGGCGCTCGTCATTGATGAGCTTGTATTGGCGCTCAATTTCGGCTTCTTCGTCGGGGCTGTAGCCTTTTCTTTCAGCGCGGGGGGAGGGGGCTCGGCTGTCGCGCGACCGGGACCGAGAGCGCTCGCGACCAGGGGATTTGGATCTGGTTCGCGACCGTGGGTCGTTCACTTGAAGGGACATTGTTGATTTGATCGTTGGTTTTGTCCTCGGTCTTTGATTTTTGGTCTTTGGTCTTTAATATTCAAATGCTTCAATGGGTTTATTTTCTGTTCTGGGAGGTGGTCACACAGAGAATTAGACTTGGTTCTTTGTGCGTCCAACTAGGCCATTCTAGTACGAAGCCTGCTATGTGTAAGAAGGAAGGAAAGAAAAAGATAAAGCAAGACGTTTATAAGACCTCGTATTCATCCGCGCCAACTTATGTAGAGCTCGGTGATTCTTCACTTCTAATTAGCTCTTATTGGCTTACAGCTGAACTTGAGATCGTCGGTGATAGCGCCCTTCAGCCGCACATTTCTAGCCAATACGCATGTCAGACTGCAAAGGGATTACATTACATTACTTACTACATTAATGGAATTATTGAAGATAAATCAAATTACCGTGCAAACAATAGATGAAAAGCACTAGTACAAGTTCCGGATTTCGAAACATTTGAGAAAGGAAAACAGGTATGACATGAAAAGAAGCCTTGCGAGGCCAGGCCGCGAAGAATGGGGGTATGTGCTGAAGAGAAAGCTATGCGAACAGAAGGAAGTGGCTTTATCGCGTGCGACGGCCATCAGGTCCCTGACGACCGTAGTTTTGCTTCTGAGGCGGCTGTCCATTGCGGTTGAGGCGGTTGGTTCTCCAGCGCTCATACCAAACCACACGGCTGGCCTCCCGCAGCTCGGAACGCCAATCGGAAAAGACGGAGTCCTTCAGGCGAACAAAGTCACAGTGCTCGGCATTATATGGGTCTGCAAAGCCCCAGGGGAATCGGCGACCGACTGGTTGATCTCCAGCGGCCAGGGAATGGGGGTCTGGTGACAGGATCGAGAACGGAACGTGCTGATTGGTGGCCTGAGACGCGGTAGACCTGCGAGTACCCTCGCTGCGCTGCGATGGCGAGCCGGGGGCATTGTCGGAATCTTTAGCTTCAGCATCTCCATTCTCAGTGGACTTGCTGTCAAGGTCCACGATGTCCTCTTCGTCCGCACTTTCTGAAGAGTATTCTTCCTCCTGGTCCTCCAATGTCAAGATCTCCAGGGGATCGATATTAGCCTGCTTCAAGCTGTTCCAGACCGCCTTGCGGAGATGGTTCATGTGGGCGGAGGTGATTGTATCCGCCTTGCTGATAACTGGCACCACGGTGGTCTTGCCCAGTACCGTGCGCAACACCTGCAGATCCAGGTTCTGGTCTAGAATTCCAACCACAGGTGCATCAGTGGGCTTGGACGTGCCATTGGCAGCACGCTCAGCCATGGCAATGTTTTCATCAAGACGCACAGGGTCCAGAAGCAAGAAAGTGCAATGAATGTGGGTATCGCGAGCGCCGGGGGAGCGAATAACCTTCATCTCCTCGGCAAGGGTCTCCTCAAACTTGCTCTCCAGGAAGCCTGTCACGCCACGCAGCTGAAGATCTGCGATATTCCGCTCCAGACCTACAGAGTCCCACAGGGTAAGTCCGACACGTTCTCCGTCAAACTCCGTTTCCAGATATTGCGACGTGAATCCTTCCCAGGCTGAAGTTTGACGCTCAAGCTCTTCGACCTCCTCGGGGGTACGTGAAGGGTGCTTATGGGCGGGCATAGTCAGAGCACTGCGTAGGAAGTTGATGAAAGAGGTTTTGCCCGAGTTACGAGCACCAATAACAAGCACACTAGACACATTTATTAGTTAAGACTATTGTGATGTCATATCATTGGCGACTCACTTGTATGAAGTGGGGTCCTTGCGACGGCGCACCCGACGAGGACTGTTCACGGTGCTGACAGCACTACTAGCATAGCTATAGCGGCCACGGTGGGTCATGCTCTCAGTCCGCGCATAGGGATCGACATTGGATGCCATAGAGGGCGCAGCGACTCCAGACTGTGGACGTGGAACTGCTTCGGGGACCTTATCACGTTCCTCACCTCCAAAAGTTTCCAGTTGCGGGGTGGGGGAAAGATCAGGCAAGCGGGGAGGAACTTTGGGGGCATAAGATTCCCGCTGACGACGCATTTCATCTTCCATGGCTTGAGATTTGGACATCTTTTTGCGGGAAGATTTATCGCCTAGGGGTTCGGTGGATTTAGAACGACGAAGGAAGCCGAGGGAGGTACGACGGTTGATGTCTGTTTCAGGCGCCAGGCGCGTAGTTGGAGTTGCCATTTTAGTCTGTCCTTTCCTCATTAGATTCTCATTTTCTTTTTTCCTTTTTTTCCTTTTCTCTCTTTCTCTTTTCCCATATGCTTAGGGAATAATTGCACCCCCACCTCAGGGGTATGAAACACTCACCAAAACGATATATATCGGAGTTCAACCTAACAGAGCTTAGATCCGGTATGGAGCGATTTGAAACTGCTCCGACACAGGGTAGACAGGATTCAATCCGTCAAAAATGAAGGTGTAGAGAAAATGAAAGAGAATAAGCGAGAGTGGAATCAAAATACAAGCTCCCAGCCAGTGGGTGAAGGGGGGAAATATTGAAATTAGAACTTAACAAAGTTCTAACTTCAAAAGCCCTTATTTTTTTGAAGGTGTTTTTTGTGGTTTTTAATGTAAATAGGCCTGCTCACAGCGTCCAGCAACAGCGGCGCTTGGAGAAAGATGTAAAGGAGAGAAATGAATTACTATTTTAGAATAACTAAGGGGATTGAAGTGATATAGAATAAGAAAAAAAAAGGCCATTCAGGGGTAAAAATACGGCAAAGTCCAGGCTGTTCCCCACTTAGAAGCTTTGGTCTTCCTTGTATGGTCGTGGCATGCCGGTTCGTCCGACGCCAATTGGGGCTAACGTCAGACGGGATAGATTCTCCAAATTGGACTGGGAAGTTGAATATAAAATACACATGGTCAAAAAAAAAAAAAAAAGCATTCTACTATGGCACGTGCGATGTTTTAAGGGTCTCCAAAGATGAAACAATTTATTTTCATATGTTTGTTTGTCTTGTTTGCAATACCCCATATCCTTGAAACACGGGATCTCATCTCCAGATTCATATGCACATAAAGACGTTTTAATAACCATATCGAATCGACTGATCCAAAGCTATAATTCTGAAACATCCCAATTTAAGATCGCCCAAACACGAGGAACTAGACTGAACTATTTGGTTTTAAAAGTCAAGGTTTGCCTTCATGCATCTTATATGGTAGTAATGGTACATGGAACTACATGTTATTTTCTAGTACATAATATGTATTCCCGTACTTTGTGTTGTGAACTCCCCAAAAAGATTTAAAGAAGTTTTCGAACCGAGTGGATCCAAAAGTGGAGTGAGTGGGTTGTCCTTACAGGGCCTTTCTAGGAAGTTACCCCAACTGATCACATTTTGTTACTACCTACACTAGGTCGACAATCTCGGCAATTTCTCAATCTAAATAACAGTCTTATCTATATATACCGATACCTATATTCTCCTATATAACCATCCCAATATACCCTCAATCCACCCCCATCATCAACCTCACGAATTCTCCGCAGACCAAATCCTAAATGGAAGCACAAAGCACGGAGTGGAAGGACACACCTGCTGTCTATCCAATTTCTTGAACTTAGGACCATTAGGACCAGCAACATTCTTAGCCTCACCAAATATCTCACGCTCATTACGCGGCTGGTCATCACCCCATTTCCCATTGAAATCCAACCACGCCACTGGATCTTCAGAGTTCACAGCCGCGAACCCAGCAGTTTTGTCATACGTATAAATGTAGGCATTGAGCACAGGATCCCACAGAACGCCACGGGCTGTATAATCCATCAGAAATCCCGCAGGGAGGTTGAAGCCCGGAATAGTGTGGTCGTGTGTTCTAGATAATCTATCAATATTGACATCCAGATTTCAGAAAGTATCACGACTTACCCAGCAATTGCATAGTTCGCATGCGTGCCTCTGGCGGAGTAAACATACGGCCGCTTATCCTTCTTTTCCACAGCGCCATACGTAAACGCCTGTCCGCTAGCATGCTGGCTATACCACATTTCTTTTGGTTCGCCATTGACAAAGCGGATCATATTATGTTCCCTGTTTTTCTCTTAGCCAGGGCAACTCTACACCTGTTCTTTACTAACCAGTCGCCGATGTGATCGCCGAATTCCATCCCTAGTACCTGGCCGCCTTTATTGAATCTGGGATTTCGTTAGTACAAATGTAGATTCGGGATACGGTGAGCTCACGCGTAGAAATAAAAGTAGAACGCATCAACGGTTCCATTGCCGCGATCTGCCATAACGATGATACTCGCTGTGCCATCAACTGTTCTCCCATCTGTGTCTGGTTTGATACCCCGGAACCAGGCTGGCTCTGGGTCGGCTTCGATGCCTTCCAAAGAAGTGAGGTAGACGCTTGTATTTCCCATTGAATTGAGCGTGTCGAGGTTGTTGAGTGTTAGGGGTGATTGCACTCCCTCGATGGATGTCCAGTTGAGATTTGGTTTGGTATGATCGAGCTGTTGCTGGATATCGCTCGGCATGTATGTCTCCTCGCTATGAAGCCAGACTAAAGGTGCTATAAAGACGAGTAAGCAAAAAAATTGGGAATTCATTTATGGAATAGTTTACCATATTCCAAGACATATGGTGGGACATTAGATGTAGCCCTATCACTGGGTGATGCCCAGACTGGTTGGGTCGATAAACCGACTAGTGCCAGCGATATGAAAAAACGCATCTTGTGTGACGATTCTCAAATCCCGAAGAGCAACAGGTACTCTTTTAATCCTTAGGGAAATAATCGGACCGTGTTAGGTCAAACCGACGTGTAATCTCGAGGTCTATCAGCATGATCCATGGGTCTCGTCATGGGCAGATAAAACACATACCGTGGGGCTAGAAGTTAAATCAGGTCGCAAACGATATAAGTCCATAATCACAAGATCTTCTCATATTCCAGCGATGCCATGGATCCCTCGAGATGATTTCTAACAGGGATCATGCCAGTCCTAGGCAGATCACAGCACCTCTACTCGGCTTTTCTACTCGGTCAGGATGAAGCCGTGAACAACCGAAGGGGAACTCCGGTGGTACTTCATCTGTAGTAGGGTGGGATCGTTAGAAGGTGCCTTGTTTACCTCCTTTATCCTCCGGGGTAAAAAGTATGCAGTATGCAACCCTAAGGAATGCGGGATTTGCATCGAGGGCCCCATGAACAGGTGGGCTTAGGGTGCAGTATGTGGTTGTAGTAGAAAGAGCGCAATTTGTTATTCGTGGATCATAATATGATGCGATCTGCATAGCACATCTCATGGCTGAAGATCATTGCTGTATTGTTCTTTTGCTGACGATGTCACCTGCCCGTGAAGCCCTCATGATTCCGGACTGGTGTCGGATTAAGGGTTGGGTTACTTGCATTTATATAGTCTTCCGGTGGATAATGTCATTTGGAATTCTTATTTGTCTGGGGAACCTTGTTTTTCATGTGTGCATGGCGATCCTCGGTTTATCCGTATAGAGCGGTGGGATTCATCAGTATCATCGCGTATCTGCATCAGCCGTCGATATTCCTTAACATAACGCGTTGGGATGATCGATATTTGCCTTATTGGCATCTTGTAGTTGAATATTTCCATGTCTTCGGATGTGATAGAGTAGTTTATCATAGGGTGTGTGATTAGAAACCGATACAATGGAAGGCTTCGGAAATTCTTCAAACTGTCTAGTATATACAGACTGCAACTCTAGATAGTACATTTCATGTACTTGTTCTATCTATCTATTTTACTCTTCATAGTATCGTAGTTAGCATTTTTCTATCATATACGAAGCTTGCCTATGAAGCATCCCGGACGAACTTCTTCTTCGGCCCGCATGACTACTACGGAATGCAGAAAACCGTGCTCGTGTGTAGATACAGGGGATGCCAAGGAAGTCCAAATATTACCTACTATGCAGCGAACCGGACTTTTCTGTTGATGAATCCACTGATTTGCATTTATACCCCGCTAAAACAATCTATTAATCCTACAGATTCTGCAGCTTCGCCTTCTCAGCCTCCTCTTCATCCTTCTTCTTCTCCGCGGCCTTCATCAGCTTAAAAATCCTCAAATCCAACGGAATCCGTTCACCAAGCCAAGTTGCCCGTTGAGTGTGGTTCCGCTCACTCTCATCCTCCGATGTCACTGTATTGGGATGAAGGAGAGCACTAAGCGGGCCGCGGTTGATAACCAGCCACGGAATGAAGGCACCGAACTGTGCTGGTGTGAACAAATTCACTTCAAACATTGCCACCGGATGCGGACCAATAGGCCGGTCGAAGAAAGTATAGATTCGAAGCTCGGGGACTGTTTACAAAGTATAAGCAAAATATCAATCAAAGAGGGCAACCCTACAGCAGACGGCTAGGTGATGTAGTTCCTGGGCTAGGTGCTACTTACATTCTCGTCTGATACGTTCATATAGAGCTTTGGCGTATGCGACTTGGTCCGGGTTGTTCTGGTCAATGCGTTAGTTTCACTGTGGCTTGGGTTATTGCCTGGGGCGGTGGCTACTTGGAAATGATAGATGTGGACATCGAAACCTCCCTCTCGGCCTTTGGAAAGAGGATCGGGGAATTCCGAGTATGCTTTGCTTAACACGCCATGTTGAGGGTTCTTCATGGACTTGCCGTCTTCGGCTCGCTCGCTGCGGAGAATAAGCTTGAGTTCGATGTAGCTGCATGAGACACTTACTCGGATAGTGGCTCAAGGTTTTCGTACCCCTCTAATGGAGATGGGTATGAGAAGGCGTATGCGTCTGTCATTGTGAGATTGATTGGGGTTATTGGAGAAGATAAGAGAGCAGTGGGGTAAAGAAATTGGTGCAAGACTGCAAGTATATATGCAGAAATATCACTTCGGTTGGTCAGCGGAGTTGCAAATCAGTACAAATAATCGAGTTGGACAAGGTAGAAATCTCTAGTAAGCTAATGCTTGTATCCAAAATTTCGTCAGTTCAGCTTGCAATATCATCATCAAGCAACGGGGGGTTTCCGCACTCTGACAAAGCCGCGGAAAGGTCCACAACTACGTACATCGATGGACTTTACAACTACACTTTTTACTGAGTATATAAGATAGGAAGTATTAATTAGTTTGCTGTCAGGAGTATCCATCTAGAAACATTATTGGAGTAATCAATCATCCTTTGAAGATTTTATGTCATCCTCCCTAAAGATATATATAGCTTCACATGTAGTCAATGATATAAAAACATCGGATCTTTGGAACAATCTTCTATTTTATAATTATGCTGTATAATATAGACCAAGCCAGAATATCTATGGAGTTTAGGCCAAGAAATGATCCAAGTTATAACGTACACTAGTATCATAGTACGCCAATAATCAAAACATCCCGTAAGAGCCCCTACCAAGCAGCCCGAATATCAATATGGCCATCGTCATCCACGAATTTGCCGCGATCCCATTCCCGTCCTTCGCCTTTCTTCGACCACTGTACGTCCTCTGGTTTGCCTTCTCCGTCCACGCCAGCAAAAGCGGTGTTATTCTTCCATTTATCAATGACAGCCTCGTCAATGCCTGCCTTACGTAGCCTCTCCTCACCCTTATTTCTCCAGCGCTCACGATCACGCAATGCCTCCATTGCCATGTCCCAGTCATCGTCTTTTGTCATGAGCCCTGCGACAGGACGACGGGAGGATTCCTGGCCCATGGATTGTAATTTGTCTTCTTCTAGATGCACATCGGTAGCCGGGTCATAGCCGGGTGCAAAGTGGGCATCGATATTGCTCATATTGTGTTTATAAGCACCTCGTCCACGCGAGCGGATAGGTGCCTCATTTTGTCGAGGAGGCAGTGGCCCGACAAGGTCTTCTAGGGGATCGGATTCGTCGCCTGTCTCATTTTCGCGTGCAGTTATAGTCGGCAACGGTGACATTCGTCTATGTCGTGTGTTGGTTTCAAGGCGAGAACGGCTGGAGCTATGTGGCGATGCATCTTCCCGCTTTGATCGCCGAGATTTGTGCGACTCTGGTGAGCGGGAACGGGAAAGGGAGCGAGTAGGGTGTCCAGATTCACGTTTTTGTCGTCTATGGCGATGGCGCTCGGTACTCCGGTCCCTGTGCGGAGAACGGCTGGGAGATCTCGAATATGACCGATCACGTCGTCGCCTGGTGTATTCCTTATCTCCGTGCCGCCGGTCCCTCCTGGATGACTCATGACCCCGGTGTTCGCGCCGATATTCATCACGGTCTTTGTCTCTCTCTCTAGTTTTGTCATGTTTCTCATTTGTTCGTCGATGCCTCCGCGACCGGTCTCGTTCCGCCGAAGGGGAGCGACTTCGAGTCCTTTTTCGATGTGAGCGATTGCGATCTTCCCGATCTCCTCTCCGGTGGTCTCTTGATCCTCGTACGTCACGATCATCAGATCGTTTGAAAGAACGGTCCGTCGAAGTTGGAGCCAAAGCACCCGAAGCGCCCGAGGCTTGGTGTTTCAACTGGCGCATACGTTCCCGTGCTTCTCTTTCCTCTTTGAGCTTGAGAGCTGTATTATGACTGTCTGTTACTTTGATGAGATTTCGTAGGAAGCGGGTGTTGGGCTTTGGGGCATTGCTTGTTGGCCTACAGATGTTCGTCAGTCTTGTACTCGTGCAAAGCATATACCATGAGACTAAACCAACCTTGAAGGCATAAAAGCACTTAGTCCTTGGGTCGCGTACTTTATAGAGCTCTCCTTGGCCTCTTTGGCCAGGAGCTGCGCAACATAATCGTCATCCATGACCAGATGAGCCGCAGATCGCAGGGCTCCGAGGATGTGGAAGAAGTAGACCGAAGGAAGCGAGAAATACAAATCAAGAGCAATTGTGTACGCTAGACTGCCATATCAAGCAGAACAAAGGTTGAATCCTATTCAGTTGACAAAGAACCGAGAGAGGCGAAGACTAAAGCGCCTTCCAAAAGTTGGACTGACCGCCTTTGATATCTGTTTATTGTATACCCGCAGGTGAACTCGACCCCTCCAAGGCTCTAGCGATCGCAAACCTCGCTGGTTTTTCTTTTCTAGCCAGGTCCTCGATAATCAAGCCCTATCAATATGGAAAACTCGTCATCTGAAGCCCTTGCAGCACTTCAGCAGTTGGAGGAGAATGGCGATTTGAAGAACCGACTCGAGATTATTCGTATCAGCGAGCCAATTTCCACCGAAGTCGGGGGATCATACCCGTCTCCTTCAAAACGAACCTCTGATGTATCCGCTTCAAATTATGATGATCCTACCCCGGCCTCATTGGAGGCCGATCTTGCACATTACAAGGTCCGCACGATGAGCTCAAATACGCGAATGCCCACTGTGCAGAGTGCAGACCAGCAAATACTGATGTTTTCGCATAGGAACTATTCTCTAAGCTGCGATTCTCCTACCTCGAGCAAGTAACAAAAGAAAAGTTCTTGCGCGCCATTGTTGGCGACCCGCCTGTGATTGTCGGACACAATGAGAACATGGAACTGGAGGCACAACTAGCAGAGGTGAAAGCGGAGCTCAAGGCACGGAAAGAAGACGCGCGGATTATGATTGAGGAGATGGAACTAATGGGCCGTGACTTGGCAAGCCGTGAGTGGCCAATGACCCGTGGACGACGAATATGTTGACTGAATCGTTTACCGCGCCTGTGACAGGTTACAAGAATGTCGAACTTCAAACTACACAGCTCTCAACACTGCCTGCTTCAATCGAGAATCTCGAGTCAACCATCGCTGATCTCCGCGCCAAGCAGGTAGCCACCATGGATCCTTCCAATCCCAATACTTCCTCCTCGCAGAACCTTCCTCTTCCCGCGACATTGGCACTGTTAGCGGAACGTGAGGCGGAACTAGCAGCATTGAATCGTCAGCTAGCTACTATGCACAACACATTGCCTCGGAAAACCCGAGAGGCCGAGGCAGTAGAGAGAGAGCGCAGCGTGCTTGAGCGACGGAAGTCAGATGCGATCGCGCAAGCCCGTGAAGCCCAACGCAAGAAGCAACAGGGTGAAAGTGATGGACTAGAAGAGATGGGACGTTGGTACAGGGGAGCAGAAGAGACCTTGAAAGAATTGGTGGGGACTACTCAGACATAATAGTCTGCAGGCCAAGCCCAGGCTTGTGTACGATGAAACGAGGGACGAACGATTGAGCTTAACTTAGATGGGTGGGGATCGGGGAATGGCGTTTAGGATCTACTGTACATATATGGGTCCATGATATTATAATTCTAGGTTACGAATTCGTGCGAATTGAATTGATAAATCGGGTTCCAAATTGAAGCCTTTCGGCTGTTTTAGATTCATTGTATTGCTTGATCGTATAACATGAGACGCTATGCTGCAGTCATTTTGAACCTCCATGGTATGAAGGCGCCCCAAGCGAAACCCGACCGTACTCCTTTTTGTGGGGAATATTGGGAATAATTTACTCCTCATCCTCCTCCTCGGCCTCCTCACCACCGGCGGCGGCAGCGGCCTTCTTGCGGCGAACACGGCCGGGACGGCCACCACCGAAGGGAGAGGTGAGAGAGAAGTCGATGTGCTTCTGGGAGTCGAGACGGACCATGAACGAGGGAACGTTGACGATCTGCTTTCCGACACGGATGTGACGCTGCTTGATGAGGACACGAGCGTGGTGGATAGACTTGGCGAGACCGAGCTTGTAGACACAGGTCTGGAGACGGCGCTCGAGGAAATCATCGGCCTTGAGGGCAAGGACGTAATCGAGCTTCATGCGGGACTCATCGAGCACACCGATGCGGACAAGACGGCGAATGAGGGCATTGCCTTCGAAGAGACGCTTGGGGTCCTTCTCGTCGAGAGTGAGGAGCTCACTGTGGGGAGGATGAAAAATTAGCGCTATGTTCGCAAGATTTGATATGCACAGGTACGATCACTCGAATCCTCGCAAAATTCACAGATTGTTCTTGGCACATACCGAGCAGCACGACGGATCTTGGACAGGGTGAGCTGGACGCGCCACACCTCGCGCTTGTTGCGCAGGCCGAACTCGCCGACAGTCTTCAGTTCAGCATCACTATTGAAAAATTGTTAGGAATTATGAATACGACATAACCAGAAGCACGCTTCTGATCAGTGGCCGGGAAGTACTAACAGACGGGCCGACTCGAAGGCTGTGATGGAGTTAGCCTTCAAATATTCAAATGGATAATTTCGTTGGAAATTCACTTACGGCGACGGGGGACCTTGTAGGTCTTGGAGGAAACGCGACTGCACGGAAATTGATTAGAATACTGCAATTCCTTCAATTTTTGTTGATATACTCACGGGGCCATAGCTGCGGTTAGATGGGCGGAGGTTGTCGACGGGAGGTCGAAGGGTCAAGGACGAATTGAGAATTTGAGTGTGCGCGATGCGAGCCCTAAAGGATCTAGTCCCAATTCGGAAGTAGTATTATGTCAGCTTGATTATGTCATAGAGCCTCTCACCTGGGCAGGCGGGGTCCTTCCAAAAATGGATGGGCTCCACTCTTTACCTTCATCGCCTAAGCATGTCATCTACAGCTATTCGAGATTCTTGAGATATCTGTCCGCATTACTTGATTAGCCATGAGATCTATTTTTACCGAGCACAGCGATACCCTAGAGCATTGTTACGGATCGCCCTGACTCGGGACCTTTCTTGATGTTCCATCAGGCAGATCATCGGAACTGTTTTGCATGATGGTCTCCTGCACTATAACAAACAGCCGAAGCTGAGCCCAAAGGACTCGGGTCGTTTTAGCTGTGTTTAACTCCCATATTCGACTCCTCGTATATAATGGGCGGATGCTGTTTCCCCCACCAGCCCGATTTAGTGGCCACTGTAGAATTAGCGGATCTGGCAAAGAACGGTAATCTGTTCACAGTGTTAAACTCATATTGGTTCTCTAATAGTCATATCCTGGAAATTGGCCTAGAACTGCTAGCTGCTGGATGGTTCTCATCCTGATTCTGGTGTCTTGAGCATCCTATTGTTGTTGCCATGTCAGTGCATTATATTGCATCTCCACCTGACATCCATTGACATCAAGGCTGTATGTCATAGTCGAGTATATCTTTGATACTTAGACCTCTGAAAACTACGACTATAACAATGTGATCCAAAGGGCGTCGATGTGACTGTATACTTGTCTGAGGATGACTTGGAGGGTGAAACCGTGATCTATGGATATGGCTAACAGCATGAGTCTGTTGTTATGTTGCAAAACAGGTTTGGAGGAATAATGGCAACGAACCATAAAGGTCAACAACATTCTGATTACAGGACCTGGCAATGGTAGGGCTCGGTGAGGTGGGCAAATACATTTCTCGCCCAGCACCAACGCTGCCTGCACGGTCACCATCTTGGATGGTTGAAATAGCCACTGCACAAATTGCTATGAGAATTGACTTGAGATACAACATTAAATTTAATTAGGTATCAGTGTGTTTGCAACACGGTGATTTCCGAACGGTTAACATAGACATAGGAAGGGAGGAAGGAGAACAACGACTAACCTTGGAAGTCGATTTCAATGTTGTACATATAGCTAAGGCAATTCAAGCGTTTGATTGGCCGAGTAATAATGGGGCTAACCCAATCTAGAAAATACACTTGCTAATCCTAAAACGGCGTAGCGCACTTTCTTTTAGCGAGGGTCCACAGATTCTGATTATGTCAGTGATCCCACAAATTGTTATCCGACACTCTCGTTTTTTCGTGTTGAAGGCCCCGTCGACAATTAAACCACCAGCACCAACCACAACACCGCCGTCATGCCTCACTCGTACGGTCTGCGCGCCGGCACTCGGGTACGTTTTGATTTCCTCTGCGACACTCGTCTTTTTTATACTGGGAGCACGACCTGGATCAACCGGATACGCCCTTGGGCCTCAGGGAGGATAAGTGCTAACGAAATGATGAACAGTATGCCTTCAGCCGTGGCTTCAAGGAGGCCGGTATGATCCGCCTCTCTACCTACATGAAGACCTACCGGTACGCTCAAAACCATCGAATCTCGAATTAAACGACAAGAATTGAAATCTGACGGATATTTTTTAGTGTTGGTGATATTGTCGACCTCAAGGTCAACGGTGCCGTCCAGAAGGGGTCAGTACACTTCCGAAACTCCCTCCCTGCGCTCTCGCCCAACCGCAGTGACCGACCACTGCGATAATACACAACGGGCAATGCGAAATTGGGAAGAGAAGACGAGAATCTAACAGTCGAACAGTATGCCCCACAAGGTCTACCACGGTAAGACCGGTGTCGTCTACAACGTCACCAAGTCCGCCGTCGGTGTCATCCTCTACAAGAAGGTCGACAACCGCTACCTCGAGAAGCGTATCAGCGTCCGCATTGAGCACGTCCAGCACTCCCGCTCCCGTGAGGACTTCATCAAGCGTGTCAAGGAGAACGCCATCAAGAAGCGTGAGGCCAAGGAGAAGGGTGTCCACGTTCACTTGAAGCGCCAGGCCGTTGGCCCCCGCGAGGCCCACTTCGTCAAGCAGGCTGGCAACAAGCCCGAGACCGTTGTCCCCATCGCCTACGATACCCACATTTAAAGGGCTCGTTATCGAATTGGAACGGTGTGTGCGGTTGTTAGGTGTTTACTGGGTTTTCGCTCCATTTTTGCCTAGACTGAAATGGACTTTGATACATGAGACGAAGCGCAAAGGGTTTCGGATGCCCTGGCACATCTCTCGCCTGTGCATAGATTCCCCTGAATGAAACAAAATCAAAAAATTTCCGAGTTCATGTCTACATTTTTCCCGGTCCGGCATAACTCCCTGAAGAGTTGATTTACTGTTCTAGACCTGTGTTCGTAGTGCTGTTCGTTCTCGCTCTTGACTTTCATCAGCAGCCCATCTTGGAGCTACTTATACTCTGGTCAAGCATGCTCCATACTTCAATTCGTGCTGATTATACTAGATGTAAAGGTTACGAATTTTAAGACTGATACTATGCTGTGGCGAGGATGACATCAATCTGCTAGAATAGGTCCTGCACCGGATGAACTTCATCAACTCCTACCATTTGGCCGTATCCTCCTTTGAAACGTTTCGACTGAGTTTGCCTATCGTCATCTACTCCGATTCTTGTCTGCTGGCATTTCCACGCAGCTCCCACCTTTATGCTGACCCAACTCTATTTTTTTTCAACTCTCATCAGTGTGGCACAGCAAACAAAGAAAGGAAAGGAACCGGCCTATGACGTCGCTCCCTCTAATACCATTGTACTCTTTTCAATGCCAGCACGACACAATGGTACATGCAGACCGACCACTTTGCATGGCAGATACGGGGAAATAGCTAAATGGGCGCAGCAACGGTTAATTGCACCGCCACCATGATATATCATAGTCGAACTAACGTCGCCGAAACGAAGTCGGGCATCATCTCAAGGTTACTATACCCTGGCGACGCACCCACGCCCACTCACCCATTTTCTGTTTTGACCGGTCTGACCTCGCTCGACCCAAAATCCTATCTCAGAATTGTGTAGGCGAAGTACCCGACCGAAAACACTGAAATCTACAGACCGACATTTGGCAAGCAGTCTATGTACTCCTACAAGGTTCTCATGTCCCTGTCAAGCCACTGCTTTCGGAGATGATTGGCCTGATTCTAGCCAGTCCCGATGATGGGCTATCTCTGACCCCTGTCTAGTGAAGATGGGTTGCGCTCGACTTGCATTTTGCCTAATATTATTGAACTTGCGTAAGCATGGTTCGCCCGTTGATCCTTCTATCTTCTGATCAAAGCGCCTGGGTGTTACGGATTTGTTATTGGCTTGTTCATGTTCGTTGATGGGCACCTGGGGCGAGTGAAGAGGTATACGAATGGATATATCCAGAACTTTGTGCCCGATTGCCCAACCCGGAAAGGTTCTGGAAGGGTCAGCTGGTCGAGAGTCAACCCCTTTGTGTTTGAGAATCAGTGTGGCGTAAAGGGGCCGTAAAGTGGAGAGCATAAGATTGTTCTGTTAGGTACGGAGTATTATTTACACTATACTTACTTGATTTCTCTACCGCCGCTTTTATGAGGGCATTCAAGAGTCAGGCCCAAGTAAATTTCAATCCGGGCTCAGAGTTGCCGTCGATCTATATAACTGTATATCTGAAAAGACCACTGAAAAGACATCCCTAGGCCACTTATACGGCTGACTATTCTTGTTAGTATATAACTAATAAAACACTCTATCTTTCCCACTTTCTAGACTTCACAAAACCTGCAAACATTCAAATAGTAATACGGAGTACTTAGAGAGCAGATCTAATCAGACACCTAGGCAGGGGCGTTCTCAGTTTTACTCAGCGAGCGAAAAGCGGCAAGGCCTGAGTACTAAAACGGAAAGAGAACGCCAGTGACAGAAGAAATGACAGCACGTAATTTTGGCCGGATACTTACCATCGTTAATATCTCTCACTTAAGCTGAACGCGTTATTAAACGTACGTTTATTAGATCTACGGAACCCACCACGTGGCAGATGTGGGTGTACAACTCTGGAACGAAGTTGTGGAGTATCGCAATATATATTTTTCGTCCCCAGTCTCAACAAGATCTTTGACGAGATTGCGGTCAACGCCACCGATAACAAGCACAGCGATAAGAAAATTAACGAGATGCTAATCACAATTGACAGCGAGGCCGGTGAGATCAGTATGTAGAGTAGCGGACGTGATCTCCCTATCGTTCACTCCAAAGAGAAGATCTAAGCGCCCGAAATTAATGTATTTCGAGCGGCCTAGATTGTCACCCCTTGTCTAGATTGAAAGATCTTCATGACATACATGCATAGACGCCTAGACTGTTTAATTTAATTTTCTGAGCGGAATAAGCGGGACTTCTTGCCTGGATGCCAAAGTCACGAGCCTGACTAGAAATAAGCTGTTCTAGGAGTGGCATACGGAGTGTACTGCGCCTCCAGTGGCTTGTTCCTAGGAATCTGCAATGTGAATAATGATATCCAAGGGCAAAACAGCAATAGTAAGGAATGCTTCTCGAATGTTTTTTCACGATGGGGAATATTCTCCGCAACTACCGCAACCTGCATTCCATCCTGTCGTGCATGGCTCAGACTCAAAGATCTCACAATATGCGGAGTACAAGCGGTGTAGATTGACAGATCACATATTTGAGTATCTATTTTCTGATGGAATTCTGTCAGTGTCTAGATTCTCGAACAATTCCCCTTTAACACATACTATGTGGAAAGGGTGTGATTGAATCTCTAGTGTGTGTACTGTACACCCCTACACCGACTTTCTACACAACCCATTGGGAACCCATGAGATGGGCTTGAAAATTGAGTTTGGGTATATTGGTGAAGGTCAAGGTGAGATTTGGGTATCTAGATGAGCCTGTCATTGTACGGTGTAGACAAAATATACCCCAAAAAATTGCATAGATCGAGAATACTTGGAATAATGGAGGTCTAGATTTGGGTGAGCGAAGCCACAGTTTTCTATAGATTGTAATTTATGATAACATGAGTACAGAATAGGTATAGTTCATTGCCTTAAACAGGGGTGTATCCACTAGCCCGACGATAGAGATTTCAGGAACAGGATCGTCCTTCGAACTTGGATTTTAATTTATGAATTTACTTTCGAGCATATGCATAATAGTCATGTGTCGTGCCTGACGTGCAGGCATGCAACCCGGGCTTGAGATCGGCAGGGCGGATATAATAGGTTTGAACAAACTAAGTAATTATTACATACTTTGTGCGGAAAAAAAATTTTTTTTTTTTTTGGCCCAATCCATGTCCATCAAGCCAGACTTATCATTTTGCCCTTCTGGGCTCTCCATGTACGGATTGATTCTCTGTGTGGCTTTATCGGCTTTGCTATTTCTTTGCATAGAACAAGAAAGGGGATGGCAAAGAACCTACCGACTTTTAAGCTTCTAGCTCTAGAGCTCTAGCGCGTTGGTCAACACTATGTTGTACATTAAGTATCTAAAATATTCTTGACTTGGGAAATATGTCTCCATACGTATGGGGAACAGATCGTAGATCCTCCACCTTATTTCTTCTAACCTCGTCATTACCACTGCCACTGCCCTGCCTCCATACCAACTACCAAATACCCTAAATCTCCCAAGCCCAGGGTAAAGAACCTTTGCACCCGGGTGGTGCTTCATAGGCAGTGAAATGATCAGAGCAAGCCCTGGATCTATCCTTTAAAACGTCGTATCTTCCCTCTCCAGGGGCCATCATATTCACTCTTCCAGCTCACAGCGAGCATCTTGACTACTTATCTGGAACCCTCCGCCTACAATCATTACACTAGTCTTTCTTGCATCTCCATTGAGCAGCTTCCCTAGCTACCAGTTTCTTCTATTTTGCTTTATTCCCTCCCTCGAAGTCGTGTTCACCGCTATTCTTCACACGCCAATTTCCGCGATTAAGCGTCAAAATGAGCTCCAATAAGTAAGCCAGCCAGTTTTATATCATGCACCGTCAATACCCGCGCTGCCCTGGTAACTTCAATTTTCGATCATCATTGGCGTTATTCAATCAAGAATTCGACTGTCTGTATTCTTGTTCTATCTGCTAATCCTGAATCTCCCTCAGAGCCCCGTCGTCTGACTTCCTCACGACCAAACCCGCCGACACCGCTAGCAAAAACACCACTTCTGGCACCGCGCAGACCTCTTTGTTTACTTCCAGCTCTGAGGCGAAGACAGGAAGCTCATATATGCTTGAGACATGGGCGCAGGCACCCGCTTCGTCGGAACCGTGGTCAACCGCCAAAGCCGCCTATTCATCCCAACCTTAGGCTTTGGCCATGGGGGTTGGTTGATATTGGGTTTTGTCTCCCAAAATTATACAAGGGTACCCTGGGGTGTTTGGTGGCGAACAAGATCGGAGCTTGGGTTTCATCTTTTTGGTTGGGACGCTACTTCTTAGATAGGAAAGGCTTAGATACATTGGTTAACGGTTTGGGGGTGGGGCTTCTGGGGTGTTGCTGATCATTGCTCATAAGATTTTCCTTTCGTCATTTATTTTATTTTATTTTTTGTTTTTGTTTTACATTCTACTTTTCTTATAGGTACAGGGGTGAGCTTACGCGGATAGATAAATGATATATTTCAGATTATGTTTTTTTTCTCTTTTTTTTTTTCTCTCATTCTTCTTCCCAGACCTACTAGAAAGGCGCTTGTGGTCGGGGGTAATACATGACGTATTGCAGGGTTTATTACCGCAATTTTTATTCTACCAAACTAGCAATTAGATATTGTTTCACATGCAAAATTTCCCTCGAGTCAACTCGAAATGTTTTTGCATTCAAACTTTTAATGAACCATGGGAGATAATAGAGCCGCACGGTCTGACCCGGTTCCCCACTTTCTCCAAACTTTGAAACAGATCACTTCCAACCTCTTCCACATCTGTACTGCCACACTGCAATCTGGAAGGTTTCTTTACTGATTTTTTTTTTTTTTTTTTTTTTTTTTCATTCTCCTTCTCTACTCGCTATATGTTTATTTAATTCGTATCCAAAGAATATATATCTGTTTCCCCAATTTCAACTTATTCTATGCGGCCCTTTTCTAATAAGTCTGGTTATGAAAAAAACCACGAAACAACTAGTGATAAAAACCTCCATCTGGTGAGAGGATAAAGTGGGGATGTTTAGTGGCGAAAATCACCAGTTTCGCCCAGATCCCTGTACAAAATACAAAAGTTCAAAGTTAGGGATCCACCCAAGCACAAGGTGAGTTGATTGGTACAGGAACAGGGAGAGAGGGATTGGGCTTGCCGTTGGAGATGATAAAGCTAAACTCGTTAGTAAAAAGCCTGTTTATATTCTGGCCATCCACATACATTGATGGAGGTGGTTGATTTATCCAGACCCTGCAGCAAAATCCCTGATGCAGTTTGCTTTTCAATCATCTGCCCGGAAACTTTATTCTCCATGCCCTGACAGTACTCTGTATGTTGTACTCCGTAGCTCTAAGCCCTTAAGATTACGCTTCACTTGTAGGGGGTGTAAATGGTGGAATTCCAGTCTTTTTGATCATTAGATCTCGCCTTCGCCCCCTATTACCTTCCCCGCACTTGATTCAACATAACATCACCCCTTTTCTTTTTCTCAGCGATGAATATCATTTGTCCAGCAGAGCAGTTTACCAGAGTCTGTGCGTTATAGGATCCATATTATAGTGATTTAATGTTTTTACATCTTCGGAGTACTCCGAATGCCATGATCCTTCGAATTTGGGCTTAATCAGGTGACCTTTACTTTCTAAAATATTATTGTCCCATCCTATCACATTTCCTGTATTTTTCAGATATTGCCTACGGCGGATTCGATGCCGTCCCCGTAAGTCCGATGATCTGGACCCTTCCAAGATCTCAAGCGGCTCAATATAAGGTCAAAGAGAGGATTTTACGCAAGAATCTACAAACTACTCTAGGCTCGTTGCTAGTAAGCCGTATTCAGATCTTCGGGGGAGGGGGGGGTGGTGATAGAGAGGACCCACAAGACCCACAGGATCCACAGGGCAGAGAGGATAGGTAGGCAGGGCAGGGGCAGAGAGGGCAGAGAGGGCAGAGAGGGCAGAGAAGGACAGACAAGACATAGTGAATTTTTGCGGCCGGCCAAACACTTCAATGACCCTAGACTTATGGCCCATTACACGCGAACCGTGTGTTTTGTGTAGAAAAAAAACCACCATACGTTGTGATTCGTAATGGAACCGAAGCATCCGAGCTTCTCGGGGCCATCCATACTCTATGGGGGCTTTAAGCATTTGGCTGGAAATATTCTAACTTTCTGCTTTAATATCCGAAGACCCGATAAATGGAGAAGTCATGAATCCGGAGATATTGACTCTATATGGATTTCGCACTTCCAATTGCCGCGCATTCTTGGTCAATGGTTAAATCTGCCGAGCCGCGAAATTCCTTTTTATTCTTATTTTTTGTCCCATTCTCTTTTGATCATCTGTTTTCATTGGCGTTTATTTTCTTTCGCTCCACTTGTATTCGAACAATACATAGTACTAGTGGGGTACCTTCGTCAGTCCGAACTCCCCAGACTCTATTGTAGATATAAGTTTGCAAATGATCTACACTAACCAAAAGCCACACACGAGGCTGATAATATTAATTTTCAACCACTTACCCCTTCCTCTGGAGATAAGAGTATTTCTTGAATAAAGATCCTCATAGGCCTTAAATAAAAAATTTTGATTATACGCGACTTTCAAGGCTAAAATCGGTTGGTTGCCTTGATGCCCATTACGCATTCGCGCTAGACCGCCTCACTGCTAACCAACTAGGTATGGCGTTGGGATTCATCTCTTCTTATTTTTTATATTTTTTTCTGGTATCTAGGTATTTTTTTCATTTAATTCTGTCGTATTACATGTACATAATGTACCAATTTGTATTCACCCGGGTGGGAATAAGTATGGGGGCGCAGCACTGTACAGTGCCTAATCAACTATAAGTATTCAGATTTCCCTCGAGGTTTGTAATTCTATTCCCCCCCTTCCCCTCCTTAGCTCCAAGAGCCATTATCTTTACTTTAGCGGCATTTACATTCTGTTGGTTATGGACCCCCATTTCAATAATGAGCAGTGGTATAGAGCTCGGGGCTCCTTTGCCTCATCCGAGTGGACTGGTACAGACAATACTGTGAGCGGGTGCCCATCCAGAGATCCCAGCTTCAGAGTACTTATGCTTGACAGGGTCAAACTTATTATCCAGAAGCCTTCTCTTCCGCCGACGTGACGAGCTTGAGCTCGGATCTCCCCCAACAAGATTCCGGATCGATCTACCCCGAGCCCCGTGGTCAAGCACCAGAACCTCCACAGCGACTTAACGATGATCTGGTTTATAAAAGTTATATTGATCCAAGTCGTAATATACCGGATGAATATTTTCTTCAAACCCTAGAAGATCGTCTAGGAAGTTCTATCATCAGCCCAAGAGCGGCAGATAATCTGAGGAATGAGAGCACTACCCTGCAGCCTTCATGGGCCTCCCAGACGCTTCCAGGAGACATCGATCGGACCCCAATGGGGATAGCAAGGTCAACCACTTTTGCTCTACAACCTTCGCTTGGTGGTGCCATGGATCAGGTGCTTGAAACCTACAATGCTTTAGTGTGTAGCCAACCACGGAGTCCTGATCAAATTTCTCAAGCGTTGCAGAACCTTGAAACGATCAAAAATTTCTTTTCTACAAATCTCTCGCCACCTACCATTATATCAACTGAGTCTTCAGAGTCAGAGAAACCAGACAAAGAACCGTATCAATGTTGGATGTGTCCTGTGAAGGAACGAAAGACCCTCAAAGCTTTTGGTACGCTCAAAAGACATTTGATAACGCATGGTATATTCCAGCATGGCTACCGCTGTACAAACTGCAACAAAACCATCCCCCGGCGGGATAGGTTACGTGAACACCTTCTTCATCATCATAACATATCCGGTGTGTCCAAAGAAGCTTTGGAGGAAATGAAAGTGACATTTCCTCATCCAATCCGATGTCGATATCCTCTCTGTAACAAAGAAACACCTTCTTGGAATGTCTATTACGATCACTTCAAGAGACACCGTCCCAATTGCCCCGGTTCGGGGAATGCGTCTACCAGTGGCGATCGGTCTCGTCGCGACGACAATGGTGGCGGAAACGGCGGAAACAGCCATGGCCATGGCCCTGCTCACGGCCCTTCTTTGGCCGGGCCCAGCAATTGGAGCGGACAATCGTTTGACCAATCAAATGGCTGGCCTGGGGGTACTCCTTCCAGCACGAGCTTCGGAGGCTTCAGGAGCAGGAACAGTGGGCGACCTGGTCCCATATCACAGTCTGTTTCTGACAGCCAGCTCAACAGTAGCTACCATCAAAGGGCCAACGATGCCATTGGAGAACACTTGATGGATAACATGCCTCCCCCATCTTTTGAGGCGATGGCTCCCCTCCCCAAAAAGGCCGATGGGAAGCCCAAAACCCTCCCCTCACAAAACCTAGGATTTCCAAGATCCAGTAACTCGACGAAGCGTAAGCGCTCAGATAAACAGAAAGGTCGAGCAGAAGACAAGGCCTCCGATCTGACAAAATGCAAACGCTGCAAGCATCCCATGGCCGGATGCGAACAGTGCGAGTTTGTTCGTGGTTGCCACGAATGTGGCGACATGACTAGGGGGGCTATCCAAGCTGGGGATTCCTCAAGAATACCCGTGCAAGCCCTCCCAGATGCATCTTCCACAATCATCAATTTGAACGAGTCTTACAATGACCCATTGGTGAACTATGTGATGCCCCCGCACATGCTCCCTCAATCGTCTATTCATGATGACCACAATGAAATGATGCAATTCCTGGACCCGGGATCATATGAGAGTATGACCAACTCATTCATGGGTAATCTACACACAAATGACAGATATATCAGGGTGGCCATGGTTCCCGAAAGCCACCCAATCTTGAATGATCTCGGCGGCAAGGTTCAAGGGTCGCCTGTTGTTGAAAGTGATACCAAATTGCTTCGCAGCATTGGACTCAGCGCATCGGATGACCCGCTCTCTTTCAAAGGTCAAGCCAAGGAAATGGGAGAAAAGGTCACCGGTGGTCAAACTCCAGGCCTATACACAGATCTTGTTTTTAGGAACAAAAGATCTTCGACCATTCTAGAAGACCACCAGCCGGTGTCTTCTTGCCAGTGCCCGTGCGTTACCATCCCAACCACCGAATACAAGGCAACGGCGAGCCTTCAGCTGTCGTTAAATGAAAGAGTTGAGATGAAATTCCAACTGTCCCCGGAGCGGGATACCAATCATCCCCTCCGCACGAAAGTGCAGGTCTTCGTGAAACTTTTCACGCTCCGCGCATCGGCAGCACGGTCAAAAGCCAAGCAGAGAGCTCCCTCAATTACATCCGAAACCACCCTTAACGAGGACCCTGATTCCGATGCGGATTCAGAACAGGAGCTCACCCTCACTTCGCTTTCGGGTTCCGAGATTACTCCACTAGTCCACTGGGATGAGCAAGACTGGTCGTTTGACTTCCCCATCAAGTGGGCTATACTGAAACTAGCCGGGTGGACCAGCGGAATAGATGCCGAGACGTGTCAAAAGCTTTTGCTCTCTGATCCCGGTCAAATACTGGACTTGATATCTATCTACATTTTGTGCAAATTCAAGGGTTCTTGGTTGCGGATGGATCGCAATGGGGTCGGTCCCTTTCTGAACCTCTAAAAGCATACCCCGTACCCCCTTCACGTACCCCTACCTATACCCCCATTCATTCATGCTTCTACCTGTGTCTAATACCCCCTACAACTTCGTGTTTTACTAATTTTCTTTCATATTCCCATGTTTTTGTTTTCCGTCGTGCCATATTCCATATAAAACCCTCCTGTACAAGTTTGTATACTGCGCGATTGGGCATCGAACTTCGAGGAGATACACAATGTCGTCATGCGTTCATGGGAGGCTTACTACTTACATGACATTTATGAATCATAAGATTGGACACGAAATGAAATACGATTCATGCGCTACGAATCTCTTTCCAGTCTCTATTCTAGGTAACTGAACTGCCACTATAAAGTTTCTCAGAAATCGGGTTGTGTTTCTCGGTGCAGCGTTAATGATTGGCCTTGCCTGCACTGCCGCGTCAGGCTGTACTACCTGGTCTGCCTTGGGCATACACAAAAAGTATATACTCTCTATATGAGCTGGAGTGTACTCACCTTTTGGTGCGAGATATTAAACTAAGGTTGACTACGTATTCGATGCAGGGGTATTGCATTGCATAACCTCGCATATACGTAACTCAAGCATAGATGTACTAGCTACTCCGTACCTGCAGACATATTAATCGTTATATATCACTTCTCAAATCACGATTGGGCGATGGGAGAGTGATGCGAGAATATTGTGTCTTCTCTATACCCTTTCTTGCGGAGTCTCCGCCCCAACCCGACTATGTATGTTGTAGCTAATTACTTGGATATACGTACATCTCTGTATCTAGAAAATGAATAATGGAAATTGGAAAATGGAAAATAGAAAAAAAAGAAGTGTTATCCTAATACACCTTGGAAGAAAAATCGAAAAGTTAGCTAGAACCAGAACTAGTAGGAAGATCCCATGAAAACAACCTCAACCTTGCTAGTTCGGCAGCAATTCCATCCCTGAGCATGAGAAAGCAACCATAAATGAATATGGAAAAACTTCTCATCTCGAATCTGAAGCAAACTCAATGCGCCCTGAAAACAATCATGATCCGTAACCAGAGGCTCTACGTAGAGCCAATCGACGCGCGCATAATTTTAAGCAAAAAGCCCTAACGGGCTGTCGCTCAAGCGCAACGGGCCGGGTTTCTTAGTCTTGACGGCTGCGCTTCGCGCCGTGGGGGTTCCAGGAACCTCCGTCGGAGGTAGGGCCCTGATTGTTGGTATTATTGGGATTGTTGGGGTTGAAGTAGCCCTGATTGAATCCGGGGTTGGGGCCTTGGAAACCTTGTGGTCCTAGATAAGGTCAGAAATGAACGAAGAATAGTCAATATATCAGAATCGCTTACCTTGCATCGGCATGTTGCCTCCCATGCCACCAGGCATGCCGCCGCCCATCATTGGATTCATACCACCCATCGGGTTCATGCCCATGCCACCCATGGGGGGAGTCATAGTAGGCATACCCATCATGTTGGGGCCACCGCCCATTGCATTCCCACCACGACCACCTCGCATACCACCTCGCATACCACCACCCATCATGTTGCCGCGATTGTTGAATCCAAAGTTCTGCATGCCGCCCATCGGGGCACCCTGGAAGCCACCCATCATGGGGTTGTGAGCGCCTTGGAATCCACCCATGGGGTTGAAGTTGTTGCGGTTGTTAAAGTTATTGTTCATGTTGCCGCCCATGCCGCCGCGGTTGAAGCCGCCTCGGCCGCGGAATCCGCCGCCGGCGTGGTTGTTCATGCCGAAGTTAGGGTTGTTACCGGCGTTGTGGGGTGCGCCGCCGCCGCGACCGCCACCGTTACGCGCCGGGGTATCCTTAGGAAGTGTCTTAAACGGGTTCTGGTGTGCGAGGGTGTACTGCACGGTGTGCTTGCGGGTGGGACCACCATTCCTTTCAATACTGTGTTTAGTTGCGGTCGCTGCATGGGCGGTAGTGAACTCAACGAATGCTTGACTATCGAGGTTCAAAATGTTAGTTTTAACGTTCAACATCGTCTTTGAGCGCGACCGAGAATGTACATACCCCTTGCTCTTGCCGTTCACTTTGTGCTCGCTGAAGGTCACATCCTTCAACTGGTTCTCAACTCCGGCCTGGTTAACCCAGCCTCGAATCTCATCATCGGTGGTCCACCAGGATAGATCCGAAATAAGCAATGCAGTGGTAGCACCGGGATCCACGGATTGGTCCTCGTACTCCTTTCGCTTGACTCCCTGAGGGGGGGCAGGCAGACCGTGGTTGGGTGCTTGCTGCTGGGGGACAGCTGGAGCTCCGTTGTTGTTCAGCTGCTGGTTCTGAGTGGCAGCAGGGTTCTCCTGTTTGACAGTGTTAGAAGATCCAGTGCCAGAGTCGGGCTGATTCTCGGCCTCGTCTAGGACGAGCTCAGAATCCTCCTGCTTGAACTCGCCAGGCTCATTGGCGTTGTAAGTTCCATCGCCGTAGATGTCAATGTCGAAGTTATCATCGTCGGTAGCCATTGCGAACTAAATTAATGTCCTCTTTCCGGGACTGAATCTCAAGAAAAGTATTGAAATTGCCTGAGTAGCTGATGTGCGATAGTACAGGCCCTTCTTCTTGATCCTTTCCGCTTCTGAGTCAAGGAAAGTGCATGTCTGCAAGTACAAGGAAACAATTAGCATTAAGCAAAAAAACAATGAAAAGTCACGACTGGTGCAGGGGTAGCGCGATTCCGTATTAGCTCCCAACAGCCCGTCGGACACGTCCTCACACGGTAAAGCGAACGGAAAATTGGCCCCGAAGGGTAACATAGGAAGGGCAGACATGAGAACAGGAGGCCCAAGGCCAGACAATACGTACAATCCGAAGCGAAGAACCGCTTCCGGTAGAACACGACTTGCGCGAGCTGCAGACGCGGTGTACAAGAAGGATATGAAGCAGGCTTGTTCCGTGAATTAACGGATACAAAGGAAAAGGAAAAAGAAGACAAAACTGCCACAGACAGGCAGCTAATGATGAAGAAATGGATGGAGAGGAGATGGTTAGAGAGACAGAAGGGGAGAGGGAAGACAGGGGAAGGAAGTAAATGGCGAGGGGTACAACGCGCGCCGAGAAATAGGTCTCAATCAAATTCGGTTCCTTCGCGACGCCAGAGAACTTAGGCTGGAGGTTGATGGCGTTGACGATGTAATCGCGAACGGCGGGCCAGACTTCCAAGGGAGCTGGAGGTGGAACAAATATTATCCCGCCCCAGAAAGGCCAATTGGTCATTCCGGAGAAACCACCTGTTCTTCCTTTTTGTCACTTCATCTTCCTCAGCTCTTAATCTTTTCATAATTTCTGGTTCTTTTTTTTCGCAATCATGTCTGAGACCTTCCAAGAGCTTGCTGATATCCCTAAGGATTTCATCCGGGATGGCTCCCAATTCGTTCGTCGCTGCACCAAGCGTATGTTGATCGACAGTCATGATCACGCGAATTCCTAACTAACTTTCATGAAATAGCCGACAAGCGTGAATTCATCAAGATCAGCCAGGCAGTTGGCATGGGATTCCTCGTTATGGTATGTGTTGTACCATTTTAGCAGCCCCTGGGTTGCATCTCATGGCGGAATAACTGACATCGCCGATAGGGAGCCATTGGTTACTTCGTCAAGCTGAGTATGTGTTCTAGAATGCAGATATTAATCTGCGCATGCAGAATGCATTATTTATACTAACCTGCTTGTTATAGTTCACATCCCCGTTAACCAAGTGCTGGTTGGTGGCGCCTAAGGGAGAGGCACTCAAATCATCCAAGCTGAGAGAGATGAGAAGAGGTTGAATATGGGGGGAAGTGCGGACTGGAAAAGATTAGGACGATAAGAGACAAACATCGGGGGCATCCTGCATTACAGGCAACAGAAAGACACCGCTCTATCGCCTCTAAACCCCATGGCCTACCCCGCGAACCCCCCGAAACCGCCCTGGAGTGCCCGCCTTCCCATACGGCAAATCATTTTTCCCTTTACGTTTTGAATTTCCATGGCGATCACCACTTGGCGCTTTTTTGGCGAGCGATAGGAGGCAGAGCATGATCGCCATCTATGAGATACCACCGTTTTTCGCATCCTGTATCAATAGGGGACCTTGTTTTACTTAATACACACCCTTGACACATTACTTCCATCTACATTTTCTTGATATTGGGGTTTCTGAATAGTCCAAGACCATATCTACCATCGTGGACTGGGCGAAATGACGTATGTATTGCATTAGTCAAATGAAATTCGACTACTATGGAGTATATATTGCCCAAAAGATATATTGATCAAGATCCCCAGAATGTGCAAAATCAAAATCCAACCATGAATGCTTCGGGGGGAAAGGGATAATTATGCCTAGTCACATTGTCCGTACATGGATGTATGCATCTCTTACCACATTGCATCCTCTGATTCCGTTTCACCAACCCATCTACGAACAGGCCGACTGCGCAATGGACGCCGGGGTCGACCATATGGTGCGTTCTCGCGGTATTCGTCGAATTCGGGGATATATCGTAGTCTATCGTCATAACTCTTTCCAATCGGTGGGTCTCCCTCGTCTTTAGCAGCACCGGCATTCCAAGAATGCACGGTACAAGTGCCAGTAGATAAGCCCCAGCCATTCCAAGAAGTTGCTGAATACAGGATTAGCAATGCACACTCAAGCCAATGTTCTGGGATATAGTTCCTACCTGCTAGTACTGGGGCACTTGGATGCCAGCTTGCATCCCGAACGCAAGTCCTCCATATCATCTCTCCGCTCATCTCATATGCTGTAGCATAGGCATCTGGATCACGTGGCCGAGAATTAAGCGTGGCTTGGCCAACATCAATGGTGCCGGCTAGGGTAGCATCCAAGTTGTAGACATAAACCTTGCCATCCTCACTGCCACTGTAAACATAGCGTGAGTTTGTACTTCCCGGTGGCGAGAAGTGACAGCGGATCAGGGTTTTGAGGACTCGGTGACCCCGGTATGTAACAACAGAGCAGTCATTCTTGGCATTTCTGCGATATTGGTCTGGATACTGCTCGAACCGGTAATCGAAGCCTGTTGTATAGTCGACTGGATCGATGTTTTCCATATCGGCGGATGTCATCATCTTGCGCAGATCCCAAAGCTTCATAGTTTGGTCTTTGCTGTTGGATAAGACGTATCGACCATCGCCCTTGCTGTCAACGTAAGTCACTCCCTCAGTGTGGCCCATAAAGGCACCGGCTTCACGTCCATCACCCATTGACCGTCGATCCCAAACTCGAATTGTCGTGTCATCCGATCCAGAGTACAGGATGTGTGGTGATGACGTGTCGCCGTAACAAACAGCATTAACATGATGCTGATGTCGATCCCGTAGGTTTAGAACTGGTTGTCGTGTTTCTAGATCATAAACGATGACCGAGTCTTCTGATGTACCGGCGACAACCTCACGTCCGTCTCCGGAGAATCGAAGAGACCAGATCTATTGACAATGCACCAGGTTAGCCATTGGAATCCAATTGAAGCATTCATTCACATACTCCAAAATGTGAACCACCCCAGCCCCGTCTTCTACTTTGGCCTGGTGGAGTAGACATATCTAAAACGGTAGGGTCTGAATTGTCCTCCGGGTCTGTCGTGGCCATATATGCCTGGCTTCGTATTGAGCTATAGACAAGGAAGCGGTTGTCGGGGCTCAGCGTTGCATCGGTGATGGTCCACTGACCAAACGGATAATCGACGGTTTTGTAATATTTCCAGTCATAGGGATTGGATGTGTCGTACATCCGAACCTTGAAATCTTGTGCACAGCAGAAAAAGAAATTCCCGTCATCCGAGAACTGGCCTGAATAACTTCGCGTCTCATAGTGAATGATCTTATCCGCAGTCGAACTTGGAATGAGGCCCTAGCAGGAACCAAAAATATGCATTAGTCCTACTCGTTATTATCATCACCCACGCCCAGACTATACACTTAGCCTACCTGGGAGATGGATTGACTAGCTCGTTTCCGAACTCCATCGGTATCAATGCCTAGTTCTCGCCACATCAGGCTTGTCGCTAAGAACTTCTTGCGCTGTCTGAGCCGATCGCCGTAGAATTGGTCAGTTCCAAAATGGCCTTCGCCCATCAACTTCTTGCCCTCCGGGTTAGGAACTGGTGGAAGTGTAACCCTTTCTGTGGATCGTCTGGCTCGAAGGCGATTTCGGAATATGGGCATGAAATCCTCGTCGCTTAACTCATCGTCTTCATTTTCCAGCTGCTCTTGTTCTTCTTCCATGGCGGTCGGCCAGCCGTTGGCTTGGAGGATATGTTGTAAACCACTGGATGCAAGCAGCTCGAACAATCGGGAAGCTGGGACTGTAGTTCATGAGCAATTGTACTGATACTATTTAGATATATCGATCGCAGCATACCGCGTGTATGCCCCTCATTCAGGTCGTCTGTATCCTCACTCTCGTCCGAATCATCCGCTGTAAGCTCAATCTGAATGTTTCCGATGCTGATGTGGGAATGGTCTATCACAACAAAGCAGTTAGCCCATTTGTATACTATTTTGAGAACCTAGGTTTTGGTCTTGCCATCTGCAACTCCAAAGCCCATTTGGTGACCTTCATTGGATATGTTGTCGTCCTGTGCGTCATCGTCCCTGGACGTCTCTAGTGCGGCGTGGTATTCGGCATTCTGCTCGTCATCTTCCGGCCATTCGCGGGTAGGGTGCCAAATCCCTTCTGAACCCCTTGAAGATTCTCTCCCATTATCAGATGTCCTTGAACTCATGGTGTAATAGCTGTGATAGTGACAGATGAGGGGATATGGTGCTTATCGATACATAGTTGATAAGTCCGAATCTCCGTCACCGCCTTCCGAACGAACATTACTAAGGTCATCATCATCCCCCAGAATATATAGACCTCGGGATCTTAATAGGACTTGTCCAATGTAAAGGACTATACTCAATATATAGGCCGTAATGAATATGTATAGTTGGAATACTAATCTCTGCAATGAGAATCTTCAGTGTACAGCCGAATTGACTTAATTTAGAACTTCCCCTTTGTGGACCAAGCATTCTATTTATAAATTTGTCTGATAGCTGTGATACCTGCTTCTTGTTACCCGCTCCAGCGCCGTAGTTTTGGTGCAGTTGAATTATATCATTTCGTGCAAATACAACACTCAACTTACCCTCCAAGAGCTAAGGAGGGCATATTACATGTAGAAAAGAAGAAGTGTGTGATAAATGCACCTTTAGCTTTTGCATATGCATATTATTTAGGAATCATACCAATGTCGGGGAATGAAAGCGAATGACATGGTCATAGGGTAGGGCAAGCTACGCCCTAAAAGAATCCCATCTTGTCATATATGAAAGGAGAATATTGAGCTCTAGCGGTAAGTTGCTCAATATCGTACTTTATCAGCTGACTCTTTATCTATGGCCTAATCAACAACTCCCAGGTTCCCTTTATTCCCCCTAACATCCAAACACATGCACCAACTTCAATGGACAAATTATCCGATAAAACCACAGAAATCCCTAAGCCCTTCCCCACGTTAGACAATAGTGGCCACATCCAACTTCAAGTCCCGGGATTTAAAGATATCCCAATCCATTATGAGCTTCCATGCTTCCATCCAAGGTGCGCTTCGCACACGGAATGCAGGAGTGGTGACAAGCCCCTGCAGTGACAGCCCGCGAGTTAGCCATGGTCGCTGTGGTGAACCAGCTCACCGACCGCCCAGAGGGGCATGTTGATATAATTAACGACCAGCTTGTCGCGGACTGGCGCAAAGAGATCTTTGCCACAACACCCCTGATGAGCAAAATGGTGTGGACCTGGTGTGTGAAGGAGCTAAGACATAAAGCTGTCTATTTCCGCGAGAATCAACAAGTTCGGGTGCTTGACACGGGATTCTATGTGTGTAAATTAGATACAACGGCTCTGAGCGCTCTGGCTGGGGCATTTGGGCGGTTGGCTTCTTTCCTGCTCGAGCAGGAGCTGGAGCAGGGGGGTCAGTATTCACAGTCTAGCCAGGTATCTAATCTCGTCGATCCGTTGTTATTCCCCTTGGTTTATGGGAGAAGTCTGGTCTTAGGGGATCGAGGGAAAGTGGACCTGCACAACATGTTGGGCTCCTACAACGATGCGGCAGTCGCACCAAAACATTTCGATGGACGGTTTGACTCTGACATTGTGCAGAAGAGCATAGAGAAATATAATTATGCACCCGAGGGGGTTTCCTGTGAAAGCCCCAGATTGTATCGCTGGAGTTCGAATTATCAATGTCTTCCGTGTGAGGTGGGGTTTCTCGAGGAGTCTGGAACGGAGATGTAGATTACCTCATACATCAATAACCTCGTTCATAAGGGGCTATATCAGGCTGTTGAGAAACTTGTCTCCCTGGCAATCAAGCCATGGAATGATTGCCTGGTCCAGGGGCAGCGTGACTGGAAAGATGATTTCAATCAAGGACAGCTAGGACCCGTTCCACTGTGAATCATCACGTACGGGATTGAATGGGAGAATGAACTTCCTGAGTGGGCCAATGCTTTCTGCGTGCCTTCAGAATCCAGAAAAGAGGCGTACCGCAGAGCCCAAGAGAGCGTACAGATCAGCAAGGGTGACAAAACAAAAGAGGGCAGGAAGAAACACCGCAGGGACGACTGGTCACATTCCCCAGTGTTTTGGAGCACCGACTCGAACCATTCCAGCTGGCTGATCCGGCTCTTCCTGGACATTATCAGACAATCAAGCTTTACCTAGTTGACCTGCACTACCGGGTATGTTCCACCCGCAATGTGCCCCCACAGCAGCATCACTGGTGGGCAGAAGAAGTGGGCAACGAACTTTCATTGGCTGGGCGACTGCCCCCCCGAACTGGTGGATGCGGTTTTCCAGGAAACGGGCAGCTGGCCGATGGGGATACAGGAAGCGAGACTGCACCGACGGGAACTCATCAAGGAGCACCGTTGGAACGAGATGACCAGGCTAGGTAGTATGCCTGGTCCTGGCTCTGAATAACATGATGGTAGGAAGTTCTAGTCCTAGGAAAGGAGAGGCAAAAGCAGAACGACTCGACATATTCTTTGTTCACGAAGAAAGGCATGGAGAATATATCAAGCGAATGACCCATTCCAGCCGCCTAGGTTGAGTTCCATGGTTCACGCCAAGTATACTCTTCCCTATATTAACTTCTATACAGGGCTTTAGTGGCTTGCTCCCCCTCTTACTTTTAGTATTAACCCTATAGTTATCTAGAGGATCTCTCCTCTAGATAGATCTCCTAGCACCTCTATAGGGGGTAGTTCCCTTGACATGACCGTCTTATAACTAATATAAGTCTAGTAATATTGCAATATATAACAACTTCAGTGATATATAATCTGTAACTCATATAATATGTAACACGCGTGATTTCAACAACACGTGTATGTAGCAGTAGAGAACCTGGCTGTCAGAAAGATAAGCCAAAATGGCGGATCAATATTTCCCCGGTCCCCACTGATAGAGATGCTTCTCCAACTTCCAAGCTCAGGTTTCTTAAGATCTCCTCTGTGGTGTTCAGTTCCAGGGAATTAGAGTGAGACAAGCTGTCTAATTGGATAACCTACGTCGATTCTATATATTTGAACATTCACAATACAAAAGCCCGCTCACCTTCCCCTCAATATCCCCTCCGCATCACCCCGACCCCACCACGATGCAGTCCGTCCCAGAATCGCGACAGCAGTCCTTTGAAGAGATCTACGGACCTCCCGAGAACTTCCTCGAGATAGAAGTGAGTCACTTGATACACAAGGCCAAACACCCACGCCCAAACCAATCACCTACCCCAGAGCCTCATACCCATATATCTCCCCTAATCAGCGGCCCCCGGGCATCTATCTCCACTCAAGGCCTGCGTCACCAGTCCCCCATCAGCCACCAAAAATGAACACCGCAAACTAATGACTCCTCCAACAGGTCCGCAATCCGCAAACCCATGGCACATCTCGCAACATGTACACGTCGTACGAGATTGTGTGCCGGACCAACATCCCCGCCTTCAAATTGAAACACTCCGTCGTGCGCCGCCGGTACTCTGATTTCGAGTATTTCCGCGATATCCTAGAGCGCGAGAGCACGCGCGTCACGATACCCCCACTCCCCGGGAAGGTTTTCACCAACCGGTTCAGCGACGATGTTATCGAGCACCGCCGCGAGGGTCTGCAGCGCTTTCTCCAGATCGTCGCCGGACACCCGCTCCTGCAGACGGGGAGTAAAGTGCTTGCTAGCTTCATACAAGGTGGGTTGATTCTAGTCATTCATGATATGCATGGTTAACGTATGCTAACGCTCATTTCATAGATCCCAACTGGGACCGCAATGCGTGGTAGATGAATATTGCATTGACCATTAATTCATTAACGAGAAGCATGCCTCATTTCCCAGGATTGGCTGGGCTTTGCATTTGGCCTCTTCACTTCATTTCTCACTCTCATCTCCAGTTCCTCTCTCTTCCCTTCTCCCGCTCCCTCTCATATCCTTTCCACGGCAGACATTTTTCGCGATTGAAAATGGGTACCCGCAGTGTATGCTATGTGATGATCATTGCTTGATTTTTTATGCTCGTTTGATATCCGAATTCACCGCTTCTTTCCTCCTAATCAGATGCAAATACAAGCAAGTACAGGGTTTTTTTGTTATCTTAATTGGAAAGGCGCTTCTTCCTAGTTTTTCTTCCACAAACTTATCATTACTTTTCATTTGGTCTCATCTTTCATAGTGGTATCTTTATGCACAGTGAGACCAGACTTCTTGCATTTCTTTCTTTTTAGCCTGATTATCAATGACATTCTGCGAAATGAAAACTTTTATTGAGTATAAGTGTAGCAAAAACCATCGTGTACTGCGGGATATAGATGAACAATGAAAACAGAAAGGAAAAAAATATGATGTAGCCATAGAGCACCAAAAATGTGAAAGCTAGAAAATGAAAATGAAAAGGGAAAGAGAAAAAAAGAAATGAGAGAGAGTACCAAAGAAATTCAAACATTCATAACATGCATTGGCAACATAGCACATCCAAAGCTTATCCCTGATTAGGTCAATTCATCCCAAATCATAGGAGCAAGGGTATTATCTTCCCACGGTGTCTCCACCGTAGAACCGCCCGCCCCAGAACCATCCTCCAAAGAGAAAGCAAGCACACCCGAAGCAGCGGGAGGAAGATACATCGAGTGCTCCAAGAATCCCTGTGGAGGTGGGGGCAAAAGCGCAGGGTCAATCTGGGCGAGATTTGACTGCGAAGGGGTAGTAGCGTGTCGACTCCTCGACACTGAGTTGCGGGAAGTAGCCGGAGTCGGGGTTGGAGTCATGGCATAGACCTTGCTTGGAGATTGTTCGGTGCTGGTAGGATGGGGGCGAGGTGTTGACGCACCTGCAGCGGACTCCTGGGCCTGGTTTTGGTTGGTAAGGGCTTTGCCGCTGACAGAACCACCATCGCGATAGGCGTGTGGGAACTTGGTTCTGAAGCGGTCGCGGAGGTCTGTCGCTTTGCGGTGGCTTAGGTTTAATCGTGCATCTTGCTGAATTAGGGTCCATTGGAAGCCGTGCACGGCGTAGCCTTTGAGGAGGGCTTCATCTTCGGCGGTTGTGAAGGGTCGGCGAGAGCGACGTTTGGATTTTGTGACGTGTGGTTCGGGGATTCCAAGAGATGCTAGCGTTGTATTGGGGTTGTTTGAAAGAGCGGGTGTGCTATTCCCTGAAGAAGGCGACTGCGCTTGGGGAATGCTATTACACCCCGGATTTGTGTCGGGGGTGGATAAGATGGTACTTGGGATAGAGGGTTCCTGTGGATTGTAACCCGGGCTTTCTGCTCCAGACTTTGGCTTGGAGCGTTTATTGGAGGGCATTAGCTGGGAGGGGTGGATTTTGCCGGGTTTTTCGTCAGAGCCCTCTGCTTTGGCTTTGAGTAGGGCGTTAGCGAGGGTGTCATGAAGTCGTTTCGCAGCCTCGTTAGGATCGGATGCGCTGAGATAATATTAGCTATCCTAATTAAGTAAATTCGGAGCGTAAAATTCGCTTTGCTTACCGGTACGCCCATGGACATAAGACTCGGAATCTTCAGCATAGCGAAGCTTTAGCATAAGACCATACAGTTGGCCGAGAGCCGAGCATACCTGTCTTTCAAATTTGAGGCAGTTCGCTGGTTAAACTCCAGTTCTGGTTGAGCTAAAATAGCAGTCCAGTTGCCAATCCCACATTTGACCACGCCTCGAAGTAAAGTAGTCGTCTCTTCTTCGGTCCACTTTCTCATGTTCTTACGGGACCGGCCGCGAGTTTTAGGAGACATTGGCGCCTCTTCTCCAGGGGGAAGTGGCAATGCCTTGCTGGGATTGGATATCTCTGCTTCACTAACAGCTGGGATAATCTCAGTAGGATCCACTGGGTTAGTTCTTTCAACATTTTCATTATTATCAGTATGGTCATTGTCTTCATCCACATTAAGAGATGTTCCGACGATTTCTTCGAGTCTATCATCTCGTTTTTCCGCAGGCTGGCCATCTGAGGTCGCGACATGAGCTGAAACTAACGCCCCAGGGTCAACAGGAGCATCGCCTCCTGAGGGCTTAGTCAAAAGCTGAGAGATATTAGACCCAGCCTCAATGGGTGGAAGAAGGGCAGCATTGGGTGGAGGCTCATTCAATCCATTCAAAATAGCGAATGGCCCAAATGGAGGAGGCCGTTGCTCCTTTTGGGACTGGGGGATAGGCAATTGTAGATGCTCGCTGAATGAATCTGCCTGTGGGTCTCGGCGTCGACGCTTTCGGGGCCCTTGCAGGGCGTCATCGTCGAAGGATGACGAGAAAGGAAACTTTTCTAGGGCACGCAGATTCACAAAAGCAGGAAGTATCGGCCTCGGAGGACGTTCCACATTTGACTGAGAGTCTGCAGACAGTTCAGTTTTCTTAATGCGTGCAGCATTCAGAAATTCTGTAACTGTGGGCAGGCCTGCTTTTGCATTTGCAGGGATCTTCCCACTATTGCTGGTTGAATTGGAGACATTATTCGAGTCCCGTGCCCCACTGGCATTGGGTTCGAGCGGCGATGGGGCGCTTAGGGTTCGTGAGGATACTGGTTCTCGTAGAGGGGCGATACGGAGAGAGAGTTGAGGGAGTTCGCGGAGTAGTGATTCATCGAGAGGCCGTAAGGCACTTGAGTCCATTTCGGCCAGCTATCACAGATTGCATATCATCTTTGTCCCTGATACATTGTATCCATGTTGGGAACAGATGAAGCTCTGATAAGATCAATGCGATAACGACCACGGGCGGTGACGAGTGCCAGTAAAGCGGGCCTACGGGGGTGTCTACGTCAGCTGGCATTCTGTCGAGAACCCCTGGCCATTGCCTTTCAAAGGATCTCCCATTAAACTTTCGCTCATTAATTTGATCGAAGTCTATCCTACTGAAATTCTGCACCTGATATTTGTCGTGGTCCAGCTAGAATGTGAGTTGCTCTCCTCTCCGCGGAGGTAAACATAGCGGGAGCTTTGTTGTCCCAGACCGCTTTAAATAGATTACAGTCAGGGCCAAAGCACAACATTTGAGACGACAAAGAATAACGTTGAACGCCACAGATCCCCAAAATGCCCACCATTTTCCCAACATGGCCTCACATCCTCTTCGGCGTCCTTGAGCCGATCTCACTGTACGATCAGCCCAACCCTTTCCTAGGTTCTCTCATGCGAGAATACTACTGATCCTCGATCCTTAATGCAGAGCACTTGGCAGTGCTTACCCCCTCTACAACCTCAAAGGTTTCATTGCCGGGCAAACACCCAACATCGTAGCACCAGCCACCCTACACCCAAGCAGCGTCGCGCTCGCGTACCAACTCGGCAATGTCTACTCGCTCCTCTTCCTAGTTGGCGTGGGTGTCTGCCACGCTACAACAGAGCCCAGAGTACTACGCAACTACCTAGTCGGACTGGCTATCGCCGATATAGGCCATGTCTATGCCACTTACTTGGCGATGGGCTGGGACGCGTTTGCAGACGTTGCGGCATGGAACGCTTTGACCTGGGGTAACATCGGGGTCACGGCGTTCCTTTTCATCAATAGGATCGCTTATTTCTTAGGTATTTTCGGTTATGCGAAGGCGCCTAAGGCGGCTGCAAAACGGGAGTAGGTGTGACCTACTACTTTGGTTGGCTAAACCAATATATCTCCTCTTGTTATCTCTTCTTGGATAGCAAAAAAAAGCAAAGAAATTATGGGCGGGGCCTTTTGCTCCGACCTCCTCCCCCTTGCGTGACACTGCATATATGCGCGGTTTGGCTTTGACCATTCTCTTGCCTGAGGCTCTTCGGATGTAATGGGTTTCGTCTGATTTGTAGATTCTTGGTTGGCGCCGTAGAGAGAAGATAGTGTGTGTGGGATATGTTTAGATTGATCTACTAGTATGCTTAGGGTTTGCTTGAAATTTGCTTGACTACGTTAGGGTGGACAAGATGGGCTGATTTGATTTTCAGATCCAATGAGCGTCCACTGTTATATAAGTGTAAATAGAATTTTGGATGAAAAAATAGAAAGAAAAAAAATTAGATTCATATGAGCAACGCCAGACTCCCCGGGGCTACCCGATGCTAACATAGTAGAAGTACAGATCATGGAATATAGCATTTGAGGTCATCTGGTGTAGATCGCCCCCATCGGAAAGACTGCCAAGGAAAACACCCCATCAATGCATTAGCTGCTGACCAGAGAGACAAACAAATAATTGAAACAATATTTAACACACGGCCCACGCGAGGCGTCTCACCATCTGCAGCCACACAAGCCAAGCACATACCAAGGTAGGTTGCTTTTTTCTTTCCCTCACCGGAGCCGAAGCCGGGGGAGAAGCCTAAGCAGATCGCTGATCTGGTGACTACCTGTTTGGGTTTATTGAGTGCTTTGCAGGTGCTTGAAAATTGGCTCAAGGATGGATTCGCCATTTTGTTTGAAGTCGTGAATGTGAGGCATCAAGAAGGGAATGCCAGGGAATCGTCGGTAGTGGTCGCGATAGGCGTTGAAGTTCTGAGCTGGATCCATGAGGGCGACTAGTACTTGTGGAATCAGGGCTTCAAGTGTAATCATATTTCCTTTGGATTTGTTGGTGCGAGTAGTCAAAATAGAATAGGTATGCAAGCCTTTGATGACGGCCGCGAGAGAGTGATAGTTACGTGTTGTTAACAGGGTCTGTTCAAATGGTTAGAGGGCTTTGACCTTTGGGGACTTCGGCAACTTTAGGAGTAACCTTGTACTGCTTACCTTTGCACATTCTTGCAGATATGGAATCAGGTCTGGAAGTGCAGAGCAGCATTCCCACACAGATGTACTCAGTGTGCGCCACTGAGTCTGCAATCGTCCAACAACTACATCCTCTGTTATTAGACTTTCCCGTGTCAACTCGGCAAAAAGGTGTTCGTCCGCGCCGTTCATGGTGCGTGCCAAGTCTGCTGGAGATGTAGAATCGAGATAATCGTCCAAAAATGGAATAGAGGTATCGAATGGAGTCTTCCAATCCATGGTAGGAGGGTGGATATACTGTCGGCGAAATCGGATTGCCAAAACGCTCAACATCTTGAGCATAGCAGTGAGCCTTCCTTGCTGGCCCATGAATAAGGCCTGGATAGGACCTGCGATGAATTCAAACCCAGCGGTGTGGGGCTTTGACATGTCATGATGGGGCCCACCAGTCTGCACAGCCAGAAGGCAGTGGACCAGTGCTCGGTGTGCGAATGGACTCCGCGACCGAAGATGCTATAGAAGTCAGCTTAGACTCTATGTAATGATAGGGAATAGCTAAATCAAAGAACATACCTTTTCCACTTCAGTATACAGAGGAATGTCCCCCGGATAAGCGCTCAAATGGTCCCGAAGAATGATATAAAGAGCCGTATGCTGTTGTAGGAACCACTCGACAAATACAGCTTTGTATCCGAGGGCAGCGCGTGCAAATTCTTCAAAAGCAATCTGCCTAAAGTGGAAATGGCTCTCGGCCTCGATTGCGGCAGCGATTTCCAGCGCATCTAAAGTAGGGCTTGACTGCGGTGGTAGCCAGCTCCAAGGAATTGCCTGGAAAGGAGAGATACTCGACCGGCGAAGGATCTCCTCAACCCTCTGTGAATGAGAGAGACTCCCAAGGAACTGGTACTCATGGGGTTCGGACAGCGCCATCAAAAATGTGTCAATGGTGTCCACATTTCGAGCGCAAAGCGAAGTCCTCGGGACGGACTCATCATCAAAGAGTCCGAATTGAATCACACGGCTAATTTCTTGGATATCGAATGCCCAGAACACAGTTGTCGCCTCATCTTCCCACCATCGATAGTTCGCGAAAAAGGCGGGAATCTCCAAGTTGAGTTGGAAGATTGATGGGTAAGAAATCCCCGAATCTGAAGCCGTAATACAATAAGATCGAATATCCATAGTCATGTTCTTTAGACAGTGTTGCCTATCCCCTGAAGTGAAAAAGGTGTGGGGAGGCGGTTGAAAAGCCGATTCTTCTGGGCTGGTCGATTGCATTTATGCGGTCACCATCGGGGGAAAAAATAAAATAATCAAGGCCAACACATCAGGCAAAGTACACGCTGACGCTCATGTAACACGGCGCTTGAATAGAGTAATTACAGGACAGGGATGAGAGGTGTATGTTAGACGCGACGTAAGAGAAGAGTATACGAAAAAGGTAAAAAAAAATAACTAAATAACGCACAGATAATAAAGCGGGTTGCTCGGAAAGGTGAGGGTGATTGGTTTTAAACATAAGACCAGAATGGGATTTCCCTTTATCCCTGTTGCTTCCGCCACGTTCGACACATCACGAGGGTCAAAAATGGGAGAACTCTAGGCACATTAACAAGGGCGCTAATCCCGGTTTCCAGGCTACTGGAAATCTCCCGTCGGAAATAAAGGAAAGGGGGGCAAATATTGGCTGGGATTGTATATGGGGTTACTATATTGGGAGTCCCTAGTATGTATCAGGGGGGGGTGACCTCCATACTGATCTGCAAGTTGGGCTTCTCTGCTAGTTACCGAGATTGTATGCCGAACACCCGTTGGCCGTTGGGCTGCAGAAATGGAATGGTTCAGTTAACAATATGACAAGTTTGAAGAGTTCTATTGTGAGAAGCGGTCAACCCTTAATAGAGGATTATTCTGGAAGTTTCAAATCGGGAAGCTTATAATTAGTCGGTCAAGGGAAGTACCATACAATAGAAAGAGATATCCACTAAATATCCACTAAATATCTGTTAAAAGATTGGTCCAGGCCTCTAATGATTTCATATGTACTTAGTACCACAAATATGGGCGCTAACCGTAGTGGCCGTAAAATGCCAAGTCTACGATCAACGTCAGGGAGTTCAAGGGTATAATGGAACATCTTGGAACATCTTGGAACGTTTTAGAACATTTTAGTTTAAATTTTTATAGATTTTATGGAAGTCTGCAATTGGTTTGCCCGTCAATATTACCGGGAAAGAATTATATAACCATATTAAGGATAAACACACCGAGTTCTAGGCAAATTTCCAATGGAAGTATTCAAGACCTAAAATGGTTATAATATACTATTATATCATTATTATATCATTATCTACTATATTTTCCATAATTCAAGATCAGCGTTTCGTTCTCGTTCCATTAAAAACAAGATTCGCCATCCTTGACTCGATCCTTGCAAGATTCCCTTACACCGCTACACCTTATATCAAATATTTCAAGCCCAATTGACGTCCATTCCTAGCATTATTCTTCTATTCCGCATTCCCACTACCAGCTAATAATTCCAAGCTTATTCCTTAAGCATACGTTGCAGGAAACACAAAGTACTATGTAAGTAATTCTACGATGGGTGTATTCTCCAGTCCAATCATTTTCATAAAGGTAAATGTTAAACCACGTGAAATTCCCTTTTTTTTTCTCCCTACCCAGTTCCTTGGGACTGGGACGGATCTCCCGAGATCCACGCCAAAGTTTGTGGAGATATCAGATATCAGATATCATGGATGTTTCTGGAGTTTCCCGGTTTTCCTTATTTTATTTTATTTTTCTTACAAGGTTCAGTCTATAATATTTGTGATTGCATATGCACTGCTTAAGTCACCAGGTCTAGGCCCAATATTTGCATTTCAGACACATAAGAAATGACTATAGTTTGAACTATGCAATATCTGGCCTCTTCAGGTGCAGCTTTTACATGAGACTCCACATCTTGTCGCTTTAGATCGCCGGCAGTTCATACCAGCTCGATTGATCGATTGTGCATTTCGAACAAAAGTACCCAATAACCAGGGATACTCGCTTAAGAATGATCCACAGCAACTGCATTGTTCTGCATCCCCCAGATAGTATGTCCATTACTGCGTCTTGTGTAGCTCAAATTCCAAATTTATATGCTAATGGCCAACACAGCCAGCCACTTATGCAGCATGAAGTCGATATAATCGCTTCAAGGCAAGATCCCCCCCTGCCACTTGGGTAGTTACAACCTCTAGCCTTGCTTTTTCCTTCTCTCCGATACCGCTCCCTACGAAAGGCCAGTCCACCTCTCTACACGCTGCATAAAATGATGGGTCAGGAGTTCTATACCATCCTGTCGTGCATGTTACCAACAGTATGGCGCTTGGAACACGGAGAACTTTTCCCCGGTGGATAGCCGAACGTGGCACGGCCGAGTACTAGGATTGACTTTGGATCTATCAGATTATCGTCTTTTCCCCCGCCCATCTGCTACGATTGCCACCCATGATAGGCCGTCGGAGAAATTCAAGAGAGAAAATCTCCCTCCAAGGACTGGATGGACATATGATCCGCTTGCCTCTCCCGTCCCTTTCCATCCTCTCCGTAATCCTTCAAGTGTGGTAGGTGCGGACCGACGGGCCAACCGCCCATTGTCTCCAGAGCCGTTACAAGTTTTAACCATCCCGATCGAGAAGGAGATGATCTCCAATCCGACACCGGAGATGAATAAGTTATTCTTAGACTCTTGGCCACTCTTCTCTGCATGTGCTCGCTTACATGTCCTGTATAAATAGCCCTGCACAGAATTTGGAAGTATATGTAAGTATCTAATTTTCTCCACAAATAGCGCTGTCAAGCACCCACACGATATATTTTATATAGTAAAGGGACCCAGTGCTGATAGCAAACCTGCAATAACTCCACATCGGACACTTTCTGCTGTTGCATCGCATAAGCTAGCTCCAAATGCCGGACACACCTCGATTTTCGTGACACAACATGTGGATGTCAATATTCAAATACCCCATATTCAAATCAATTGGGCCGTGAAACCTCTACCATCATGATCACCCCTGCTGACCTCCGCAGATGATCGTCTCCTGCCTATAGTGGGCGATTCGCGCTGCTTAAGCGAAGGCCAATAATAATGCGTGAGGGGGCAAATTAGAATGTAGAGAAGATCAATTGCCGAGGATTGTGACTTTGATCGCCATCTTCAGGCTTGTGATCGAAAACTTGGTAATTTCCGCTTCTTTGTACGTGTACATAGCACACCGACACGGGAAGACTGTTGCATCAAATAAGCCGAGGTGCATTGGTGCGTTGGTGCTATGGATTGATCGATTTGGACTAACGTTGTGTCGGAGATGAGTACAACATATGTAGGCAATATATATTTTGGAGTGGGATCTACAGATGTTCTTCAGCAGTGTATGATTTGTGGACTTGAGATTATTTTGAAAGTGCAGTGTCAAGTTTAAGTATTCGATTGCTTCCACGGATATTGAATCCATGTCAAAAATGGTGGACATTAGTGTGTTGTAGACCAAACTAATGCACCTCGTGGATCTTCATTAAACGGATTGAGTTTGTTCAGCCGGGGCTTTGGTGTGCAGAATGTTTTAGTTTGGATGAGGGCACGACATAGATTAGTACGAGCAGGCTTCACGCTCTAGTGGCATCTGGTATGGCAATGGATTCACATCTTGACTACATATTAGGAAAAAATTACATTTCCCTCGATCTTCATAGAGTGCATAGAAGTACGCCTGGGATGAATGGCCAGAGAACAAGGCCAAAAAAGAATGAGAGCTAATCATCCAGGAAGAGGAAGGATCGAGGGAGATAGGTAAATATACGGTCATTAAATCATTCGAAAAGAGGTAACGTAAAATGGTATCATATCACTCGGAAACGAAGCGGTTAACCCGTTCCTGTTTTGTTTGCTATGGTTCGAAACCTACGAGAAAGCATTATTCAAGTCCATTAAGCAAGACAAGACGCCGTTTCCCAGCTACTGTTTTTAGTGTTTCTTTTAACCTGCCAGCTATTCCACAAATATCAGAAGATATTGTGAATTTAGTTGGCGAGGTCGTGGGCACGGCGGCGGTCACGCTCCTCAGCAATGGAGAGCTAGAAAGATATGTTAGAACAATTCATAGACATACGTGTTGGAAAAAATAACATACCTTGACACCCTTACCCTTGGGGAGGGAAACCCAGGGCTTGTCCTGTCCAATGACGAAGACGTTGGACTCACGGGTAGCGAACTGGTTGTCAAGAGCATCGCGAACGTGGACGATGTTGAAACCACCGTCGTGACGCTCACGGTGAGTGATGACACCAACACGACCCATGTTACGACCACCAGTGGCCATAATGACAACACCGGAGTCGAACTTGACGAAGTCAAGGATCTTGCCAGTGGCAACGTCAACCTTGACGGTGTCGTTGACCTTGATGGCGGGGTCGGGGTAACGGATGCTGTAGAGCGAAAACGCAAGTTAGCAAAACCATGTTCTGATCAAATTGAATCTTACTGTTCTGTTGTCCTCCGCCGATCAACCAAAGCTTGGTCCAACGACTGAATGACACGGAACTTGTGGAGTGTGGAACTCACGTTCGCGCATCGTGCGTAACCAAGAATGGGATCCCGCCCTTGCCGAGCTGAACACGCTTGACCTTGCAGAGCTTGAACTCAGCCTCCTCAGCCTGGATGCGGTGGACGGTGAAACGGCCCTTGGTATCGTAGATGAGACGGAAGTGCTCGCCGGTCTTCTCGAGGGAAATGACGTCCATGAATCCAGCGGGGAAGGTGGTGTCGGTGCGGACCTTGCCGTCAACCTTGACCAGACGCTGCATCATGATGGCCTTGACCTCGCGACCGTTCAGGGCGTACTTGAGACTATCAACAAAAGAAATGTCAGCGGTTGTTCGTCGCGTATCGAGAAATTCATTGTGTCGCGTGCGTACCGGTTACGGATGAAGACAATCAGGGGAAGGCAGTCCCGGAGCTTGTGGGGACCGGGGGAGGCCTTGGGCGCGTAGGTTCCGGACATTTTGTCCAAGAGCCAGTGCGAGGGCGCACTGAGGCGCTTCTGGTGCTTTCCGCTGTAAAGAACATGATTGTTAGTGATGGTGTTCCAAGTCGAGAAATTTTCGATCACTCTCGCAGTGACTGGCTGAGCTCGCAATTCAGCAGAAAGACGATGCCAGTATACAGGATAGTGATGCAAAGGGCGATTCCATGACACTTACGGGCCGCGCATTTTGACTGATTTGTCGACTGAAGGTTAGGTGGTCGGAGTGTCGAAAGAGAAGGCTCAAGCCGTGAAGTGGTGATCCAAATCAGAGAGGAATTCGCTTAGTGTGTGGTTATTGTGAGCCCTATTCTCCACTCAGACCAATCAGACTCCACTAGTGGATTTTTAACACTTGCTTATGTCATCTCCAATTCGGGCCCAGGGCCTGATCCACCCGTGAACTTCCCCTTTAGGAATAGAGAGACCAATGAGATCTAATTCATTTGTACGAAAATTTGTATCTATTTGACATGCGCTGATAATTCCACTTTTCGTAACTAACTTAAATGTAGCCCTTGATAACAGCAACCTCGGCATTGAGGATGGATGATCCAGCAGCTCCAATGACGGTGTTGTGAGAGAGGGCAGCGAATCGGATATCAAAGTGACCACCTGGGGCACCCTCGCGAACGCGGCCAACACTCACTGTGTATCCACAGGAGATGTTGCGGTCCAGGCGGGGCTGGGGACGATCGGGCTGATCGAACACCTGAATCGCGGGCTCTGGTGCGGAAGGAGCACCCAGCTTCTGTGCCTCGGACTTGTACTCCCGCAGAGCTTCCTTGACCTGCTCCGCGGTGGGGGTCTGGCGGTTCTTGAAACGCAAGGAGACAAATGCCATGTGACCGTCAGTGACACCCACACGGGTGCAAGTGGCACCGATGCGGAGACCAGACTGCTCATCGAAACCGGTGGCGCTAGCATTCAATGAACCCAGAATCTTTTGGGCTTCGTTCTCGAGCTTGTCCTCCTCACCGCTGATGTAGGGGATGACATTGTCCAGGATGTCCATAGTAGGAACACCGGGGTAGCCGGCTCCGGAGACGGCCTGCTCGGTGAAAACCTCGACCTCCTCGACAGGGCCAAACTTGGCCTGGAGAGCTGCGAAAGGAATGACGATTCCAATAACAGCGCAGTTGGAGTTGCAGACTAGGAAGCCCTTCTTAAGGCCGTACTTTTCCCGCTGATGAGGAATCAGATCCAAATGTTGGGGGTTCACAGTAGGAACCACCAAAGGCACAAGGGGGTCCTTGCGGAAGTTCTTTGCGTTTGAGAAGACAGGGATCTCAGCCTTAATAAATGACATTTCTGCATGAAATGTCAGTACATGGTTAGGTTCCTTAAATTTGATATACTTAACCACATACCAGTCTCGCCAGCAACATCGCTGTTCAGCCCAGAGAAGACAAGGTCACAATCCGAGAACTGTTCGGGCTTGCAGTCACGCATGACCAAGTTGCTGAGCTTCTCAGACATGGGAGAAGCCTGCTTCCAATTTACGGCATCCTTGTACTTCTTGTTGGCTGAGCGCTCAGAAGCACCCACGGCGTGAAGCTCAAGGAAGGGATGATCTGCCAGCAATAGGATGAAGCGCTGGCCGACGGAGCCAGTGGCACCGAGAACACCTGTAACATATTAGGATCGAACAATGCATGAAATAGCTGGTAAAATTTGAGAACATACCGCACTTCTTCTTTGGGAATGAAGGAGCCATTTTGCTTTTGAGTTTTATATGAAAACGGGCCTAGATCCTATGTAAGTTAGCAAACCAAAAGTTCCAATAAGTCAAAACTAGCGATCAATAAACAGATATACAAAAGAACAACCGCTCCATGCCGAATCGGGCCATATAACATGAGAGGCCTGTATGAGTCAAAGCGTTTCCAGAGCCCCGCATGCAGTATGTAGGAGGCTCTGCTAGTTCTAATCTCTCACGGACCACATGGAGCAGAGTCCCAGGGATTTGGAATATCAAAATATCAAAATAAAACAGTAGGTTTACTTACAGTTTCGCTGGTGATGAGGTTGAAGGCTTGTAGCAATTTACTGCGCCAGCGATATCGCTCTCAGCCAATTGCCTTGCCCCGCGATTATGTCAGCGTCCTGCGTTCGGACAAAATAGCGGCTCCCCGATTGGCCAGATTATGTGGGTCTTTAGTCAAAGTTTAATCTCCCGAGATTTGGCTTGTTTGCATTTCTTTCTATGGAACGTCATTTGAAAACCACCCAGAAAGTGGTCTATGATATGGCTTGGATTTTTGTCTATTCTTTGAGCACACGCTTGACAACATCCCTGACAGTTTCCAAGTGAAGTCCCAACACATTGTTTGCCAGCTTCTCCTCTTTGGCATAGTTTGAATGGAGGCCTGGGATGTTGCCAAAAACAGTGGCTCGAACTAGAGCAAAAACACCATTGAAGTCCCCAGCAGCAAGCTTCTCGACTGCCTGATTGACTTGAAAGTCGGTGGTAGTCTCGTTCACGGTCCATTTAACTCCTGACTCCTTCTCTAAAGCAGCAAGGATGTCTTTCTGAGTGGTTTCAACCGAGGCAATGAAGAGAAACTGATTTTTGGTTTCATGGGGATGCAGCAGAAGAGAAACAACAGCCTCACCGAGGGCCTTCTGATTGGTCAGGGTGAAACTCTTGTTGCCTCCATCCCAGATCGTAGCCGTATGACGGGCAATGTCAAATTCCAAGAATCCATTTGCAAGACTCTAGTCAAAACTCACTGATCAACTCAAGCCCAAAATTTCAATTCGCGATGGAAGACTTACCCAGTCAAACAAGCCAGAAGAAGCTATACCAGTCCAGGTCAATCCATCTGTCTCCTGCTTCTTGAGGTACTCGACGAGTTCCTTTTTCTGTTCGAATAGTGGCAACAACTGCAAAACAGCCTCATTCTGGCTATTTACTGAAAACTCAGATGGGATAAAACGCTTGACACCTGCACGAATGGCAGCATCAACAAACTTCTTCTGTTCGCCAAATGCACCGACACCCACAGCGGAAATGACGACGTCTTTGCCCTTGAATGCAGATTCGAGACCTTCTTCTGAGTAGTCGGTCTTGAGAACAATCATATCAGGCGGGAAGGTCGCCTCGCTCTCCTTGCGGGAGATGACGGTAATTTCAAACCGAGAAGATGCAGCAAGGCCATCGAGAATGATTTTGCCAATGCTGCCACTGGCCTGTCAAGCTATTAGCTGAGTTAATAAATATACCTGAGAACGGAGTCGACATACACCGATAATCGCCACGTTCTTCAAATAAGATGCCATTTTGGGTTGTTGGACTATAGATCAAGTATTAATCTTGGATAGAAATGCTTGTATTTTCGTGGTTGAATAATATTTACCGTCAAGTGTGGAATGTCATCTTTATATCTAGTCCTGCGCTATTTCCCTCGCTCTCTATCGGATGTTGATTTCATATCACAGACTGCTGAATGTAAATGCTGCCTAGCGCAATAATCCGCACCTTCTGTCCGCTGCTCCGCTTCAACCAACCAAATAATACCAATTAATGACTCTAAAACAACTTCCTAAAGGGTATATAATATGATGCGATCTATGTATGTTGTACTCCATCTCCGAAGTGCATGGGGCGGGCCCACCTTGCGCTTAGAAATGCGGAGTGGGTCCTCCGTCGCTCCGCTTTAGCCAATCAGCTCACGTCGTATCATCAGCTTGCTCATGTTGTCTCGATTTACACCCTCACAGTTCCCCAGTCATTATTACAGTCCCACCAAGATCTCGGGTCAATGATTCATATATCCAGCACCACAGTGCGCTCCTGCCTTGAATGTCGCCGACGAAAAATCAAATGCGACAGATCCCTGCCTTGTTCGTACTGCGTCAAAGTCAAGATACAATGCACCTACCCGCCGCCAAGAGCAGAACCTGCCAGCACCGAGAGCGAAAAAGCTGGAGATAATATAGTAGCCCGCGTCGGAAGAATTGAGCGCACACTAGTTCGTTTTGAGCAGAGTCTCTCCCAACTCCAGGGATTTCTACAGACTCAATCTTCGTCGCCATCTGTTGGTGGCATCCATGGCCATGACCCAGTACAGCAGTCTCGCGAAAGCAACGGACATGATGGATGGGGGCTGGATCAAACTCCACCCTTATTAGAAGCTCCCTCCACTTCCGTACTCGAATATCTTCGTCCTTCCCGGGTCCTGGTATCTTTCCTCTGGCAAAAGTACGTGGAGAACGTGGAGCCAATCCTCAAAATTATGCATCCACCAACGGTCCAGAGACAGATATTGAAGAATACCCAGTGTCAGCAGACGCTTGGAGCATCCACAGGGTGTTTGATATCCGCCATTTGTTATGCTGCTGTGGCAACAATGACAGTGGAAGATTGCCGGATTGAGCTTAATGAAGACAAACACGAAGTATTAAGAAGGTATGTGTCTGGGTTGGAGAAAAAGATGACCACCCCGCTAATGTTTCAAGATATCGCACCGGAGTTGAAAGTTCACTCGCAAAGGCCGGCCTATTGGAGTCACTGGACATGACTGTTCTGCAAGCCTTTGTCATATACATTGTACGTGATACTGAAACAAGGAAAGGTCTGATATAACCTGACAACTGCTTTAGGCTTGCAGTAGGCGGTATGAGAAAGGACTAGACATTAGGAAATCGCTTGGGAATGCCATTGGAATTGCGCTCAAAATCGGCCTGCATCGCGATTCTACTTTAGGATTAACACCGTTTCAAGTCGAAATGCGTCGTCGACTCTGGTGGCAGATATATACTCTCGATATCAATATCGCAGAGGACTATGGCACAACTCCTCGTATTCTAGAGTCATGGTTCGACACAGAACTCCCTTCGAATGTGAGCGATGCAAGCCTTGACCCTGATATGAAACACCCGCCTCAGAATTGTAGCGGGAAAACAGAGATGGTGTTGAGCCTCACAAGATCTGAGATCAGTAATTTTGCCCGTCGAACCATCCTCTCTGACCAGTTCCGCGACGAAAATTGCTACCCAATTTTATCGGCTTCTCAGAAATCCACCGCGGTAGATCTTTTCAAAGAGAAAGTCGAGCAGCAATATTTATCGCATCTAGATCAAAGTATTGCGCTAGACTATTTTACAACCGTCTCCAGCAATCTGATACTCGCGAAGCTCAAACTGGCAGTGATAAAACCCCGAGCGAGGCAAGACCAGTCTATGCTCATGCATGTGAACCTGCGAAAGGTTTGCACGGAGATTCTGCAGAAAACTGCGGCTTTGAGACGCCATGAAAAGAGTAGACAGTGGCTCTGGATTTTTCAAAACCACATCGAATGGGATGCCTTGACATGTCTGCTCATCAATCTTTCTCTGGTCCCGAAAGGCCAGGGGTTGGATTCGGCATGGCAAACGGTCAATGAGACATACAATTACTTGAAGATGGACGGTGACTGCCGACGTGATCACCGCTGGGGGCATATCGAAGAACTCCGCACGCAGGCTCTGTTTTCTCGGGATATGATACAGATCAATCCATCGCATTGGGGGATATCACCAGACGACAGCGGCTTCGAAGAATCACACACCATGGCTATAGAGTCACCACAGCACCCTGGGCTCGGGACATTAAAGCGCCAGAGAGAAGACGATATTGGTTCTTCCCGTTCTTCCCCAGGCGAGCTGGAACCCGGAGCCCCGAACTGTCGTTCTGAGGTATCGACTATGCAATCAGAAGCCCAGGAACATCTTCCCCGTATGTGGGCGTTGGCGAATGCTGCCGCGGCTGCTCCGGCCGCTATTGACAGTTCGTCTCACATGGAACCAGCTAGTGAACATACAGACATACCGAGTTCAGGCACTGGCTGTCAGTGGAGTGCGAATCTCTTTGAGCGATACTTTCAGGTCTTGGGCTCTGAGCAAACAACACTGTTATGAGCATAACTTCAAATATTGACACCATTTTACTGGAAATTCTTGAAATTTATTCATCTATAATGTATAAAATGCCAAATAACATTCAATGTCCTGGACCCGGGGTGTCGGCATCGTAGTCAAAGATCTTGCCAGGGTTAAGCAGCCAATTCGGATCCAATGAACGCTTGATACTGCGCATGACATCGATGGTATCTGGTCCAACTTCCTTTTTCAAAGATCCTTTCTTGCCCAGCCCAATGCCGTGCTCGCCCTGCAGCGCTGAATTAGCTGATATTCTAGTAATTTCAAGATGAGCGACTTACTGTGCATGAGCCCTCCATTTCCAGTCCACGATCAACCATATCGTACACTACTTTCTCGACCCGAGCCCTCTCCTCGGGATCGTTGCGGTCATACATAATGCTTGCATGGAAGTTTCCATCGCCGATGTGGCCAAGGATACTGGCAAACAGGCCTAGGTCAACCAATTCCTTCTTAGAGGTTTCTGGCAGCAGTCAGTATACATGTAACAAAGCAACTGCTGAAGGGGTCATACCAATGATATCAGGAAGTCGAGAAATAGGCACAGCCACATCAGTCGACCAAACCTCTGATCCCTCCTTGCGGAGCGCCATCATACTCCACAGCGACTGCTTGCGGGCAGACCACAGGTCATGAGCCTCGCGATCATCACGAGCGAATTCGAAAGACTCCGCATTGTTACCCTTTGCGAGCTTCGTCGTCAAATCGATACTATCTGCGACACCAGCGCGAGTTCCAGAGAACTTGAAGAATAGCGTAGGCGAGACCTTCCATTCACGGCCCGTTCCACCCGCACGATTAATAACGTCCATCTGGACATCATCCATGATCTCCATGCACTGCACAGAGACACCCTTCCGAATGAGCTGCATAGCAGTCGAGGCGGCGTCACGAATAGTCGGGAAAGCAACAACACCAACACGAGTCATCTCCGGGAGTGGTGCCAGCTTCAACGTAGCCTCAGTGACGATACCGAGCGTACCTTCCGAGCCAACAAACATGCCGGTCAGATTGTATCCGGCGGAAGTCTTGCGGGGACGTCTGCGGGTCTTGATGATGCGACCATCAGCCAGCACGACCGTGAGGTTAATCACCCAGTCCTTCATGGTACCGTAGCGGACTGCATTAGTGCCCGAGCAGTTTGTGCCGACCATACCTCCGATCATGGCGGATGGGCCTGGGTCGACGGGGAAGAACATTCCTGTGTCCTTGATTTGCTCGTTCAGATCCATCCACTGGATGGAGGGCTGGACAACGATGTCCATGTCATCCGGGTGAATTTCGAGGACTTTGTTCATGAATGCGAAGTCGATTGTCATGCCGCCGTGCGGGGCGGAGAAATTGGCTTCCAGACTCGATCCGCCCGAGTAGGGGATCATTGGCATGCGGTATTTGTGGCATACTTTGGCAATCTCGGAGACTTCTTGAGTGCTCTTGGGGTATGCGATTGCGACGGGCAGACGATCGGCGTTTAGACTGGACCATTCTGAGAAGCCGTGTTGGTGGAGTTCCTCTTCGTCGGTGCCGATTGTGTCTTCGCCGAGCTTGGCCCGTAGTTCGCTGATAGCCTGGGATTGTTAGTTTAGATGGTCCTGGACTGGTATTAGGTGACCTACCTTTTCAAAATCCTTCACTGAGCCATATTGAGGCTTCTTGGGTGTCTGTGTCGATGTTTGAGTATATGAGGAGACGCCGTAGCCTAACCCCGCAGCAAATGCGGAGACGAGCAGGGCCTTGGCTGGGGTCCAAAAGGGCGAGGGAGGGCTGTTAGAGGAGTTGCTCTCTTTTGTGCTCTCTGTATTCTCTGTTTTCCCGGCAGTGGAGCTGTTCAATCTAGCACCGCGAGAGAGAATAGTGCGCGAGACCTGGGGCCGACAAGGAGCTGGAAGGGCACGCGAGGCCCGGAGGACTGGTCGCATAGTGGATAATTATATATAAAGAAAAAGGGCTTAAAGAATTGAAGCTTAAAGAACAAGAAGAGAGTCAAAAATGCTAAAAGGGAAGAAATAAATGTCGATATTGTGGATGGGCATGATGTGACCGGCTTTTTGTAGTGTCGGACTTCGGCCGAGAGAAGTTGAGGGTCTCTTAGCCGGGAGGTCCCTTGGACCGCATGGGCACCACTTTAAGTATTCTAACCACTATAATCCACGTTAATTGATATCCATCCCACTTTATTTCCGCTTTCAGGCCATCTTAGGCCTGCCATTGCCGAAATTGTGGAGATGTCGAACGTGGGGGCGAGTAAAAGCCGAATAACGGAGTCCTCCGATACCTCCGGCCTTTTTTTCTTCTTTTCTAGCATAAATTATATATTTGTTACTCCACCTTTTCCCCTTCCTTCCCAGCTATGGCGCCCTCAGCCCGACCTATTTGGTTTAGCCTCCCTGACGGGCTACAATCCGAACAGGATAGTGCACGTGATTGTATTGGATATTTGATAGTCACGTGCTACCAGATGGTCTTCAGATCACGTGGATGAGTTACCTAGAGTCTTGGCATTTTGGAGGCCCCCCGAGAAGGGCTACTTTTGAGCAGAATATCAAGAGCTGCCATTAAGAGATATAGCATGTTATGGCTGCGAATATCTTATATACTAATATTCTATCGAAATCCCGAGTTTAGCACGCAGAAAAAAAATCTCAGTTGACGCTTAATAATTAGTATGTCCGATCCGTAACAACATACATGTCTACGGGTAGGTACTCGTTACTTTTGAACTCCAACCCAGTTTTCTCCAGTACACATATTGCCACTCAGGCACAAAAAATTATATCTGTATAGAGATGAATTCCCCATCAGATATTATGACACCAGACTGCACGCCAAAGAGGAAACCCAGGACCTGCCCTCACTGTAAGCGTCATTTTCGCCGCCACGAACATCTCCAACGGCACATTCGGATTCGTAAGTCCAGACATCAAAAAGAAAATCTGCACATCTAGAGACTAATGTGTTCTAGATACAAACGAAAAGCCATACAAGTGTTCGTGTGGTGCTTCTTTTGGCCGGCGCGATCTCCTAAAGCGTCATGAGGACATTGGCCATTCTTCAATAACCCCGTCATTGCAAGAGCCATCGCCTGTGACTACCGATGACAGTCAAAGTCACCAATCACAAGTAAATAATGCCATTGAGACACATCACCCCAGCGCATCCTTTTGGGAACTTCCTGAGCTTCAAGGCACGGATGTATCGGCTGGAATGATTCATCGGCAGGAACCACTCCCCGATCTTCAATTTGAAGGTACATGGCATTAATTCTATTTCACTTGAATTTGCGGAAATACCCTTCTAACTAGTTTAGGAGGCTCGCTTTTTAATGCCCAGGATCTCTTGGTATTGCAGGACTTGGAATCGTTCAGCCATAACATGGGGCTCAGCACTGAATGGGCTCTGCCTTCCGAGCCTAGTATTGTTCAAATATTTGCAGGAGAATCGAACCTAAATCCTGTCTTTACGGGGCCTACTGAGAATATATCGCAAGAGCGGCCCTCTTCGCAGTCGGATCAAGATCAGTCTCTCAGCCAACTTCCCATTGAACGAGAATCAGTTGGTAAATCTCCTTGTGCTAAATTTCTATCTGCCTACATGACTACTGACGGTGAAAAACTAGCCGAGTTTGGAGTATTAACTCTACCCATTGTGAGAATCACTGATGACCACCGCAATCGCCTTCTTCGAGCTCTTGGTCGATCTCAGACGGCGATGCACGAACCCCTTTTTCCATCTTGTCACTCACTTACAAGATTTGTAAATGGATTCTTTGATGGCTTCTATCCTCATATACCAGTCGTCCATATCCCAACTTTCAAAGTAGAGGACTGTGAGCCGATGATAATTTTGGCCATGGCTGCGCTTGGCGCGCAGTATCGGCATGAACATCGGAAAGCAGTTATTCTTTTTTATGCGGCAAAGGAGACTTTGCAACATAATTCACAGGAAAGAGAAAGAATGGAATTGAACAACAATGTTCCGTCTAGTGCTGGACAGGCAACATATTCGGGAACACAGAGCTCGGGTATCGAAAACTTGCCATACAGACAATCGATGCACGAGGCACGATGTGCTCTCTATCTAATTGCCTTTGCAACTTGGCAAAGTGAGCCGGATATCATACGAGATGCATTCAACCTTCAAAGCTTTCTCGCGAGATGTGTAAGAGAGTGTCAACTCGACGAGAAGGAAGAATCTCTACAACAGGGATTAGACTGGTACACCTGGGTACAGCAAGAGTCAGACAGAAGAGTCAAGCTGTTCTCTTTTGCTCTTCTTAATCTACACAGTATAGCGTTCGCTACTCCGCCAGTGATACTGAGTGACGAAGTTCATCTCCGTCTTCCATGCACCTGTTTCGAATGGATCGCTCCAAACAAAGAGAAATGGTCCATGGTGCACAAATCAGGCAATGCACGGCAAATGCTTTTTCAAGAAGCTCTCTCTCACCTGTTGAACGGCTCCCACGAACCGCATCTACTTAATTCACAACCGGTTCCATCTCCTTTAGCAAACTACATTCTCTTACATGCTCTGATCCAAAGAATCATGCTTATTCAGCGGGCGTTTAACCCATACTCCAACGAAGATCATACCCTGCTCAATCGCCAGAAGGAATCATCTAGGTAAGAAGCCATCAAGATATTTTCAATGAGCCCAGATACTGAACTTTGTTCTTCCGCAGGAAGGCTCTTCACACATGGACGTCTCAGTGGCAACGAGCCCCAGAATCAAGTCTTGACCCTCGAAATCCCAACGGACCTGTCACTTTCACCTCCACGGCATTGCTCGGAGTTGCATATGTTCGATTGGCATTCAATATAGGTTCATACAAGATCCTTGGAAGTCGAGACCCACAGGAAGTTGCCGAGAGACTACGCCAAATGCCGCGTCTTCCTAGTGGCCCTCATTTGCTTCCAGCAATATTGCATGCGACACATGCTCTGAGCATACCAGTCAAGTTGGGCGTCAGTTTTGTCTCTCGCAGCCATGCATTTGTGTGGAGTATTCAGCATTCACTGTGTGGTTTGGAATTTGCAATCTTCCTCAGCAAATGGCTGTTCTGTATATCGGACTGTCAGAAGACCCGGCCGCTCGATGGTATGTGCATTTCTTCGCCCAAGAGTTAACAATATGCTGATATGATTAGAACATGAGAGCCGCCTTATTAGCTGGGTAGGGGATATTGTTGAAGAGGGAAGGACATCAGGCGATGAAGACCTTTGGTCCAGGCCCACATTACCATCTAATTGTGCCTACTTAGGTTTCGCCGTTATAAAGTTATGGGCTATATTAATAAAAGGAAATGACCAGTGGGCGATATTGAGGGTAATTGGAGAAGGTCTGGATACATATGCTAATGTTTGCAAGCGAATGTTCACCAGTTCCTTGGTAGAGGGCCAATGAATACATCCTCCTTTTGCTCCAATTTATTCACATAGTCAGCATTTCGGTACGAATTTTGACCTGAGTCGCAAGGCCTCTCCGTAGTGATAGAGCGAATAAATTCCAATCACACATCCAATAGTCAGACCCGCCAACAGGCTGCATCCAGGGCCAACCCCTAGGTTTTCATAGAGTGGTCTCGAAAACATGACAGCGCCACACGCAAAAGCACTTCGGGTGAAATCAGTGGCGGCAAAAACACTAGCTGCGTATTGCGGGTAGCATGCGGGGATGTAGAGGAAGACACATTGCATCAAAATGAACACGCATGCTGGGTAGATGACGATTCCTATGGTCGGTACGATCCAATGGACGCTTGGGTTTGCAGCCCAGCCAAAAAGCAGCAGGCCAACAGAAGGACCAAAGCATGCAATGAGGGCAGGGACTAAGACGTCTTCCGGCTTTCGAAGTCTTCTTGACTTGGGTATGAAGACCTTGTAAATGTACAGGTCATAAACTGCGAATGATATGATCGCTCCGACAACAATAGCCAAGAAAGCTAACCCCATCTCTCCCAGATTAAACCCGTAAATCCCCTGGTAGACGATTGGGAAAGCTTCAAAGAACGAATAGTAAATGCCGTATGTCAGAGATGTGTAAAAATTCAAAAACAGGATTGCCGGGTCAAGAAATGTGATCTTCGAGGGGATAAGCAGCGACTCTTCTACAGCCGAGTAGAAAGAGATGCCTGCCTGCGCGATATCCGTAGCAGTCTGGTAGCTATAAGGTCTCTTGATTGCCGTCTTCTCCAAACGCCGAGCCCGTCGATGAAGGATAGTGGCGGGGCTGGTCTCCGGCAACAACAAAAGCAGGACAAGAATGGGACCAGCGGCTATCAAAATCTCCCATAATGAGAACCGCCAGCCAAGCACGGGAATTGCGAAACCAGATACTACTACACCAATGGCTGGAGCGCAGAAAACGCATAATACCCATGTTGCCATCGCGTGTGGAAGCACGTCAGATGAGTAGATGTCCGCAATTGAGGCGCCTCCGGTGGCCAAGCAAGGACTTCCGAAAAATCCTTGAAGGAACCGCAGGAAGTAAAACCCAATTGCATTGGGTGCCAGCGCTGTAGGAATACTGACAATACAGAAGAGGAAAAAAGAGATAGCATACGGAAGGTTGCGTCCAATGCGCGGGATTTCGCTCAGAGGGCTGAAGAAGAGAGGGCCGGTACCGTATCCCAAACTGAAATTGGGTCAGCATGTGATATCAACAAATGATTAAAGGATTGAGTCTTTTGACGTACACATAAAGAGCGAGGCCAAGGGATGCCTCTGCGTTGTTCACGCCGAATTCTTCAATGAATGCATTCTCACTGGGGGTGTAAATTGGCGCAGCCAAATAAACCACAAAGCTATAAATACCGATAACGAAGAGGATAAAGGCCTTTTTCAGTTGTGACCAGTTGTGGGGGTTTTCTTCGTCATGCTCGGGGTACCATTCGACTAGTATTGTCTTCTCATCGTAGAATGCGTAGTCTGGTTGCCATTGAAGATCATCTTCATGATACTTCAACCAAGAAGGCGTGCAAAATTGGCGCAAAAATTGCCCAACGATGCTGTCGCGTAGCCATTGAAGATGCATTTCGTCAAGCTGTTATTAGGGTTAGACAGGAAAACGATGCAGGTCTCGAGGAAGACTAACCTTGTGGGCTCTCACGGCGATCTGAATTGCATTGCCAACAAAATTCAGCACACTAGTCGCTATATAAAAAACTTCTCATTCATTATTAATTCTAGCATGATTTGTCATGTCTGGTAGCTAAGAAGAAAATGAAGTCTCCGAACAAGTGTGGAGGTGGCAGTTGGAGGTGATTGAGTTATCCACACAGGCTTGAACATGCCTCCACCTAAAGGAATTTTCAGGCACCATCGGCAAAGCAAAAGATTGAAACACGTTCATTTTGTTTTGGTACATTATGTGCTGGCTTTATATACTTATGTAGCTTATGGGAGATCTGAACTACTAGTAGATCTTTCTATGGTACTCGGGGCAAATCAAACAGTACGTGCAGGTGATTTAAGGCCTGACCAGGGAAACCAACAGTGGTCTTGCATTCCAGTCTTTAATAGCTTTTGTTTAAATACACCTAAAGTCTCCAAAGTCTAGTTTTGACTTTTCATTCATGTTTGATGGCCTCGACCTCAATCTCAATCTTCATCGCCGGAAACGCCAATCGAGGGACAGCAAGAGAAGTCCAAATAGGACGATGGTTAGGAATTCGGTCCTTCAATTTTTGCACACAGTAATCGAACGAGGAATCAATATCGACGTGGTACGAGCGAATCGAATAGACATCTTCCCATCCGCGTAGCCCTGTCGCCCGGAGAACTTTGTCCACATTTGCAAAGGCGAGATCCACTTGGCCATTAATGTTGTTGGCGTCCAAATCACCAGTCTCGGTCCAGCCTCCTTGGCCGGAGCATTTGACGACGTTTCCAAGCACGACCGCTTGGGAGTAGTGACATAGATCGCTGTGCTTTTGACCAGCACCTTCTTCGTTGATGTAGGTAAGAGAAGACATTTTGATTGCAGGAGATATATAGAAGGAGTAGACTAATTATTTTGGTTAGGTCCAAGTCTTCTTGGGATGACGTCTTATATATGGTGGAGGTTGTTGGAGGCTATTGGAGATGTTACCACATGGGGTATGTACCGCCTCCACGGTTCTTCCAACATCTCCAAACATCTCCATGCGTAGAAAACGAAAATTTTCTAGAAATTTCGCCCCTTATCGGTGTTTTAGCTAGAAGGGTCTGAAGAATTAACACAATACAGAATACAGACAGTGAAAAGGTGTTAAGTATGGTAACTGAGAGAGCAATTCGAGAAAACCAAGATGTCAATGGTTGACGGGGCAACGGAGGGGAGAACCTCGTACACGAAACATCAATCTTGTCAGACTAAATCGCGTACTAACCAGCTCCACCAGATTAACATCTATGCAATCTTGAAATGGCAGAGCAACTCGCTCAATTGGCGCGCGAGGTAGAACGCCTAGTTACCGCTCCTTACGTACCTTCGTTACAGGTAAGTCGGCTGAGACTGGCATGAGAGTATACATGCTAATAATACCAGGACCTCCATGATCTGGTGTATCATACCCGACCTTCAACAATAGTCGCCTGGGCATTGAGCAAGCCCTGCCAAGTTGGCCTATTGGCGGATGTTTTGATTGAAGCTCTATCGCGATCACGCGTCGCTCTGTCTTTGATCACTGCATTCGGTTTGTGTTCAATGAAAGTTTTGCTAGGACTCGAGTCTGACATGTTCTAGCATCTGCACCGTCCTTTAGAGATGCGCTACTAGAACACCATCCGGTGATTTTGGATGCCTTTTTAGGAAAGGCCCTGGATGTTAACGGGACCGAGGTGAGCTTCGCTTCTTGTCAACCAAGGCTAGCTGAAGGATGTTACCTAACTATTGCAGTATTTCCCGGCATGTATTGCATTATTCTCGTCCCCCCTACCAGAGGGTGTTGTACCGCCAGCTAGGATTGCACCATTCATCACGAAGCTGGTCAGCATGTTGGCAGAGAATCCCTGCGTTGAGACGGTAACACCTCTCCACGCTCTCATCTCAGGACTCAAAGGATCGCCAAGAATCCTGAATGACATTCCGTCCGAGGTCATGTCCAATCTACAGCTAGAGTTCACCAAGACACTACGCAACCTCGACGATCATATGGGCAACCTCCTATGTCTGGCAACCTTTGCGCAGATTGCGACCGCACTAAATACAGTATCTCAAAACCAACACGGATCAGAAGCACCATGGCTTCTTAACATTAAGCACTTCTTTGGCCAGAAACGGGGTCTCAAGACACTCGACTTGGTCGTCTTGCGCGTTATACTCGCCTGTTCCTCCAGTTGTAATCTGGTACCGCCCCAGGCGGCTGAGAGCATTCGGCTGGCTATTTGCATCGCTGATGCAATTGAGCCTGAGCAGATACAGGCTTGGCTAGCAGGTAATAATCCTAAAATTGCTAAGCTGTGTGAGAAGGCCGCCAGAGACGGTCTCCATGGCCAAATACAAACGATGGTTAGTTATGGCTGTTTGCGTATGGGAGCGAAATGCTAATTATTTGATGATAGGTAATCGTCTTTTTGCACACACTTCTCCCGACACACTCATTGCCATCCCAGCTACGAGAGCTTGGCATAAAGGTTCTTTTGTCCGAGAACAGTGAAGAGACTGTGGAAAAAATACCCCATCAACTGATTCCACGCCTCGCAAAATCTTTAGCAGTAAGTATAAAATCTCCTCTCTGTGGACAACCTTTGACAGTTGACATCAACAGGAATCTGGGGAAACTGCCAGCCGTCAGCTTTTGGCCTTTACTTTCGATCTCCTAAGGGCTGATAAATGGTTGGGGACAGGACAGCTTGCAGCACTGAACTTGGCACACTTTGTGTTAGCTGGTGTGCAAGAAGTACATCCCGAGATCATGCTTTCTAGTATTAACAACTCCATGGCCCCTCTGAAGGCTGTCCTTGGGGAGATGGTTGAATACTTCCCCCGACAGCCAAGCGAAAACCAATGCAGTGGCAAAGCATGCTGTGTCTCCGAGCTATACATAAAGCAAAACAGGCTGTTTCTATCTCTATTAAGACTTTACAACATGGCTTCGGGGCAAAATGGAGGCGACATTATCATGAAATCCTTTATACGACGAGTGGAGCAATCAATGCCGAGCCTCCAGTGTGCCTTCTTAACAACAACTCCCAAGGATCTCCGTGGCTTCTTTGCCTTGCGCGACAGACATGACCTGTCGTCTACTCAGATAAACCGCGATTGGCGCTCTGGAGTCACCGAACTCTTTATGCAGAATGCCCAGACCTCACACGATAGCATGATGAGAAAGATCGAGGATATGTGCTTTGATTTAGAGGGTCGCTGTCACAATGTTGAAGGACCTCTGCGAGCTGCCGAAGAAGAGCGGGACAGATATGCGAACGAAAATGAACAACTGAAAACTCAAAATTCAGAGTTAAAAGCTAAGTCAAGGAGCCTATCCGACAGTTTTGTTGAACTTGGCCAGGAGAACACACGTCTTGAACAACTCCTTCAAGGTCAATGCGCATACACCGATGAGCTGACTGTGTTGCTTGAATCTGCACGTGAGGAGCTTCAGCAGCAGCAACAGAGTTCCGAGACAGCACTTCTTGTTGAAAAAGAAAAATCCCGTTCAAAGGAACTGGAAATGATGGCTACTTTAACTGAGAAGGATGATCAATTGGAAGACCTTCAGCAGGAGATGTGCGGTTTGCAAATGAAGAATGAGCAGATACGCGAGAGTCTTGACCAAGTATCGAGTGAAAAGGCTACCTTGTCCGACCTCTCTAGCTCTCTGAAGCAAGAGCTTGATAGTGCTAGACAGACATTGAAGCAGACCAGGCTTCTTGCTAATGACAAAGAAGATGAAGTGAACCGCCTCCTAGCCCAGGAGGAAGAGTTCCGAAAGGAACTAGCGTCCATGGAAACAATGGTGAGCTTGCTGGCACCAGTCAATACGAATTAATTTATGCTGACTCTTTCTAGGCTGCACAGCAGAAAATTGAAGTTGAGAGGCTCTATTCCGCATTAGAAGAAGCAGAGGAAAAATCACGGAGTGAGATTGAGAAGCTCAAACATGACCATGAAGCTGAAGCTTCCCGAGCCACGTCTGAGGTACGTCTACATAAGCATCAGATTTATGGATGAGTAGAATTAATCATGTGTCAACATTTTCAGATAGCGAAGCATGAGACAGAAAACCGGCGATTGCATACTGCTCTGCAAGCTGCCGCTCTTGATGCTTCTAGAGATGCGCAGTCGAAAGACAAACGGATCCACCACCTGGAGAGAAAGGTAAATAATATCCCCTTGTATGTGAGTACGAACACTCTAACGTTAAATTTAGGTGCAAGCCTTACGAGATGAACGTGCTGCCAAGGCCCGCGAGTTCTCAGAAGCACAACAACACATTGGCCGACTAATGGGTGTGATGGGCTTCTCTGCCAACGCCCCTGAATCAAACGCCCCTCCAAACAACCAACGAACCAGGTCCCCTGCCAACATCACCCCAGCTGCAAGGAGCCTGCACTCCATAAGCGACGATGAAGATGACACACAGCCATCACAGTCCTTTGAATCTATGACCTCCAATATCAATGGTCGTACCCCAAAACGACCAAGAGGAAATCGTAAATCAACAAACCGGCCCTATGATTTGACCACTTCCCCTGCTGCAGGTCCTAAGACAAAAAGTCCACCGGCTAGTGTCATATCTCGCTCTGTTAGGAAACCATTGGCAGAGGCTGACCGTAACAGCCCGACGAAATCACAGTTAAGCAGTGCGTCAAAACGTAATCAGGTCGATGATTCTTTCCAAGAGACACAGGCTCAGGGAAATTTGGAGGAAAATAGGCTTCACAATCTGGATCTGGATATGGATTTGGAGTTTTCTAGAGACTTCCTCTTTTCGAGTACGGATTTTACCGGGTCAACGGATCGGATTGCGCAGTGAGCATGTTGTTTAGGTATTTGTGTGACTATGTACATAGGTCTTGGATAATTGAATCATGTCTGTCATATCTAATTGTTTTAGATATGTCTTTCGATGTGACTTTTGGTTCATTTTCTAATATGTCTTCCGGTCTGTTATTTCATTCGTATTTCAATATCTTTCGAGTGGGCTTCTAGTTTGTCTTGCAATGTAGTATGTCTTCAATGCGTCTTCTAATGACTGCCAAGCGTCGACGCTTGCAACTATCGGGAAAAATTCGCGGGTATCGTATACACTGTTCTATCGGACGCAAAGGAGCTTAGAGCTGTTTTGTTTCGAGATGACATCTACATTGTGGAAAATCGGTGTATCCAGTAAGTTGAATGTAGGTTCAAGCGTTGAAAGCCCGTAGCCTCCCTGTATCCGCATCCCATTCCCACTTATCAATTTGTAAGAGTGGCTGATCTCGCTTGATCTTGATAGTGATCGCGATATTGGCTTCCAAGGTTGACCTACTGTATTAGCTAACGAAGCAGACTTGGATAAAGATAAGAACTGGGTTCCACATTCAGGAAAGTAAGCAAAATAAAAGTAAAAGCGACATGTTGACGAAGAGTCGAATAACGGAATCGTTCGACGAGACATTGATACCACTCATCCATGTTGCTCGTCGTGCGTAACAACCGCCACTGAGCTGCATCCGTCTCATTTCCATACCAGGACGCAGCGGCGCCTAACAGACACCGGTGAAACACCTTTGCCATCGGCCTTCGACGGTAGGTCGGTTGAGCCACCTTTTCCGCATTGACGAAGCTGGTAACATTATGATACACCCTCTACTTGTCCAGTACCTCCGAGAATGGCAGTGTCGTATCGGCATCGAAATACCCCAGATCCCTCGCGCGAAATCTCTCGGGGGATTCTGACAGTTCCGACCGACTTCGACGATGCCTATAGCGCCTGCGGAATCTAGAACTTGCACGGACATGCAAAGTCGGCGGTCTGCACCTTGCCCTCAGCTCGAATCCCAGATCCGGAAAAAGGCGTAATTTTGTTTGGCATGTTAGACCCCATGTGTGCTAGTGCAAGTACCATTTCAGTCGCAAGATCCCCTAAGGCTGCCCCATGCTCGGGGACATTTTCACGAGTACCAAGCTGTGTGGTATATCGAACGAAAAACGAACTTTTGTGAAGTAACTGCTGGTTGGATTCAACTTCTTATCTATGGCTAGAGCACCGACTGTTTGCTCATTCTCCTCTCGTGTGTGGGACTAGGTAAGCTTTCCTCTGAGTGGAATGGGGAATGTGAGAGCTGCCCGGCAAAACAGGTAAACGATTATCCCAAGAAAATTCTCGAAGGGGTTATCCTGCACAGTCACAAGGTGCTCGGATCGCTAGTAGAGGTTAGAACCATAGGTGTGAGTGATTTAGAAGAGCTTACCTTGGAATCGTTCAGAATCTTCAGAAAACAGAACGCTGTCCCGTCTGTTGCTATGCCATATACGGTCGAGCCTCTCTGGGGGAATCTCTTCCTTTCCCGGTAGATGTAGCCTTTTTCTGGGTTAATTTCCTGATATATATGACATGCGAACTCTAGTTTTTCCCAGTCGTTTAGCACATGAATGAGCTATGTGTTCTGTTGCACGCTTCGTGTCCGCCGGATTTGTCTTGAAATACGCCGCATTTCCCGGTAAATTGATGGTTCCATTGGTGGTTCATGTTATCGTAATACCATCGACTGTGCCCTCAATGGCAGTGATAGGGAGATGGTTAAGATAGATCATGGTGTTAATTGAGTACGAGTGATTCAAATATTAGAGAGATAGATGATAGCAAAAGATCACAATAAATGGAGAGAATGACGGGCATTGTCTGGCGGTGTGATGACCTTGCCGTTGTGAGCGCATTCGAGCTTTTCGTAATAGGTTGATTCCTCCCTGTTTGATGTCTAGGTTGCACTGGACGTTCTGGTTCATGATTTGAAGGTGGTGGGTTTCATTGTCGATGCTTGTCATTGTCATCGACGAAGCCGTCTCTTGGACTCGATGTCCTCTTAGACCATGGCTTCCGGGTGCAAATGATAAATTTTGAACAAAGAATAGTCGGCCGTATGAGCGGTCTTGTGATGTCTTTTCGGCAAACTTTTCGGTAGTCTTTTCAGTGGCATCTTTAGTAGTCTTCTCAGGCATCATTCTGTTTAGATAGGTCGATGGCAAAAAAGAAGGCAGAAAAAGGCTGCAAACGACCTTTCTATATATAACCTTTGATATGTCTGTAGATATGTCTCCACCGATTCATATGATGGACACACCGATGGGCTCGTTCCACCTCCATTAGTCTTGGACGATGTTCTGGTGTGGGGTTGTTAAAGCTTCAAGAGTTGGGGCTGGAGCTCCTGGCTGCTCAAGCATCTCGGCGCCTTGACCATTTTTTCTACACAGGTTGCAAGAGGATCTTCCTTATCGACTGAACCATGATAAAAAATCTGAGTTTGACTCTATAGCATAAGCCAATTAGTTGAATCTTTCATGCAGCGATGCGAAATGGACTATATTGTAGGCAGTCAGGGCGTGACTAATTCGCCCTACTAAGCAACGTTATCAACAATTTTGAGTATGCTATGCGAGATGAAGAAGGAAAAAGATGCTGTCAATTAATCTATGGAGAAACTAGGTATTTATAATGTAAATTAACAAGCAAACGAGCAAGCAGCATAGCAAACAGGTTGATATCCCAAACATTAGTAAATGATATACTTAGAACTTCTTAGGAGTAGTGTTTGATTGTTTTAATGTATTACACTGCTTGAGACCCTGTATTATTAGCTCTCCTAAGTTCTTTGAACCTGAGAGTATGATCATCTTTTTGGTTCTATTTTCGCTCTGATTATAGTCTTGATCTACTCTTAGATGGAGGTGTATTGGCCTACTTACAAGCAAAGAATATCGATATCTCTTGTTTTTGTCTTTCTGATATCAAGTTAATGCTAAATGTATGCAATATTTCACATGTTTGGGTCTTACCTCTTCAGCTTTCTAAGGGCAGTAAGTAGCTTGTGCTTTGTTAGGACTCACTTTCGTATCCTTTTCTTCAAGGTATATCAAGTTGAAAGGAAGAACCTATCGTCTGTGTAAATTAAATCTAAACTCGTTCTCACTTAACTGACTTCTGAATCAAGTGAACTCTCACATATGATACCTGCTATGTCTCATTCGACAATCAGTTCAACGTTTTTGATAAGAGGATTGCTCCTTCCATTCAAAGACATTTAGGGCAAGTTCCCGTACCTTCCCACTTAAACCCCAACCCTCTTGGTCGCTCCTTTCTATTTCTCTCTTCTTCTTCTTCTTCTTCTTCTTCTTCTTCTTCTTCTTCATTACTTTTTATTTTTGTTTACATCTCTTCAATCCCCTTCTCTTCTCTTCTCTCCTTCTCCATCAACTTACTGAGATATCTCTTTTCCCTTCAAACATAATGGCACGCCCAGATGTTCCCACTTCCCAGCGCCCAAAGACTAACCATTTCTCTTTTGACTCAGATGACCCTTCTCTTCGCAGACCATTTCAGAGCTGGGTATCCTGGAGGTCATGGAAAACTTGTGCGGTCGACCTGCTGAACATTCCAAGAGAGATGAGCACCCACGATATCTACAATGCTTTCGAACAGTATGGGAATCTGATTTCTATCGACATTTGGGAGGACGTCGCCGGTCGTCCTGATTCCAAAGCACGCATTCGTTTCAAGTGGGTATCCTATCAATTCACCATATTGTTTGAAGTACATTTTGCTAATCATTCAAAGACCTCCTCCAAGTGAAGACTTTTGGAGAACTGGCTCTTTTGGTGTGAGGCTCCGGGGTGGCCGTGTTGCGGTGTTATCGCTCAGTGTCTACTGTGGTGACCCAGCTGGTTACATTCCGAGCCCTGTCCGCCCAGATGTTAAGCTCCCTAGTGAACTGGTCAGTGAATGCATGTTACGAGGTTATATTCAAATACTAATGTTTAATTTGAAGGAGTTGAAAACTGTTCAAATCGACATCGGCGTTCTCCTAGCTCCGTCCACCGTGCATTTTATGCAAAGCTTCAACAACCTGACATACCCCAGATGTGTGGTCGATGTGATGCGCAAGTGCTTGTTACTGTACCTCAGAGTAGGTATCCGGGGGTCAGAGACTACCGATGTGACTCAACATGACTATCGTGTCAAAATCACCTTCCTCCAATTGTCCCAGATTTACCAACAATACGACAGAGCCACAAGACAAAAGTCATTCTTGATTGTCCTAGACTCTGCCCCCATCTGGCATCGAAAGGCCACAGACATTCCGTCCACAGTGACCGAGCCGTTGAGCTGGAGAGAAGAGGATAGCTGGTATCGCCAGACCTCCGTGACGCATAACCCGAACTCGCTAAAGAATCTTCCCACAAATTTGAAGAAGTTGGGACATATCATCGACTTAGGTAAGTGTCCTCCCTCGTCTATTGTAATTCTGGAAGCTGACCAGTGTCAATTGATAGGCCGATGGAACGTGTTTAAGATCTCATTCGCCGCCGACCTGGACCCCAGTTTTCGCCGTGCGGGCGACACTAGCCACCATTTGATGCTCGTTGCGGACATTTTCCAAGACTACAACATCACCATCAAAGATGGGAGTCACTTTGTTGAGAATCCAGACCGACCGGTACCAGTATGGCAGTGGATTGACTTTTCTGAGTCCAAGTCCAACAAGGCCTCCGCGTTACTGCAAGACTTGGGAGATCAGAACTATATACACCTCTCCTTTAGAGTCCGGTATCAACTGGAGGTTTGTTTGTCCCAGGGATACCTCTCTGAATTCACCATGACTCGTGAATTTGTAGAGAAAATAAAGGACCTCGGAGATGACCAAGCTATGAAACTGCTAGAGTTTGTTGCAACCGAAAAGAAACAGTACCTTAATCCGATGAAGATCTTCGATCTCAAATTTTTCAAGGGAGTGACTGACTCGAAGATTCCGAGCTACTGTTGCTACATGCACACAGCACGAGTCACCCCGACTACGATCTACTACAATACTCCAACAGTAGACATCTCAAATCGAGTTGTGCGTGAATGGGCCAACAAAGGTGCACCTGGGCGCTTTCTTCGGGTTCGCTTTACAGATGAAAGAACTGAAGGTCGTATCAATGCGTCGCTAGGCGATTCCAACGACGAAATCTACACCCGTGTCAAAAGGACACTATCAAACGGTATCACCATTGGAGATCGTCGCTACGAGTTCCTCGCATTCGGCAACTCTCAGTTCCGTGAGCATGGTGCTTACTTTTTTGCACCGGATGCTGGTGTCTCAGCAGCAACCATCCGGGCCTGGATGGGCCAATTCAACCACATCCGAAATGTGGCAAAATATGCTGCAAGACTAGGACAATGCTTCTCGACCACCCGGGCTTTTACTGGATCCTCTGTTCAAGTTGCTCCTTGCGATGACGTTATTCGCAATGGCTTCACGTTCTCAGATGGAGTGGGAAAGATTTCCAAATTCCTGGCGCAGATGGTCACATCCCAGCACAAAATTAAAACTATCGCTGGAGACCCTCCTTCGGCCTTCCAATTTCGTCTTGGAGGAGCCAAGGGCATGCTGGTTGTCTCCCTGGACCCTCTGCCCCAGGAGGTACACCTTCGGCCAAGCCAACAAAAGTTTGAGACCAACCAAGCTGGCTTGGAGATCATCCGTTGGTCCCAGTTTTCTCTTGCCACTTTAAACCGCCAGTTAATTCTTGTGCTTTCTGCTCTGGATGTCCCGGATCAAGTGTTCCACAAAAAGCTCAACAGCATGTTGGGTGGCTTCCATCGAGCGATGGGCAATGATTTGAAAGCAATCCAGCTTCTTCAGAAGTATATCGATCCAAACCAAACAACCCTAACATTGGCTCAGATGGTATCTGATGGATTCCGGCGACAGGAGGAGCCGTTTGTCACTACTATGCTTGAGCTTTGGAAGTCCTGGCATCTGAAGCATCTCAAAGAGAAAGCAAAGATTGCCATAGACCAAGGAGCCAACCTTCTCGGTGTTATGGACGAGACAGGTGTTTTGAAAGGGTACTTTAAAAACGCATTGCCGCCCGGAAGAGCCTCCTATGCACAGAAACTGGCTGCTCTCCCTGAAATCTTTGTCCAGGTCTGCCGGCTAGATGGAGGTGACGAGTACGAAGTCATTGAGGGTCTCTGTATTCTCGCTCGCAATCCTTCGCTTCATCCTGGAGATATTCGCGTAGTTCGAGCAGTGAATAAACCAGAGCTGCAAGCACTTCGGGACGTGGTTGTACTTCCCCAAACTGGCGATCAGGACATTGCGAGCATGTGCTCCGGAGGTGACCTTGACGGTGATGACTATCTCGTTATCTGGGACCCTGATCTAATTCCAGGAAAGTGGTTTGTCGAAAGTATGGACTACAAGGGTACCAAAGCCCCAGATCTTGATCACGACGTGACAGTTGATGAGATCACTTCATTCTTCGTTACCTATATGAAGAATGATTGCCTTCCTCGAATTGCACACGCTCATTTGGCTTGGGCCGACAGGCTCCCGAGGGGTGTGTGGGAAGAAAAGTGCATCCATCTCGCTCAGCTTCATTCCGATGCAGTTGACTATAACAAAAGCGGTGCACATGCGAGAATGACCCGGTCTCTAGATCCCAAGTTCTGGCCTCATTTCATGGAAAAGAGGTATAAGAGACCATCTAGCATTTACAAGTCGATCAAAATCCTCGGTCAACTATACGATGCAGTCGTCACTCCTGACTTTGTTCCCAAGCTAGAGAAACCCTTTGATTCTCGCATCCTCGAATCCCCGCTGGCTGGAGCAAGTGAGGCCTACATGGAATACGCCCGCGAGCTCAAGGCAGAATTTGACATGAACATGCGACAGATTATGGCTCAGTATGAGATCAATACTGAGTTTGAGGTGTGGTCAACATTCGTACTTCGCCACGGCTTCGTGATCAGGGACTACAAGATGCAGGAAGATCTAGGCAGGATCGTGGGCACACTCCGTCGCGGATTCCGCCACCAGTGCTACGACAAAGTTGGCCGTGATGGTGGAAACATTCCTCCATTGGTCATAGCCATGTACCGTGTTACTCATGAGCAGGTAGCCGCAGCACTGGAGGCTCGACGCCAGGAGGCACTGCAGAGAGAGGATCTTTCCATTGTTGAGGTGAACTCAACTGAGTTTCCGCTCATTAGCTTCCCTTGGATTTTCCCGGATGTTCTCGGTAATGTTGCGACGGGTCGAGCACGACAAGCTCCAGTCTCAGAGGAATCAGAGGGTGGCGGTTCTGAAAAGCCTATCGGCGACGGCGTGGTCTACACTCATCCGCAGATCCTCAAGATTGTTGAAGGCATGGATGAGGGGATGCAGCCAAAGGATGTGAATGAGGACACAAAGCCCAAGGCTAAGGTGGGCTCTAGCTCCGCGGCCCCGGATCAAGAACTCATTGCTCGTCGGCGCATTGACAAGACCGAACCCAAACCCCAAGAAAAGGATGAGAGTGTGTCCTTCGATGAGGATGATGAGGGCGAGGGGGGTGTGGAATTAGGAGCCGCTGAGGATGACAAGGTTGAAAAGAAGGAAGCTGTACCGGGGGATATTGTAGAAAGGGAAGGCGATGTGCGGCCTTCGGCGCTTGACGCCCTGATCAACATGATTGACAGTTGATCTTTTGCTATTTGAGAAGGGAAAGAAAAGAAAAAAGAAAGAAACAGGAGAAAAAGAGCATCAAAATTGAAAAAAAAGAAGATGGGGGTTTCTTTTTGTTTAGTGATGAGGTTAGTCTGCATTGATGCAGGTGTAAATGAAGCCTCGAATTTTATCCAATTTGTAGAAGATTAGCAGTCCTAGAGAGTATCCAAGTCAAACCTCCAAAACACTACCAATCCAATCCCTCATCCCCCTTCCTTTCCAATAATTCAACCACAGGCTCCAAAACAGCCTTGGTGTGTCTCCAATTAGCAGCATCTCTGGCCCTCGAGTAGAAGACAGAACAATCCAAACTATCACAACTAACCTCATCACCAGGAGAAACACCCATACAGGAGCGACAAATAGCCTCCAGCTCAACAACTCTCTTTTCCGCCCTCTGCAACCGCGAAACAACTTCGAGCAATGTAAGATGCGGCTTCTGCATACAATCCCCGCACACAGACATAGCAGCATCAGACAATCTCGACCGACAGACAACACACGAAGACGACCGCATATAAGACTCCAGAGTCTTCCTAGCCCCGGCACCAGAATTCGGCCTCAGCACCGACCCCTCGACCCGCCGAATCCGCTGCACCTTCGGCATCTCATCATACCACTGACGAACATTCGCGCCAACAAGATTAAAAATCCTCTCCAGCGGCGGAATAATATTCTTCGTGATATAGTACTCAGCATCGAGCTCAAGGTGTGCATCATGCAGAAGCGTCTGCGGCGAAACACACCGATCAACAAGTCTCGACCCAGGCGCACCGGTAACAACAACATACGGCACCCGCTCGCCGGTCTGCGGCTCGGAACGCGGGTCTTCCAGCATGCGCTTTGTACTGATCATCGCGCCGGCGGGGAGAGTACCGTGCTCGGAATACGTCCCCAGCCTGACTTCGCGCGCAAAGCAGAAATCCTGGATGGAGATGCGGCCTTGCATGATCTTTGCGCATTGGCGCTGGAAGTATGATTTAACCTGGCTGAGGTCTGCAGTGCGGAAGAGTGTTTTTAGGGCTTTTTCTTCTATTTTTTGTTCGGCGGGTGTGCCGTCGCGTCGGACGGTTTCGATGCCCTTTGCGTCGAAGTCGGGCTCTTTTTGGTTCCTGTGTTCGTATTTGAAGCCCACGTATCGTTTCTTCGCGAGGAGGACGCAGGGGTGATAGACTTTTTCGAATTTTAGTTTAATGGGTCGGGGGTTCAGGTTTGTTACTGCTTCGGCGATTTCTTCGCCGATGTCAAAAGCTTGGTCGCGGGTGCGGCCTTTGAGATACACGAATAGACTGTCGGTGTCGCCATAGACGACTTCGGCGCCCCAGCGTTCGATGGAGTGGATGAAGGCGATGGCTTTTTCGAGGGTTTCTCGTCCCGTTTGGACGATGCTGTCTGCGATCTCGGAACAGGGCATTCGTCCTGAGAATGAGGCGGATGTGTACCCGTATGTGACGTTCGCGATCAGTTTGAGTGCCAGCTGGCGGTTGTTCAGAAGTCGCTGTAAGGCCCTGTCGTCTTTGTCGGCCTTCATGCCGTTTTTTACCATCACGCGGGTTTCAAGGATCTCGGAAAGCATCTTAGCTAGCAATGACTGCCGCACTTCCTGCTTCGCATACATCATACCATTTGGCGCGATGTTAATCTTGTCTATTAGTAATTCGAGGAGCCTGGGCTGTCGCTTGTAATCCATGAACCCCATCTTATCTCGCCCGCGCCAGTGCATTGCTCTACCCAGGAAGGTTGAGTAGCAGTAATTGTACGCGATCATGACACTTGGGTACAGTGACTGGAAATCAAGCACCAGAAGTGGGCTTGTGTAGAAGTCACTTTGCGGCTCCATGACTAGGGGCAAACATTCTAATGCATTCTGCTGTCCGACCTGCTTTCTGCTTGGTGAGACGAGGATGAAGTTCTCTGGTTTCGCAATTCGGAACATCAAAGACTCGACTTTGAATTGGGATCCCCGTGAAATCACAGAGGCAAAATCAATCCCTAGCAATCTGGCCTGCTCGCTTGTCCTTGGTGCCAATTCATTAGCTTCAAGAATTTCCAGATTCATTTGCACACGAGAGGAGAAGTATTCCACGACTTTGAGTATATTGCGAGGCTTCCCGCTTTGGTGCCATTGCGTCAGGTCTTTGGGAGAATAGTGAGGAATTCGGCGATGCAAGACATGAAAGACAACGTTCTCCATAGTGTACTGTAGCAGGTTCAGCTCGCCCTTCATAGCACGCCATATATTGAACATGTGTCGTCCAGTGATGCGAACGGACGACGAGTGGTTGAACCCCCACTGATCTGCCTCTTTCCCAAACCTTCCATTAGAGTGAGATTTAGTCCTTGAAAGCTCCTCGCAGATGTCAAAGTCGTACTTCTTGCGCGCTCGCTCAATCACGTATCCCCAGGAAGCGTTGTGGACCTCGTAGCCCGTGATAATGTCCGGGTCGTGGTACCGGACAAGATCTATGAATCGGTTTATCAGGTCCAGTTCCGTAGGCTCATGCTCAACGTCAATTGTCAATGCCTTGGAGATTTTGGCTTCCGGCCTTTCGCCTTCGCCGTGGTAAATCATCCCAACATGAACCCCGGGAAGATGACTATTGACCTCAAGATCCTCGTCTTCGGATTGGATGCACCAGAACAGGGAAGTGATCTCGTCTTCTTCAGGGTTGGCCATGAGGGTTCCGCGCGTGTTCACGTGAAGTTCTAGGCTCATCGTGCTCATGTGTTGAGCTTGGTGTTCCACGCTAGTGGATACTCCATTCTGTGAGTATTTAAAGCCATGTGCGTTCTTCTGTGTTGGGCCCTCGATTTGCGAGAGAAAGTTGGGGTTCATTTTAGCAGGGATGTTTTGGGCCGATTTTTGATTAGATGCTTGTGAGGCTTCTAACTCTTCGAACCACTTGATGACTTCCGACCGGCTTGGCGGAACAAGTGTGAATTCCCAGACCCTGGCGGTGCACCCTTCTCGAAGGTGCTGGTCAACCTTTTCTTGCTGAGCTTGGTCATATCCTGTTGGTGTCTGCTCACCAAACATTGCAGGCGCCTCTGCCATTGGGTCAAAATCGGGTAGATAGTGAATGGTGTTACTCTCTAGCCGAAATTCTCTGCCACCATATTCTCTTGGTCGTTCAGGCACATCTGTTTCATCACTGTAAAATGCTTTCTGGTATACAACCGATGGACGCCCATATTCATTTATTGTCGAGTTGACTTCGCTGGGAGTTGGGCTGGCAAATTTGAAGCAACGCAATGACGTGTTCGGTGGAAAATTGAATGACTGATGAATGTTTTTCATGGTCTCTGCGAGATGTGGATCAAGAGAGACTGGACCCATCACTGTTGCAGACGAATGTAGCTCTGAGGAACTCTGAATTTCACTGGCTTTGCCTGACAAGTCCATGGCAGATCCGGAAGGGGAATGACTCAAGAGCTGGGATGACTCGGAGTCTTTTCTTGAAGAATTTGCCTCATCTTGGCTATAGCGCATAATAGTAAGAGGATCATTGGGGTCCTTGACTACCGGGAATTTCAGGCCGCTGGTGTAACTATGCGCCTTTGGACGGACTGTCCTCTGCGAGGAAGATGATTTTGGTTCTGATGACGGGGCTTCCGCGTGGGAATCCAACTTGCTGTCAAAGGAGACGCTTTTTTGTTTGTTATCTTGCTGATGCTTTCGTGTGTTGGATGGTTCCAATAGCTCGTCAGACAAGGCGTGTGTGGCCATATGTCTAGGTCTTTTGGTAGGCGAACGGTGGAGATCGAGCGTTTCAAAGTGTGGTCTTTTCGGGGCCATACTTCTATTTTCACTCTGGTCTATGGCACCTTTTTCTTGGGCTACAGAGTTTTCTTCCTTGTAGACACCATCCATGGTCGCTTTTTGGTTATTTGTTTCAGCACGCTCCACAGGTACAACCACATCTGGAAAGGGCAATTCGTCAAAGACTTCATCGTAAAAACTGTCCCCCATGGGGTCCCCTTTCGTTTCAGGGTCCTGTTCGGCTCTCCCTTGCAATGAGCTACCTCCTTCGTCGGAATCTGAGTAATACTGTCCGTTAGTTTGTGAGGACAGAGCGAGACCCTCATCAACCGAAATTTCCGGTACATTTTGCTGGGCTGATTCCTGGGAACGGCTGCTATCATAAGTCAAAGTACTGATTTTGTCAGGAAAGAAGTCTTCAACACTATCCAACGCAGTCTTGACGAGTTTGGCTTGATCACCGGTATCCAAGAATGTTTCAAATGTCATATCTTTGTTGCTATCCCCGTGTTTCTCATCGGCAGCAAGCTGAGACGCCATTTCACGAAATTCTTCCTCGTGTATCCAACCACCTCTCGACTGATCTCTTGGATCCGCAGACATTGAAACCATATCCTCAGGCCCAAACGGAGTGCTTCCGGGATCAGTGATGCCCATTCTCTTCTTGCGCCTGCGAGTTTCATCCTGCCACAACCCAGCCATGCTAGGAACCAGTCGCTCGTTCACCGCGACGGGTTTCAAAAGCTCCGTGAAATCTTGGTGTAGAGGCCGCTCCTTTACATCAAGACGGTTCATGATATCTTGAACACAGATATCCACCTCCAGCGCGCAATGGCTTTGTTTCTGTAACGCAGGGTGATCCAGTATGCTTTCAGGTGGGATTGAACGATCGTGCCAGCGGTGGGCTAGATTGCTAAGCTCGAAATACTCAGGTACTGGTGACCGAAATTTGACTTTGCTACAGCTCATGGTTGCACATCCGTATAAATTGTAGTCACACATCCATTGCGGGATGTATTGCACATGCGCCTCATAGGGTTGAAGCGGACGTTTCATCACAGCTCCCTGGTGCAGAAGATCGACCAAACGGTTTGTATGGAAGGGGTTTAAGAGATAAATTTTGAAGAAGAACCGCCATCCGACATGGTATCCGTAAAACGGGACTCCTTTCACCAAGGTGATGTGCGCCACAAACGCTGTCCTCCGGTCATATGCA